TTTTAATAAATGCGTAATAAAAAATGGTGATTATTTAAGAAAAATCTTTTAAATTTTTTTTTTGAAAGTACTAATTTTTTCAAAAGCTTCTAAGTACAAAAATGGTTGGGGAGACTTTTGTAAAAGAAATGGAGGATGTCAAAAATAATTTTCAAATAAAATAACTTTTAAATAAAGGTTATTATAAGTGATTATGTGAGAAAATAAAATTGGTCAAAGAGAAAGGGTGTTCATTTACCTCATTTTATTTGTGTTACGTTGTATGCATTTAGAATATTATTCGAATTCCTGATAATGAGATTTTTATAGATGTTCAAGTGATAATCCCTTGAAAATTTTCTAATGAAGTGGATTTTTTGAAATTTCAACAAGGAGAATTTAGGAAAATTTTTAATAAAATGTTTTTGCTTTATATTAACGTTGCTTGGCTTGCATTTGGTTAATAATTATAAAGTAAAATGAAATTCTTTAGATGCGTGAAAATTAAAAAAAAAAATGAATGAAAAGTTTTAATTATTGCTATATTCAACATTTGTTAAATAAATTCAATGATAAAACCTCTAGAATGAAAATAAATAATTTTTTGAATATTCTCAAGATGATAGAATTTTCATAAGTTATTGTCAAAAGCATTGAGATATCTTATAAAAATCTTTAATTTTTAAATAATGAAAAAATTAAAATTAACAAATTAATACGGTAAAAAAAATGATTGATGATCTTTTATAAAGGCTAAAAAATGAATAACACATTGACTGATTTTGTTTTTTGGGCAGACTTTATAAAAGTGCTATTAATCTTTTTGTATAATCGTATTTTCAAATCTTAAATAAGAGCAGATTAAATTTTTAATTTTTTAAGGATATTAATTAAATGTAAAATTTATTAAGAAAAAATTTTAATTATCATAACGAATATATGTTTAACATCAATCATTACTACATCTATATGATTAATGGTTTTATTTGATGATGTTATCAATCATCTTCAATTAGCAATTAAGAAAGAAATTGAACTAATTGAATTGGTAGTATGTCCGGTCCGATAAGGTCCAAAACATCCGTTTAATCGGGCTAAATTGGACCAGTGCATTACTTGAATTGATTTTGAGCATTTTAAAATTTACTAAAAAAAATTGTAAATGTCTTATTTTTATATTAAACACCATGTTATTAAGTTAAATGCATGTTTTTCTATTAAATTATTATCATATTTAATAATTATTAAATAATAAAAACAATCATTTACTCTAATATATTTTATAATTGAATTAATTGATTGAATCAATAATCAAAACTTCCATCGATGTAATATTCGATAAAATATTTTAAATATTATTGTAACAAATGGAAAATTAAAAAACTAGGACATTAAATTTGAGGTACATGGATTAATATGCAGTTTTTTACATATATTTAAATAAATAAATATTATAAAAATAAAAACCCATTGTAACCATCGAATATGGAAGATCCTTGGCTATTCCAATTAAATAATGCCTTCAATTGTGGTAAGTAAATTAAATTGTAGTAGTACTAGTTTTGAGTACATTTCAATGTAGCAGTAGTTGTAGTTGAATACGGATAACGTCTACTTATAATAATTATTATTTAATTTAATCATCATGTCACATAGAATTGGAGTATTATTATAAACCATCATATTTATAGGCACATGCCTATGCACGTGACATACTGTTGCTTTGGGATCACCACACTTTCGTGTCACGTGATTCGATATCTTTTCAACCAATACCGAAACCTCAGTCAGCAGCTGCTCATCATTAATTTTTTTTTTCTAATTTCTTTCGCCGATCTATCCAATTCAAGTACGGCCTCTCATCTTTTATTCCATTATTATTATTATTATTATCATTTTTCTCGGCTGCAGTTAATATTTAAAAAATAAAAAATAAGGTTTTTTTTTTTTTTTCTGTCATGTAAATAAGTACATTAATAACGTGCCACGTGAAGGGAGGTAAATGATCAAACGATTAATGTAGAAAAACATCTCTGAATTCCAGATTAATGCAAACAAAATAAAATGTCTTACAATTCACAGAGGCGAGACAGAGATGGAGACAGTACAGGCTGGCAAGAGCCTGTTTTAATATTGATCACATATTTTCATGTTCGTTAATGGAGGAAATTAGAAAAAGGGTTGTTTTTTTCTTTTTTTTTTTTAAATCAATTCTAAAAAGAAGAGGGGCAAACCAACGTACGGGCTTGTACTTTCCTTCCCCATAAAAAAGAAACTTTTATTATTTCTTTTTTGGCTCTCCACCGCCACCCAAACCCCTCTCCTTGAATAATTGCCTGCCTCGCCTTCCCATCTATAAGACTAAAAACAAATCAAAGAGACAGTGCCAGTTGTGACTAGTTGTCGATAGTAGTAGGTTAAAAATCTCTCTCTGTCTCAGTGTTTAATAATGGAGCGAGGGGGTGGCGGTGTGGGTGGCGACAGGGATAATAAAAACTCATTCAACAAACGTAACGGAACACGCCCCGTTTCTTTTTTTTATTTTTTATTTTTCTTCTCTAATTTTGGCCGTTACAAAACAAAGTTTCTATCTTTTGTCAATAAAAAATTTTTTGGTCCCTTTGAGCTTGTCTGAAGCATGCAGTAACTGCCTCCACGCTGCTCTCTTTGTTCGCTTCTCAGTTATGTCCCATAGATTAAGAAACTTTTCTGTTACCATTTCAGACGCTACTGAAACATGAAGCAACTGATATGCTTATAAAAAGCTCATTTCACAGTTCCCTGTAAATAATTAAAATATTAAGTAACAAGTCATTTTCCATTGACTTTGTCTACATTTAACAACTTAATTTAATTAGCAGTGAAAGTATGAGTAGTGGTAGAACAACTCTGACCACCAACGTTGACAGGCCAATGGGTTGGAGTGATTGTTACCTGAGTTTTTTTTTTTTTTTTTTAATATATAAGCTATAGCTAGATATGCTGTGTATTACCCTTATTTTTTCGCAACCTACCGACACTGGTTTTCTGTGTGAGATGAATAATAAATTCAGCAGGTATGAGCTTCAGTAATTGCAGGTATTATTGCACTGGCCATAGCCAAAAGGGCTAACTGAGAGAGAGAGAGAGAGAAGAGCAACATTTCTCGTGAAAGAGGTGGCAGTTGAGGTGAGTGAGGTCAGATAGCTATCTTTCTTATATGTTTGCCTTTTGCCATGAGCCCATGACCTAAAGTCCTACTAGTATATATAAATATATTATATATGAGCATTTTGCAGGCTTCAGTTTCCCGGAAATTCAAAGGAACGTACAATTTGGAGAAGATGAAGAAGAATTCGAGCTATGTTACAAATTGCAAAAGAATACATATATCAACTACCAAATCAAATGCTTGTACAGTTATATAAATTAGTTCAAAATAAACCCTAAACGGATCAAATAAAAATATAATTTAGTTCTTTGGGTGGTTTTTTAAAGAGGAAGCATTTATAGCTACTTATCTCAAATTAATTACATCTCTGTTAACGAGTTATAATACTATTAATTAACGCATATCGATCCAATCCCAGCGTTCCCAGAGGCCAGACCTTTTTCATGAACAAATACGCGAGACAAGTCAACTACAGTTTTCAAACCCTAGAAGTTGCTCGCAAGATTAAGAATTTTGTTAGAAATTAAAAATCTAAATTTAATTTGCTGTCATTATGTTAATGTTTTCGTTATTAGTGAAGTTACTGTTTTTTTTTCTTTTTTTATTATATTAAGAGGATAAAATCCTAATATAAATAAAAAAAATAAAAAATTTAATTCCTGATATCTTCTCAAGGAGCTTTAACCTTTGGTTTCAGTGAATTTGCTGTTGCTTTTACGCTAACAACGAGCTACAGCGCCATACAAAGTTTTCTTGTTGCCTGTTGTGATTCTTATTTTAATGCACCTTTATTTCAAAAAAAAAAAAGTTTTCTTGTCCTGGTTCTTTAGTAACTTCTTGGCAACTATATATTAATATTTTATTTTTAACTATTTTAAGTCGGGAAATGTTATATATTCCTTTTAAAAACAAAAAAAATCATATCGTTTACTCTTAATTTATTAAAATATTTTAAAAAATGTGTGTAGTAATCTACTTTCAAGTCTTTTTCGCTTGATTAATGCTAGTATTATATTATTGTTAGATACATGTATAAGCAACGCTGAGCGTAAATTTAAGACCAAAAATTAAGGAAAGGGCTAAAGGTGACAAAATGCCTTTAAAAAATATGAAAATACAGATAAAATTTTTTAAATAAAATTCGTAAAATTTTTTTTTATTTTTTTTCACTTGTAAGAGTTATATTCTCTTCTGAATAAAAAAAAAAGATTTCAAAAAGAAAAAGAGAAATTCAAACCAAAATTTACCAATGTGACTGTAAAAGAGGTGCTAGTCTACAATTTTTTCGTTAGAAGAAAAAGATTTTGGTTTAAAAACTTTGGCAGTATCTTAGCGTAAAAATATTCTATCCTACTAAACGTTGAAGTAAAAATAAAGTACTAAGCAAAGGAAGAAGACAAAGAGATGCTGGCGTGGCTGGATCTATATAGAATTAAACTAGAAAACTACCCAAGACGAGATTTTTTTTTTTAATTTCATGAAAAATATGATAAAAATCAAAATAAAACTTTAGGAGGTTAAGGATCTGAATATATTAATTAACAAATTAAAAATTGAAATAAAATCAAAATAAAAAATTAAAGATAATAATTGAAATTTATCCCCGTGAATAATTTAGATGTTAGCAATTAGTAAAAAGAGTAAAAGAAAAGAAGTAAAGGCAGTAAAAACGAGAAGTATAAGTAATTGTTAGAGTATAAAGGGGCGAGGGAGCAGGTATGCCAAAAAGAGCCCATATCATGTGCAGTTAGCAGTGCATGTGGTGGAGCCACCCATTTCTCTCCCATCATTATATACTCTATTATATCATACCATCCATCCATGCATGGTACTTTTTCTCACTTATAACAGTACATTACTGCTAGTAGTCCACTACTAGCACTTTTTTATTACTTTTATATATATATATTATAAAATTATATACGATATGTACATGTACATGCATGCATTTCCTACTTGTAGCGTTTTTATCTAATTTATATATAAATTATAAATCCCTTAAAAAATATTCACTCTTCTCTCACTGTATGGTCACCCCTTGCACGTTCCTTTGCCCCCTCTTCTTGTCAATATATCACTCATCTTCCCTCTCCGTCTTTTCTCTATAGCTCTTTTTTTTAAGGGAAAGAGGGCTGAGAGAGGGAGAGAAAAGATGGATATGTATGGGTTTTCAACTCCAGAACTGTTTCGTATTGATGATCTTTTGGATTTGTCCAACGAAGAGCTTTTTTCATCTGCTTCCACTTCCACCAACAACGATCATTTTCCTCCTTCTGAAACCCCTCCTTTCAGCTACGCTTCCGCTTCCTCCTCCTCCTCCGCCGCCGCCGTTGCCTTTCATCCCTCTTTCTCAACTGACTTCACCCACGACATTTGCCTTCCCGTAATACCTTTGCCTGAACCCCTCATTAGTTTCATTTATTTTTCCTTCTTTTGTTTTTCTTTTCATGATTAAATATTGTTGTCTGATTGTTTGCAGAGTGATGACGTGGCTGAGCTGGAGTGGTTGTCGCAGTTCGTAGAGGGTTCCTTCACCGACTTCCCATCGAACTCGCTCGCCGGAACCCTTAACCCTAAAAATGATCACTCGTCTTTTTCAAGCAAATCTCGGAGCAAGCGTTCGAGAGCTCCGACAACACTGAACGCGACAAACTGGACGGCGATGTCGGAAGCAGCAGCTACATTAAATGGAAAGTCGAAGACGAAAAAGGAAGTCCAACGTCAAGCATCGCCAGCGGCGGAAGGAGGGGTAAGGCGATGCACGCACTGCGCATCGGAGAAGACTCCGCAGTGGCGGACGGGACCATTAGGACCCAAGACATTGTGCAACGCTTGTGGGGTTAGGTATAAGTCGGGTCGGCTTGTGCCGGAGTACCGACCCGCAGCAAGTCCGACATTTATGCTGACTCAGCACTCGAACTCGCACCGGAAGGTGTTGGAACTGCGGAGGCAGAAGGAGCTGTCGAGACAGCAGCAGCAGCAACAACTACAACAGCAAGAGCAAGTGCATCGTCAGCACCAGCAGCACCTTCAACAGCATGACTTTGAGGTGTGCTGACGTGTTAAAAAATAACTGTTGTTACTGTAATCATGTTCAATGGGACAGTACTCTAGTCTTTGGGCCCTTTGCTATGTTCATCATCAAAATTCAAACCTTTTTTTTTTTTGGCAATTCTATTTTCTTTATTTATTTTTCTATAAATTTTTTTTTTGTTATTTTTAACGAAAAGGGAAAGAAAGAAAAAGAGTCATTAATATTTTCTTGGGGTTGGAGGGATTAAAGCTTCAACTACCATTGGTTGCTGCTTTAACGCTCGTTGAAAGGTGGAAAGAGAATGGGTAATGTGATGAGAGTGACTTTCCACGTGATCCACCGCAGCGCAGCAGATGGGACGGGCCGAATATTCTCTTTCTCTCTCTCTACCTCTAAACTATGGGGCTTCACATGGAACTCCAGACAAAAGCTTTAGTTATGGTAAAATGAACAAAATAAAGAAGAGCCAATGAAAAATAACTACTTATAAATAAACTTTTACTACTAATACTACTATCACATTGAAGATAATTATGATTTAGTTATGGAAGCTTTTAGCTGAGTAGTAAGATGAGATAGAGGGGTTGGTGGCGGTCATGGTGGAGGGACCAGCATTTTCTTTTTGGTCGGTGCATTTTCTGATTATAATAGGGGATTAAGCTTAAGGGGCTCCTCCGGTGGACCTAGACTGTGGCGTCTGATCAGTAGTTCAGTATGAATCGACCCACCCACCTTTTTTTTTTTTTAACTCTAATTGGTGAAATTAAACTATAAGATGTAAATTTTGAAATTGATTTTTTTCTTATGAACTAAGAAATAGTAGTAGTGGTGTGTTTTGTTGTTGACGATGAGGATGGGAGATAAATGCATGTGCATTAGCACGTTCATCGACAGATTCCTGTAGGAGAGGAGAGGAGAGTCAGCCTTCTGATCTTAAACAGATTAAACTACTTACTTTCCAATCAAGACTCTCAACCATCCTCCGTCAAGGTTCTGGCTCAACCCAGCTGGACCGACCACTGCTGACATCTTCAGATAGCTATAAAACATTTAGGTCAAAGCCTCAATAAACACACATGCGATCGGTTTTCAGGAATGGAAATTCCTGATTTTGAGATAAAGCCATCCATTATTCTGATCCCAAACCAATAGTTTTATCGTTTTAATATTTCGTGTTCACCTATTTTTCAACATGGTAATGATTGATCCCAGTTCCCAACTTTGAAAGCACGTGCCAATCAAAGAGAACATGGTTTTATCTCAAATGGTGGCGATCTTGCTTTCTGTCTGTTTTACCATTTACAAAGGGAAATTGAAACATGAACCATTGTTGAAAGCAATAGTTTCCAAGGAAAACAGCAAAGTCATCCATGTTTATGCAATTACAGATATGGGAATAAAGGAATATAGCCAATTTCAGTATGGCACTATCAACATATATCTTAAAGAACAAAGTCCATAATCTTATATTAAGAAAACTTAACCTGCAATCTAAATTGAGATGCTTCTCTGCTTGGAAGTTCGCCAAGGATATCTTTCAATCCTGATGCAACAGGAAATATGGGTGTTCTCTTAGCCACATAAATGCTGAAATGTTCAATGTACCTAATTGAGAGAAAGTACTTGAATACCTGCTGCTTGTCCTTCAATCTTATAAGCTGAGTGAATCAGACTATGGATCTGCTTACCTGAAACAAATTTGAATATGTTCCAATGAGGAAAATCAGCCTCAAGAAGCAGAAGTTATTATTTCACTTCCCTGGAAACATCAACAGTAGACTATGAAATAATATTTCACTAAATGCTAAGTTAAAGCATTTAAGTTGATCTAAGGGAATGATTAACTTATAATTTCTGAGTAGTACGCAAAGTTTCTAAGGATATTTTAATAAATGTTATTTCTTTTTTTTTTAGCTATGAAAGAAAACGAACTGCATCACTGTCAATGTACTTCCAGGAGGTCTATTAAGAAAAAAGAAACTTCTCTAGTAGCTATAGACATCACCACATGAACACTTTGTTGGATGAAAGCTGTTTGAAAAATCAGTTCTGCAATTAAATTTTTTTTTCCATTTCTGGGGATTAACCAATTTTCCTTGAAAAGACAGCCCATGGTGCCATTTAAAACCGCTCAAGGTATATCCTTGGGCACACTGAATTCTCTGTTTTCACTGTTAATTACATAGAATTCAGATAACATTCCATTTTTACCTTTAGATTATTATTATTATTAAATAAAGAAAAAAAGGTTAATGACTCATGCGTTTGACACAAGTATTGTAGAATAAGCTGAAATTCCAAAGAAAAAGGTTCTCTTCCATTGACATACTCACATATCTAAACAATACACTATAGACAAACAGAGGTCCAAAATAATTAAAGCATGAAATGACACAAGCACATGATAATAGAATACTTGGCAATGGTTGTCATCAATTAGATCCACTAGGGAAAGTATTACCTCCAACTTCTCACTTTCAGCCTTAAGGCGGTCAATTAATTGTCTCAGCTCCTTTACTCTGATATCAGCTTTGGAAAGCAAGGACTACAACAAACAAATAGTAGGAAGTAAATGATAGGATTTTAAACTGAGAAGATGCTTGATGGACCCGCCCACTAAAATGGGATAAACTCTTTTTTTTTTAAATAATCTGGTAAACTCCAGAAAGATGCTTCCTGATCTGAGTGTTTGAGTAATAAACAATAAAAACTGATAAAAATATCAGTGCATGGACCAAGATGTGCAAAAAGAAATAGAAGATCCCAAAAACAGAACAAAAATCCATTGTTGAGGGAGACATTCAAGCAATATTGGGAATACAACAAGCTAGAAAAAGCTTCTCCAACATTACTACAATAGGCTATTGCAACTTTCCCTTGACATTTCAAAATTCTACTACCTTCTGCTGCAAAGTTACTCAATGCAAATGTATGGCAGTCGTTTATTCATATGTTTGCTATGAAAAGTCTGCATAATCTTGGGTAGGTAATGGATTCGAACTCTCAGATAGAGCCAAAAGCTGAAGATGCTATAAGATGCACTCTTTGTGAAAAAGGTGTGTGTGTATGCAGAATTACACAATCCAATGTCATTGGTAGGCTAAATAGGATGTAATCTGTGAATTCAGTTTGAAATCTCATTCATGCCCTCTTCTAAAATCCAAATAGACTATAAGCCATACTAACACTCCAACAAAGACCAGGTAGAAAGGATAGAAAGGGGTCTCTATAAATCAGAAGATATAGAGAGAAACTATATTTTACTGACCTCTTGGTTCTCAAAAAGACGCAAAGTCTTGTAATAGAATAAACGTCTTGGCCCTGCACATTGCAAGCAAATGAAACAATATCAATTATGTTCAGATTCTAAATCCTGATTGCGACAACTTAAGTAACAAGGTGAAGAGAATTGCTTAATGTATCGCTAAGGAATTATGCAAACTTAGCACTTGCAAAGCTAGGATTCACTAACCTGCAAGTTATCTATCCAACAACTTAATCAAGTTCCCTTTGTCACCTAAAGAAGAATCTGAATCCCATGTTAAATATAAAAGGAGGGTCGTTGGGATATAAAAATGTTCACACCATCTCTTCATCTCTTCTTTGTGAGGTACCTTTTGTAAGGCAAAATCGTGAGGCCAAAGAGTCAGAGCGGACAATACCTAACAATGATATGAACCGTGACAAGTAGGCTGATCTGAGACATCAGCTGAGTAGATGTCACCTAAAGAGGAGTGGGTGACTGGGGTATAAAAGGATTCACACCATCTCTTCCTTGTACGGTGCCTTTTGTAGGATAAAATCCTGAGATCAAGGGAGTCAGAACGAACAATACCTCATAAGGGTGTGGTAGGTTGATCTGGGATATCGAATGAATGGATGTCCGAGGGTCACTGGGTCTTAGACCTAAAAAGGAGTGGGTCACTGAGATATAAAATAGTTCACACTATCGGGTCACTGGGGTAGACCTAAAGAAGGTCATTAAGGTATAAAAATATTCACACTATCGAGTCATTGGGGTAAACCTAAAGAAAAGTAGATCACTGGAATATAAAAGGGTTCATATTATTTCTTCCTTGTAAGGTGCTTTTTGTAGGACAAAACCTTGAGATCATGGGGGTTCAGAGCGGACAATACCTAATAAAGTTGTAAACCGTAACAAATAGACTGATTTGAGACGTCGGATAAATGAATATTCGGATCCCGAAATCGCACGAGCCGGAAATTAAGTTTTGACCTATAACACCTTCACTATTCTAGAACACTTAAACTAATCGCTATAATTGGTTATGAAATAGCAGCACCTCCACATTGTTAGAAAGAGTTTGTTTCAATCGATAACAAGTTATGCGTAGACATTTGTGCGTACAATTACATGGTAGCAGCTTTTTGGGGCATACACACAAAAAGAAAAGATGGGTTTAATTTATGCTGCTGTTGCATACACAACCTAGGAATGTAGAAACTACCTACAGAAATCCCAAGCAAACAACACCACCACCCGAGATCAATGGATGCGAAGCTGCAATGTTAACCCCCTCTGCAGCAAAAAATGTCAAACCTCAAAACCTTAAAATCTGAAAGTTAATTGTCTCTCAGATACAAACAGAATGTGCACGGATTGAATTGATCGATGGAGCAGACCTTTAATTTTGCCAAATGCCATGTCCCCATAAGCAGCAAGTTGGGACTCCACATTTTCGAGTGAATCCTAGCAATGAAAATAATTACATAATTCTTGGATTAAAACTTAAAAAAAATAATGCACACAAATGCTCTGTTTTTTTGTCATGTAATGGAACTGTTATTTTAAAATCTCTATTTGTAGTCTGTATGTAGCGTTTTATTGTTACTTGTCCTTGTACCCTGTAACAAACCAGTCAAAACTTATTGGTGATTACTTAAGTCCTATTTTATTGTCCGCAAATGTCCATGACTAGGAGTGCATTGTACACAGTACTTGATTATTTTATGCATAAATTGTGAATTAACACGCCTAATTGGCTCTGGCCAAATGAAGTTTAGGTGCCTTGGATTCGGTGATGCTGAATGCTGATGGTGGGCTTATCTTGTTCGCCCTGTTACTTAGATGAGTGGTTGGTTGGACATCCATCGTGGGTTTCTAAAGTTTATACATTGCAGAGATTGTAACCCAAAATGCCCCTGCTGAAACTGATACTAAGGGAATAAAGAAAGGGCTGGAGAAATTAAATGAAATCCATTATTAAGCAAAAATCCACAATATTGAACTTAGTTTTTGCTACTGTTAACACACTTTGAAGCCTCCCTAGTCCCTACGAACAAAATACAACTTCCCCATGACATGGAGCATGGCAACGAACGCAATGAAACCAATGCTCATGACAAGAACCACATTCGGAGAGATCTTAAGTCCTGGAGCATCATCTGTGTAAAACTGAAGCATAGTCCCAGCAGCCCCTCCTGAGGCCCCCCCACCGGTTGTTGTTCTCCTCCTGCGCATGCTTGCAGCTGCCGCTGCACTTCCTCTTGGTGGTGCTGTTCCAGTTGCCATTTCTGTAACCACCACCAAAACTCACTTATTCAATTTTGGATACTAAATAAAACGTCTATACAAAGAGTACCGAATTCCCAAATCACTATTGACATAAAAATATATATTTATCAACTTTTCTTCATGGGGGCATTAGTGAAGAATGGCTGCCTGAAGAGAATTATAGCTAATTTGCAAGAAACAAAAAAGGTTGCAAAGAAAATAAAGCCAGATGGGATGAATATAGACAAGATTAGAGAGGTGGCTAAGATACCCAAAGTCCAAAACGCTCCATTTTCAATAAAATCAGGAAAAAAGCATGTTCATATAATCCTATAGAATATATATATATATATATATATATCTATATATATATATATAATCAATTCAAAACCACCAAAATTTGTACTAAATCTATAAGCTCTATGCCAATTGAATTATTCTAATTGAATCATCTAAAAGGAATACCATGGAATTCCATCCACCAAATTTTAAAAGATTCAATCAAATCACAATCTAATTCAATTTAAAAGGTTCATTGCCTGCATTAAATCCTAGTTAGCCATCATTTACAAAGAATTTCAAAAACCCTAAACTTGAAGGTTTTAAGAAACAACAGATCAAAACGATGTAATAGAATCAGATCTCGGAAACCAGATCTAAATTTGACTAATCCAAGGGGTCGATCTATTCTATTCGGATGCTAATCGGAGATCAAATCTAAAATCAAGCCATCATTTATAGCAAAACAGCATTTAAAATCTAACGGAAGATAAAAGAGAGGGAAAAGAAGAACTCGCCTGAGTTGACTCGGAATTCAGATCGGAGCTTCGGAAGCTTTGGAGACTCCCGCTTAATATCTTTGACTATATTTCACTTTGAACGCGAATTGTGAGCTTGCCTTCCAGTTTTCATATATATACAAAGGGTACTTGCTGAGCACTACCACACAGCACTGACCAATCGCTTTCTGCCACGTCAGCCTTAAGAGTCCCAAATAAAGAATCAAACTTGCCTGCCGGGATTGTCTCTGACGCGTACGATTGTGTGGACTAACTAGGCCCAGAACTTATGGGCTAATTTGGCCCAATTTGAGATTTTTTTCCTTAAAAAGAATAAATAAATCTAAAAATCTATGTAAAAATGTATGGTCACACTAATTTATACTTTAAAAAAAAAACATATATTCTATTGATAATAAAAAAAGAGTTAAGAATTTTTAATTTCACAAAGGAAATTAAAATATTAATGCATGTTTTTATTTTTAATTCACTTTTCAAAATGCTAAGCTTAGTAAGAAAGATGCTTTTTTTTTTTGTAAAATATGAATAAAAAATGAATAATGATTAGAAAACCAAGACAAAAGAAAAGCATCTATAAAATGGATTCTAAATAAATGGATCATTCATTCATTCTATAAAGGAAGCAGCTGGATCCGAATTACAATGAGTTTGAAAAAAAATGTGTAAAATGTAAACTATATTCTTACCTTTTCGGTTTACATCAATTAACAAGTCAGATGATTACTTGTCAATGAAACTAGAAAATCTAACCCTCACTGAGAAGTTTGATGGAACGACATTCCCACCACTAAAAGACATTAACAAAGTTAATTCTTGCTTCAAGTTGAAATTCATGTGACAACTCCGCTCAGCTGGATTGATTGGTGTAAGGATGGCAAATCTTCCTCTGTTATTACCATGAATGAACATCATCTAAACTAAAGAAAGAATGATGATCGTAGAATCTTATAGGGCCTGTAGGTGTTGCTCTCACATCTTTTTCCATTAACTAGTTGATACCCAAATGGATGGCATCAGGCAGAACAATCAATCCTTTGACCTCTTGAAGAATCTACCACCTTTCATTCCCATTCCAGTCCCTGCAAGAGTTGACGATAGCAGAGATCGGGAATCCGGTCTCCATTTCAACTCTTTAAGCACAGAAAACAAGGTTGCTAGTTCAGGTGTGACTTCAGTATCCTTGATATTAGTACATGACATTACTCTCAATTGCTGAAGCTCTTTCAAAGAAAGCACCACCGACTCCAAACCTTTTATAGTCAGCAATGAGCATCCTTCCAGAGAAAGAAGCTTTACCCTCCTATAAAGTGGGGAAAATAAAAACGGAAATCGGTACTCAGAATTCAAATAAAAAGACTAAAATCACAAACTGAATATCCATAGAAAAGTGATGAAAGAAACTAGACAACTGAAAATGCATGATTATCATCAACAAGCATTCCTATTAACCATTTGAAAATGACGAGTAAATAGAAAGCAGGAAGAAGCAGAATTGGGATTTTAAAATACAGGCCATGAGCATATAACTGAGACGCTGCAACCTATTAAGCACCAAGAGGAAGGGAGTGGCCTCCTGTTCAACTGGAATCCAATTCTGAACTTTATAGAAATTTATTGCTTTGTTTGTGCAGACAAATTTAAGATTAAATCAACTGTCAAAGGCCTATATTTTCATCTAGTCATATTGCAAGAGCAAGACTAAAGGCCCCTTGTTAAAAGAGGAAACCCTTCAAAACCTAATCACTAATTTTTACCTCTCAACTTGGTTAATACTCGCACCATTCTCTAATAAGATCACCAATTTCCTAATACCCTACTTCCTAAATAATAATGCATTATGGAACATTAAAAAGTAATTTCCACAAAGCAAAGGTTGCAAAAAATCTAACATGGACACTTTCCTATCAATTTGGAACAAGAATCAGAAAATATACATGAACTACAATAATCCAAGTAAAAAAACAAAAGATAATGCAAATAGAAATGACAAAAAATCTCGTACCTACAAATACTAGCAAGGCCAAACACATCATCATCCAAACCCCAACAATTCTGTAAAACAATATCCCTAACATTTCCGCAAACCAAAAGCAAAGCTTTAACACTTTGCTTATCCCGAATTTGACATCGTTGCAAATGCAACTCTTCAAGAGTCGAACAAGACCCCAAATGCTCATCCGCCCCGGGACTCTTATCAATACTTTTACAGGACCTAAGCCTCAAAGTCTTCAAATTCCCGCAAAATGAAAGCCCAGCTAACCACCCACCATCCATTTGATGGTCAGAAAAGGTCAATTCTTCAAGCATTTGACAGCATTGCCCTATTGCCTTAATCCCATCATAGCTCCCTTCACATCCACAAAGCTCAAGCTTAACTAACCTTCTACAACCTTGAGCTAATAACGTTAACCCAATATCTGAAATTATGGAGTTGTAAAACCCATCAATGAACCCGATCAATTTGACTACCTGTAAATTTTTAATCCCCGAAATACCCTTCAAAGCCAAATCCCCACAACAATGTAGCTCCAATTCTTGCAATGTAGAACACTCCTCTGCAATTCTTAACAACCCTTCTTCGCTTGCTCCAATCACCACTAATCTCCGTAAATTCGGGTACTTTTCGGCTACCATTATAAGCCCCTGGTCAACTGCATTTGACGGCAACAACGCCGTTACTCCAAGAAATCCATTGGGGTTAAAATTAGTATCGACATGAACCGACACCGTTTTGTGGGTCACTAGAATCTCAGAGTTTCTCGGCATCCGAATACACGAACGGACAAGGTCTAAATCGGTGAGATTGGGGAACCGGATAAAAACCCGACCTGAAGTAACAAACGACCAATCGGTAACTTTGAGGGATTGCACCAACCGGCCGTTAAGGCACAACCAACGTTTGCAGACCAAGGAATTGGGGACATGTTGAGAGATGGGAAGCTTCGAGAATATTTTGAGAAGAAGTTCGTCGGATAGGAGGGCGCCGTAATCTGGTCCGGTGGGGTCCAAGGATATTGATTGAAACGATGTTAAATCAGGCTCGGACGGCGGCGAAGTTGATGGGGTACTGCTGAGAGGACGGTGGAACTGTTGCTGCATCTTGTAAAAAACATGCTTTAGAGCTTGTTCTTTGAACCAAATGTCTGGTAAGCTTTGAGCCCTTTTTGGTGATTGTGGCTTCAAGTTTAAGTTTTTATTGTAATACTCATGGTCCTGATTAGGGCTAAGGCTAGGGTTAGGGCTTGTCTTGGGGGAATTTGGTGATTTTGGTGAATACGACATTTTGTAAGGGTTTGGTTAACAAAAAAACAAAATTTTGAAAAATCTAAGCCAACACTCTGAACTGATTATTATATGTATTATTTAATTCGTTAACCTGCTTAGTTTTAACTGTGTAATAGCAGTAAGTTTTTGCTTCTCTTTCCCTCCCTACTTTCTATAACTGGGATTTGATTCCCAACCAAAAAAAAAAAAAAAAACATAAACCATTTTTTCTTCTTATTGGATTTGTGTGTTGTACAAAAGATGATTAGATTTCCTTCACAGCACAGGAAATCCTTTTACCCTTTATACATAGTAGTGCCACCTCAGCAAAATTAAGGTGTTGGAATGACGTGGCATAATACTATAGGGTGATTGGAAGTTGGGGGCATGGTAATTTGGAGTTGATTGGCATTTAGGACTATCAGGAAATGATGAGTAAATGAATGTTGCCTTTGAGTTCGCCATGATAAAGTTGGTGGTCACTTAAAAGCTTTGAAGTTTGTCTCTTGTAATGTGAGATTCGAGTAACCACTTTCTTGGTGGATAACATTTTGTTTCCTCCTTTCTCTTTTTCCTTTGCCATAGCCATTGTGCCAAATTCTTTTAATTATGAAAAAGTAAACAAAAAGCAAACCTGATTGATGCGATGGTCATGCTTTCTTTCTTTCCGAGTTAATCAAATTACTAATCATTGCTATGGTTTCAGATTCTTCAAACTATTTAATTTTAATTTTGGCTTGTTTATGCTACGCCATCTTTTTACTAAAAAAGATTAAAAAAAAAAAAAACTCTTGGGTGTTGATTTTTTTTTTTAATACAAAAAGTGCTTCCATGTTCAACAACTGCATTTACTGCAATTGATAGCTCGAATTTCCTTTTCCATTTTACTGCAATATATGGGCCTGGCTGAAGAAGTTCATTAAAACCAAAGCAACGAAAATAAACATGAATTCTGCTTTAAACTTAAGTAATACTAGTGCTAGTATAATAAATGGGGGGAGAGGGGAGGCAAAGCCCATTAGAGACCCTGTTGAAGACAGAACCAATTGTGAGCCCACACATTGTAGGATGGTTTTGATACTTTTGGGGAAAAAAGTGCGTAGTCCAGCCGCCACTACAAATGCATCGCAATTTCTTTCAGCAACTTTCATTTTCCACTAGGATACATTCGTGTGGTTTAATAGGAAGTTTGGCTTTGGTTTCTCTTTCAATTGCATGTAAAAAGAGAGTGAAAAGTTCAAGCCATGGAATTATTGGAATCACCCTCTTCAATATTATCCACGTTATAAGAAAACAATTCAATATTCATAAAGAATCATACAAGTATGTTTGCATCGGCTTTAGTATATATTTTTAGATCATTTGAAAGTGGCATATTAAAGTGTTTAGAGAGAGATTTTTGCAGTATCACTCAGAGAAGTGAAAGAATGCATGATTTTTTCACCCCATGCATCCTTGTATGCTGAAAGGGATTTGCATGAAAATCAATCCATTGCAAAGATCCGAACTTCAAAGGAGTCATCGTGGTACCAAATTTATTATTCAATAGGGTTTGGCGGTTTGCTCTCCCATATGATTAACGTTTGGACCCCTGAATATCCATGCAATTTCAAGGCATTGGGCTGGTAAATGTCATGGAAATAATGAATCAGGCCTCACTGGAGCCCCACCATCGGCATCTCTGGACCATTATTTTCCCTTGCATTTTGCTAAAATGCAGATATTTTATTAGATTTAATTCCTGTCCCCCTTAACCGGTGATTTTGAAAAAAACAAGTTTTATATTAATTTAATTCATTCGTTTCATACACCAGAATAAAATTTTAATATTTTTATTTAATCTTTAAAAATGAATCCATTTTATGGATGCAATGCGAGTCAATCGGTGACCAGAATACATTGACGTGGCTGGGTAAACCACCACAAATCTTTAAATATATGTTTCACAAATACTTGGAAAACTCTACACATCAAATAGTTAGATAGTTAACCAACTTTGCAGTTTAAACTGACATGTTTTGTCCTGCAACAACATTTCAAGCTTCACTTCTTCCCCTATTTTGGGCTGTATGGACCCCGTAAGATTATAAGAAAACTAGTAATAATAAGAGCTACGGATTAAACTAGAGTGCGGGGGAAAGGCCAGTCTTTTAATGTAAGTAGAAATTCGGTGTGAGGAGATGTTTTCTGAATTCTGAATGCTGTAGAGCTTTTGCCCGTGGCAGTGATACTCACTAGGCTTCATCTGGTTAGTCCTTTGTATCAGAGTTACAGTGTACAATTGATGAGTTATACATTACAGTTCTCACACGGGCGGTTTGGGTGAATAGCTTTTACAATCGCCTCCGTTTCCAGCATGAAGGGGTCCCGCATTCTTACTTGACTGTTCAATGTACTCGATATCAATATTTGGAGTCTCCGCTTGGCCCTTTATTTCCCATCTTTCGTTCGGCCTCTGATTCTGTGGCTGTCTCCTGGTGGATATAACTTGTGACCCAGTTACTCATCATCGTTTCGTACCTTTTTATTTAATTTTTGTTATTTTAAGCACTTCCTCATTTTCTCCTTTAATACATATGGACCAGAATCCTTCTTTCTTTCTCTCTTTACTTTCTTCAATTGATTGCGATTCTTATCTCCATAATAAAAGCTTGGTAACGCATTTATTTCTCGGTACCATTAACAACAACCTGAATAGACCCCAAAATATTCCCTTGTCTGAAACGTTAAGATTGTTCAAGCAAAACGGATTGCAAAATTAGTTCCTATAAGACAACAATCACTGCTAGTAGTCACGGCAAGTTCTGTTAAAATGAGTCAGTGCGTTCCTAGTTGGGATCTCGACGACAATCCGGTCACTGCAAACCACTCTCTCCGTTCCAACTCCTATTCAACTGCCCCTGATGTTCCTATGTAAAACGCATCTCTTCTCTATATAACGAGTGTCTGTAAATTTACCTATTTTTCTTTGTGTTGATGTTTGTGGTTTAATTTGCAGGTTAGAATATGAAGTAGCAGAATTAACATGGGAAAATGGCCAACTAGCCATGCATAGCTTAGGTCAGTCATGCGTGCGGGCCAAACCCCTAAACTCCACCTCTCCCTCTAAGTACAATTGGGAAAAGCCACGCGGTAATGGCACTTTGGAGTCCATAGTGAACCAGGCAACACGCTTTCCATATCGTATGGCTTCTCTTGAAGGCGGCGGGGATGAACTTGTACCCTGGTTCGACCAGCACCGTGCTGCAGCCGTAGCGGCGGCGTCATCAGCCACCATGACTATGGATGCTGTGGTTCCTTGCTCGAACAGGTCCGAGGACCGGACCACGCACGTGATGGAATCTATATCAAGGCTTGGAGCAGGTACTTGCGTAATGGGAAGCTCCACTAGGGAGGGATCCTGTAGTGGGGCAGCTGGTACCCAAGAAGACGAGGTACTCCTCACTGGGAAACGCGCAAGGGCGGCGCGTGTTCCTGCAGCACCCGAATGGAGCGGCAAGGAACAAAGTGCAAGCGCCAGTGCCACGTTTGGAAGGGATAGCCAGCAAGTGACCGTTGATACGTACGAGAAGGATTTGGGTGTGGGTTTTACTTCGACTTCCCTTGGTTCCCCTGAAAATACAAGTTCTGCAAGAGCTTGTACCAAGGCCACCACTGCTGACGATCGTGACTCTGTTTGTCACAGTAGACCCCAGGCAAAGTTCTATTCAATTATTATTGCATGTGCGTGTACTTTGATTTTAACTTTAATCTTCCCTTTTTTACAAAAATATTGAAAAATACTTTCTTTTGGTTTTTTTTTTGTGTGATTTTCCTGTTACGTTAAAGAGGGAGATAGGTGAGGAATACAAGAAGAAAGAAACTGGGAAATCTTCAGTTTCAACTAAAAGGAGCAGGGCTGCTGCCATCCATAACCAGTCTGAACGTGTATGATCTCCTTCTCTGTCTTGAAAAGGAATTAAAAAGAATAAAAATAATAATCCAATATAATTGTTCATGACTGAATATTAGCACATAATTTGATTAATAAAATGGTTATTGTAATTGTTTACATCAATGAGACATCGTAAATGACTGGATTGGATTCGATCAGACCAATGGCGAAAGTGAAGACTCATTCATCAGTCGAATGGAATTTGACTTGTTTCAAATGTTCTGAATAAATAACTAAATACTCGGTTGGTAGTATTGGTATTTTATTTTTCTTCTTTGTAGAAAGTACTTACTTTTTTTGTTGATTTTGAGTTTTTCCAGAAAAGAAGAGATAAGATAAACCAAAGGATAAAGACGTTACAGAAATTGGTACCCAATTCTAGCAAGGTACGAAATTTTTAACTCAGCTTTTTTTATGTGGTAGTATTAATTACGAAAAGTACTTTTGGCAGTGGTGAAATGAATTCGAGTACGGTAGTTGAAAGGATCATCTCAATGTTGATGTCTTGTTATTTTTTCACAAATTTCCATATCTGAAGTGATATGAACCTCTCATCACAGTACTTCACGTGTTGACATGAAGGAACAACATTTTTTATACTGTCTACTCATAACTTTACACAGTATCTTTCTACCAAAAGTCATTCTTAATAAAGTAAGGGTGGAGGTTTCACTGTATATTTTAGTTCTTCCTTATCCTCGACAAGATAGTTTTTGAGTTTTTTTTTTCATTGATTTATCAAATAAAATAAAATAAACTATTAACTTTCCCCGTACTTTTTCGGTTCCTTTAATAAATGCTATCTTGACGTTCAAACTTGGAACAAGTTGATCCACTCATATAGGATAAAACTATTCGTGTCGTGTCGTGTCATGTCGTTCATGCCAATCTCTTAAATTAAACATATCGTATATATCCTGACGTACTATCCTCTTTAGCATCTTTTCACTTTTAAACTCTCTTTGAGCTTGTACTTTCAGCCTGCTCTCTCTTACTCTTAAAGGCGCTAAAAGAATAGCTGGCATGGCTTATATGAGATTTAGATACAAAGGTGAAGATATCTTGGATTTGATCCTTGTGTTGGTCGCTTGATTTAGATGGTATTCATATTTTATAGAGCATTTATGTGCCACTAGTTATTTATGAATCGTAGTCAGAAAAAGTAAATCTGAGAGATAGCAAGAGAATGTAAGAAACTATTAATATATTCAACATTACTTCACATGATTAGGAGATCCTAGCTTCCTAGATTAGTCTTCATTAGATAAATTGCCGACATAGAACGATATAAATGTGGTCCAAATCAATTTTTCAGTTCAAATGGTTGTGGGTATTTCGGGACTGTTTCCCAGGCCACACAATTAACTAATTTGCCATGGGGACAACTTGACAGAAGGTTGACAGGTGTGCAGACAATCACCTGCAACCACACAATGACCCTTTTCATGGTAGGCCCCTGTTGCTCTTGGACATCTCTGAAATCTGTCACTGCCATGATTCTAATCTATAACAACTGCAAGGAACGTTGGTGTACACGCTTTGGTAAGTCGGTCATGCATGCAATACTAAACAGAGTAACACCATAATGTTACGGTTTGGAGATATTTGGTTTTTCTCAGACTCTGATTATACATAAAATGAAAGGAGTTGAAGAACTTTGTGGTACAGACAGTTACCCTAAGGGCTTGTGTCTTCACTTTGACCTATGAACATCTTCTAAGCCTTCTGCCTTGTCTGAACTCATTCTACCCTTAACTAAACAGCTACTGATTTTAACTTTTCCAGCTATGAGTAAATTATGTGATGCTGAGGGTTGGTTCGTGTTCATCTTTTGATTGATGCTACATTTCGGTTTTAAAAAGAGCATTGCAAACATGAAAATATTGAAAATTTCAAATGGTTTCGAGTCCTACTGAATCAAGTTTCACGGCTAAACTGCAAAACCCTCACATTTGTGTTCACAAGCACCTCAACTTCATTTTTTGCCCCATATGATATTATAGAACTGCAAGTTAAAACAGATTTCCAATAAACATAGTTAGCAGGGTATGCTTTGCATGTTTGGCAGTTTCAGAGAATGACCCTTTCTCGAGGAAATTTCTCGATATTTTACAAAGTAAAAATTCAAAACTATAGAGATTTTGTTGTTTTATACGTCTAAGTTAATGATAAATTAATTTTATTTCATTACAGACTGATAAAGCTTCAATGTTAGACGAAGTTATTGAATATCTGAAACATCTACAAGCACAAGTTCAAATGATGAGTAGGATGAACTTGCCACCAATGATGTTGCCGATGACAATGCAACAGCAACTCCAAATGTCAATGATGGGGATGATGGGAATGGGAATGGGAATGGGGATGGGGATGGGGATGGGCATGGGCATGGGCATGGGTGTCATGGACATGAACACCATTGGCCGGCCTAACATCAACGGTATCTCTGCAGTTCTGCCTAATCCTTTCATGACTATGACTTCTTGGGATGGCTCTGGCGACCGGTTACAAGCTGCCTCAGCAGCTCTAATGCCAGACCCTCTTTCCACATTCCTGGCTTGCCAATCACAGGTAGCATTTGTTTTCTATCGTGTTAAAAATATCTTGCCGCTATAGTAATTGATTGACGGTTCCACTTAGGCTCTAGCAGGTTGATCTCAATGTTGAACTACTGGATTAATAAGTTTTGCAGTGTATCAATCAGGTCATTAACTAATAACTAGTCAAATCATATTAAATTCAGTTACTTATCAGTGGTTACTATGTCTCATTAAGGACAAAAAGTGGCAACCTTCAGTTTCTCATCAACCAGCTGGCATATGATAGGGATATACTATATTTACATTTGAAATTTTGCTTATTAGGATGAATCATCAAATAATCTAGGTGGATGTAAGATATCAATATAGGCTGTTTGATTAATAACAAACTTGTTGCAGCCGATGACTATGGATGTGTACAGCCGAATAGCCGCCTTGTATCAGCAGATGCAACAACCACCAGCTTCTAGTTCGAAGAGCTAAGCTAAGTTTTTATATTCAAAAACATGAACTTGGGTTTTAATTCTTGCACTTTCACAGGTTTTGGTACGATCTAGTTCATGTAATTATTTATTTCTTAATTACAAGCATGTGGTGTGGGTGGTGAGTTTGTTGCAAATCATTCTCTTTGAATTTGTAATATATATCGTGGCTCCAATGAGCGAAGATCTCCGAATCTTCCCCTTTCTTCGATCTTGTATTTAGTGTAAAATTTCATCTGTCAAAGTATCAATCAACTAATCTAAAGTCAAACCTTCAGATGTTTTTTTGCGCATTGATTGTGAAAAGTGATCTAATGCTTCATCCTTTGAGAAGATACAGCATTTGCTTAATTGGAGCTCGCGTTTGTGAGCTAAATGACGGATCAATTGAGTATAAATTTGTTGTTTTTGTTTTCAGATTTGGATATCTTTTATAAAAAATTAAGTCTGCAAATCAAAATTAAATCTGTTTCAAATAGGGCATTGCCGTCGTAGATGCCATTAGTGGTAGAAACCCAAACTTGATCATCGGCTTGTCTACCTATACTGTAATTTAATGGTGGATTCCATAATCAATATCTGAATTGTTGTCAATTCCAATGCCTTGGGGAGTCAGCAAACGTGTAATGTTCATAAAAGATGAACATTTAAATGATTGGATGCTCGTCTGTCAACTTGCAATTAGGAATCACCACACGTTTGTTCTAATGGGTTCCACACAAATTATCATTTTGCCACATTATGAATGACTTTGGACTTTTGGACAAAATCATGAGAAATGCCAATTTTAAAGCCGACAGTAGAAATATTTTCTTTTTTTTTTTCCTTTGATTTTGCTTTTCACATTTTCCCTTTATTTTGGAGTCCATGATCAGACTTCCTAGTGCACCAAATCCTCACAAAAGTTATCCGGACTGCTGCAAGCTTTTTCTGCTGGAATCATTATACTTAAACTCAATTGGTTCGACTTCATTTCTTTGAGCCTGTCAATTGGTTCAAACCATAACTACATGCAAGAAGAACATTAAAATAATTAAAAATTAATTTGAGACTGTAGTATTTAATTTGATATAAGAATTAATATGACGTTTGGATTTTGTTCATCTATATATGCAAGATAAAATAAGCTAGCTCTGAGATACATCTTCTCTTTTTACGCAATGATTACATGATCCAAACTTCAGTTTGCATTTGGTTTATTGATATATAATTTTCTACTCAAAGATTAAAGTTTTAATCTTTCTTTTTCAAATTTTTTTTAAAAAAGAAGAATTACATAAAGATTCAACTTTAAAATAAACAATATATATTTACGAACCTTAAAGAATTTCTTTAACAATGATAAATCACCAAGAGAATTAATTAACAATATATATGGTAGATGATTAATAATGGGATCTCTTGTTTTTATTTAATTTGTCCTTTCTTGCAAAAAAAAAAAAAAATTATGCTCGTTTTCAACAAGGGACCCTTCGCATTTAGCTGTTGTGATAGACAGCAGCATCCACATCGTATTTAAAAGATAGATAAGAGTTGTGTATGATTGGAAAATGAAACGCTTGGACAATGAGATCACCACATGCTTTTGTGTTGAAAATCTTAACCCTCTTTCCCACCTAAAATAAATTATTCTTGAATTTATCACTCATCATATCATACTCTTTGTTTATTTCTTGCCCTATTTTAGAAGATTAATGTTGCGAGTGGACAATTAAATTCCCAAAAAAATTGTTACATTTTTTTTTTTAATTTCGTCGCATCAAAACTATTTTTTACGTATTATTGAGGTTTTTTTTTTTTTATATGAGTTCCAATTAAAATTTATGAAATAGGAGAAAATTATTTATAATCTAATATTTTTATCTCATAGAAAAATTTTACTATTTTTTTTTTATAAAGAAAGTCACAATTTAAGGAAAAAGGTTTTAAGTATTGAAGTTTAAAGTTTAAATTTATTTGATAGCATATACTAAAAATGATTAAATGAAATAATCAGTGTTAAAAAAATTTTATTATTTTTTTTGGATGGTTATGACATGAAAAGCTTATTGGGCCTCATAGAGGATGGCAGAAGGAGAAAAGTGAGTTGGGTCAACCTGAAGGTAAGAAACCAGATGCTAGGCCTTGAATAGAAAGATTCTATATCATCCTTGAGTGACTTAAATCCTTTTCCCACGAAAAGGAAAAAGAAAAAGGTCCAAAAAGTGATATAGATGTAATGGAAGGAAGAATCGTATCCTTCATGAAATCTTAGCATCTTGAAACTTGAAAGCAAAAGAACATGATTTCTCCATATGAATCATTTTTTGCCTTTTTTCCCCACTTAGAGAATGTTACAACTTTGCTTCGAATGCACAAATTTGCGCTAATTCCAAACTGGTTCCATTCTCATTGCTTTTCTAGCATTCATGGTGGCTAAGAAATATTACTACAAAATAAATAATAATAATTTGATTTTTTGATATGATGTTGAATTTTTAATTATAGTAATAAGAATTTAATCTATGATAATTTTAAATATAAAAAATAAATTTCTTAATGATCTTTTTGAATACGTCTTTAATGCAAAAAATTATCACACGTCAAAAATGTTTCAACTTTTTGTATGGTAAACAGGCCTTGTAAAATTCAAGTACTGGACCCAACCATGAAGCATTGAAAGCATGTAAATGTCAGGGGATGCCGTTGGACCATTTTTTAACTGATGAACCCAACAGAGTTGGTCATTATTAAAAGGGCTTGTTGAGAAGGGTTTTGCATGGCTATTGTTCCTTATTTCATCCAAAAGAAATCTCGTGGGTTGGAAGAATGTATCCTACGTGACATATGGATCATGTTCATTTTTGTTACACAATCACTGACATCAGGTCTTGCAGACCGAGACTTGATCCTGGGCCTTGATCCTCCATTTGCTGTGAACATATGATCCTGGCAAGATGTTTCTTGTTTTGCAAAAAAAGCCCAAATTCTCCGTATATATTTTTTCTAATTTGAATAGAGGCTAAAGTTGGCTCAAATCTTTGTGGCCTAATGGGTATGTCTGGCCTAGAAAACTAAATTCTCTCAGCCAGACTAGGGTAATTTTTTTTTAGACAAAAAAATCGTAGCTTAAAGATGGAAAAAATAGTTATATATATATATATATTAAGATTTAAATTTTAAATTTATTAAATATTATTATTTTTTAAATAATCATATAAATCAATTTAGATAAACTTCTTAACAAATTTCATTTATGGTTTCACCCTCAAATCTGAGTTCCCTTGCCAGATCTTAAAGTAAGTGCCTTTGAGCTTTGATTTGTGCATTTCCAATCAAGCAAATGAGATTTGAGCTACTCTACTTTTTCCCTTGTCCATCACTGAGAAAGATCAATGAAGACAACTTTGTGGCCAAACCAACGATCGAAAAGATTCTGGTAGTCCAAATCATTTTCAATCAGGACATCATTTCACCGAAACCTGTGGATCACATTGAGAAATGGAAATATATTTCCAAACATATTCTGGCCCAGATAAGATTTTCTAGCCAGAATTTTGGTAGTTTCAGCAAGGTACATCTTGGGCCTATTTCAACTGTTTGGGTTAATAATGGCATGAATCAGTGAAGTGTCGGTTCCAACTTCAAGCATATAAATTCATAATTTCATTGAGATAAATACATCTTTCTTCAATAATAACAAAAAGAAAAAAAAAAAGGGTAAATGAGCGTCCAGGGGTTAATTTGATAGTAGTTAGATATTTATAGTTAGCCTCAAATTTTGGTTAGATATTTTCTCTGGTGGACCAATATTAGCATACCAGATATTGCTTCTTATATTAGGAAAGAAAATATTATATGCCCATGTGATTTTTTTTTCTCACAAACTTTTTTATTTAATAAAAGATCTTCTAATTTTTTAATTTTTTAAAAATTTTATCCTAAAATAATTATATATACATTTATGTATATATTTTTTATGTGTACGTCCGGTTAAAAATGATACGGTTCTCGACTTTTTACCCACATTGCAAGACTGGATAATCATGCGACTTCCAAATAAGATAACAATATGCAATGTTCGATTTACAGCGCATAGGGATATCATTTGATATTAACTTTAATCATTTTGTTTCTTTACTTTATTTTTTTCTACTCGATGATGAGAATCTAATCGATGGTGATTAATCATAATCATCATTTTAAGTTTCGGCCACTGGCCTAATTACAAAATGTACTTTTTTTTTCTTTATTATATTATTTATATATGTATTATTATTAAAATATTTGAATGAATTTGATATCATGAATCAAACGATATCAAATGATATAAATTCAGTAAAAATTATAAATAAATAAAAAATAAAATAATAACTACAATTTCAAATAAGGTATAAATTTTTTGTTTTACATGTATTAAAAAAAAAAAACTACCTGACTTATCACAAATTAATGAAAAATATGACCAACTAATAACATAACTTCTTTGATAAAATCTAGCCACTCATCTCATAATTTCCTCTTCCTCTTTTAAAGTATAATTCCTATATATATATATATATATTTATATTTCTTTCTTCTTCACCATTTTCTTTTCACCAGAGTGTGCCAATGTCTAGTAATAATTGGTACTACTAATAAATAAGAAATTTTGGCATATATATTAGGACTTCCTTATCAACTAACTATCAATATCATCATTTTGATGTACATCTCAAATAATGCTTCATATTTTCGTTATCTTCATGGTAAGGAACCCTAATACATCAAGATAAAGTCGAATATAGTGTCGGTGTGCTTCAAATAACATGCAAGATATGAAGAAAACTAGAGGGAAAAAGGAAAACCCAAGACTGAGATTCTAATCTCAGCTGCTCCGCAAGAAGAGGCATGATCTAGTAAATAATTGCCGGCTTCATGACTGCAAATATCAACCAAACAAAAAATTGCACGTGGTACAACTAGAAGTAGAAATCCAAGATTTGATGACTTGGAAGAGTCAAATAGCTACTGCACGTGGAACCGAGAACCAGTCCACTTGGACCTGAGTCGTTTTGGATTTTCACAGGACACGAATCTTAAGGCCAGTACAAGTACATCTACATAACTATAAATGCCGTCCAGTTTTGTGGGTCCAAGCCTGACCAGGGAAGCGACTCTGGTCTTTTCTTTCATGCCCATCTTTGCCCTTCTTCAACCCACTGTCGGCGAGCCCAAGGGATGGTTAGATATACAGAGCATTGGGTGATTTTTATAATGTTGAAAGCTTAGCTGGTTTGTCTGTTGTCTGTAGTCTGTACCGTGGGTTTGCGAGGAGGAAACATTCAAATCTTTAAGAAAATGATACTATTATTACCTTGGCTTCCACCCACCTTCCAAATGGCCCAAACCAATGTCGTTTCTCTCTTTATTTATTCACTTTCACAGCTAATTTATCTGAAACCCGTCCTATTCTTCTACATCTTTCTATAAATCCTCATTAAACCTCACATTTTTTTCAATACCCCACAGCCAAGGTCCCCCCTTCATTTTCTTTCTTCAGATTTCACGCTTATTAGCAGTATCTTTCTGCAAATCCTTTTCAAAACTTTTTCATTTTCTTTAGCCTCAATCACATTCCTCTGTGACCACATACAGAGAAACGTTTTTTAACTCTCAAAAATGGCCGCATCTTCTCTTACCATCTCCCCAAGAAAGCTTCGATCCGATCTGTACTCTTATTCCTATCAGAATGATGCAAACACCCCACTGGTGATCTCAGTTCTTGCTTCTCTTATTGAGAGAACAATGACAAGAAATGAAAGGATTGCCAAGAACTGTAAATGGGCATTGACAAAAGATTTCAGAAGCAGAGTTTTTGATTGCCATGAGACACCAGACATGACAATTCAATCCTACCTAGAGAGAATCTTCCGATACACCAAAGCCGGACCATCAGTTTATGTTGTTGCATATGTATATATTGATCGGTTTTGTCAGGCAAATCCTGGGTTTCGGATTAGTGCAAGAAATGTACATAGGCTTCTCATTACTACTATCATGGTGGCTTCCAAGTATGTTGAAGACATGTGAGTATTGTTTCTCCTCTTTTAACTTTTCCTTTTTACATTTTGATGTTTTCACTTGAAATTATATATATATATATATATATATGTACAATATTCTAATAGTATTGTTGGTGTTTTCTCTTAAGCAGGAATTACAGAAATTCGTACTTTGCAAGAGTGGGAGGATTGAAAACAAACGAATTGAATAACTTGGAGCTTGAATTTTTATTCTTGATGGGTTTCAAATTGCATGTAAATGTGTGTGTTTTCGAGAGCTATTGCTGCCACTTGGAGAGGGAAGTGAGCATTGGAGGAGGATACCACATTGAGAGAACTCTAAGATGTGCTGAAGAAATCAAATCAAGACAAATTGAAGAAAGAAGATACAACCAGATTGCTCGCATTATGTTGTAATTACATCGTTGAGGGAATTTTCATTCTTCCTGTTTTGGTTTTGCAATGGGTTGTATAATTTATACTATAGTTTCTTGTGTACAGATTAATGTAAAATTTGTGATGGTTTTGGTTGAAATTAGGGCCAATACAGAGGAGTGATGTATAACTATGGTATGGTTTTCAACTAATGCAATAATAGTAGTATTTACATTTCTTAATTCCATTCCCATGGGTTTCCTTTTGCTTACAAATTTGCAACCAAACAAAGCTTCGATGCGCCATTGGCAAGATAGTGAAATTTTGGGAACCGGCTGAAACTTGAAAATTTAAAGCTGAATGCGCAATTCTTGGGATTTAATTAAGCAGATTCGATTTGGTAAAGATCACAATTTGGTTTGAAATTTTAAATTCCTCATATACAACCAATTTCTTCGAGCCCTTCACTCTCTAGTCTGTCAATATTCTTCACTGCTGATTAGGCAATAATATTAAAATCCCATTTGATTTTGAAAGGAAATAAATAAATCTGTGGATTTGTGTATTTTTTAGTGTCTGTTTTGTATAAATACACAAAAATTATTGTCACTTGTTATGTTGATATACTAAATATAAAACTTATTTTTTTGTTTTAGTCAAATTTCCTATTCAATTTTTGTTAAAATTTCAAAAACTATTTCTTAAGTATATTTTTGCATCATTTTTATGTTATATCATTATATTATATTTAAAATTATCCGATTTATAAATAAATTTGATAAAAATAGACGGATGAGATAATAGACTTGTAGAGTACGCAAAAATTAACATGTATTTAATATTGTTAAGACAAATTAATTTAAATTGATTCCAAAATTATGAGATATAAAATTTAATTTGTTGTTTTTATTATTATAAGGTGGGCAAATTAAACTATCCTTTGACTATGCAGCCTCCTTTTAATGGTAAACTTTTTTTTGTTTGAGATATTCTCTCAATGGTACAGTAACCAAATGAATTCTAAGTAGAAAATGACTTGTGTTCAGAAAAGTGCATCCATTAATGTAATAAAATCCAGTTAGTTGGAACTTGGAACTTGGGTGTAGAATTGGGAAGAACATTAATTTTATCTAACAAAGTTATTCTCTATATTTGAAGCAAAAGGGAAGGCCTCCATCACATAAAACTACATCGGACCACTTTTAAGTTTTAATTAATACTAATTACTACAACAAATCTTATTTAAAATTATCAAACAAAACCATGTCTCCCCTTTCTTTTTTTTTCCCTAGTTAAGCATGTAAAGTGGAGGAAGATTAATACTATTAAATATTTGTCAATATTTTTGGTTTTAAGGGAGGTAGAGTCTTACAACAAGGGAAAGAGCCCCAGTCTTAATGTTTTCTTTAAGGTTTTCTTGACCATTAAATCATTTGACAAATACTATTTAATATTTGCCAATATTAAACTATATGAAACGCAATAAAGGCATTTGCATCAAAGTTTTGATTATAATGTATTACCAACGGAAGACAACTTCTGGCAGAGGAAAGAGGAAAGAAGGAGGATTCTTCTTTATACTAAAAGAAAAGAAAAGGTGAAATTTGAGAAATGATTAATTGGTCTAAGTAAACATTACTTTATTTGATTTAGCTTTGGTGTCTTTAACATGTTTTGCCATGGCTAAATCGGAATCTAAATTTGTTTTGGATACATGCCTGATGCTATGTTCATATTCCCAAATAAGTCGAAACGTTTGATTCTTTAAAAGATGTGGCCAAGCCACCCACCGACGAGTTATGTGGCCAATTATACATAATTTGTTGGGCAATTACAATGCAAGGCTGCAAGCATACCCCTAAAAAATAATTTTATTTAGGGTTCTGATTGAAGAATTCGTTGAAAGTTTAATCATAAAATATAATTTTTATGAGATGAAAGCCTTTCAATTGGACTTTTAAATAGACTTTTTATTTACAATTAAATGTAAAAGGGTCAATTGATAGGCTTGTCACTAAAATTCTTGATTGAAATTTGCAAATATATGTAGCTAGCTAGACAACAATGGAGAAAGGAAATCAAGACTATAGCTTATGAAAAACAAAAGGGTATCTCCTAATTGAGAAGAGAAGCTCAGCGATTAAATAACTTATGTATAGTCCTAAGTTTTTATCAAAAGATTTTCTTTTGTAAGCAAATTAAGGCTAAAAGTTTATTCTTTTCTATGCTTCAACATTATAAGTTATAGATCTGTTTACACATAAAGAAGTGGGAGTCGAATTAACTCAAGTTGCTCAAGTGGGCTAGTGAGCTAAATAATGCATACCAAAGGAAATGCTTTTCAATTAATCATCAATATGCTGCAGTTGGTGAAAAGAGTTAGTCCTGTAATGATCATGTGGTTCGATGGTAGGGTAGCCCTAAAACAAATTAAAGTCGTGGAATGGGAATGGGAAATGAGATAATATACAAAATGCAGTGAATAAAAACAGTAGGGAATGGGAAAGGAGATAGAAAGAGGGTGGAATCTTGGGTTTGTTGAAAACGACAATTAAATGAGTTAAGAGTAAGACGGCAATGTCTCTATATAGTTTGGTGTGTTATCATTCTTTACGACCACTTTGTAAAGGGCACAGCATAAATTTTCCACTCTTTGCCTACTACTTTATTTCTTACAACTAAGGCTGTCACAACGTCTAAAAAAGATACAAAAGGCTGTCCCCTATCGACCCACTCATTATCTAGTAAATTATTAATCCCTGTGATTAATAATTCATCAGCTAAGTCAGCTCTTTTTCTTACCAGAAATCTTTCCCCTTAGTTTGCTCCTCTTGGGCAGGGAAGGTCAAAATACCCGAATTCGTCGGGTTTCGACTCGACCCGACAATTTAAGGTCGGTTTTTTTTTTTTTTTTGAAAATCGGGTATCGGATCGAAGTCGGATAAGGTAAAAAATTTTCGGGTTCGGGTCGGATTCATGTTTTAGGCAAATCCGACCCGATATATAAAAAATTTTTTATTTTTTAAATTTTATATTTAATTATATATATTTATATATATAATTTTATATTTATATTTAAAATAATATTTTATTAATTTCGGGTCGGACCGAATTTAATTTTATACAAATATCGGGTCGGATCGAGTTCGAGTATTAAAAATAAAAAAATTATCGGGTCGGGTACGAGTTCGGATATTATTTATTTAAAATCGAATCGGGTTCGGAACGAGCAAAAACCCGACCCGTTGCCATCACTACTCCTGGGCACACCCTTAGATGCACCCATTGATTTTTATTTTCTCCCAAGCTCAATTCCAAACTCCACATCTCTGCCATGGATTGTGAGTTGATCCTTATTTCCCATCCAATCAAAGTTATAGTGATTCTTTTTTTGTTCGTGACATCTCTATGTATTAAACGTCTTCATTATAGCATAATGCACGCATGAAACTTTGGTCATAGTATAATATATAATATTTAATATTTAATTCCATCATACAATCACATTGTTGAGCTTTTTGTATGGTCATCCTGCCAAGAACTTTCAGATTTGACATGATAAATCAGTTATTGATATTGCTATATTAACCGATTTAAGGGAATAAAGATCGATGATGGAAGCATCATCAATCATCAAAGGATTTATTTATGCAAATTGCAATAGGTTAAATGAACTTGTGGCTTATTTTAGATCCAAATATTGTGTTGCCATGTCCATTAGCAGGCACCTAACATTCAGTCTTCAGACTTAAATAATTTCATTACATTCATTATGATTGAATAAAGAAATTAAAAAATACGATACGGCTGCTAATTTTATGTCCGGAGAGACTTTCATGCGAGGAGCCTAACATGTCATGTAGAAATGAAAACTTTGAAAGGATCAGTTGTCGCATTTTGGCAGTTCTTATTATAGCACCGAGCATGCAATTGACTTTTTTTTTTCCCCTTTTCTTTTCTTTTCCTGGTTCATTTCCAGATATACGTAGATTTATGATATGATAGGAGTTAAGTTTATATTGTGCTGAAAAATAAAATAAATAAAAAAAGAGTTGAACTTTAAGTATGCATAAGCAGTTCGATTTTGACGTGAATTGGTTTATATCTTGGGCCATAGCCTGGCAAAAGTATAACTATAAAAGACTGAAGCCCTTTGCTTAAAACACTAGGGGGAAAGGCCCAAAGGAACGCTGGATTTTCAGCCTCTAAACTAGTTTCTATTAGGGCTTAGGAGTCGGCACCATTTCTTTCAGTTTTAGGCAATCTGCAAACCCAAGAGTGATTAATGAAGCGTTGGAGGCTGTTATTGGGCTCCGGTGTCTTACGTTATAGCCCTTAATATATAGGAATTATTAGGAGCCTATTAGAAGAACGTTAAGAGATGTGTTTGTCATTCAATGGAGGGTCCTTGCTGAAATAAATTGCACTACCCTAAAATCAATGAGAGTCAGTTTTTTCCCATAAATTAACCTTTTCTTTTATAACAAAATATTACTCCTTCTGTCTCTGTTTGTTTATCTTTTATAGAATTAAATTTTTTTTTTATAAAATAGATGTTTCATAGTTTTTAAGTATAAAAAATAAAACAAATCATGAAAAATAATTGTAAATATAAAAAATAAGAATTTTAAGTGTTAGAAAAGGAAAGATACATTTCTTCTAATTGGAGACAAGTTTTTCTCCATTTTAGTCTTTTCTTAGATTCAACAGTTTTTATGATTTATATATGTCTAATCCATTTCATCAAGGTACGTTTTTCAACATCAAATGACGAGAACGTGTCATGTTTTTCTAATTAATCTAAAGACAGTAACACTTTCATGTGCAATTCTTCAATAATTTAAAACTTGTTCAAATCTACTTTAGAAAATCAGGTAATCCAAATGCGAAAAAAGGTTATATGTATTGATATGAATAGATCCAGTATTGACCCACGATCAGAGAGAGAGAAAGATAAACTACCCGAATATCTGCCTTCATTGTCTAATATGAAATGTATTGCATTAATTACTAAATCAATTTTGGAAAAGTTAATATAATTAGATCTGTTGGGTCAAATTCGATTATTATTTTAAAATTGTTTTTTTTAATAATGAAATATTTCAGACTGAATCCAACCTTAAAAAAAATTTGTCCAAAACCTAACTCAATCGTGCTGCTCAACTCTCGGATAAATTAGGAACAACAATAGGGTATTTCTATTCTAATTATGGTGATTATTTCGTGATAGAAATCTATCTTCTTATGAGCTGCTGATTCAACATTAAATGCTTATGTATAATGCAAAATTTTCATGTGGGATATTTCTGAGCAACTTTCTGTTTCACCAACTGAAAACTCGTCGGAAATAACGAATATGTATCGGTGATCCTATAAAAAAAAAATCGTCTATTTTAGGTCTGATTTTCTATGGTATATTTCGAGATCCATTTTGGTTCACCTAGACCCAAATTGACGTGTAGCCTGTGGGGTGGATTTCTTCCTGTTGCAAGCATGTCTCTTCACTCTTCACTCTTCACTATGAAAACGATGGCCATGTGCATCGTCTCAGTCACCTTGCTCGGAATTAAGGACTCACTCTTCCCCTTTGATGGAGATTGCCATGTGAGCTGCCTCAGCTACAAATTATATTTAAAATCCCTTAATTGGTCAAAATTTATTTTACAAAACCTTGAAAAAAAGTCTAAAATTTGTCATAGGGAAGAAAGTAACAAAGTTCATTCCAGCTACGTAGATACATTTCATCGAGATATCAATCTTACAATTTCCACATAAAACAAAGCGTTGGATCACAATCATCCAATCTCATCATTCTTATTATTTAAAAAAAAAAAAGATTTGAAATTACATACAGTTGCCCAAATCCCTGCCAAATATTACGTGCCGTAGTTTCTGAATGAAGGGGCCGTCGTCGGGCTTTTGGACCGTTGGATGGGGATATTCAACGGCAAATAACCGTCATTAACGGCAAAATTAACGAACATGTGTTTTGTCTTTCTTTTAAAATCTTAAATGTAAAGCCGCAAATCTTGTACGGGGCTTAACTCTACCATTAAGCGTATCCCCTTGAATTGGGGGTGGCCAGGCCCCTTTCACGTACGTAGATGAGACGATGAGAAACATAAAGATAATGTGGGGCCGATGTTAACCGTCATAGTGGGGCCCACATGTTGAGACATAACCGCTTCATGGTAGATTGCAAATTTGATGCTCAAAGAGGTTAATAATAGTATTTGTTTCGTTTGGACTTTAAAGTTCACTTTCAAAGAAAGAGACAAAGAGAGCAAATCAGAATGCGTTTTTTCGCCCGGCAACCAAGCCTGGAAACAAGCAATCTTACTGACGAAGCCATGTCAGAGTATGTTATATATACATATATATATGTTTATATGTACATGCTGATGCATGCTTTCGTAAGTAAAATAATGGATTGATTATTAGTCATATATATATATATATACATATATAGGATTTTTTTATAATATCACCGTTAACGCTAATAATTAAATTTTGATTGGACAAATTTGGACAAATTCCTTTTTCCATGTATGGATTATTATGGAGTATTGTGATTGAAATTATTAGGCCATGGAAGGTTTTTGGTTGATTGTAAATGAATTTGATTTTGGTTCAATCTAATTAGTAATTTTATTTTTCGAGAAACATTCAGATTTGAGGATTCGATGTCAAATTTGGCCAGGACAAGAGACAGTTGATTTTTTTCGTTGGCTTTTCTGTTGGTCCTTCTGTTTTTATTTTGTTTTCTGAGTTTTGGCCTTGTTCTCTATTATTGTGTGTTTTATGGATCTGAAATTGTTGTTTGCCTATCTCTCTGGTGCTTTGGGTTACTATTTGGCATTTTGTTCTGTTGTGCCAGCTTAATTTGTGACTCTTATCTTATTCAACCAAACAAAAATATTTATTATTTGATTTTGGCTAGATGTGAGAAAAAAGAATGTTTGATCTCAAATTCTCAATTAATTGCTTGAAAGATCAAAGAAGTAGAACCACCATATTCAATTTAATTATGCACTTAAATTACTTTAAAATATTACTTAATTAATATGGTCCATTACCTTCCCTGTCATAAAAAATTTTCATTTAATTAAAAAGCCAAGTTAGAAAGATTCATACTCCCCACACCAATAAAATTGTCACATTTTAATTATTTCTAAATATATGTATTTTAGAATTTAACTAATTAAAAATATTTCCAATAAGAAAGACCAAATTTTGATACAAAAAATCATCCGTGACAATTTAATTGAAATTATTTAACTAAAAATAAGAACAGGAAGTCAAATATATAAATTTATATATGTATTGCTTTTGGTATAAAGAGATGCTATAAAACTATAGACTTATGAATGAAAATTCTTCTTATCATAGTCTGGTAAAGTAGTATAGGTTATACTTATTTCGTATCTCAAGGATTCCATTGATTTGCTCCTGAATAAAATAATGCCTAAATCCTCCTATTACATACACGTGTCCTCTACTAACTGGTTGCATTAGAAACCATGCACTGGGCTTTGCTCGATAAATACCAAGTCATTCATCTGCTAAACCCATCTCAGCAAAGCCTTAAACCTTAAACTGCATTTATAGATAGCTTTGCTTCCTCTACTCACTTTCTTACTCTCTTTGATTAAGGTCTTCATGGCTTCCAGTACTCTTCAAAACATGTTCTCTAATTTTCTCATTTTTGCTGCCACATTTTCTCTCCTAGTCAACTACTGCTTCTGCTTCTACCCGAAGCTCCTTAATGCCTCATTGGCTGCATCTGGGTCTGATTGGTCCCCAGCAGGAGCGACGTGGTATGGCAGCCCCACAGGGGCTGGAAGTGATGGTACTGATCAGCATGGAGGATGACTGAGACTATTTACACAAACTTTTTTTTTTTTATGACAGAGTTGATTAATTATTTCTTGAAATTTTCTTAACATTTTTGTGCATCTAGGTGGAGCTTGTGGATATGGAAGTACCGTGGAGCAAGCCCCATTTTCGGCATTGGTATCGGCCGGAGGTCCTTCTCTTTTCAAATCTGGCAAAGGATGTGGAGCCTGTTATGAGGTGCCATACAATTTTCATATTTCCATAAATATGTATACTACTGCAAGCTAGCTTGTAGCCTTTTAGGAAGTTAATATATATCAAAAAATGCTTATACTCTCTATAAAAGTTAACTAATCAAGGCTGTTACAGCAAGACGAGTAAGTTTTCTGGTCACAGTTCCCGTATATCTTAATCTTCCTTAATTATATGCCAGATTACTTTTTGCCATTCTTGCATGCAAAGGTTTTCAATGTTGTCTAACATTTGTAAATGCATGGTTGAATTTCAGGTAAAATGCACGACTAATTCGGCCTGCTCTGGAAACCCTGTTACCGTAGTAATCACTGATGAATGTCCTGAATGTGTTTCGGAGTCCGTTCATTTTGATTTAAGTGGTACTGCTTTTGGTGCCATGGCAAATTCTGGCCACGCTGACCAACTCCGTAATGCTGGAGTCTTGAAGATTCAATATAGAAAGTAAGAGTTGACATTTCTATGCGTACAGGGTGTGTTGTTGGGACTAATTGGGAGAGATTAGAAAGAAAGAATGATCATAGCATGACATAATTTTTACAAATTTTGTTATGAAGAATTTAATCCTCACCCTACGTTTATTAATGGAAAAAGTGAAGGAGAAAAGTCTTTCTGTCTCCCTGAATTGCTTATTAATTGGAGAGGATATATTCTTGGGAATTGACTTTTGTTAAACGGGATTAGTCTTTTTTTTTGGTTATTAATTACCTGGCTACTTTATTATTATTCAAGTAATTTAAAATCTTTATATCGCTATCTAATTCTCAACATTTTCTAATCATTCTGTTTATTGACGAAAATATGGCTTGCAGAGTTGAATGCAACTATCCTGGAACGACCGTTGCATTTCACGTTGATTCTGGCTCTAATCCAAACTATTTCGCCACCCTTATTGAATATGAAAATGGAGATGGTGACCTTGCTTCGGTTGACCTTAAACAGGCGCTAGACACTGCCTCCTGGCAACCTATGCAACAATCTTGGGGTGCAGTCTGGAAACTTGACGCTGGCTCTACGTTGCGGGCTCCGTTCTCTATCAGGCTAACATCACTCGACTCTGGCAACACCCTTGTGGCAGCTGGTGTCATTCCTGCTGGTTGGGAGCCCGGAAAAACCTATAGATCAGTTGTTAATTTTAATGGCTAAGCCCCTAAACATAACTATATTGGCACAAATTAGTATGCGTATGCTTGTATAACAAGTTTAATACGTACACCTACCACATGATATTCTTCCATGTCTTAATTGCCTGATTACATATGTTTATGGGAGAATTATTATTAATAAAATATAGTTTATAGCCTTTTCAAATAGTCTTAGGTTTTTTTTTTTAATAATTAAAGTTATAAATATTTACATTTTAATTATTAGAATTAAAAATCTAACACTCTATAGAATAAAACAAAAGCATCCTATCTTTTTATATATATATATATATATATGGTGAGATAAAGGCCTGTAGAGAGATTAAATATATACTTTATTATTTATTTAATTATACATATTATATTAATAAAATTATTATTTAATATATTAATTTAATTAAATATTATATTTATATATAATTAATATATAATTTACATTGAAAAATTATATTTTATAAATATTATATTATTGAATTAATTTTTAGTTAAGTCAAACAAAATACAAGTTATATATAGATATTTATATATCAAGTTGGGGTTCAATATAAAATATAATAATATGATATCAAGTCAGAATAGACGAATATCAACTCATCCTTACTCAATCCATTATTATTCTTAAGTATAGGTATTCATATAACATTTTCATTTGAATTTTTTTTTCCTTTTTGTTTGGGCATTTCTTTTTTTTTTAATTATCTATTTTAATATTTTAATTATATTTAGAAAAATAAATTTAAAAAATAAATTTATATTTGATTTGTTATACAAATTATAAGAATAAAATATATTATCCATAAATTAGTTTATAAAATTTACTAATTATTATTTTTATTCAAAAATTATAAACAAAAATATACATTAATTTATTAAATTTAATATTATTAATTACAAATAAAAAAAAATACCAGGAGGAAAACATGGACGGCCATGTTGCTGGTGTCACTTAATAACAATGGATTCTCATAAATGCCAGGCGGCAGTAACTAAAGCCAAACAAGTCCTGAAATCTTTCACGCACTCATAGTTTTCTTTAACGACGCGCCGGTGAAGTTGATTAACGGACTTTCCATTCAAAATCAAAATCCCCTCCGCATACCAGAGACCGCTGCCATTTTTTCTTAACGGCTTTTCTAAGATCTGGAATGCGTTTTTTGTTATTTTTTAATATACAAACTAATTTTTATATTAAATGTGCATTCTGGTTGCTGTAAGCCGTCAAACGACTGGGGTTAGACAACATTTTGGTTGTATATAAAAATCCTGATTGCCAATCGTGCAAGGCTGGGGTAGACAACATTCAAGAGTTCCTGGAAGAAGGTTGCCTGATCTTGCTCGTCACTATATATTCCTTTGGCTGCTGTGCTTTCAGAAACATCATGAGAGATTATCATGCTGATTACGGTCGAGGTTTGAAGCCTTGACCAGCTGCTTTTATTTATATATATATATATATATATATATATATATATATTTGTTGCTGTCTGCTTCATTATGATCAATTATAGGGCCTCTATTGTATAGCCTTCTCGAATTTATTTTAGCCCACTCTGGGAGCATTTCTCAATTTATATTGGTCTTGTGACTGCAAATCTAATCATGATCTTGGCTTTGGACAACTCTGCCTGGCTCACCCAGATTGGCTAGCCCAACCTCTACCAACGAACATTTTGTTTTTTGCCATTACTTTGGACTTTGTGTCCAATATTATATAACTCACGCATGTACAAGTTGAGGCTTTTCCTTTTATTTTCTCTGGATTTACCGAAATAATTAGGAGAAATGTATTGCCTATTGCTATACTGTCTACTATAATTCAGCTGAACAATGAGATGCAAAATTTGTAATTAAGCAAAAATAATTGCCATTCAGCTTGTGAAATACTACAAAGCATGCCGACAGAAAATGCCAGGTTACACCTCAAAATGCCTTAAAGCCTTGGTTAATTACTGCAATTGTGCCATAATGTCTAAAAAACGAGACAGAAAACATATAAAGTACTGCTTCATTACGAGGCCAATTTAGTATATACGCTCTATCGTTTCTTAAACAATGATTAAAAAAATCAATGGCTAAAAATTGAAACCTCTAATTAAATGGTAGGTGGCTGCATGCCATGAAACTAATATATCATCAAATTTAATCAAATATATTTACATCAAAATCATCGAGGAATGGTCCCAATCATCGACGTGAATTTCTTGAGCTTAAAATGCAGTTGATGAGTAGACTGCTTACTTCAACATGGCCTGGACAAAACAAAGTACTTCTTGCTTAATCACTATCACTACTTAATTGACCAGCTAGCTAGTTGGCTTTGGGAATGCTTTGAATCAAAGCAAAAGAATGATCATTGATTGATTAGGGAGACTAAAACCACTGCCCTCTGGACACTGATGGAAGCAAAGTCATTGCTTAGCAAAGAGTACTTCACTGACTAGCTAATTCATCATTTTTGTGTACAAAAGGCTGATTATATATATGTTATTTTGAATTTCCAGCTTGGCTATGGAATTTGATTAGCACGGCTATGGATTAAGTCGTGGAGCTATATATTATACTTTTCCTTTTGTGGCAAAAAAGGTTAAATTGAATAGAAATCCATATTTAACTCACACAAAAGAAGGGTTTTGAAGATAATAATAGGTAAGCAATAAAAATGTGTGAGAATGAGATGGCATAAAAATTCTGTGGAAAAGCAGATTGAACCAACCGACAGACAAGGAGAAGCATGGGTTGGTTTTCTTGGCTTGGAATTGAAGGGATATGATATGAATAGGTATGGCAGTTAGAACCACTTTCTCTTAATCTCTTTCACTGGTCATTCATTCACTCCCTGTCTTTCTCACACAATATGCACAGACGCAAAAATAACTCACACTCAAACACACTCACTGGGTGTACGGAACTCCGTTGGTTTTTGTAATATTTGTTTGACCGGCGGCGCCACCAGCACCACCACAAAAGCCGTAGAAAAAGTCTCTTACCCTCTTCCTCTCCTACCACATGTCACCACACTCCTCAACTCTCCATTGCTTTCTTCTTTTCTAATCTATTTTTCATCCACAAAAACAAAGCCATGAGCCCATGACTCTTACTAAAAACAAGGACTAGTTCCTCTTTTCACCATACAACTCTACAACAACCTTTCACTATACAAGAACAAACAACTCAACCCTTCTGTCCCATTAATCTTCTTTCACTTCATTAAATTTCCTAGATTTCCTTTTCCTTTTTTAACTTTTTTTTTCTTTTCATTGTATGGCTTTTATTCTGGATCAACAATCAAACTTTAAACACTTTTGTAAAATTTGCAAGAAAGGGTTTGGCTGTGGGAGAGCGCTTGGTGGGCATATGAGGGCGCATGGAATTGGCGACGAGAGTGGGAACATTGGCGACGATGATCCTGCCAGTGATTGGGAAGACAAATTCGGAGGGAATGTGCCACCTAGCAACAAGCGCATGTACGCATTAAGAACAAACCCTAATCGATTAAAGAGCTGTAGGGTTTGTGAGAATTGTGGGAAGGAGTTTTTGTCATGGAAATCTTTTCTTGAGCACGGTAAATGTAGCTCTGAGGATGCTGAATCGCTTGTGTCCTCACCAGGATCAGACGGTGACGATGGCGTCACAAGGAGAGGGTGCGGTTGGTCTAAAAGGAAAAGATCATTGAGAACTAAAGTGGGAAATTTCAACTCCAATTGCCCATTAAGTGAAGAGGAAGACCTTGCCAATTGCCTTATGATGTTATCTAATGCAACCGTTGATCCTTTTGTAACCGAGCCCGAGGAGTCTTGTGCCTCCGCTAGCAAAGAAGAAGAAAGAAGAAATACAATGAATTTCATTGCTCCAATTACATGTAAGGTACCTATGGACAAGGCCAAAGGTGTAGCCAAAGGGCTGTTTGAGTGCAAAGCATGCAAGAAAGTGTTCAATTCCCATCAAGCATTGGGTGGACATAGAGCTAGCCACAAGAAGGTTAAGGGATGTTTCGCAGCCCGGCTTGATCATATGGATGATAGTCAAGCTGATGAAGACCACGATGTTATCACACACGAAGAGTTTTTTCCCACAAAATGTACGTCGACTTTGCAATTTGATCAAGGAATTACTAGTACTCCATCGGCCTCTACATCCAAAAGGAAATCAAAAGTACATGAATGTTCAATCTGTCACCGGGTTTTTTCATCAGGACAAGCATTGGGAGGGCATAAAAGATGTCATTGGATAACTTCAAATTCGCCTGACACTTCCTCTTTGGCTAAGTTTCATCAGTTTCAAGGTCACATGGAGCAGATTCAGCAAAGACCAAAGTTCAATGACAATTCTGAGCCTCTCGATCTTAAGCTTGATCTCAATCTTCCTGCTCCAGCTGATGATCTTGTACGACGGCACCTCATTAATCCAGCAAGTTTTGACGTTTCAACAGCAATTTATTTGCAGCCTTGGATAGGCATTGATGCCAAAGAAAAGGATGATAATCAACACCAACTGCAAGTTGACAACGATAACAACAATGATGTGAACAATAATTGTAATAGTTCTATGCAAAATGCGGATGGCGAAGCAGACAGTAAGGTGAAGTTAGCAAAACTAAGTGAACTAAAGGACATCAACACGAGTGGAGGTTCTTCTCCATGGCTGCAAGTTGGGATTGGTTCAACCACTAATGTTGGCTCTGACCCTTAAATTTTGTGATGCATTTCATTATGAGAACATTCTCATTCATATTTTACTTTCAAACTTTTTATTGACATTTTGTATTTATGTATTAAAATAAGAAACTGTAATTACAAATTTAATCAAACATGTTCATTAATGTTGGCAAAATTGCTTTTCAAGTGTTTACACATGCATGAATTGTGTCAACTACTTATTCTCTTTGGTCCTGTCTTTGGTACAGTGTTCAAGCTTTCTTAATTTCAACTTTGTATTTGTGTTTTTTACAAGTTGTACCAGAACAAATTCAAACTAACTATTGCCATATGTTATACTTTCAATTAATACCAGAATCTACTAATTTATTGATGAGTTCTGATGTTAAGTATATTTTTGTAATTTTGTTATTTTCTACTATAATTAATTTCTTAATTTCAGGGAGGGAAGGTGGGTTGAACCTCAACTCACTCAAAGAGTGGCATTTGTAAGACAGAAAAGAGTTGTGCTGGCATGTTCGACGGTCCAACATGATTTAATATCACTGCTCAAAATGGCCAATTGTTTACCCTGCTTTCATTGGCCTAGAGTTAAAGGCGCCAGAGTAAGGATCTGGCAGGAGTCTATCTTTCATTCGGTTGTCACTTGTTAGTGTTGGTAGTCAAATGTTTGTGCATGCGACGAATGAAGTGAAGTAATCAACATTCAACAGCATGCTGCTCCAGCATCAAGACACCAGCAAGGGTTGACACTGATTCACCGAAAAGCGTTAAACGTCAGTCAAATCAGTAAGATAGAAACCCACGGGCCTTAGCCCAGTACTGAGTCCACCAGTCTTTAATTTTTTTAATTAAGGCCCAAATAACAATTAGTTCATTAAAATTGTATTTGACCCTAGAAGAACTATATATATTTACTTTGTATTTGACTCTACTGGCTGCTGAAGATTGTTGGTTATAATTTTGCTTTCATATTAATAGCTATTTTGTATGTTCAACTTGCAGGAGGCTAATTGATTAAGTAGTTGAGTCGTTCAAAATTTTGTTATCATTGCAGATGACACACACAATTTGACTCAATTATAGCATTTTATTTAAGTAGGATGGCTACAGATTGTGAGCAGTTGTAAAGATATAGCATATATCACTAGTTTTATTTTAGAATCAGTGAAAAAAACCCATGAAAATATGAAAATGGCCCAAAGGAAAATGTGAGAAAATTTTGGACAAAAATCAAATTAATGCATATTACATATTTGACTTCAGCTGTTGGAATGTGACATCGTGATCACGTAATCACCTTCTCGGAGGGTGGAATTAGTGGGTAGCCAGAATTTGAATACCCAGATTCTCATTCTTGCATTGTTTTCCTCTCTTACAGCAAAGAAATAAAGAAAACTAATACTACATGAGATCAATAATATGTTTGACTTTGGTGATCAAAATTTTGTTTCTAACAGCTTTTATTAAAAACCTAACAGCAACTTTACTAGTACTACACAGCTAGCATCAGAATTGGAGAATTCATAGCCTATATATGTAACTTTGAATTTTTTTGCTTTGGCTACATCACTAACCCTGAATCATGAGAGTGGGAAAGACTAGTCAATGATTCTTGTTCGGTCATTGGTGCCTTTCCATTGTTGGGGACAAATGCAAAGGAAAGGTTTGTAGTAACCTACTCATCTTCAAATGGAATCTTCCCACAAAAGTGCCTGCCATTACTTGTTTGACTTTGGAAGTTGCCCACTTCAACTACAACTAGCAAGCAAATGCAATTAGAAATATTAATTGGCTGGTTTGCTTCCAATATTGTTAATCCTTGGAACTATAGAGTATTTACATGCAACTCATGAAAAGCAATATCGACAGTAAATTAATTACATCATGGAGAAAATGAAACATGTCTAACATAATTAATTAAATTCAAACCCCTTTATATTTGTTTGTTTACGGGGAAGTTATTTTCACGATTATAAATTCAATGAATTATTCTAATACCGAAAATTAGGTAATACGAAATTTAAATGAATTTGTTATTGGTAAAATATTAAAATTTTAATTTTAATAATTAAAATTCAATTTGTGATAATTTCGAATTGAAAAAAAATCCACATAATTGAATTAGTGGTTTGTTAATTCCTGGGAAAGCTCCTATCTGCAAACATGCATTGGGGTGTACTCCAAGTTTGAGTGACCCTTTTCGGGGACTAATTCGAGGGGGGAAATTGGAGCAAGGAAGAGAAGGAACGCGGTTGGAGTTGCCCTGTGGCCCCGGGATTGAGACAACCGACGACAAATGCGCGATGAGTGACAATTAGTGAACCTATTTCTTTAAAAGTTCTTATAAAAACAATGGCCTGTGACTGCAATATTATTGCCACCGACAAGTAAAACGTAACTCACGACTCACAGGTTACAGAAAAATATCATCATTTTGATAATCAGTGCTCTAAAATTCTTAATCATTTCATGTGATCATAGAAAACACCTTTTACTTTCTTATAATCAAGAGGTATTTCAGTGTTCCAACCAATAATTTCACGTGACAAAGTCTAGAACCAAATTAGAAAAAGGAATAAACAAAAACCAGGGGCAATTCCCTGCAAAACTTTCCTTCAGCAATCTGATCAATTGCTATTCAAACGAAACTTCCCCGGTATGACACCAACAGGAATGCGTCCAAAGTGCGGCCATTTTTTTATGATTCCCTGAATATTTCAGTGGGTCTTCAATTCAACCCGGTGACGGGCTCACAGCAAATTAAGCGCGTTATGCAATGTGAGTCCAACCTTAACTAGCTACAACTTTATTCACACCTGAATCAAACAACAATAGAAACTTCCTTTCAAGGGACTCTTTCGAGAAATTCTTTCGCTACAGAACAGCGTCCTTTTGTTCAAAGCATATGAAACACATTTGGGGGAGGGATCAAGTTCAAGACCCGGTATAAAATTTCCCAGAACCAGGTCTAAAAACAGCTCGGTGGAGCACAACAAGCATGATAAAATGAACTTGGTATACCAAATTGACAGACGAACTGCAAGTGCGTCAAGCCGTTTGACTTACTGAGGGTGCTAATAGCATTGAGAAACAATTACAAAACAACAAAGAGGTGCAAAGCAAACGAGAATTCAACTTATGTTATAACCAATGAAAATAGAGACGTAAGAGGTTCTCTTGAACATGCAAGCTTTTGGATCATATCTATTACTTCCAGCCCTAATTTGAAATTGTTAAGTTTATTCTCAAGAAACCCAATGCCACACGCAATCCCTTTACGATTTGTCCGAACAAGCATGGAAGTCACTCGTATCTATAAAAAATAACACTTGAACTGCCTAGCTAGAAAAGGCTCGACCAACCAAATTACACAAATGTCTTGTTCTTGTCAATCTAAAACTAACCAATAAGACATGTCCAAGCATATATACCACAGCTGCCTGGCAATGGCATTATATATCTTCATACTAATAAAAAATACTTCTCCAAAGGTTACAGCAATTTCCCTATAATTTCAACAATGTTATCAAAATAATCCAAAAAATACTTATCAAATAAAAATTCCCATACTCATGATGAATGAAATATCTCTTTACATGGAAACCTGCACCCAATGATTTGCAAATATATTTGTTTATGAAATTGAATCACTGAAACTGAACCAGCTTGGATATTATGCAACCAGTCTATAGTACCAATTGAATTGTAAGATTATGATTTAGGAGTCCAACTATAATAATATAAAATTAAGCTTGTATCATCTAACCAAGTTTCTTTACCTTGTTTCATATCATTTCCAAACGTCTATTTGAAAAGATTTCAATGTCAATGATTATAAGATCCGAAGTTGATCCCAGTGACATCATGAGATGGGAGATAGCAGTTGTGAGATGGTGATGGAGCATATGGTCGACGAATGTGATGTGTCATATTTCTAAGCTATATAATGGAGCATGCACACACAAGGTTGCAGCTACTGCTAGTGAAAAAAACAGGGTCTGCCCTGTCGATCATTTCACCGCATCTTCCTGTTGGGCCAAAAACCCACATGATGAATATGTAATGTAGGGGTAGCAGATCAAAGAGTACTTTAATACTCAGTGCACTGCCGGTATTGTCATCTTGAGCACTGGACATGCTATATACAATGTGTTCTCGTTCACGCCTGCTCCGGTTCCTATATTCATTTTGAATTGGTCTAAATATACCGAAGAGATAAGATCTTAATGTGCCCCAAGTGCTTTTACTTTTACATCTGATCTGAAAGAAAGGCGAGCACTTCCTTTTTGCCTATGCTTCAGCTTCAATTGAACTTTAATCCTAAATTGTCGTGCAGCAAACTCTAGATTTAACTCGTTAGTGCTGAAAAATCCAATATGAAAGGTAAAACTTGCTAATTTTTTTCTCTTGACTAATCAAAAGGCATAGGTATATGCTTCTAGACAACATTTGTTATCTAAGAAACAATTTTCCAACAAAAATAATATGTAACTGTGGATTTTGTCCACATGAATGAACGGGGAAGGCAGTCAGTAGGACTAGGACTACTGGGTCTACCAAACCCTAACAAAACGGCATTTACTCCCCATAGAAAACTCCTTCCTGAATGGGTGGTTAGTTAATTTCCTGCCCATTTCTCACCCTTCATTTCCATCAGACATTTCAACAAAAAGATCCAAAATTAAAGGAAAGTTAACCCCAACAAAGTTGACATTATACTGGATTAACTAATTTTCATGCCTATTATTATTATTATTATTTTGCTTTATAATCTATGTGTGATGGCAAGAGCCAGAAAGGGTATTAGCCGTTCCTGCCGGCATGCTAAAGCTACCAACACTGACAGTTGGCTCAAATCTAATCGGCAAAAAGGTGTAACAGATTCTCAAAAATTAAAATTAAAACTGATACTTTGGATTTTAATTGTAGTAAAAGGTTGTTGCCAAAAAAAAAAAAAATACAATCATAGTAACAAAAGCCAATGTTTAAGACAACTCTAATAGGTTTCTTGGTGTTGACACGTGGACAAGACATGTAGCGTGTAAAGATTTCATTCGTTCTCCTGTGCTTGTCATTTTGTTCTATGTAACAGCTATTGGATTTTAACCTTGTATAGTCATTTTCTTTGTAGAGGACACCCTGTGGTTTCGTGTTCTGCTCCTTCGTTACAACAAACCAAGCAGTTTTCTTGACAAGTAAAGCCACCGGTTTATTCTGGTAACCTCCTGTTAATTCTTAAAATACCCTTTCAAATTATACAAAATTTAAGATGGACCGAGTATATTATTTTCTGTTAATAACCATTTTTTTACGGTGGTAAGAAAGGGCAGTTTAGGAAGTGTAGATTGGGGAATGGAGAGAAAATAAATACGGAGAAACGGGCAAAGTCTCGCATGTTACATGTCGCTCTTTTTGTCTACGCATACGCTTTTATTAAATTTTTATTTATTGATATTTGCCGTTTTAAGAGAAAAATAAATTACCCTTTAATATAAAAAAAATCCATTTGTTATTTTTAATTATTCTAAATTTTTTTTGAAATATTTGTTTTTTTTGTATATATCTCTTGGTGGAGGAGTGCTTGTCACCTACTCCTTTTATAGTTTTTAACTCTCTTTCTATGCTTCTTTAGAACTCTCTCCTTCAAGGGAAAGACAAAGTCCAGAATTCAAAGCCCTTTCAGACATAACATAAACATTCAGCTCTGTCTTTGCTTTGTTTTTTCAATGGAGAAACATAAGTGTAGGCTATGCTTGAAAAGCTTCGCAAATGGAAGAGCTTTGGGTGGTCATATGAGGTCTCACATGTTGAATCTTCCAATTCCTCGGAAAGTTGAAGAACCTGAACGACCGGATGTACCAACGGATCATCCCAGCTATGAATCTGAGGCAGCTTCAGCTTCATATTCGTCGTCTTCATCGGAGGAAGAAGGGGAAGAAAAAGGGCAGTTTTATGGGCTTAGAGAGAATCCAAAGAGAAGTATTCGCATGGTAGATCCTGAGTTTGTTGATGCTGGCTCGGTTGTTCTTCAAGACAGAGAAAGTGAGACCGAGTCGTCTAAGAACCCGACAAGGAGACGATCTAAACGGACTCGGAAAATACTAGAACATCACCAACAAAAAAGACAAGAACAACAAGAAGAAACAAAGAAGCTCAAAGTTAACATCAATCAACTGAGTAAGACCGAGTCTTGGGCTGAGCCTGAACCAGTGAGTTCGATCTCTGATACTACAACTGAGGAAGATGTCGCTTTCTGTCTTATGATGCTCTCAAGGGACCAATGGAAAAGCAAAGTACATGAAGATGAAGAAGAAGAAACAGAAATAGAAAAGTCTATGGAAGAAACGGATGAATCAGAAGAGTACTTTAAATTAAGCAAGGTTAATAGAACAACTCGAAGTAAGTACAGGTGTGAAACGTGCAACAAAGTTTTTAAATCGTACCAAGCACTGGGTGGACACAGAGCGAGTCACAAAAAGATCAAAACTTACTCGCCAGCAACTCATGAAACAGATTTGGACCCAGAAAATGTGGGGACTTGTTCAATAACAGAAAAGAAAATACATGAATGTCCTGTTTGTTTTAGAGTCTTCTCATCCGGACAAGCTCTTGGTGGACATAAAAGATCTCATGTAACTGGTCAAGTAGTAGCAACAATGGAAACCCCTGTTAAAAGTTCCAAAAAGTTGGGAGATAGTTGGATAGATCTTAATCTTCCTGCTCCGATGGATGACGACGATGTTAGCCAAATCGAACTTTCCGCCGTGTCTGATGCTGAATTTGTCAACCATATCAAGTGACAGAACGGTTTTTTTCGTGGTTTACAACAATGTTTGATCCAAAGGTAAACAATTTTGTTTGCTGTTACCTATTTTTGGGATCAAAGAACTAGGCTATAAGGCTTTCTTGTTATTCATAGACTATTCTACTCTGTTCTAACTGTAATTCATTTCCCTGAATTGTCTTTTGAAGTTCTGTTTTGTAACAACTGATCATTTAGAACATCTCACCAAAGGCCAAATTTTAAACATGCTTTGTTTTGTTTCACTGTTGGATTCGAGTTTCTGGGTTCTTTGGTTTTTTTGTTGGAGAAGTAACATGCATTGTTGTTAATGGCTTCTCTTCAATCAAAGTTTCTTACTTTTCTAGCAAATTGTTTTACTTCAAAACCAGTAGTCTTTTTTTTTCCTCAAGAAAAGTCTTTCTCAAAAGAAGGTTCTCAAAAAACCAATACACTGTGTTTTCATTTAATAAAAAAGGTCGCTTCCATTTGTCGCTTCTGACATTATTACAAATTCATCAAGAATTCTCTGCGCAGCAGTTATCTGCTTCTGTTTTATTTATTTATTTATTTTTTCTTTCCTTTCACAGCATTTTCGTGCTGCTTCTTTCTCTCTGTTTTATGTATGAAACTGTTTCATGCTTCACCTACAAATCTGCTAAACCAGTAGATTAGGACAGAGACAATATTTAATGACTATTATAGCCGTGAAGCTGAATCTGATTTACAATAAATGCATTTCCATATGTAGGAAACCTGGAAAAAAATGATAAGCAAAATAAAAATCGAAAAAGCAAAATCCCCTGTTTTTTTACTGAGAGAATAACGTGTCTGGCTTAGCTTGGCTAAAGGAAGGTATCCTGCTGCCTCAGGATCGGTGGAAAACAATATAGAAACTTGAGTCACCTTCATTAAATTTGTAATAAATGTACCAATAACTTTTTTAGCATTGTCCTTTTTCATTTAGTTGTTGATTGGGTAGGCAAGGGGGAGAGGGGGCTGCCGCTGCCCACGCCTCCAACTCCAAGTAGTTCCCATGGCAGTCGGAACTGTTTTGGTTTTACAGGAGACCCTAGTAAGTGAAAAATAAACGAATCAGGGTGCTTAAATGGCTAAAAGTAGCTGCCCCTTCAGACATTAGTGAGATTTAAGGGAGTTAGGAATGGCATGACAATGTGCTGCCTGAACTATAACAGATGGTAGTGAACCTGACAGATGACAGCAAAAATCATAGTCATGGGAAAATGTCAGATGGCATGCAAGTGATTCTGATGACTTTGAGTCTTTGACACATAAAAATAGCATGACATGACTCTCCTTGTTTTTGCTTTTATATAAGATCCAATTTTAAGTCTTTAAACCTTTTCTCATTTGTCCAGAATCCAGGACCCCCCCCCCCCCCAAATAAAAAAAAAAAAGAAGACTTAAGAGTAATAGGTTAGTTTATGTGAATGGGATGAATGTGGGCTAATTAATGTTGGTGTCTGAAAACTTAAAAAACATGTACATAATATATTAATGAATGAGTTGCACGTCTAAATTTTAAAAGCAAAATCACTATAAATTAATTATGGTGAAAGACTTTTAATTTAATTGCTATAAGTGATATCATATCAAATAATTAATGCAAATCTAATCCTAAACACTATAAAATTCAAGTTTTTAATTGCAATTTTTTTAAGAATTACACACGCACACTAATTCTCTTTTGCCAAGAGAAGAGTTTGGAATTTTCCAACTCAAGGGAAAAAAAATATGAACCCCAACTTCCAATGTAGAAGCATATGCCTATCTTCCACAAATGGCATGAATTTGAGCATGAAAAGAATCGTATTTGGCTAGTGGAGCTTAAGCCTTTTTTTTCTTTTGGTTTAAGATCTTTTGGTGTTTGATAATTACTTTGAATTTTGATTAATTTAAAATTGAATCGAGTCGGATTAATTTATTTTTTTTATTCATAAAATTCAAAATTGAAACTTTATTTAAAAAAAAATCAAACTTTTTATCACTCGGATCAACTGGCGTTGATAAAGCTTAAGCCTTCTTTATTACTTGATAATTGATTCAAATATATTTATATTCTCTTGTGACCAATATGTTGTTTGATTTATTCAATGCTATACAATTTATTTACACGCAAATATATAAAAATAAATAAAAAAAATAATATTTCACTATTCTGAACTTTGATAGCCTTTCAAGTTGTGTCTTTTATATTAGTATAAATAGGGTTAGATTAGCCGCCTTAATTCTACTGATAATCTGGATTAAGTATATATAATAAGCTAAAGTAAACGTCTCTTAGTCATAAATTTTAATTATTAATTTGTTTCTGCTGAAATAGTAAAGTATTTGCATATATAATATATCTATGCAACATTAATTTTGAACTTTAGTCCGTTATGGCCAACGGTTTGTAAATATATTTTATTGTGAAAGAAATGATCTTGCTTTAGAAATTACTAATTCTAATTAAATTATAAAAATGCTGTAATTAAAGCTAACAAGGGAATGCTTAAGCTTATGTCTGGGAAATAGCATTAAAAGCATAATATCCTACTCTTAAATTATAGCCGTAAATTCTATCAACATAAAGTCAAAAAAAATTCCGTATATATTTGTGCAAATTAAAGAAAAATGAACCCGAGATGATCAAGTCAATATTTTCATACTAGCCATTCTTTTAGATGATGCCACGTAATATTATTCCCATACTTGTTTATCTTTGTAAACGATGCACTGCTTTACTCTTGAGAAAAGGAAAATCATACACCAAAACATTGCCTTTTTTTAAAATGTTATTATGGTTTGGGAAGATATGCTTGCTTTTTTTTTCCTTAATTGATATAAAGGTTTAATTGATTTTGGAATTTGCATTTTTTATTATAATAAAAATTTAAAAATAAAAAAATTATCGTATTTTTAAAATTAAAACAAGTCGTTAACTTAGTTAAGATTTATGAATTTATTAAATTTACAAATCATTTATCAATAAAAAATTATAAACAAATTCAAACATAAGTACTAATGTATCTAGCATTTGTTCATTATCACTTGTATCAACCCTCGTTGGCGGAACTTGCCCTTCACTCAAAGGCTACCGTAATTACTTCCTGTCCTTGGTCCATTTAAAAGTGGACTGAGACCTTTTTCCTGAGACTCAGAGTTTCACAACTATCCATGCCGAAAACTTCTCAACTATGTACTAGTTAATACCGATTCTTCAACTAATTTTATGATACTTATCTATAATGCCGACCTAATCAGGCACACACATCACAAAGCTGTAGTAATAGCATTGGCATGACAGCTTGAGATGGTTGGCTGCCTGGCCTTTGTAGTTGAGATTTGAGATGACCGTATGAGTCGGTGGGTCGGCCCTTTTGTTACCATTCAAAAGGATTAACAATAATACAGATCCTAATAATAATGACAAAAGTTTAAGTGTCCATTGCTGGAGAGGGGTCAGGAGTAAGGCTTTGTGAGAGTGAGTGCCACTTCATATTCTAATTAAAACTCCGGCTACTATGGTGGAGGGTTGTGAAAGGTTAAATGAAAAAGAAAGGAGAAAAAGAGCAAACAAACAAGCCACCCCTTGATTAGCCGGCATATCACTTGAAAAAGCCTATCAAAAGAAACGATGTCAACAATGCTGATCATCTTTTTCCACTACTCTTTTTCTTCTCTTCAAAGTCCTAATTAACCAAACGCTGCTTCATCATCATTGAAAGCCAATTTGTCGCCTTTTGGCTTCTCATTACTCTTAAGACTGTAGAGAGCATAGTGATTTACATATATATCACTATCACTAATATGCAATACTAAGTGCTTAGTGATTTACATAAAGCTAGGAATAGCACTTTCATCTCCCAATCAATGGTCAATCCTTTGAAACTACTTGAAAGTTTAAACATGGGTCTCTCATCTTTGATGAATTTATACTAATGAAAAAAAATTAACATGCAGTAATTCTTGATCAGTTACATGAAGCAATAATTTTCCCCATTTGATTAACAAACTAATGCAAAATCTAGGACTTATCATGTTGTCTTATTTTTGGCTACCAAGATTGCCACGATAAAGCTGAGTAAAGAAAGTCAGACATATTACATACAATTGTCAATGATGGTGTATACATCGTATCTTAACAAAGCCTTAATATCTTGATTTTGGTCGCCATTATTAACATTTCTATTGTTAGACTAATTAACAATTTGATCAAGAACTCAACTGCCAAACCAAACGAAACCATTTTTCCATGAACCCAAATCTCAGCAGAATAATTTATTTTCATTGGAAATTGCGGGGGTAATGCTCAAGAATTTTCTTCATTTTGTTCCTTTTTTTACTGGCAGGGACATGGTATTAACATTTCAATGCTGGGCTCGTGATGTAACCGGACAGTGGCATCTCACTCAAATGTGATCCAATAACGACAGCTTATCCTCCAACCCTTTATGTGGGATTCAATCATCCACACGTCTGTTTCCTTTTCCTCTCTTTTGAGTTATCTTTAGTTTCTAAGCTATATATACAGACGAATTCTTCATTTGTGGACAATTTTCTTTGGTTCACGCTACAAACACCATGATTTCATGCCCCTCCCCATAAGTCATACACACTCAAAGCCCTCACACTACCAAAGCAGTGGTTGCGTCTCACATGTGATCTAGCTAACCTGTCCACTGCAAACAGCCAAAAAACATTAGAGAAGATGCTCAATTTGACCCAAATTTGCCTTCTTTTTTTGTCTTTTGAATTCACTTCCATATTTCCGTATGGTCCCATGAAATCCATTAACCCTGGAACAAGCAAAGGCACGTGTTGGGTGTGCAGCACGAGAAATGGGAAACCTGTGACCGGTACATAGTAACTTATATTGCTGTCTAGCTAGAGACTCTTGGCCTAGGGATCTGCATTTTTGGCTAATGGTTTCAAGCTTCAGTAATGTTTTTTTATCTTGTTACTTCGCATCAGTTCCGTTTAGAGACTACATTAGGCTTTTGATTTGTAAAATTCTGCTTGTTTCCGGGACTGTTCAAGATGCCAAAGAAAATCAACAACCCTGGACGGTCAAGCATGAATTTTCAATGAAACCAAAAGAGAAAAGAAAGGAAAAGAGAAAAGAGTTTTTGGACCACAAATGAAACTTATAGATTCTTTGAAGTTAAGTGGTAAATTAAAGAGTATTGTTTAATTTGCTTCGTTATTCCTCATTCCGTTTGAAAACAATTCATCAAATTATGGAGATAAAGAAGGCAAAAAGCATATATGTATCTTTCCCTTTACGTTAGGTTAAATTACGTGGCAAACTCTTGATTCATTTTTCTTTATTTTTCCATCCCTTTAACGCTCCCTTTTTATTTTATTCTTCATGTCCTATTAATACGTCGGCTGCAGATAACCAGATATCACAACCCTTCAAATTGACGGGAAATTTGACTCTACTTTAGAAATGATACACGGAAGAAAATCCATTGACAGATGAATTTCTGTAGCTGATCTTGTCATTTTCCTCTTGTTCAGAAAAAGGGGCGCAATGCTTAGTAATTCCTTGTAATCCTTGTAAGAAGTTTGGAAATTCCAAGTTATTTAATTTTTAAGTTGCTTGACCACCAAGGGCTAATAGCAATTCTTGGTACTGTTAACCATAAATTTCCTTCTTTTCAAAATGACAAATTTCCTTGTTAAAAGGTTGCAATGCACTAAGTAGTGGGTCGAAATGGTCGGTCTAGTGGGGTTCCTTTGAAACTTTGAAAAGCTTGGCACAACGATTAGTTCCCATTTTTCTCTTATTAATTCCACAATGAGAATTGGCTATTGTGGAGAAAGCAGTGGTGAAGGGTTTCTGAATATTCACTGGCACTGGTAAATCATGCCTACTCATTACGCAATGGACTTTGAAGTTAGGCTACCGACTTGGCCTTTTGCCCTTTAACAAATTAAAAACTCCCCTCCTGGCTCTGGCTCTGGCTCTGGATTTTGTTAACAACTTGCTTTGCAGTGCTGATTCTTCAGGATTACATCAAATCAACCAACAGCCCTTAGGTGCTTCCTTTGGATCTAATACTTGATTAAGACAGATAATTAAGATTTGTTTAGTATCGACAGTAAAACTTTTTGGTGAAACCAAATTTCGTGTGATTTAACAAGATGCTTTCTCTGGTTCATGCGGTAGAGATTGGAAATACCAGTCAAAGCTACTACTGACGAGCATATGATGAACAGGGTATCGAATACTATTATTCTAAGCGTTAGATTTAGAATATGGAAAATGAAACTATACAATTGATTTTGAGACAGAGAGCCAAAGTTGTTCAAAACTCAAAACCAAGGTTTGTTCAACAACGATGATTTAATATTACCATTCCTTGACTAACTTATGACAGCAGTGAATCAATAACTACTCCACTTCATCTCATGACATGGAATCATATACAAAGTTGTGCTAAGTTTTGTCTATTTCTCAATGTGTATCAGTTAATTTCATCTCATACAATCTCTTCTTTTAAAAGCAAAGCAAAACGTACTGGAGTTGGTTTCATGTCTTTTCCATGTCTTGGAGTACTGCCCTTGGTGCGATGAACTTGCAATATGGGCATTGACTCTGTCAAAGCCGAAAGCATCACTCTCTTCCTTCTATTCAACTTCTTTTTCTGTCGACTTTTCCACTTCAACAATTTAAATTATTGCAACAATTTTCATATGGTAGTATATGTAATAAGTGAAAGAAAAAAAAAAGAAAACCTTTGAGTGGACCCATAGTTTATATCAAATCAGTTTGGGCCAGGAAGCTCTCCCGCGGGACACATTCCCAGATCCGCTAGATGAACCCGGTTAAAAGTGATACCCAGTTGCCCATGAAACGACTATATAGCCCATTGGTTCTGATATGAAAGCTATGAAACCCACAATGATTGGGTGATTGAACCAGAAATTTGCATTAGGCATAGGTCCAAAGCCCAATAATTTAAAATAATAACAAAAAAAAAAATTAATCGTGCAACAAGAATATAAGTTACTCCATTTAATTTCGTGAAAATCGACTTTTAAAATATTTTCTGCAAAATATTAATATTTTTTAACGTTTGGATAATTTAATAAAAAAATATTTTTTATTATTTGATTGTTTTTGAAAATTTTATATTTTTTAATAAATATATATTTAAACCACTTGTTAAGTTAATCAGTTTTAATGGATTTTTATATTAAAGAGATTGCTTGCCAAGACTTTTACGTTGAAAATATTTTTTTTAAGTGCAATCTTAAAACTAACCATTATTGACCGTTAACACTTACCATTATATTTTCTAAAAGATAACCATTGACAAAGCATTTGTGTTGTAGTGGAAGATAATACCTAATTTGAAAAGACAATAACGACAGTAAAAAAAAAAAAAGGTAAAAATCAGAACATATTACTTAGCATTTGATTTTTTATTTCGTGGTTTTATTATTACAGCGTTAAAAAAATTTTAAATGTTTTACACATTAATCATCGACTTCATAAAAATTTCTGCATAGGTGAAAAACAAAACTATAAAACTATATTAATGATTAAATAAAAAAATAAATTAATGTTCTTACCTAAAATCAAACAGTCGCCTACCCCATATATTTAACAAAAGGGTGGTTTCGGTCAATGCAGGGCAGCACGTGCAGCCAAAAAGTCTTATTGAAGCACACGGAAGAAAATAAGCAAAATTAACGAGTTGCTGCAATCTGCCCGCTACTGCGCCAAAATCAACTTTTTGTCTCAATTTCTGTTTAAATCTCCTTTCCACTCTCTATTCTCCCAATTATCTCTGCCAAGGTAACTCGATCTCTCTCTCTCTATCTCTTTTCTATTTCCTTACTATTATATCCTATATTGGTTCTTTATTTGATGATTTTTACCAGGTTTTGTGTATGAAGAAAGAAATCTTTAAATCCCTAAATCACTGATTTAATTTTTTTTTTTAAATTTTGTTTTAAGGCATTAAATGGGTTTGGGTTGTTTTTTTTTTTTTTTTTTTGTACTAATATTTAATATTTATGCAGTGAAAAGAATGTCGTGTAGTTCATAGGAGGGAAGTGGAATTGTGAATTGGAGAATCAGTAGTAAGAGTTTAGGGTTTTTTTTTTTTTAATTGTAGATGGCATCTCCTACATTTGAAGTGGAGGATCAGTTGGATGAGGATTTTTTTGACAAATTGGTCAATGATGACGATTTTGATTTTACGGGATCCACCCGTAATCTTGTAGCTGAAGCTACTGATACCGGAGAAGTGAAAGCTTTTTCTAATTTGACTATTAGTGAAACGAGTCCTGGTGGAGTTGATTCTGGTGGAAAGGATGTTGATTTTGGTTTAGAAGCTGAAAAGAGTGGAGAAGATGGTGGTAGTTTGGCATTATTGGATGCTAATAAGGATAATGTGGCTGCTAATGAGAGCGGTTCAGTGGTACCTAGTAATGTGAAGGAGTATAGTGAAATGAAGACCGGAGAGGAGGGTGTGTTGGATACGGCTAACAGTAAGAGTGATGTAGCTTCCGGTACTGGTGTGAAAGAGGTTCAATGGAGCACGTTTAACTCTGATACAAATGTTCACGGTGGTGGTGGATTTAGGACATACTCGGAAACTTTTAATGATTTGGGGGATAATTCTGATGACCCTTTTGCTGAAGTGGGGAATAAGGATGATTCGCTGGTGGAATATAATGCAACAGCTAGCGTGTCAGGGAATTCAGTTTCTGATTTGGCTTCTTCCAGTCATCTGCAAAGTAATGATGTGCAATACTATAGCATGGGATCTGAACAAAATATAGATGGGCAAGATTTAAGCAATAGTCAGTACTGGGAAAATCTTTACCCAGGATGGAGATATGACCCTAGTACTGGGCAATGGTATCAGGTGGAGGGATATGACCTGAATACAACCATGAATTCACAGGAGAGTTTTGGTGTGACACAGTCAGATAGTGATGATCTTATTTCAAATAACAAAACGGACGTTCATTCTTTGCAGCAAATGACTCAGTCTGTTGTGGGAACTTTAGCTGGGGATTTTGGGAATTCAAATACCTCTAACTGGAATCAGACTTCACAAGGAAATGTGGAGTACCCTGCACACATGGTGTTTGATCCCCAGTACCCTGGTTGGTACTATGATACAATTGCTCAAGAATGGAAGATGATGGAGTCTTACACTCCAGCTGTAGATCAGCCAGCAACCGTAGATTATGATCAACAATACCAGAATAAGAATAGTGAAAGCTATGAGTCTCAAACTTTGGGTAGTCAAGACCTTTTTATGAATCAGGGTGAATCTGCAAGCAACTATCATCAGCAAAATTCAAATAGTTTCCAAGCTTACTCAGTTTCCAACATAGGAACAGACATTTCTTCTGAAAACAAGCAATTAGGAAACATTTACAGTCCTTCAGATAATGTAGATAACCATGCAGAGCAACAAAATGGATTTGAACCTTCTAGATCAGTTGCTCCTTATAAACAGCAAAGTCAGACTTTTCTTCACGGTGGTGAGATTTCTAGGTTTCAGAGCTTTATTCCAGCTTGGGGTTATTCTCAGTTTAGTAATCAGACAACCGCTCAGCCAGACCAACAGATGCAGTTCGGACCTGCTTTCACTGATGCTCAGCAATCGGGAATTCATCCTCGACAGCCACTTCAAATTGGTGCTTCATTTTCTTCTTCACCCAATGAGGGAAGGTCTTCTGCTGGACGGCCTCCACATGCTCTAGTTACTTTTGGATTTGGTGGAAAACTTGTTGTCATGATAAACAACAGTTTGTCTCACTCTACCGCGGCATATGGAAACCAGGTAGCGCATATTCTTTTCTTGCTTCATTTCAGGTAGTTTTAGTTTCTCTTTGTTACAATTCTGCTGCTACTGTAGAGATCTTTTTTTTTTTTTTGGTGTGAAGGGCTCTGTTGGAGGTGTGGTCAGTGTACTAAATTTGATGGAAGTTGTCATGGACAACAGTAATGCTTCTAGCTTCGGATTTGGTGCCCATGATTACTTTCGTACATTATGCCAGCAATCTTTACCTGGTCCTTTGGTTGGTGGGAATATTGGAAATAAAGAGTTGTATAAGTGGATTGATGAAAGGATTGCAAACTGTGAATCTTCAGGCATGGGCTATAGAGGAGAAGTTTTGATGTTGCTTTTGTCTTTGCTGAAAATTTCATGTCAGTACTATGGAAAACTTAGGTCTCCTTTTGGCACTGACCAAACTTTGAAGGTGAATTACTCCTAAATGTTTAATTCCCTTTTTTGTGTTACTATGCAATTATCTCATGGACATACTACTAATCGCCGACCCTCTATTATTCTTTCTCTTTCTTCTTTTTTCCTTTCTATCCTTTTTGTGTAACTTCAGGAGAGTGATTACCCAGAGTTAGCCATTGCTACGCTTTTAGTTTCTGTGAAAGGGAAGGGAGTGCACTTGAGTGCATATGGTGCTGTCATGCACTGCTTGCAGAATTTGCCCTCAGAAGCACAGATGCAGGTATGGATAGCCTACATTTTCTGGTTCCTTGTAATTCTGAATTTTTTTGTCATTGCCTTTTCCTAAAAAAAAAAACTTCATTGATGGTTTACATAATTGGCATCTATTATTGGTTCAGGCTACTGCTCTCGAGGTACAGAGGCTTCTTGTCTCTGGTAGAAAGAAGGAAGCATTAGAATTTGCACAAGAAGGTCAACTGTGGGGACCAGCTCTTGTTATTGCATCTCAGCTTGGTGATCAGGTTCTTGTCACATTTCACTAATATTTATTGTTCTATTGTATATGTTCAGTATCTACCATGGTTGATCTATTTTTCATTGGTATTGAATTGACCTGTAAGGATTTGAGACTTGATTTCTGCTTGCTGATATTGAAATTACGAATGTATCCAGTTTTATGGTGATACAGTTAAGCTAATGGCACTCAAGCAATTGATAGCTGGATCACCATTGCGGACATTATGCCTACTAGTTGGAGGTCGACCTGCAGATGTGTTTTCCACAATTTCCCCCAGTAGCAATCTCCCTGGTTATGTAAATACTCCTAACCAGCCTGGACAGGTGTATATAATTTGAGCACCTTCACAGGAAAGATCATTCTCAATTTTTGTATTTTTTCCTGTTGCTGTCTTAGAGTTTTTGAACCTTTTTTTTTCTTTAGCTTGTTCAAATATGTATTTTGTACTATAGATTGGAGCTAATATGTTGGATGGATGGGAGGAGAACTTAGCCATCATAACAGCTAACAGAACAAAAGATGATGAACTTGTTATTATTCATCTTGGAGATTGCTTATGGAAAGAGAGGGGTGAGGTAGGTTACATATAGTTTTTACTGGGTTAAGTCATTCTATCTCTTCCTACCCCTCCCAACTTGTCTTTTTCCTTTCCCTGTGTTCACCAGAGTAATTTCTCTTTGTCCTCAAAATCAATTGCACAGGCTGCTGCTGCTCACATATGCTATTTAGTTGCAGAAGCCAACTTTGAGCCATATTCAGACGGTGCTAGACTTTGTCTTATTGGTGCTGATCACTGGAATTGTCCACGAACGTATGTTAGTCCTGAGGCTATTCAGGTATCTAAGCATTACCATTTCTTTTGATATTGGTAGAAATATTCAAATAATGATGCAGCTGTTGACCTTTATTGTACTGCATGCTTTTAACTTACTGATAACTTTTTTTATTTGAGCCTCTCTTGTTGTCTCTGGCATGCAAAACTGTTTTATATTTTAGACCTAGTTCCCTTCTCTTGGCTCTTGTGGTGTAGTTCTTAATTTGAATTTTGACCAACTATTTGTTTCACATATAATGTTTTGCAAATCTTTTTATCGACACCATCCCTGGTAGCACCTTTTAACTAGCCTTTTAAATATCTGGGCAGAGGACAGAACTATATGAATACTCAAAGGTGCTTGGAAATTCTCAGTTTCTCCTCCTACCTTTTCAGCCATATAAGCTTATTTATGCTTACATGCTGGCTGAAGTTGGAAAAGTGGCTGATTCTTTGAAGTAAGTCTGAGGTACTTATATTATTTTGTTGATGGTTGTCACTGATTTAGATTGAGCCTCTTTTGTTTACATGATGGTTCAGATACTGTCAAGCCATTTTGAAGTCTTTGAAAACTGGCCGAACACCTGAAGTAGAGGCTTGGAAACAATTAGTGTCTTCTCTTGAGGAACGATTAAGATTCCACCAGCAGGTATCTCTTGGGCTTTAGGTTACATAATCTTTCTTTCTTTATTATAGAAATAAGAAGACAACTTAATTTACAGGGTGGCTATGATATGAATTTGGCTCCAACTAAACTGGTGGGTAAATTGCTCACCTTCTTTGATAATACTGCTCATCGTGTTGTTGGAGGCCAACCTCCACCTCTTCCTTCAACATCTTATAGCAGTGTTCATCGAAATGAGTTTTCTCACCAACCAGGGGGCTCAATGGCATCTAGCAGTCAACCAACAATGGTCATGCAATCTCTAAAGTCTTCTGCGTCAGTGGAATCAACAATGGCCATGCCATCATTGATACCTTCTGTATCAATGGAACCCATTAGTGAATGGACTGGTCAGACTGACCTATCAACCATGCCTAGTAGAAGCATCTCTGAGCCAGCCTTTGGTCAAAACGACAGAAAGGTAAGTGCTTACATAGCTGTGGATTGAAGTTCTTTACACACACATATGCAAAGGAATCTTTTTGCAACCATTTTTATACTAAATTAATCTGGAAAAAAATTTCATGACCCTGAAGTTTCACTTGTCCTCAGTCCATCGTGAATCCTTGGGACAGTGATGGTTTGCCTGGGATTTGGCAATGTGATTCACTGCAATGGAAACACCCCCTAGACTTTAATTCAGGAAAGTTTTAAGGGAGTGTTGGAATAGTTTTCTTTGAAAGATTTGGTGGGATAAGTTTTAAGACAGGACAAGTTTTTTGCTTGTTCTTGAAGTTGAAGATCATGTCTCTTCTTTTTTGTTCATATGATGCCGTATTAGTGTAGTTTAGGAGAGTGTTGCAGTAGCTGTGTTCGAAGGATTTGGTGGGATAAGGTTGAGGAGTTGGAAATTTTGTTTTGGGGAAGGGTAGGGGGCTGAATTTGAAAGAAAGGTTTAAAGGATGCAAGGAATCTTATTTTTGAAGTTGAAGATCATAGTTTGTTGTTTTTTTTTTCATAGTATTCAGGACTATTGTAATTTACTAGTTTGTTGCAGTAGTTGTATTTTTAAATTTTTGGTAGGATAAGTCTCAACAATCCAAAAGTTATGGTGGTGTTACATTTTCTTCTTCCTCTATCATTGTGGTTTTAGCTGACAACTGTGGATAGCATTGCTATGATATGACATATTTGAATTACAAGGAGCATCATGCACGAGGCAAATGCGAATGCCATTTTCGTTTTAGCGCTTTAAATTTATTTGTTATCAAATATAAAAGCAAAAAGATTGTTAATCTTGAGTTCTCTTCTTTCAATTGTGGTGTAAAGAAAAGTTTGTCTCTCCCCCACTTAAGCACTTCATTTATTCCCTCATTGGGACAAAGGGTGTATCAAATGGCTGTGATCTTATGTGTGGTTCTTTGTTTTTGATAAGGTTAATTCATCCAATGAAGTTAAATCATCTGGGACACAAGAAAAAGTAGCAGTGTCAAGTGGGTCTTCTCGCTTTGGTCGTTTTGGCTCGCAGCTATTCCAAAAGACCGTTGGTTTGGTCCTAAGATCTCGACCAGACCGTCAGGTACTTTGTAGTGAACTAAATTTCTGAATGATTCTTAATACAAGTATCTTTTTTTAATTTAATATTGATCTTCTACTGCATGCCATGTTGAACATTTCAGGCTAAACTGGGTGAGAAGAACAAATTTTACTATGATGAAAAGCTCAAGAGATGGGTTGAGGAAGGAGCTGAGCCTCCAGCTGAGGAAGCAGCCTTGCCACCTCCACCCACTAGTACAGCTTTCCAGAATGGCATGAATGATCTCAGTATAAAAGATACACCCCAAAATGAAAGCACTCACAAAATTAGTGAAAATAAAAGCCTCATCTCTTCTGAATGGAGCTCAGGAATTCCACCAATCCCACCCAGTTCAAACCAGTTTTCTGCTCGTGCACGTATGGGTGTACGCTCAAGGTATTGGCATTTAATTAACTTATTAGGCTGTTATGAGCTCTCACCATTTGGGGTGAACGAGGACTAGGGATTTATCTAACTATTAGTATTTTTGAGTGTTTGTTCTTAGCTTGTGGCTGTTGGAGTGTTTTCTTTCTTAAAGTAATTTTATGTTAGTTGTTAGTCAGTGTTTTAACTAAAATTTTCTCCTTGAACTGATAGCAAACCATTTCAAAATTATTTCAGGTATGTTGACACATTCAACAAGAGTGGGGGCAGCCCTGTAAGTTTATTCCAGTCTCCTTCTGTTCCATCATCAAAAGCTGTGGCTGGTTCTAGTCCCAAGTTTTTCATCCCTTCTCCTGTTACCCCCACTGAGGAGATTGTTCAAAACACTAAGGAAAGCATGCAAGAAGCAGACTTGACCAATGAAAGTCCAGCAATATCTTTTAAGCAAGATTTATCTACACTATCATCATCATCATCAATATCAGCATCTGCATCACTATCATCATCATCATCATCATCGTCATCATCAGCAACCATGCAACGGTTTCCTAGCATGGATAATATTGTGCGCAAAAGGGAAGCAGCAGTGTCAGATGGCAATTCTCGACGTACTGCATCCTGGAGTGGAAGCCTGAATGATGCTTCCAATCTTTCTACCACAAAGGAAATAAAACCTCTTGGAGAAGCCCTAGGTAAACCTTCATCAATTTATGCTGACCCTAATTCTGGGGAAGACCTTCATGAAATCAAGCTTTGAGGTGTGAAGGAAATGTTCTAATTCCTCATTCGGCTGATCGTTATGGGTATACTCCACTCTCATCGCCTCATTTTTGCTGTGGGGAAAGATGATGGGGGAATTAGGGATGGCATTGATTGCGGTGTGACACCTTCTTTATCCTGTTACATGTGTACTTTAGGCCAAGAATTGGTCTGAATGCTCTTGGTTTTGGGACCATTCCTTAGTTTGAGAAACCCCGACCTGACATGGGCATGTAACTGCGTTCGTGTACAGGAAGTGATTCATTCATTATGCAGACGGCAGAGCCATGCTATGCGATGGAGCAAAGAGGCGCCAAAAAGAGGCTCATCCGCATATAAATTTGAAGAAGTTGCTACTTGCCAACTGAAATTGGAAATACAATTTATTTATTTTGGGTTCAATATCTAAAGTCTAAACTACTAGTTGTAGTACCTCATTTCTTTTCTTTTTGTCAGATCTGAAAATAATTATAGCATAATAAAATAATTGGAGATTGGTATCTGGCAGATTAATAAATTGTCATTTTCTTTTCTCCTAAAATTTGGATTAAGGTAACAAAGTAATCCACACTTCTAATTTTCCAAAAAGTGCTGCTCCATGCTTCATGTCTTGAATAAGAAACCAATTGCTACCTTTCATTTTGAGAGTGCCGAAGTTTAATATATTTTTTCCACTTTTTATCATTTGTTTATTAACTTTTATAAACTTTTAATTTATCTTTAATCTTTAATTTCTTATCTATTTAATTTACGCATTTAAGTTTTTCGAATATGTAATTTTAAAAAATTGGATACCATCTGAGCAATTAATTGATTGATATTTATTTTATTAAATTTTTATTTTTGAAATTTATAATTTTATTTATTTAAACATAATTAGCACATCCTCACAAAATTATGTCTGAAAATGTGAGATTCGGCGGATTAGGCTGGCTTGGAACTCAAAAACCATCTTCTAACATTACCCGCAAATTTCTCTCGAGCGTCTCTTGTCTTGGCCATTTTTCTTTCCTACCTTCGTCTCGAGAAGCTCCCTTGTCTTTCTTTCTGCTACAAAACAAAGCCTTCCAGAGAGACAGACAAAGAAAATAAAACAAAAAGGAGTCCAAGAATGTCCCAATCAAACCCTAATTTTCCTCCCGAACAATTGTCTAAATCTCTGACTAATTCGATGATGGCTCAGAACCAAGTCATCGACTCACTCACTTCCCACATCTCTCTCTACAATTCCCATTCTCTCTCCCAAAATCCCAACCCTAACCCTAACAACAATCCTAGGTCTTCAATCCTCAGATGGTTCTCGTCTCTCACCGTCCATCAACGTCAAGCTCAACTCACCATCGTCGATTTCAACTTCACCCAACTCCTCATCCAAATGCTTAGCAAGCTCCGTACACGTGGCCATGGCTTCTTCATTATCCTACCCGACCTTCCCTCACGTGATCCTCCTTTCCTTCCCGGTCTCTGTTACAAACAATCACGCGGTCTCCTCTCTAGGGTTTCCGAGGCCAATGAGTCAGAACAGCGAGTTTTTGAGTCGGTTCGGTTGTTCGGATCCAGAGAAGGCGAAAAAATCAACGATTGTTCGTGTTCGGTGAGTAGTCTCGATTCGATTACGGTGACTGAAGGGTTAGTTGAAAATGTGGATCGGTTTGTTGAAACCATGGATAAAGTATCAAACGGTGCGTTTTTGAGGGGTGAAGAGAACGAATTGGGATCCGATTGGGTTGAATTAGAATGGTTAAAATCAAAAGGGTATTATAGTGTTGAGGGTTTTGTGGTAAATAGATTAGAGGTAGCGTTGAGGTTGGCGTGGTTGAATTGTAATAATGGAAAGAGAAGAGGGGTGAAGTTGAAAGAGAAGGTGAAGGCCGCAGGGGTAGCAGCAAATGTGTATTGGAGGAAGAAAGGATGTGTGGATTGGTGGGTAAATTTGGGTGATGCAACAAGGAGCAAAGTATTGACTACAATTTTGGGAAAAGCTGCTAAATCCCTGGTATTGTTTAAAACTTAGTTATCTTTATGTTCATTTAATGATGGGTTTTATCCTATGAAATTGCCATCATTATGGATGACTGAAATTACTGTTTGATTGAATTCTAGAGTAATTTGTTTTGTTGATGAATAGGAGGTTTAACTATGGAGAGCTGGTTAAGGGTAAACTAATTATAGGAACTCGTTGTGAGAGCTTAGAAGAACCTTAAATTGTAGTTTTATATTTCTTTCATAATTTCCTCTCTTTATCATCTTGGGGCTTCGCATGTATACTATACAAGGAAAGATTTGTCGTTATTGCTTGTGTCATACTTGGATCTTTCTTTACCTAGATTTACTATAATAAGATGTGTATAGAATACTTTTAAAGATTTCCCAGGGATGGATCAATTGTAATTTTGAAAATTGTTAGCTGCTTGCCGTAGTATTGAAAATTTTGTGAACAGTGAGACTTAACTTTTTATTGATTTGGGCTTTCAGATTCTCGAGGTTCTGAAGGCAGCGGGTAGTGCCTCAGAGGATGAAATGTGGCTTTTTAATGCAGGAACAGTGGAACGGCCAATGAGGTATAATTATAGTGAAAAACTTTTGGGCGCCACCCCAAAACCCCTGGAGGATGCGGGTTTTGGCATAAATATTACAGCAAATTCTCGTTCAGGAAAACCTACTTCTGTAACCAATGTCTTCAGTAGTTTATTTGTGCTTCAGGATATTGTTACTTTGGTGCTATCATGCCATCATAATGAGTGTGATATGGGAAATGTATTTTTTAGTGCATTAGGCTCTGTAAGTACCATTACTGATAGTATATTAAGAAAACTGCGAGGATTTCTCATGGTAATTTCACTTGATTGCACAAAACTTGAACTTCTGGGAGAAGGAAATTTTAACTCTTCGTCCAATAAATCCAAGGATAAGTTCAGTGCATGTAGCCGTAAGAAAAAGGGAAAGCCCCGAAACATAAAAAAGCAAAATCCCATGCTGAAGACAGAGGTGGATGACCTTCCATCCAAAAAATCTCTTAAGGTATTTTTTTCTTTATTGGAACCCTTTTTGATGTGTTTTTTCATTCATTTATATGTGTTGAGAAGTTTTATTTTAACTGTTTCTAGTATTATGTCAGGATCTTGAATACAAATTGACTCATAATAATAAAGCAGATTTGATGGAGTCCATCAAGATGTGTCTTGTACCTCATGATAAAGATATAAACAAAAAAACTCCATCACCAATGGAAATGGTCGCACAAATTTTCATTTGTATGGTATTCTTTTGTTAATTTTTAAAATTTTAAATACTGTTTTAACTGGCACTCTGTCATCAGGAACATACCCAATCATTGGTTGGTGGAAAGGGACGAGCTGCTGCAAGGAAGAGTCGGAAGGAAAAAAATAAGAACAAACACTCTTGCATCAATGATGCAACTGAAGTAAAATCTTCCAAGAAGGCAGTCACAGAGTCTTCTTCTACATCTTTGGCTTTTCAAGATGAGTCTACAAATTCCCAAGGGGTATTTAATAATTTAAGTGTACAAGAGGGTGTTCCAACTGTTACAATGAGTCATAGCAACATTCTTGAATCAACTTCAAGTCCTACTAGACCAGATAATCAGCTTTTCAGGGAGGATATTGCCGTGCATGTGCAAGATCATGAGGTTGGTTCCACTAATGATTACCATCATATGGGTACGAGGTGTCAGCAGAACTCAAAAGATATAACCGTGAATGAAATTATTCTTACCAGACAAGAGGATTCAAATTGTAGGGTAGAATGTGATGTTTTACCTCCTGTTGTCCTAGAACCTGTTTGTGTTTTCACTGGTGAAGGCATCAACATACAAAATTCTCTTACTGCAAGTAAAATTCTGGAAAATTCAACTTCTGATGTATCAGTGAACACACTTGACGTTAAAGAGGGAGTTTCTGTGATTCAGGTGCAAGATAAAAAATTTTATAGTACTGCACCCACAAGTTCTCCGCAATGCCTTTCATATGAGTGGCCTAGTGTAGCTCCCTTTTATTTTCCTTCTATTAATTCACATGTTCCAGCTGCCACAGACAGATTGCACCTGGATGTTGGTCACAATTGGCACAATCACATCCGCCAACCTTATGTGCCCAACTTGCATCAGGCAAGAAATCCTCCAATTGAAAGTGGGTGCAATCGAATTTTACCTCGTCCCATGCCAATGAGTTTAGATTGGCCACCTATGGTACGAAGTGGTTCTGGATTGGCACCATCAATTACATGCAGTTATGACTCTGGATTTATCTCAAGGCGACAGACTGCTTTTCAGCAGAGCTTTACTTCTCAAAATTTTCAGTTTAATACAAAGTGCCTTGAGGATGAGAGAAAGTATTCTGGGGATTTCTTTGACTTGCCAGATCTTGCAAATACACCAGAACTTGCTGATGAATGTGACAGCCACTGGATATCAGAGGAAGAGTTTGAGGTGCATGCTGTTTCCAGTATAGATTATAATCAATATTTCGGTGGGGGTGTGATGTATTGGAATCCTTCTGAACTAACAGGGACAGGGTTTTCTAGACCTCCATCCCTTAGCTCTGATGATAGCTCATGGGCCTGGCATGAAGCAGACATGAGTAGGGCTGTTGATGACATGGTTGCTTTCTCTTCATCTTATAGTACCAATGGTTTGACTTCTCCAACTGCTGCTCCATTTTGTTCGCCTTTTGATCCATTGGGTCCTGGACATCAGGCAGTTAGTTATGTTATGCCAGGAAATGAAGTGTCTGGTAAAATGCTGCATTCTCCATCAGCAACACCAGATGCAGCAACTGAGGAGGAAACTTCTGGATCTTTGACCAATTTATCTAGTGACGTTGAAGGGAAAACGGGGGATTCACTTCCTTACCCCATTTTGCGTCCTATAATCATTCCAAACTTATCAAGGGACAGATCAAGATCTGACTTTAAGCGTGGTCATGATCATAAGAGCCCATGTGTTCCTCCTACTAGGCGTGAACAACCTCGGATAAAACGGCCCCCATCACCAGTGGTGTTGTGTGTTCCTCGAGCTCCACGTCCACCACCACCATCTCCTGTGAGTGACTCAAGGAAACAGAGGGGTTTTCCAACGGTTAGATCTGGTAGCTCTAGCCCAAGACATTGGGGTATGAGAGGAATGTACCATGATGGAACTAACTCAGAGGAGGCTTGTGTCCGCATGGATGGTACTGAAGTTGTTTGGCCTTCTTGGAGAAGTAAGAATCTTTCAGCCCATCCAATGATCCATCCCCTCCCTGGTGCTTTGTTGCAAGACCGTTTGATTGCAATGACTCAGCTTGCTCGTGATCAGGAACATGTATGTATAGCACCAACATTATGTCATTTCTGACGGTTATGGCTTGTGTATTAAATTTGTGGATTTATGTGATTATTCTGCAGCCAGATGTATCGTTTCCTCTGCAACCACCTGAGTTACAGAGCTGCCCAGCACGAAAGGCATCTCTCTCTTCAATGCACAGCCTCCTTAATGATGAAATCGACTCTTTCTGCAAGCAGGTAAGCAGTTTATTGATCCCTAGAAAATGAAGAAGAGGAAAAAGTAAAATGATTGATCCTGTTCATTGTTTCCATGATCTTGAACATTTTTTTGCACAAGAAATTTCTAGTTTTCTGTGTCTTATTTGTTCATTTACTAGGCTTTGCTATATTACTGACTGTTTGTATGACGTGTTCATGTGCAAGGTTGCAGCAGAGAATATGGCTCGTAAACCATACATTAATTGGGCTGTCAAGCGGGTTGCAAGGTCCCTTCAAGTCCTATGGCCTAGGTCAAGGACGAATGTCTTTGGTTCAAATGCAACTGGCTTATCTCTTCCAACAAGTGATGTGGACCTCGTGGTTTGTCTTCCTCCAGTCAGGAATCTGGTGAGTGCCTTTGGGGATTTTTCTGTTGATCATGTGCTTATAATTTATGGCAAGAAACTCATCTGCAGGCATGTTTTTAGGAACCTATCAAAGAAGCTGGGATTTTGGAAGGACGTAATGGTATTAAAGAAACTTGTCTTCAGGTATTAATAATATTGTAATTGATTGTGCTGTAGGTTGAACTTTTTGTTTCATTTTCTTTATATTTCAACTTAGGCAGAACTGCTTTTGAGTTACATAGAAATCGAAATATCTAGTAAATGTGTATTGGTCTTCATTTTCTTTATATTTGTTAATTCTCTTTCTCCCTTTTTTAAGAAAAGGCTATAATAAATGTTGTTTACTTACCATGTAGTAGACATTGAATTAGGATTCTTGATTTTGTAGTATAGTACTTCCTGTTACTTACTATGGCTTTTCTTCTTCATAATTAATGTACTGGCATCATTTGAATTTTCCATTGTTCCTCTCTATGTGTAATATAACTTATGATACCCCTCCAGTAGTTATATTTAGCTGTTGATGCACTGCCGCATGGCTTGCTTGAATTTTGCGTCTGTGTACTTGATTTTCCCGTGCAATATTTCTGTGAAATTTATGTTATTATCTGATATTTTAACATAGCTTTTTGGAAGATTGACAGTGTTACATTTATTTTCCAGCATGCTGCCAGGTGCCTTGCCAACCAGGAATGGGTAAAGAATGATTCTCTGAAGACAGTGGAAAATACAGCTGTAATGCCTTGTCTTGTTGGATTTAGTCTTCGTTTTTATCTGTACTCCTTTCTTTCCATCTCTTTCCTCATAATGTTATCTTTATGGCATTCAGATTCCAATAATTATGCTTGTGGTAGAAGTTCCTGATGACCTCATAACTTCTGCGGCCTCTAATGTACAATCACCCACAAATGAGCAAATAGATAAAACTGCTGAACATTGCAACCATGCTCATTCTGACACTGTTGCCTTAGAAGACTCTGCTTCACCTAAGTGCTCACAAATAAATTATGGCAATATGAAGGATGTCAAGTCAGTTCGTCTAGACATCAGTTTCAAGTCTCCATCACATACAGGACTCCAAACTACAGAACTGGTAACAAGAATTTAACTTCACCATAAATGCTGATCTTTTGTATTTTGTCTGACATTGGAGCCCATGGCATATGCTTCTATTTGCTAAATTGTAGCCTCTTTCCTGGAAAATTAAGGAGAATGTTTGTTTAACTATTGCTTGATGAAGGATGTTACTAGCAAACAACAACAACAACACACTAAGCCTTATATCCCATACTCTGGGGTCGGCTGTATGAAAAACTTAATAAGAGAATCAGGTTAAGTTTGAGTTTGAATCTTCTTGCGCTACTCATTTCTATCAACAACCATTTTTCATCTAATATTTTGACCATCATATCGTTTTTAATTACTTGCATCCATATCTTTCGTGGTCTGCTTCTAGATGTTTTGATCTCTTCTAGATCTAAAGACTCAATTCTCTTAACCGGTGCATAGCTAGGCTTACGCTTTATATGTCCAAACCATCGCAAACGGCCCTCTCTCATCTTCTTTTTTATTCGAACAGCCCTTAATTTTTCTCGAATCCCTTCATATCTGATTTTGTCTCTTCTAGTCTTACCATACATCCAAGCATCCTCATCTCTGCTACGTTCATTTTCTTCTCATGTTGTTTCTTAACAGCCTAACACTTAGTTTCATATAGTAATGCAGGCCTTACAGTTGTTTTATACAATTTTGCTTTTAACTTTAAGTGCCTCCTTGCCTATCTTGCTTGAATCCTATGTTTGATATTTGCTTCTATCTTAGTATCACTCTAAATAATTGATCCCAAATATCGAAATTGGCTACTCTTTGGTACTCCCTCATCATCCAATTTAATCACACTAGTACCCACTTTCTTGTGACTACTAAACTTTAGTTCCATATATTTACTTTTAGATCTACTCAATTTAAAACCTTAAGACTGCAATGTACTCTTCCATAATTCTAATTTCGTATTAAGGGCATCACAAGTTTCAGCAACTAAGACTATATCATTAGCAAATAACATATCCCATGACACCTTATCTTGGATACGTCTAGTAAGTTCGTCCATAACTAATGCAAAAAGGAAAGGACTTAGTGTTGAGCCTTGATGTAATCTTGAGGTAATAGGGAAGCTATCTGTCATGCCCTTAACCATCCTCACATTCGTTACCACTCCTTTATACATATCTTTAACTATGTTGATGTACTTTAAAGGTACTCCTTTCTTCATTACGGCCTACCAAAGCACCTCTCGAGGAACTTTATCGTATGCTTTCTCCAAGTCAATAAATATCATAAGTAGATATTTCTTTCTCACCCAAAAACCCTCCAATAAAAGCCTCAAAAGGTGGATCGCCTTTGTTGCGGGGCATATTAACATAAACCCAAATTGGTTTTCGGAAATAATGACCTCACTTGGTAACCTACATTCAATTACTCGCTTCCAAAGTTTCATAGTATGACTCATAAGCTTTATTTCTCGATAGTTCAAACAATCTTGTACATCACCTTTATTCTTGTATAAAGGCACAAGAGTGCGCTTCCTCCATTCTTTTGGCATCTTTTGGCTACGCCAAATTTTGTTGAAAAGATCCTTCAACCATTTTATCCCTATTTCACCCAAGCATTTCCAAACTTCAATCGGGATTCCATCTGGTCCTACAGCTTTCTTTAATCTCATCATTCTCAAAGCCTCTTTAACTTCGTAGCTTTTAATATTACGTCTAAACACATGATTTACATCATGTGAAGGTATGTACGACCCACCTATATCATGCTCAAAATTGCTATTAAAGAGATTATCAAAATAATCTCTCCATCCCTTTTTAATCTCCTCATCCTTCACTAAAACTCTTCCGTCCTTGCCTTTGATGCATCTAACGCCATTAAGATCTCTACTCTTCTTATTCCTCATCTTAGCAATTTTGAACAGTTCTTTTTCTCCAACTCTTGTCTCTAGTTTTCTATATAACTCCTCATGGATCCTACTCTTTGAATCTTGAATAGCCTTCTTGGTTTGCTTTTTTTTTTTCCTTGTACTTTCGATAACTCTCCTCATCCTTATTATTCCATAAATTTTTATAACACTCCCACTTAGCTTTAATTGCCTTTTTCACATCCTCGTTCCACCACCAAGATTCCGTTCCTAATGGTGCCTTACCCCTAGATTCCCCAAGTGTCTCTTTAGCAACCCTTTGAATTCCGGCTGTAATATTTTCCCACATTACTTGTACATCCTCAACAGGATTCCAATCAACTTCTTTTACGAGTCTATCCGTAAACGCTGCCATTTTGTCCCCCTTCAACCGCTTAATATGTGTTACTAGCAAGGATCTTATGTTTGTCAATGTTGGATTTCAGAATAAGATTATTGACTGACCATCAGTGACATTATGAGCTTTTGTGGTGTTCGTTTTACTAATGTTTTCCAACTTTAAGGTCCTAAATTTTAGAATGAGACAAATGTATCTAGTCATAGTGCGTACATGGATTTAGGGTATTCATTCCTGTTCTCATCTTTTAATTTGATTTTGGGCATTTCCTGTTTCTCATTCTTGTCACACAGCTCTATAATTCTACATATTAGATTCAGATGTTTTGCGTGGTTATTATTTTATAATTATTGGTACATTTTAAATTGTTCTTTGCAGGTGAAGGAGCTGACTGAGCAATTTCCGGCTGCTACACCTCTTGCTTTGGTACTAAAACAGTTCTTAGCAGATCGTAGCCTGGATCAGTCTTACTCTGGTGGCTTAAGTTCATATTGCCTGGTGAGTAATGTTTGTGTGTAGAAAAGAACTGAGACATTGTTTCTAACCAATTTACCATAGAAATTTATGATTTGACCATCCTGCTTATGTATCTGCAAGTATATTTACATACTACAATAAGATCTTCTTACAGATTAGCTTAATAATCTAAGTTTAAGAGCACTTTCTTCTAGCTGTATTTGCTAGTTTACTTTGACATTCTTAAGACTTATAAGTTGGGTGAGCATTGGCTGTGTAGCTATGAACAATGCACACTAATTCTGAAATTTAAGCTTATTTGCAGCTTAACTGTAGATATAACTGCTTTATCCATTACCTGAGCCATTCAATTTTCAGCTGCAAGATTTAAGTTGGAAAATAAAGATAAAGAAGACATTGACTTTCTTCATAGCTTTCTGCTAACTTTTGCATAGATATTAATGCGTTTACTGAAGTTCCACTTTAATCTGCCACTGGCTAGGACAGTTTATTTATTGGATGATAAATTCATTGAGTTTGTATTTATTTGCTTGCTATTTCATACATGTTGTAGGTGTTACTTATTATACGTTTTCTACAGCATGAGCATCATCTTGGACGGCCTATCAACCAAGTAACTTAGTACTTTAAATTGTTTTTATGTTTTTCTCTTTTCTTTACTGATGTTTGAGTGCTTATAGCTTTCATTTATCTTCACATTTTTCATTTTGCTGGACGGGAATAAATTTTTAATTCATGCTATTACCATAGGGATTGAAATATCTCTTTTAAATGGTTCTTTGTAGTGAGGGAAATTGTTCTTTGATTCAACATTGATAAATTGAATGATGATATTCTGATGCAACTTGTGGAGCTGTTTTACAGTGGTTTAATCTGGAGGTGGGAGGTGAAAATGTTATTCTACGCATTGAACGTTTAACTTGAGAGCTTACCTAATGCCAATGCTGTACCATTCTTTTTTGTAATATTTTATACTTAATATTGCCATCAATATGGGGGACAGCTTGGTGGGATGAACGGAAAGACCCTCTACTGGCAAGTTTAGATTATTGATTAGAGAATTGAATTATGGATTTGATATTATAAAAGGATATTGATATTTGATCTGGTTCAGAGATGAAATCTTTTAATGCTCTTTTTTAACTTAAGTTTTTGTTATCTGTGTCTCCTTTGTGCTGGTGGTAATAAACAACTGCTTTTGCCTAACTTGAACTCAGTGTTTCTTGCAGAACTTTGGAAGCCTTCTAATGGATTTTCTTTACTTCTTTGGGTGAGTCAAAAGCTTCCAATGTTGTTTTTATTTCTGTGGTAGTTGAAAACAGTTTCCTGACTGCTATTGTACTGTAAAATGTTTATGAACATTAATGATTTATTATTTCAATGCCTGATGGCACAGGAATGTGTTTGATCCACGACAAATGCGTATTTCTGTGCAGGGAAGTGGAGTATATATAAACAGAGAGAGGGGTTATAGGTAATAGCAATATTTTCATTTGCTGGGAACTGCTTATAACATGGCTGCTTCTCAATATTCTTATCCTTTCTATTGAATGCTGATGATTTGATGCTTCTATTGTAGCATTGATCCTATACACATTGACGATCCTCTTTTTCCAACAAATAATGTTGGGAGAAATTGCTTCCGGATACATCAGTGTATCAAGGTCAGTCTAAGAATGGGTTTTGATTCATTAGCTTTTGACAGGTAACTGGCCATGGCATGATTACTGCTGTTAGGTTGTCTTTACAGTTATTTACAAATAAAATGTTTCTTTAAGTTTTACCATAGCTTTAAGGAGGAGAAAAGGAAAAAAATAATTCTTAACTTGCTTCTGAGAAAAGAATCAGTGGATTGTAGTGTGGTTATCTCTTCAATTAAGGCACATAATGGCCTTATACAAAATAGTAGTAACACTGTAAGAGAAAAGTTTTGGGAAGACATTGACACTTTTAGTAAGTAAAGGCTTGGCTTACTACTCTATGGAATGTATAGGATACAAATATTAATAGAAATTGTGGTACATTGTTAAGCCATATCTCTATGAGCATAATCTTTCTGGCAGCATTAATATGTAACTGTTTGAGTATGGGATGTAACAACAATTAAATGATGCTTTTCAGAAATGCGATTGTGTGATCACTAAAATTTCTCTATTATGTCTTATAAATAAAATATTTTGTAATGCAGGCATTTTCAGAAGCATATTCTATTCTGGAAAATGAGCTTACCTGCCTATTGAGTAACACCGATTCAGGTTTTAACCGACCATGCAGATTGCTTCAAAAAATCATCCCAAGTATCACTTTAACATAGTGGCTTAGTTGTTTGATGAATCTTCATCATCCAGAAGGTACTTTTTGCCCATATATTGTTGCTTAGTTGGAAATATATAATTTAGGCTTGTCTGAAACATTCTTATGCTAACATTATTTATGTAAAGCTGAAGCCTTCACACAATGGGAGCTTTGGGACTTGACTGTTTATTGAAAAGTCCCTTGGGAATAGGCGCTAAGGTGATCATTTTGATTGCTACTTATTTAAGATTCAATAGGAAAACTTCTTCTTTTTGATAAAAATTTTAAAAGCAGATTTTTCCTTTGCATTAATTTGTAACTTTTAAAAAGGAAAATCTAGATTCTTCAAGAAATTTATGGTGTTTGTGGAAGATATTTCTGCTTCACTCAACTTTTGGTGTAACGCACTGCAGCTTAATCTTGCAATTGATTATTGCAAGTGAAGGATGCTCCAGTTTAATGGTTAAAAATTGTTTTCTATGGTTTGACCTTGGTCAAAGCAAGACTGAAATGGTGAATATGTAAGTAGGCACTATTCTTTTGGAGATCTTTTACAATGGAACTGTTAAAAATCTGATGCTACATCATGCGATCAGTTTTTAAATTTATGGTTCACAATTCTAAGTTCAATTAAGGAATTTGGTATATCCCAACCTTCTAATAACAATCCTAGTGTAATGAATCTGTGTAAATCATAATTTTTATGCCATGTTCGAACTTTTCAGTGGAGCTAGGGAGATTGCTTGTGGAGTGTGTCCATGATTAGGAATTGGGCTGCTGTTATTCATAATGTCATAATTTAATGTATATCTTGATTCTTGCTGCATTTTTCTGAGTATAGTTGCTTATGCTAGAAAATTTTTGCATGACAGTTTCTGACTCCCTTGCCAACCTGTATTATCATATTGCAAGTGCTGTGCCATGATTGACCTGATAGTAGCACAGAAAGTTCTGAGTTTTCAACTGAGCTGATTGTGGTGCTGTTGGCCACATATAGTATCTGAACTGAGTTCAGCAATGTGCACGAAGCATTGCAAGTTCATTGTATGAGATGCTGTAATTGTTATGTAGGTACTCAATTGACTTCTGTTATTTAGACTTTCATTCCCAATTTTCTTGCCTTGCTCCTTGTTTGTCTTTTAAACTACAGGTTAGGTCTGTCATTAAAGATGGATGCTTGAATGTAGGATAGAGAATCAAGATGGCTGGAGTAGTTCACTTGCCGTCCTAAATGGAACAACCTATACGGCTGTACCTAGGTAGCAGGTTGGCGACCAGAAAGTAAAAGGGAAAGACACAAATGGGCCAAAAAATGGCTGTTTATAATGGTAAGTACACACCAGTTATGTAAATTTTGCTGTTATGACCATCGCAATACAATGCTCTATTAGAACCAAATTGATCGCCAGGCATCTTTCTTTTTTGGCATAGAATTGAACCTTTAATGGCCAAGTACCGGTCTCGGAAGACATTTCTGTTAGCAAGGAAATCGTTGATCCATACAGCTCTGCTGGTTAAGTTAGATATGCACTGGAGGCCCATTTTCAAGTTTCTCCTTCACGTGGGTTTCAACATGGGATTCTACGGACTAAGGCTCCTTTGAGCACAGTGTCTTAGGCCGCAGATTGCTCTCACAGGGAACTGCTGTTTGAATTTTTGGTAATGATGTTAAGCCCAGGAATAGAGTGGGGCATTAACGCAGATTATTTAATACCAACCTTTAATGGATCATGCTCTTTTTGTGAATTTGCTTTGGTTGTGTACAAACCCCATTTGGTATTGGAAAATTATGGCTCCATACTTCTCCTTTATCATCCAATGACTCCATACATTTCCTTTCAAATTCCTCAATTTAAATAGTAGGTACTATTTTTTATTGGTAACAGTTGCAAGTAGGAAATAACATTATAATCAAACGAAAAAAAAGAAGCAAAAATATGTGCCTTGAGATAATCATACAATTATACAAACCTTGAAAGATTATTATTGTTAGTATTGAGAAGAAATTAATAGACTCTGTAACATTTATTTTGTTTTCGAATTCTTGTTCATGTCCCGGCCAAGCCCATACGAAGTCAAACCCACGGGCCGATGCCTACCACAAGAGTTAGGATGCAGCTTTTGCTTGTTTTTCTTGGGGCGCTTGGGGATACCGATTATGGGCAGGAAAGAGAAAGCCACCTCCTAAAGTTGCTGCCCAAAGTCCAAACTCATAGGTCCCAGGCCCCCGGTTCAACATCTTTGATTTTCCCTTTTCACTTTTTGACTGCCCCTCCGAGAAAGTTTGGGGACAAAATATAGCACTGAATTCCAATACTACGAGGTTAAATAACACCAAAATAAACAATTTAACAATAAAAAGAAAAAAAAAATTCTCTTCCAGCTGTTTGTATGACCAACTTTTGGCATTTGGTGTAAAAAAAAAGAACGACATTTTCAAGGAGACAAAAAATCACATATTCCTTCTTTTAGAATTGTTATGTTTTGAACATTTTGAATGCTTATTTATGGAAATACCAGACAGAGTTACTAGTACCATTCCCCGTAGAAGATTCCAAGGAATCATTCTCAGAATCATCCCCACTCCAAAGTCTCTCTTTCATTTTCCTACGCTACGGTGACAACCATCCACTCATTTTTGTGTCACAGCCCCAAATCAAGGCAAGTGGGAGCCTAGGGACCCATTTCGTGCATCATTCACTCTGATTGACAGAAATGCTCACGAGCATGTGAATTTAGTCCTTCCTTAAACCTATGTATGCCTGCATTTAATTCACTATATATTCTATAAAAGTTAATTTAACTATTATCACATCGTCGAGCATTGCCATTGGTCCAATGTTCTTAGTATGACTGCAATAATCGAATATGCTGGGAATTCTCTTACCTCAACGACTCTTTTATACTTTTTCTAACTGCCACTTCATCACGCCAAGCATATGCTCTTTGATATTCTACTAATCTTTTGCCAATAAAACCAATTCATCTACCATTTCTTCTCCTTCATTACCGAGCTCTCTTTTACTATTCCAAAATCTTCACTGCCATTCAATTTTCTGGGTCAGTTGGAATTCGGACAGGCTACTCAAAAATGAAGTTTGGGAAGAGATTGAAGCAGCAAATTCAGGAAACGTTACCAGCTTGGCGGGACAAATTTTTGACTTACAAAGAGTTGAAGAAGCTTGTCAGATTGATCTCTTCGGCTCCGCCGGCGTCCCTGGAGTATGGAAAGGCAGAGGCTGAATTTTTGTACTTGTTGAACAATGAGATCGACAAGTTTAATACCTTTTTCATGGAAAAAGAGGAGGACTTCATCATCAAGCATAAGGTAAGTAAGTTTAATGCTTTTTTTATTGCATTTTTCACCCTTCCTCCGCCTTTGGGTGTATGATAGAATTACAAGAAAGCTTGATCTAGGCCACTAGCAATTGTGCATCCCAATAGGAAGTCAATTTTTATTTACTTTTTTAACTAGAGCATTCACAAAAAAAAAAAAAAAAAAAAGAAGGAAAAACCTTCTTTTTTTTCATGTAAGAGAAGAGAGTAACTAAATTAAAATGACACATAAAATGAATATTTATTTAAAGATTCGATATAAAAAAATATAATAAATAAATTAAAATAACACATGAAACGAATATTTATTAAAAGATTCTATATAAAAAAAGATAATAACTAAATTGAAATGACACATAAAACGAATATTTATTTAAAGAACTTTTTTTTTCGATATAAAATAACATATTATCTAAATTGAAGTAACATATAAGAAGAATATTATATGTACCGTTTACGCAAAATTTATTCTTTACGTCGGTTGTTAGTACTTAAATGTTTAAAGTTTGAATTTAATATGATATCCGAATTTACATTGGTTGTTAGTATTTAAGTGTTTAGAGTTCTAATTTAGTTAATTAATCATTTAATTTAATATGATATCCGAGTTTAGAGTTCGAATCTCTAAAAATACTTCTTTATTTTTGTTTAAATAATTATATTTATAAGTGAGGAACAAACTTCAACGATGCACAAATCTTTGTAAAAAAAGGTTCAACTGCGAGAGGCCAATCTCGTTCTCACATTCAGTCATAAGAATGGGCCATTTCTCGACTATAAAGAGACATATATGCATTGATCACTTAAAACTGAACATCACAAGGTTCACGGTTGTTGCTAGAATTCCAATTGCTCGACACTTGGAAAAAAACATTAGTAGAACTTTAAAGCAAGGGTCTATGGATTCAGGAATTGCAACAGAGGATTAAGAGAGTGATAGATACATGGGGCCCTAATGGAAGTAGGCCTTCAGAAGCAGAGTATAAAGATGAAATGGCGAAAGTTAGAAAACACATTGTCAATTTCCATGGCGAAATGGTCCTGTTAGAGAATTACAGCAATATCAATTACACAGGTAGTGAAAGTCACAAGAAGCTTTCTTCAATATTTTCGTATGTCTTAATCCTGTAAAAATCAGCCATTTGTCTTTCTTTGGTTGGTTAATTTACCAGGCAATGCTTTGAGTTGTGTAGGTTTGGCAAAGATATTGAAGAAATATGACAAGCGAACAGGTGGATTATTGCGCTTGCCCTTTATCCAGAAAGTGCTGCAGCAACCATTTTTCACAACTGATCTTGTTTCAAAGCTGGTTAAGGAATGTGAAAACACCATAGATGAAGTCTTCCCAGCAGAGGAAGAAGAAAGGACAAAGGAACGAAGAGAGGCAATAACGATAGAAGGGAAAGGGATATTTAGGAATACAGTTGCAGCTCTATTGACCATGCAAGAAATTAGAAGAAGCAGCTCCACTTACGACCACTTTTCTCTGCCTCCTCTCAACTTGCCCGACTCCGATCTCATACACTCGTTCCACCTCACGTCTCCAATCCCCATTCCCTAATGAGAAAACAGAAAAGGAATTTATGAAACATGTTGCCATGGATTCAGAACACATAAGTACACCTCGTACTTTTATTATATATGATGTTCTTATAAAGTTTTTTTCCTTTTTTTAGGATACAAATGCTGCATCCTGCAGTCAGTTACCAATACATTTGCTTTGGGTGGTATAAACAGATTGATATGTTTATGATGATTGATCACTGCCTTCTTACATCAATTTCTATATATATATTTTTTCAAAATATATGCTTAATTTCAATTTTTTTTGTTCCTTATAAATTGTGATCAGTTCATGAAAACACCTAATTGCATAGGGTTTTATTCATAATCTTTCACTCACAGATAAAAAACCCCAAACATAAATAATAAAACAATTTATTTTTGCTTCAATTTTAGGTTCCTTAAAGAAACTTGATTATTTACAAGTGATAGCCTCCCTTCAATTTTAGTTCTCTCCAACCTTGTTAATTTCATTTTATGTTAAAAATTGCTAAATTGCTTCTTTGATAAAAGACACACATTCTTGTGATAGTAGCTTAAATCTAACATAAAAATAAAATGTTAGTTTTATTAAATAAAGTACACATATGATATAATTTTAACATAAAAAGGAATTTTTGTATATAATTATGTTAAGGATACAAATGATTCTACATCTAATAATTAAATATTGGATTATAAATTTATAGGTAATGATCATCATTTTTTACAGAAGATTTCTTTCAAAATGGCAGGCTGGTTCTGAATTAAGCCCATAATTAAAAGCGAAACCTGGCACCTGTAAGCCTGCGAGTGTTGATTTTTTGTTGCATCCTATAAAAGTCGAGCCCAACTCATGAAAAATCAAAATTCAATTCCCAACATGTCTGGTCGGGCTTGATGTTCATGTAGCCCGTGTACTAAAAACCATGGCCCGGCCTTACATCCAATCTGTTCTGATTTCTGACACTGCCACTAAAATTTTCTTTTTTTTTTTTTCTGCCAGAAAAAATGTTCTAAGAGGAAGCATAGGAAGAGCTTGATTAGAGGCGAGCTTACAAGTGTTATTATAGGATTTTACCTCATCTCAGCAAAGCAACATCGTCCCTGGGAAATGAGGAAGAATATCACCAGGAGCTAAGGGAAATTTGTGGATTCCATTTTCTATTCAACGAGGTAAATCGTGATATTTTTTTCTTCTAATGGAGAAGAAATTTTTTCAGAAAGTACCTAATGTAATTTATTTGATTGAATTATACACAAAAATAAAGTTTATTACTTACAAGTTCCAACACTAATTTGTGAAATTCTCTTTTTGGTTTTTCTCAACTCTTATTATCTATTATATTATATTAATCCAAATTCTTAACTCTCAAAATTTTACTTTGTGATGTGATTGGGATTGTTTCATTTGGAGATATGGGTGCTTTTTGGGTTTAATTCTTAAGATTTTGAAGAACTTTATGTTGGTATTATGAAATTTATAGAGGACCAGTTGTTCATGAAAGAAAATGAATGAAACAATTCAAAGAATATGGTTTTGTAGTGTAAATAGTAAAATCTAGTTCAAATATTATAATTAGCCTTTAGTTTTACGGAGATTCGGATCGGATGTATATTTTTTTTCTAGTCTTTGTAAGGAAAAAATATCTATGATACAAATTCCCTATCTGGGTAAAACATCTTGTTGCTCTTGGTTTTGGGTAAGTAGACATTGCATTGCCTTCTTGGACTTATTGCTGCCAGGTTTCAGCTTTTACTTTGTTGAGGAGATGCAAATTTGTTATACTTGTCACTACTTTTAGATGCTGAAAGGTGCTTCTTCATTATAGATGGTTCTAATTATTGCCATGTTTATAACTACTTGGACAATTACTATACAAACTTTTATTTTTATTGCTTCTTCCACTGTATTTATCCAATCAGGAACTTTTGAGAGTGGAGAGAGTGTAACTAACTATAGTGTTTTATTGACATAATTATTTATTTCTTTGCAATTACTTGAACATTGAGTTTGGAATACTCTTGGAAGAGTTAGAGTAAACCATGATATTGGAGCATAATACATGAATTCATGCATAAATTTCTATGATTCTACTACGAGAATTTCAGTAGGAAACAGCAATGAGCAATTCTACGATGTTTAATCTTTCAGGCTGAAGTTTTCCTATTAACATCGTATATATGTTTCAGAGAATGAAAACCACTTCATCTTATCAAGGCTGCTGAAGACATCAATTATGAACCAAGCAATGGCCACCCTGGCTCAAGCTCCTTATACCATGTCCATGAATAGAATTCCTCAGGTTCATTTGAAAAGCCTGCAATTGTTAAAGGCCTCAAAGGTGCCACATGTGCTCGCCTTCTGTCGTACTCACATACACATCAGACAGTCCCCTTTTTGCTGCTCAAAGTTTTCTCAGTGGGAACCTTCACCTGTGACATATGCTCCAACTGAAAAATCTGGTGATAACTTCTTGGAAAGATCATCTGAATTATTTGAAACTCTGCATTCTGACAACAGAGATGAGGCTTCAGCAACTGATGCTGAAGATCTCACAGATACAACCAATCAACCAGTGGTGCAGCTTCAGTTTCTTAAATGGCCAATGTGGCTGCTGGGCCCTTCTCTTCTCCTCAGCACGGGCATGGTACCCACTCTGTGGTTGCCAATAACCACCATATTCCTTGGCCCAAATGTGGTCAGCCTTCTTTCCTTGATTGGACTTGATTGCATCTTCAATCTGGGTGCAACCCTTTTTCTCCTCATGGCAGATTATTGTGCTCGGCCAAAGAACCTGAGACAAGCTTCCATGAGCAAGCCTCCTTTCAGTTACCAGTTCTGGAATATAATTGCAACTTTGACCGGACTTGTGATCCCCTTGATGATACTGTTTGGATCCCAAAAGGGCTACCTCCAACCTCAGCTGACTTTCATCCCATATGCAGTTCTATTGGGTCCCTACGTTCTGCTTCTGTCAGTACAGATGCTGACTGAGATGTTGACATGGCATTGGCAGTCACCAGTTTGGTTGGTGACCCCAGTCGTGTACGAGGCTTACCGCGTGTTGCAGCTGATGAGGGGTTTGAAACTTGGGGCTGAACTCAGTGCACCAGCATGGATGATGCACACTATCAGGGGCCTGGTCTGTTGGTGGGTTCTGATTCTTGGTGTGCAACTCATGAGGGTTGCTTGGTTTGCTGGTTTTACTGCTCGAGCTCGTCAACAGCAGTCCTCTGCTTCTGCCGATGCCTAATATAATAGCCACTGGTATGTTAAAGCTGAAAAAAGAATTGTGGCTTAATAAACAGATGTATGAGTATAAAAATCAGATAAAAGATCTCTACACGTCTTTTTATAGTACCTTTCTTACTAAGCTAGTCAACATACGTGTGAGAAATGTTATTTACATTGAATAGCTTATAGAAATGTTTATTTATTTGAATGTCACAAATGATGGCGCAGAGGTTTCAATAGGGTTTGACAGAAGATGTAAGTCGCCAACCATTTGTATGCGACACATTTGATAGATGGAGGTGAAAATTAATATGTTCTGGTATGTTTGAAACTTGAAATGAGTGTATTTGGGGTCTCAGGTGGCTTGAATATAGGATATGATAAGCTTGGTTATGTTTGAATGCCTTTGTTTGACAACAGAAAAGGCAGGAATTTTGTGGGAGAGATTCGATCTTGAAATGACGAGAGGAAACATTGTGTTAATAGAATCTTGCCTAAATATCATGTTATCTTGTGATTTGATAATTGTAAAATTATAATAAAAAATTATTGATATTATTTTGGGATTAAATAATTTTAAATTTGTAGTAAAAAAAATTACGAAGAAATATTTTATATATACAACAGAAAAACCGTGCTAAAAAATATAAATTCTAGATGCCAAATCGGTAACTGCTGTCAATTTATTTCTGAATTTCCCTTTTAGTTTTTATATATGGGTTGCAATATTTTTTTTTCCCCCTGGGAAAATGATTTTCGATTTAACAATAGAAAAATTAAAAAAAAAAAGAAAAAGAAAAATTAGGTTTCCCAATTCCTTTTCCTCTCGTTTCGTGAGTAATTTTTAGGTTTCATTTGTTTTGCAAAACATATTTTTGAAAATTTTTTTTTACAATTTTAGGTATTTATTTGATAAAAAATTTATTGATCAACAAAAATAACTTACCAATCAATAAAAATTAAGGTCATTTTTTTAAAATTATTTTACTTATTTTCTTTAAAAAAAATTTTTATAAAAAGAACTGTTTATAAATATAACTATTTATTAATATTTTTTAGTATAATTTTATTTATAAAAAATATTATATAAATAAATAATATTATATTACAATATATTAATAAATAATATTCATGAATAAATAATATACTATTAATATAATATATTAATAAATGACATAATATTAATAAATAATATATTAAAAATATTAATATAAATAAAATATATACTAATATATTAATATTAATAAATTATATTATTATAATAATAAATAATATTATATTAATAAATCATATATTAATAAAGAATATTATAATATATTAATAGATAATATACTATTAATAAATAATATTATAATACAAAATAAATAATATATTATTAATGAATAATATATTAGTATATTAATAAATAATATAAAGAATAATAAATACTTTTATTTTAAATATTTTTATATTAACATAATATTTTAATATTAAATAGTATTATTAAAATATAATTATTTTTTAATATTAATAATTTTAATAATAAATAATTTCAATATATTTTAATCATAAATAATTTTTAATGTTTTAATGATTTTATTAATATTATTTGAAAAAATGTAAATTTTTTAAAAAACAATTAAGTAACAAAAAATAGTTTTATTAACTTATGTAAATAATAAAAAAAAATTTCAATTAAAAAATATAACTAATTTTTAAAATTATTTATCGTAAATTATTTTTTATGAAACAAACGACTCCACTCCACTCGTAGGTCCAAATCATTATCGGGAGACAAAAAGACAATTATAGCCCTAAATGGAACCGCATGATACTGTACCAAAAGGAACCGGAAACAACCGCAGTCAAGTCGAGAGCAAGACAAACATCAGTGTCCAACGCTCTTGCTTTCCAGCTCTCTCTCTCTCTCGATCTCTCGATCGAAGGCCGGTCGCCATTGTCTCAATTCCTTCCTCTCTCTCTGTCTCTTTGCCTCTGGCCGGAGAACCAGAAATTGCACCACTTCTCCGAAAACTGGCCGAAACCCGCCAATCTCTTATATCTCCTGCGGCCATCTCTCCCGATCCAATCACGATGAGCACTGGCGAACTTCTCAGCATCGAGCCTCAAGAGCTCCAGTTTCCCTGTAAACATCTTCCAAACCCTTTATTTTTAGAAAATTTACAGTTTGGCGTTGCTTTCGAGATCCATATCTTATCGGTATAGGTCACTTTTTCAACTTTTTTCGAATTCTTAACATTTGTTGTTCCTGAATTAGTTGAGTTGAGAAAGCAGATCTCGTGTTCTCTAAACTTATCCAACAAGACCGACAATTATGTGGCTTTTAAGGTAATTATGTTATGTCTGTTACTTCTTTGTTTTTTGTTCCGCAAAGGTTTCTGGTTTAAAAAAAAAAAAAAAACCCTTCTTCTGGGTAAATTTATTTGGGATTTTGTTGTGACCTGAGAAGACTTTGATTCTTAATAGGCTATGTATCTTTTATGTGTGTGTTTTTTTGCAGGTCAAAACGACAAACCCAAAGAAGTTCTCTGTAAGGCCTAACACTGGAGTGGTGCTGCCTAGGTCTACGTGCAACGTTATTGGTCTCTTTCCTTGTCCCCCTCTCACAGAAAATTTGGACTTAGCTATCATTATTTTAGTTAATCATGTTGTAGTATTTTTTTTTTCTTGTCATGTTAATTTCATAGCACACAAAATTTGGACTTAGCTGTCATTATTTTAGTTAATTATGTTGTAGTTTTTTTTTTTTCCTTGTCATGTTAATTTCATGGCAATCATTAGTTCTATTTTCAATTTTATAATTACTTTTTTCCATGGTTACTTATTGGTTTATTTATGTAATCAGTTACCATGCAAGCTCAAAAGGAAGCACCTCTTGATATGCAATGCAAGGATAAGTTTTTACTTCAGAGTGTGGTTGCTAGTCCTGGAGCTACACTAAAGGATATAACTCCAGAGATGGTACTTAGAACTCTATTGGATCTGATTTGAAAAATGGGTTTTGTTTTCTAACTGTTTGCTTCTGAATGTGTCAGTTTAATAAGGAATCTGGGCATCATGTTGAGGAGTGCAAGTTGAGGGTTGTTTATGTTGCACCTCCTCGGCCTCCTTCCCCTGTTAGAGAAGGATCTGAGGAAGGCTCTTCACCTAGGGCTTCAGTCTCGGACAATGGTAGCTTGAATGCTGCAGAATATACGTCTGTGAGTATTCCTTGTCTTTGTGTTTGACATTCAATATTTAGTGTTGATCGGTGTGTACCATTGAAATGTTAATGGGTTGTATGGTGGCTATATGATCGTGCCTGCAGGTGCCAAGAGCTCACGTTGAGGGGCATGAACCTCAAGACTACTCATCTGATGTAACTTCTCTCTCTCTCTCTCTCTCTCTCTTATTGGTATTTTTAGCTCTGGCCTTGGAACTTTATGGCCTCTTGTAAGGAAATTGGGCAGATTCCATCTAAACCAATCAAGTGAATGCCATTCATGATAGCAGTTCTTCATATGTTGGATTTTTTGTTTCCATAAATGGCATAATATAGGAAAATAGCATAACTAATTTTTCAAATTATACAAGTTGAAGAATGCATTAATGATACTGGTAACCATACTTCCATACTTCATCTTTGGGTGGAAATTTTCTTGACTTGTGTCTTTTTCCCAAATCAACTGTCATCAAGCATAATTTAGTTGACCTTACTGATTTTGAGTTTTTGAGTGTGTTAATTTACAAGGTAGATTATCATTATCATTTACTTATTATGGGGTTCATTTCTTCACTTGGAGGAATGCCTTCTTTTTAAGTTGGAATCTATTTGGTTGTCATTATCTTCTTTCAAGATAGCTAGGTGTCATGGTCAATTTTAATGAAAGTTACTAACTTAGCATCAGGCTGGTGTTTGCAGGCCAGACATAGTGGTATACCCTTGGATGCCATAATGACACTTCTTTTCTTGTTTCAACCTTAACTAGTTCACATTGTTTGTAACTTTGTTGTCTTTTAATTAACTTCTATGTAGAGAGAGTGATTCCCTAGTAGTAAGTGAATTATTTTCATGTTAAACTTCCTATAGTAGGGCTGAACATGTCACTTGGATGGTGATATTATCCCAATTGCTTATTCCTTCTTCTTGATGTGTCTTTAGACCTGTTCATTAGGGCTATTTAGGAATGTAAAAATGTGAACACTGTCAACAAGGATATGGAAGGACTCTTGTCTCCTTTTCTTTTGATATGATTAAAAGTCTCCTATTATTATGGACAATCCTGTTGTGCCTTAAATTCCTCATCTAGATGGTGATTCTGAACACTGTTACGACCCTGCTAGGTGACATTACCTTATTTAAGCACTTGGATTAGATATAATCTCATAGTTGTTTTTTTATCCTGATGGCAATTAACGATCACTTCTCCTAGATTGAAAAACCAAAAAAAAAAAAAAAAAAAAGTTTCTCAGAGTACCACACGTTGGGGTACTGGACTCTGATACTGGAGTACACTAGTATGCACGCATGAATGCCAACAACCTCCTCTAAAAACTTATAGAAGAAGTTTGTTTCATTTAAGCTGAACACTTATGCTAGGTACCACTTTTAAAATTCAACCTTTGGTGTTGTCTTTTCAAATGCACTTGATGTGAGAAAATCTTTTATCATCACATTCACGTTAATGGTTCTTTTACATGATTTAATATGATAATAATCTTGCAAGATTGAATACAATACTTTATGGAGGGCAAGCTAATTCTGTCAATGTTCCTCTTTCCTCTATCACTGAAGCTATTCTAAAAATTTACAATTATCCAAAAAAAAAAAAAAAGAAAAAGAAAAGCTTTAAAGATTGATGTCTTGCTGTGGCATTTTTGTTTTGAAAAATAATTTTAATTGCAGACAAGGTCTCTCATTACCAAGCTAACTGAGGAGAAAAACTCTGCCATTCAGCATAATAACAAGCTTCAGCAAGAACTGGTAAGTTACACCCTATTTTCTAAGAGTTTCTTGCAGTGTACTTAGAAATTAAATCTTTGTGGTCCTCAACTAATAACTAAAAGGTTAAGGAATTAAGGACCAATATCTAGTACGTTAGCTATATTAGTGCATCATGATGCATCCATCGTCACTGTCCAGTTGTCAATAACTTGTCATTGTCCTTATGTTGAAACAGAGAATGAAAAAGAGCTTCTACAGATGGTTAGAGAGAGTTTAGAAGGAAAATGGGGTTTAAGAAAGAATAATAAGAGAGAATGCTGTGGACAATTTGTTATCCCGTCTTCTAACATCAATACGAGTACCCCAGGGTCATGTTAATAGCTTCATTGCAGCCTTACATTGAAAATTAATTTGCAGGAACTCTTGAGACGTGAAGCCAAAAGAGGTCATAGTGCTATTCCATTCGTATATGTAATTCTTGTTGGCTTAGTTGGCATCATTTTGGGATACCTCTTGAAAAGAACATGACTGCCAAGTTACCCTTTCGTTCTTTGACACAACTTAATGGCTGGAAAAATGGAATGAAGAAAATTGGAAAAACAAATGTTTTGACTGATGAGTTGTAGCTATTGTTGAATGTACTACTTACTGGTCTGGTATCGACGCTAGAAAAACAAGTCCAATGTGTGACGGGTAAGAAGCAACTTTTGTTCATTGTATTACTGTGCTTTGACATTAGATCTTTCAACTGGGAATTACTTGGTCATTATTGTGGCCAACTTCTTTAGGAACAATTTTGCAACTGCATTTATCCTTGAATTTTGGTTTGAGAGATTGGAATTGTAATCACATGTATGTGCGTGACATCTTGGGTATGGATTAGAGGTTTTGCCCCTCAGACCCTCTTTCTTTCGAAGATGAATAAGTCTTAATTCTTCTGAATTCCAATTTGACTGTAGGCATTCCATATTATTATTTCTATTGGAAAGTATGTTATTCACGGCAAACTCCGCTGGCTACAAGTAGAATTTTTTATTGGATATTTGAGTTGGGGGCTCATTTAAACATTGTCTTCATTTTTTTTTAATCAAATTATAACATACATTTGTACATGAAAGCATTTATCTAATAACTCATAGAATAAAAGAAAGGAGAGTATTGAAATTTATAATGTGATTCTTGATCACAACATTCTTAACCGTTCAGAAAGGAACAACTTATGATGGAATAAGCATTGGAATCCGTTTAAGAGTTTTCAGATGTTCGTAACATGTTGCATCTGCTGACAATCTTCCGGAAATCATCAAGATTTAGCTGCAGTGGAACCAGTGAGCAATTAAATAACAAAACTCAAATACATTTTGAAGTCATAGATGTGTATGAGCTGCAATGAGGGACTCATTGGCTAGTTGGCTGCTCAATGACATGCTTAAGAACAATTAGTTGGCAAAGTTAAGAAAGAAGGCAAGCAATACATGTGAATCGTGGTGTTAATGACAATGGTTCAAGAGAAAATTATTGAAAGGCCTACATCTTTGGTAACGGTAACTTTTGGATGAAAATACAAGTATCTTAACTGCTAGTCCTGCCGATTTTGCTAAAACTAACACAAAGATGATCAATGCTTTAAAAAAATGTATCGATTCTAGCTAACATACAAAGAGATTTAACTTATTCTACGTTTTTCTTTTACTCACATAATAAATATCAAGAAGAAAAGAGAAGGTGAACTACAAAGAAAGGAGAGTGATTGATTAGATCATTACAATGCATTTTTATCAATATTGATCATATAGATATTAATTTGTTGTGGAAAAAGATTACTAATTAAAATAATGAACTGACCTTCCCATCGCCGTCGCTATCAAAGCAATAAATCATATCAGACAACTCCTTATCCGTCCACATAAAATCATGTGCAATAGCTACTCTTCGTAAATCTCTCATAGAAATGTTTCCTTTGCCAGCTTCTGGTAGCCAACAATTCTTAGTCATTGACCAAAATCATCTTCGACAATAGCAATAACAGAAACAGTGTTACATGTAATGCTACATAATAGATATTGTTGTGATAGAACAAATCCTTACAGATTTGAGGAACTATTTTCATTAGCAAAATAAATAACAGGAAACACAAAATAAAATATAGCATCTCAACCTCCACTACAAGATTCTGTTGGCCTATAGATTTTTATATCTTCAAGGGTAATGCTAATGCAAACCAAATGGTTCCTAGTTTCTAAGTTTGCGATGGCAAGATTACTTTGTTGATGTTGTGCACCTCCGAGAGGGAGAGAGAGAGAGAGAGAGAGAGAGAGAGAGATGGCAGTAGGATCAGAAATTACCATCAAACTGAAAGAAATGCACTACCATTTCATCCTCAGTCATCTGCACACGGCTGGTGAACTGTGACCCACAAATGAAAAGAAAACCAAGAGAATATAAATTAAGGGGGAAGGAGAGCCAAATAGAGTAATCCTTGAAATCTACACACGAATTCTGAAACAAAACAAACCGATTTTTTCCTCTTCAATTGAGCATTCCCCTTTCTTTCGGTCAAAGTAGCATGCTGCACATCATTACGTACAGCACCTGAAACTTCTCCATAATCTTGCAGAGACAGAGCAATTGCCTGCACTCACAAAAGTTTAGTCAAATAGTCTTGGAAAAAAAAAACTAAATATTTAGAATAACGGAAGATCAAGGTTCCAAAAGCTGGGCAAAATGCTCTACCAAGCTCAAAAACCTAGAAATGGAAACAATATTTGCTCCATCAGTCATTAAAACGGACCTTCATTAATTCATCATCATCATCAACGTAATCCGAACTACTCAAATGTTTTTGAACATGAGCTTTCTTCTTGGGTTTTGAGACTTTATTTTTCACCTGGAGAAAAAGAAAATCAAAGAGGTATAAAGTCGAACTATAACTCGATGGCTCAAGGCAAGAAGTAGAGCATAAAACCAAAAGAGATTCATTATCTTTTAAACATTAAGATAGCAGTTCTTATTACACTATAAAACAACCAACTTTTTATCATCTTATTTCACCAAAACAAGCAAGAAACAACCAGATAGCAGCATACAAGTCTTAAAAATGCGTATCATTCCCTAACAACTTAATCGAATGTTGTATTGCTTTTATGATTTGACCAGGCTTATTGTTTAAAAATTTTACATCTTAGGCTCTTTAAACGAATTGTTTCTGTGAATTATTTTATCCAAAAAGAAGGACTAAATTGTAGCTGAGTACCCACCTTGTTTTTACGATACAGAGACTGAGGCGTTTTATTACCCGTAAAGTCCTCATCATCATCACCATCAAGTTTATCATCATTGTCATCGTCGTCATCGTCATCATTGTCATCCTCATCATTGGGCCTGTAATCTTCATCATCCTCAACAACCTTGCGTTTCCCTTTAAGCTTACTCGAATACGGACTTGAATTTCGCGACGAACCCATCAAAGAAGAAGCCATTTTGGACAGACCCAGAGCCTCCATTCTAGCTTTGTTCTCTGCAATTCTCGATAATCTCTGCTTCTCGTATTCTGATATACCCTGCTGTTTTTGCTTGGGGTTTACTTCTTCTTCTTCTTCTTCTTCTTCTTCGCTTAACTTCTCTTCACTTTCACTTTCTTCTGATCCAGAATTAGAGACATTGCGTTTCGACATTGTGTATTCTAATTTCCCTGTAGATTTCTGGCGAGACTTTGATTTTAGAGGTTTTCCTTCTCAAGGGTTTCACTTCTTTCCGTTGCTTTTCGCTTCTTATTTTTTTTGGATGATCTTGCCCCTCTAATTTTTGCCACAAGATTTGTATTTTTTTTTTCTCTCATAACAAGAAGCTAAAATATAAAAAGATGTTTGAATTATTTTATTTTTAAATAAAATTTTATATTTTTATATTTAAAAAGTATTTACTTGTTTATTATATCTAAATAAAATTTTATTTTAAATGAAAATTATTTATATTAAGAATTTATTTAAATATAAATTAAAACTTTATTCGGATGAAATTAAAATTTAAATATAAATTAAAAATAAAAATATTTAAATATAATAAAAAAATAATTTTTATTTAAATAAAATGATGAAATTTAAAATTTGTTATTATTTTAGGATAATCAAGAAATAACATATTTTTTAAAAAAAAAATAACGTCATTTTTCTCTAAAAGAAAAAATAAAGAATGGTGTTAAATGCATTTTTTTAAATCCTTATTTATTTTTAAAATTTATTTAATTATTTTTTTATAGTTTTTTAGAGTTTTATATCTTTTTGAAAAATTATAAAATTTTTTAAAATAAATTTTCAAAAAATTATAAATTTTTTCATAAATTTGATTTTTTGAAAATTTATGTAAAAGAGAAAAAATAATAAGTAATTTCACTTCTAAAAATTAAAAAGAAAAAAATGAGATGGGAAAAAGAAAAGATTGGATTGCATTTAACAGCACTAAAAAAAGTAACGCCATTTTCCCAATTTCCATAATTATCCCCGAAGAACGAAGTGTCATGAACATGAGGAACCCAACCGTTCCCCGTAAAATCCGAGAAAAATAGAGATAAAAATAAAAATGGTAAAAAAAAACACCAACAAGGCAGGACTATCCTCTAACCTCGAAAGCCTCGAAACTGTCCCTGAAGTTTCCAACTCATTGCAATCGTTCAACAGCAACGAGAATATGAGTTCAGGTTTTCCCAAATAATAGCATAACAAAAACCATTTTTTTACTCTTTTATTTGCTTCAATTTTTTTATGGCCTCTTTCGTTGAAATCGATCGGTACAATCTGATTCCACTCTCGGTAACTTCTCTTTCCGGTTGCCCATGCCGTCCCTTAACCACCAAAACCCTAACTCTCACTCGAAGAACTCCTAAACTCAAGCTTAACTTAGTCTTTCATGGATCCCAATCAGTCTTCCCGATTCTTCCCACCCGTATTTACATCAACCGGCGGTTTATTACGGCCGTGGCTCGTGCTGAACCGGAAAGTATCGATGAAAGCAATGCCAAGGAGGTACTTTTAGTTATAATTGTGGACGTATTTATCTGTTATAAGTTCAAATTTGTATTTGTTTAACTTGGAACTGGATTTTGAAACGTTTGAATAATCTATTTGTCGCAGTTTTATTTGTTAATGTAAAAGAATATGAAATCCTGAAGACTTAAATTCTTTAAGAAAAGCAAAAAAAAAAAAAAAAAAAAAAAATGAGGAAAACTTGGGTGCTAAGGGATTTAAATTATGGAGAATTTGGAAGTAATTGGTAGGTAATAGAAATAGTCATAAATAATGCATGAGTAATTTTAATCTAAGTTGTAATTATCAAGTTTTGTCCAGTCGATAAATGGAAACTGTTGTTCAAAGATGGTTGCTGAGACAGTTATGTTGTAGGAAGTTGACAGAGGCCATATGTTACCAATGGTGAAGGATTCTCTTGCTGAGCAACAACATAAATCAAGTCAGTTGAGGAAAAGGATTGTTTTTGGAGTTGGTATTGGAATCTCAGTTGGAGGTGCTGTATTAGCTGGCGGATGGGTTTTCACTGTGGTTATGGCTGCTGCTGTTTTCCTTGGTGCACGTGAGTATTTTGAATTGGTTAGGAGCCGTGGAATTACTGCAGGAATGACACCTCCTCCACGATATGTCTCACGAGTTTGCTCTGTTATATGTGCTTTCATGCCCATTCTCACGTTGTAAGATCCATGGATACCTTATGTTCTCTTAATGTATCACAAGGCTATCGACTAATGTTTTGGTTTCAGTGTCTTTATTTGGAATGCTACATCTTGCCTTCTAAAGTTTTTAATTCCTAATTTGCAGATAAAATCTTTTTTAAAATATTTGATGTTGTAATTTATTTAGCGTTTCTGCTGTATTATCAGGTACTTTGGGAATATTGATGTTTCAGTGACATCAGCTGCATTTGTTGTGGCTATGGCATTGCTCTTGCAAAGAGGAAATCCTCGTTTTGCTCAGCTCAGCAGTACCATGTTTGGGCTATTTTATTGCGGTTACCTCCCTTGTTTCTGGGTTAAGCTCAGATGTGGTTTAGCTGCTCCTGCCTTGAATACTAGTAAGAATTTGGATTTTCACACTTTCCTGCTAGTAAATCTAAATATTGGTCAAATTTATCTATGAACAGTGAACACTGATATCTGCTAAGTGATCAGATTAGAACTGAAAGTGGCATTTTTTTTTTTAAAATTCCGAGCTTATATACTGCTTTTGCAAAAAACTTGGTGGTTTGAATAAGGATTTTGAAGTTTCTGAATGATGGATCTTGAAGTAGCTTTTTTTTCCCTAGATGTGAAACTTCATTTATCTTTCTTTTCAGCATCTGGTTCATTTGTATGTATGGTTGAGGAAAGGGGAATGGGTTACGATTTTTTCACCAAACTGTTTTACCCAGTAGCTTCTTTTTGACAGGAATAGGAGCTGGATGGCCTTTTCTTCTTGGTGGTCAAGCTCATTGGACAGTAGGCCTTGTGGCAACCTTGATTTCTGTCAGCAGCATAATAGCAGCAGATACATATGCTTTTTTGGGTGGAAAGGTATATAGCCTTGATTAACAAAGTTCTTGTTTCGCTTATTTATAAACTTTAAGATGCCCTGAATGCTATATTGTTGCTCAGTGCTGCTGGCATCACTTTATTAGTATTTTTTTGGTTATTTTTCAATTTTCAAAAACTACAGCTATTTAAATGGCATGAGGACGAATTTTTCCTTGTATTTTAAGTGGTGGATATATATCATCCAATGACCATGATTGTGTCTGTTCCCCTGTTCTGATGCAGGCCATTGGCAGGACACCACTTACTAATATAAGTCCAAAGAAGACATGGGAAGGAACCATTGTTGGCTTGGGTGGTTGTATAGCAACTTCTGTTGTATTATCAAAGATTTTTAGCTGGCCGGCATCTTGGCTAAGGTATTTAATCTATCTCATAAGTAATAATGAACTAAAGATTTTGTGATCCAAAATTTCCGCTCTCTCTCACACAGAGATACACATCATAATTTCAAGAGCACTGGAATCCATTCCCTCACAAGACAAGTTGTCTGAGAGTTCTTTTGGTTTTTTTTTTTTTACTGCTGATATAGCTCATGAATTTATTAGGTTTGAAAAATGGTATAAAGTATAGCAATAGTGCAAGTTATCCTTATTCAAAGGACCAAAGGGGTATAAATTGATTTATTTTTATTAATATGTAATGTGATGGTTAAATCCTTTGGTGCTTATTTACCTTAAATGCATGCAGACATCCATCAGTCAATGTGCACGTAAAAGGTGTGAATTCTGAAGATTTCTGTCCTTGCACATAATGCACATGGAATTTGAGTAACAATGGTGACTGATGATTTTTTTATTATTTTAAAGTTAAACCAAATCTCTGACTAGTATCACTGTAAGCGATAATTGTTAATCACTCCAGAAGTCAAAATGGGGATGAAAGGATTGCTTTGTTATCTAAAAAGAGAAGTGGGTTCTATGAAATTGACGCCACATCTATGTAACTCTGAAAATGTAGTCTTTTTATTTTTTTGTAAATTTTAATTTCATATACTTGACATATTCTTTTTCATTGATGTAGTGCAATAGCCTTTGGGTTTCTGAACTTCTTTGGGTCTGTTTTTGGTGATCTTACCGAATCAATGATCAAACGTGATGCCGGTGTTAAGGACTCTGGTTCCCTAATACCTGGGCATGGTAATTATCGTTACTCATGTTTAAGTTTTATGATTAGTTATTGAATTAACTTCCCAATACTCTGAAGGTGAACTCAAAACTTTAAATAATTGAAAGAGAGGATGCTGTTTATGATTGGCTAGAGTAATTTGATACTTAATTTGGGATTCATGGATTGTTTCCGCCTCAATTTTGTGTTAAAAATTTGAGAAACTTTTTCAATCTTTATATTAACATTTTTTGTACACTTTCACGCAGGTGGAATACTTGACAGAGTGGATAGTTACATTTTCACAGGTGCACTTGCATACTCTTTTGTCAAAATCTTATTACCGCTTTACGGAGTTTGATATGTAAATTTTGACCAATAGCAAGAGGTAGAAATTCTTCTGTGTATTTTCGAAACTAAAAGGAGTGCAGAAGTACATTTGATGGATATATGCAAAGGTAATTCCTTCCTACTTGCTCTTAAGAATCCAACAGAAGGAAGCGGAGGCTGCATTTTGCAAATCTGCTGGTCTCCGTCTTACCTGATTATCAAGTACAGGAGTACATTTCAGATAACACCTTTCTTAAAAGATCTTCTAAGATCAATGTACGCCATTTAGACTTCACAGGGTTTTTGTTTAACTCGGATTACTGTGGATGTTGATTTATGGAAATTTTGCTTTGTAATAATAATGTAGAAAGAAATCAATTGGGCAGTTTTAAAAGTTTTTTGGGCTTTTTGCCCTTTTCATTGGCTATAACATACTAAGTCTATTTATGTCTTTAATGGACCCTCAATAAGGGCCCAATGTAATAAACTTTGATTTTGATTGTAGTCAAAACTATCTTTAGTCCCACCTTTCTGGTGGATTGGGGGCCCAATGTAATAAGAATGATAACAATAAAAAAACAGGGGTTTTTTTTATTTTTTAAAATTGTTTATCTCTTTGATTTATTCAGTTTTGTATCGTTCGCAGTCCGCACTCTGAAAGCAAACACACTTTAAACCACCTGGGCCTGGGTTTCACATGGCAAACCTACATACTGTTTCGTCGTCTAGCAATTCAAAGTGTAATAGATGGTCACATAACAATTATATAATATGGAGTTAGCTTCAATCTTTATCATAATTGAAATTGGTGGTTACGATAATGAAACTTGATGTTACTCCTCCATATTGTCGGTTCCACCTCTAATTTTAGCAACAAAAATATCATGTTCTATTTACTTTTTAGTACCATATGCCTTAACTTTATATATCTTATATATGCATGTATCTCAGAGTCAAATTTTATATTAATTTCTTCCATATATGCGTATAACATCATGACAAACTTTTATTTCGTTTATACTTTTTGGGATATACATACATTCAAATCTAAAGTTAATCACATGAAAGGTATTTATATATGGTCACTTATTAACATAAATTCCCATTCCAATCCTCTTTGAAGCAATTGTTTGTTTTATTAGGATAAATTAATGACAAAATGCAGATGTACATTCATCAGTTGTAGGGCTGAGTAAGATACATATATATACACATTCATCAGTTGACCCCATTCCAATCCATATATATTCAACCATGCATATATATGAGAGGATAGTTTCAGCGGCAACATGGATTCATCTTCATGATAAATGGTCAACTCTTTGTACCTTCTAAAATAATAATAACAATAATAATAATAGTAATATATAATAATAATTAACACAGTGTGGGGAAGAGAAAGTCGCCTTATGATCTCATGACCCGAATAATTTAAAAGAAAATGAAGAAAGGGCGGTCACCCAACTATTAATTAATTTGTGGAAGGAAAAACTATTGAAAGACAAGCCCCATAACATAAAAGAGGGCAGAGGCTGCCAAACCATTTAAGTTTCACATGGACTTGTCTAGTTGTCTGTTTAACATATAGTCTTTCGTATGCCAATCGAATACTGACAAACACCAATCCGCGAAATTATGTTTTTGCCAAATCAAAAATGGTTGTCCGTTTCTTCTTCTTCTTCTTGGTCTTCTTCTTCTTCTTCTTCTTCTTTATGTCAATATTTTTTGTTTTCTTTGGGTCCATTCCAAGAACTACTCAATTTTGGACGCTTGCGTCGGTTGTGAGTGCCACCCAACATTTTTAATTGCAGAAGATAAAAACAAGCAAAAAAAATCTTCATTTTATTTATAATATTGGACTTTGCCACATTGGTTAATTAATTAGATGTAAAACAAAAATCCTTTAAAATACCGCAATTTTCCTTTCAAAGGGTTTATAAAATTGGTGTCCTGATTGTTAAGCGCCAAATGGATATCATATCAACATTTTGCTTTTAAAAATCATATAGTTGCATTTATATATAATAAAAAATAGTTTAATTTTAATTAATTAAAAATAATACTACTATCATTTTTTATAATTGAATTAAAGGTAAAAATAAAGAGAGATCATATATAGCTATATATATAGGAAAAGAAACATTTGGAACAATGGACTAATTGTTTGACAATTAAAAGAGGCGATTGGGGAAAGAATTATAGTAACAACCAGAAAAATAATAAACATAGAAAATAGTATAAAGTATATAGGAATGACAAGAAAAAGATGAAAAAGACTTGAGAAACATATAATCAACGTTGGGTTGACATTTGATGAGATTTTTTCCAAAATACAAAAAGGAAAGATCAGAGAAGAAGAATGGGATAAAAAGAAACTTAGACGCTTGTTTGGAGGATAGACAAGTCATCCATGCAAAGTCATCCTGTGGAGCCAAACCCTCCACAAAATATATGAGAGAGAAGGGAGAGTCTTGAGCATGAAGAGAGAGGGAAAGAAGCCAATTGGGATATCGTGTTTGTTAATGGAGGGCCTACCATAATTGGCTTTTGACAACCATTGAGTGCCTACTTTTTAATTTTGGCATAAAAGGGAAAGTCACAACATATAAAAAAAAAAAATGTGTGGGACGCAATGATCGCGTTGTTACTAAGCTGACTAACAAATGGAGAAAGAAAAAGGAAGGAAAAGAGAGGGAGAGGAAAAAAATGAAGGAAACTAAAAGAAGAGTTGGAGAAGATCGATATGGTGGGCAAGCATCTTTAAAGTGAAGAATGAGAGTGAGAGAGCAAAAGATTGTCTGATGCAAACCCTAACTTTTCTTGCACACGCACACCCATGTATCTCAGCCATCCCGATTCTCCCCCACCACTCCCCCACCCCCAGTCCCCCACCTCATACCGCCTTTTGCTTTTCTTAGGCATATTTGCCTTGGATGCTCACAAGGTTTTTGGCTTTAGCTTCAATTGTTTAAATTATGATTTCCATTCCTTTTCTGTTTAAGCATTATTATATCTTAACTTATTGTTTGATTTGCATTCATTTTGGTATACCAAGTGATGGGTCTTGGAGCATGTGTGTTAAAAGGCTGCTATCATCATTGTTCTTTATACATGGCTCAACCAATTCTCACTTTTCCACTCTGTATATATTAGCTTCATTCTATTACTCAAAATCATTATTAGTATTAGTATCATTAGAAATGGGGTGCTCACATTTGGCAGATCAATGGGAAAGTTTTTCAATCTGAAGAAATCATGTACATTAATTGGATAATTAAATAGTAATTAATCAAGTCAAATAGATATAGACTAGGGTTAATAAGAAAGATCAAGTAATATCTTACACATGATAGACATCAAGAGATTGCTTCGCTGCTAAGGGAACGTCGTGAACTGCCTAAAGGGCTAAGAAGCAGCAAAGGAAAAGGGACATGATCAACTTCGGGCAAGATATCATATCCTGAAACTTCTGTCTTCTTTACAGCTTGTCGTAAGCAAAGATACGTTATAGGAATGTGCATGTTTCTAGTAAAATCGTGATATGCCTTGAAATTAATCAAATTAACGTTACCATTTAGGTGTATGTTCATGATCATAAGAACATATCTAATTGATGATGATTTGATAATAGTATATTAATTCTTATGATTAACCTTAATAAACTTTGTTTAGGCCCATATAATGAAGATTTTAGCATTCCAACGCACAAGTAATTAATTAGCTTGGTCACCTCAAAAGGGTTATTGGATCACTAGCTTTTTTTTTTGTCAGCCTTGTCGATATTCTTTACCCATGCAAAGGGGCCCCATTTGTTTTTCTATGCTTTTTCTAAGCAAAGATACGTTATAGGATTGTGCATGTTTCTAGTGACATCGTGGTATACCTTGAAATTAATCAATTAATCAAATTGACATTATCATTGAGGTATATCATCATGATCATAAGAAAATATCAAATTGATGATCATTTCAGATTAGTATATTAATTCTTGCGATTAACCTTAATAAACTTTGTTTTAGGTCCATCTAATGAAAATTTTAGCATTCCAACGCATCAGTAATTAATTAGCTTGGTCATCTCAAAAGGATTATTGGGTTACTAGCTTTTTTTTTTCTCAGCTTTGTCGATATCCTTTACCCATGCAAAGGGACCCCATTTGTTGTTCTATGCTTTTTGTAAGCTCTAGAAAAAAATGGAACTTAACAAGGGTAATTGTGGCTTTCGATGCACCCGAAATGGATACTGAATTACAGAATTAGGCTTTAGTTAGTGACCCACCAAACATGTTTTGAACTTTGAAGAGGACAAAAGCTGGCAAATGTCTCGAGTCTTTAGCATATCTTTGTTCTTCTAAACTAGTATAACTGAATCCCTTACTCGTAGGAGGCTTCTTCAAGACAAAAGTGCTTACCTCAATTCCTTAATGAAAAGTTGTTTATCATTATACTTTCCAGGGAAGGGTGATTCTTTTAGAGCTTCAATAAAAAAAAGTGTCACTTTTATGGTCTTCCATATCTAGAAGATGCCTAGCTAAATTTCGAGCTCTTTCTCTCTCTTGTTCTTCAATTCCCTAGAATCTGCTTTCAACTGTTGAGGTGACTAAAGGCAACAATGGCTGGTCCATCCAAGAGGGGCTTTGAGCCTGGTTTCTGTGAGAATGATAAGGGAAAGCTACTTTTCCTTGCATTTGCTATGTTCTTTCCCTTTCCTTCGCTCGAATGCGCCACGTACATAGGACCAAAAGCAAAGAAAAAAACGTCCATGGATGTTTACTTTAGTCACCAATTGCCATGATTTCAATATCTTTTGATAAAAGACCACCTCATTTCCGCCTCATGACTCTCTAGTTAGGCCTTAAAATGCCTTTTTTAGGTTGTTAAAAGACTCCTTCTATGTATTAGTCCTCTTTGTTTGATTTTTTTTTTTTTTTTGTGTGAAATTTTGATACGCAAGGAATGTGTCCTTGTTTCATGAAAGCTAATTGGGAGAGGCGGGGCCAGAAATTTTTTTGATGTGGGGCTTCCTCCAGTTTGTGGAGGGCAAGAGTTCCAGCTAAGTACTTAAGACGTCCCTTAAGCCCTGAAAATGACTCTACATTGTCTTTCTAAAATCCCAATTATGGATAAGAAAATTATTCTTTCTGTTCCTAGACCATAAAACTGTGCTTTTCCCAATAGTGGTTTTTGGAGCATCAACGTAATTTAGTGACCTTTCATGGCTTCAAAAATTAGACATTTCGGATGCGCCATATATAGCTTTTGCCCCTCATATTTATTTATGTGTCCTCGTAGTTAACCAAATGAGACAGCCATAACCTTGGCCAAATGAGCTTATGTTGGATTTGGTTTCCTCCATTATTTTTCTGTCAATTACTTTTTAATACAATTTTAATCATCACAAGTTTTTTTTTTCCAATTGATCGATGGGTCTACACATGTTAACAATACTGATAAATACATTAAAGAAAAATAATTAGTAGAAACTCAACCCTCGTACGTTTACTAACTTATATCAGGGTTTGATAACACGAATTCAAGGTTTCAAAGAGTAAAAACAAATTGGAAGTCTAGTTGATTTACTGGCGTAATGATTTAAGTATCTACTACTGCATTATTGATAGCTATATATCCGATAATTATAAAAGAGCAATGTTAAAAATAAAAGCATTTAATTGCTTGGAGCATAAAGACTCAATCGCATCTAGTAGAACTCTTCCTTTCAGAGCTTTCTCAAGTTTAGAAATTGGAATCTCCAGGGGAAGTCATAACTGACAAGAAAGCACAAACGTAGTTGAATTGAACATATGCATTTATACATCTATTAGTAAAAGCTATATATGAAGGCAAAGAAAAAGCAAGCACCCCACCAACGTGAATTTAGCAAGATATATATATATATATATATGTGTGTGTGTGTGTGTGTGTGTGTGTGTGTGTGTGTGTGAGAGAGAGAGAGAGAGAGAGAGAGAGTTTCGAAGAAAAGGGAGAAGTAATTCCAGATTATCAGGAAAACGAGGGAGAAAGAAAATCCCATGTCAGGACCTGAATGATCTTGGTCTGAGGTACACAACTATCCATCCATGGCTAGCCAAGTAGAAAACATTTTAGTACGTCCCATACACTGACTTAATCATGTTCTAGGCACCACCTTTGTAGGCAATAAAACCCACAAACAAAGCAATTTAATTTGATAACAATCAACTACCATAGCCGCACACTCGGCTTACAAAGTTAAAAGACCGAAAGCCTTACAAATAACAGTTGACATACGGCAACAAAATGTTTACATGCTTAATTAGTTAGCATAAAGGCTATTATCACATATAGCTAATCATACAATAACACAGTTCAAGACCCAATACATAATATGGCACCTAAGCACAAATAAATTAAGTTTGACTTGGTTTAATGTTCCAACAGAATTGAGGCTCCATTCTGTCAACCAGCTTTCAAAGGCTTGTTGACTCCCTGGTAGATAGGATGAAAATTGAGAACAATGCATGAAATCTCAAATATAGATATTGTGGTAATTTTGTAGTTTGATTTCTTTTACATAACTAATTACACGTTTCTCACCTCAAAATTTATCAATCTTGCATTAAGTTTAGATGTTTTTATTTGATTTTTCAATGACAAAAGAGTAGTTTTGTAACTTGTATAATTGGCCACTTATCTCTCTAATCATCCGATCAGTAAGTGTTGACCTCAACCACTCTCTTTCACTTTCTTGCATCGCAGCCCAAAGCTTTTATGACTGGTTGTTGAGAAATCGTAGACACATAAATCAGGGTTAAATATTTTGGCCATGGCGGGATTTGATCCTTGGTTCGATTAAAAGCTTCCTTTAAAAAAGAAATATTCTCAGTCTGCAGTGAGTTTCTCCCCTGCTGCAGTGTTGTCACCCACTTTGAGGCAATCAGATGGTGATTGTCCCAAAACAGCATGAATCGGACCGTAAAGATTGCTTAATCTTTGTTGACAAAGACACTTCAGTAGGACGGTCTGTAGGTGATCTGGAAATGGACAATTTTTATGTTCGTTTAATGGCTTCAAGCCTGACAGGAAGGTCAGATTCAGGCAAAAACTGGCCATATATGCCTTTCATCTCTGTCCGTAGTAGATCTTTGGACCGGCATCATCAAAGCAGCTTGTTATGCATTGTCCATACACGTGGCCTAAAGTACGATCACGACCATTCACTCTCCTGCCCCCCCCCCCTTTTAAGTGGAGAGATTTATCATATATTCATCGGTTGTCATTTTCAATCTCTGTCCCAACATTGCAGCACATGAGACAACCAGTCACGATCGTTTGATTGGGCTCTGGTGGACTTCTTGATTGCAAGATTTCAACAACAGGCCTTTGGGTCCCATATGCTTTAGCCAATGTATGTTCTCCGCTTGTTATTTGAAGGCTGTTAGGACAGGCTCCTTGGATCCGCATGTTGCACCTTAGAAAAGCTTCTCCTTAATAATTAATTAATAGGTAAATAAAGTTTTCGTCTTCTTTTTTATAAATACTAATGTTTTAATGAAAGTATGTACTAAGTACTAACTAGTAATATTTTTATACGAAGCATTTGATAAGATTTTTTTTTGTACCAAAAATGTTGTAATTTAAAAATAAAAAATATATAAACATTAAAATTCAAAATTTAAAATTTTCATCATAAAATTTACACTTTTTTTAATAGTGTATAAAAATATTAAAAATATTAAAAATAAATTACAACAAAAAGATTGATACAAACATTAAAATTTTCAGATCAAATTTATATTAGATTTGACATGCTAATGAGGTTGTTTTTTAATTGTAAAATGAATTTATTTTTATAATTGGGTATATAAAATATTTAAAATCTCTTTCTTATGGTTTTTTATTTAAGTTTGGTTGTGACGTATACTTATTAGCATGTTCATAAGAATTTATGGTAAATTTTTAAAAAAATGAAAAAAAAAGGAGTATTTCATTTATAATTTTTATTATAATATTATAATTATTTGATTATAATAAAAAATTATATTGGTTGTACATAAAATTTTAATAATTTTCAAATAATTTTAAATTATAATTAATTATTTATATTATAATTATTATAAGTAACACGATCTCGAAAAAATAAGTAGCTATTCGTAATTATCTCATAGCTTAACATCATAATTGATTCAAGGAAAAAAAAAAAAGGACAACAAGATGGAGTGGTGGCCACATGCTAGGCACGTGCCAACTCCACTTCCAAATTCCCGTATCCCCACTTGCAAAACAAGTTGCACTTGCTCTGTATTTCTCCTCTGCCCAATTCTTCATATGTGCTATTGCCACCGCTTACCAAAGAAACACAAGAAATCTGGCATGGCAATTTGAAGTATAAAAAAAAAAAAAAAAAAAGTTGAAGCACCTGTCTTAATCATTGATTCAAGTAAGGTGAAGAATTAAACAGACTCAATAACAACCGGGTGTCACCATCTTCAACATTGACTGACCCCCACCCCCAACTCCTTTTAACTCTCAAACAAATTATGGTATTTGGTAACAAATCAATTAAGGAAAAACAATCAACGAATCATATGAATTATATTTAATCCCAAAGTAATTTCTTTATATAAAGTATTTCAGGATAACAACAACGATTAAGACAACCATACACATCAATCATCATTCAACATTTTCTTTTATACGAGTACTGACTAATTCTGTGTCCCAAGTTTATTAATTAATAAATACATAAATTTGAAGTCTTATTGCATATAAATAAATAATTTCTCTTATATAAATACTTTATACTACTATATATCTTACGCTATCACACAATAAATTATTATTATAAGGTTGTTGCAGGTAATTGTATATAATTTATTAATAAAATGCTAAATTTTTAATTTCACTATTTAATTTTTGATAATCTTAAATAAAAAAAAAAAAAGTTATTTTAAAATTGTTTGCAGGCCGATTAGAATAGTCTTTGAAGCTGACGCATTGAGTTTTTGTTTTTCTAATAGGTAAGAAATTACTGGTAGCAGTTGTCACGATAATATTATATATCAACGCCTATTAGTTCAAATAATAAGAAATTTAATTTTTTTTAAGTAAAATTTTAATTTCAAATCTTATGAATAAAAAAAAATTTTAAAAAACTTGATTTCTTTACGAAATTTAATCCGATTTAATTTTGAATTAATTAAAATCTAAAATAATTATTAAATAAAAAAAATCTCAGACAAAAAAAATGATAATATTATATAAATTTATTATTATAGGCAATGAGCCAAAATATTTCTTTCTCATTAGTCATATCCAACATGGCCTTTATCCTTAAATAATATAATATAATTGCGTTTCTACAAAAAAGTTTAGTTAGATTATGAATGAACTATAGAGTTGAAAAAAGGTGCAGAGTAAAGAAAAGATTTTAAACTAATAATTATGTGGGGGTCCAATGGTACAAGACCCATGTGACCTCATTAGGGGAAGAATTAAAAAAAAACTAATTTAATCATACAATAAAACAGCAAATTCAATGTATTAATAATACAAGTGTTGGCATGCATAAAATATCATCATACATTATTCCATTTTTTTATAAAATTAAAAATTCAAAACTATAATTAACTATAAATAAACCAACATAATGAGCTTAATTATTTATTGCACCCACCCCTATATTGGACACATTGATGACAAATAAGCTTTTGTTGATGCATGAACCGGAGGGAATTTAGGCCTAGACCTGATTCGATCGTTTGGACCTTCGGTGCCATAAATCTATGAACCAAGGTTCATGATTAACGCCAACACCCTCAAGTTAAGCCAGTTTAGCAATAAATCTTCAGCCCTCGTTAACACAAAATCCAGATAAATATACCTTATCACTTTAATAATTGTGCTTATCAAGAGTGTCATAAAGATGATCTGATTGCAAAAGCTAGCAGAAAAAGATGTCTAACAAGCTTTTCAGCCATGGGTTTTCCAACCAAATACTTTATTCAGATGCAGTTTGTAAAAGACAGCGATCAGTTACTTGGCGCCGCTTTCAGTACAAATTAACGTAACCAAGGTTCATTTACTGCCAGGAAAATCATTAAATTGAAAGTTCAAACCCTTTTTCTTTCTTATGTTGCAGAGGGGGGTGGGAGGCGTGTTTAAGGGACGAGAACTACTTCTCCACACAGCAGAGTTGCAGATTGAGTAGGAAGTACAATAGTTCTGTCCTAAACCTGTACTTAGAATAGAAACTTGCTGGTTTATGAAGTTTCAGGATTTCCACAAACAGTTGAAATTATCATATCCACAGTTCGTCCAACAACAATTCACTCTATTGATGACTTGATCAAGCAATTGAAAGATTAGAAAGAAAAAGCTACTAGCATCCAAGCAAGGGCCAAATAATTTAATTCCTGAGGTCAAATTCATTCTCCTTTTCCCATAACTTGTTTTACCTTGTTGTCAAGCTTACAACAAACAATCGCAATATAACCAGGAAAAAGAACCAAAACAGTTGAACCCACATCCAAAGAAACAGACTGAAAATAAGAAGAAAAAAAGACTGTACAAAGCCATTCAGTTACTAAAATGTTTGGTTTTTGATAGGAAACAGTAGACCTAAGGCACATAGACAATTAGCTTAATAGAACGACAGGCAACAAAAATTGTAAGGCAAAAGAAAAATAAAAAGATCAGAAACTAAAAGCAGTAAGTTATGAAGCACCTTCGCAGCAAAGTTGAATTGGTAGAACCAATATAAAAAAACTCCCCTCCTCAGCACCTCCAAGCTGATGCAGCAATTAGCTCTCTCCTCTGCCAGCAAAGAACAAGTGAAGACTGCCTCTTCTCCACATGGAAACCTCTAATTGGAGTCCGCTGAATTAAACACTCAGCTTGAGACTCCGTGAAATTACTGAAAGTCAATGGAGAGAATCCAGATTGTATAAACAGACTCCTCCAAGCAGGTGTTCTTTCCAGGGACCCATGTCGACCCAAGACAATCTTCTCGATACCAGGTTGAAGCAAGAACCTTTCAATCTTTTGCAAGGCATCAAGATTCATATTCACAGCATCAAGGGACTCAAGGAGACCAGAATAAGATTGGAGGGCATGGATTATATGGTGAGGAAATGAGACATCAGTTCTGTCGCAACCCCTATCCAAAGAGACCACGATTTTGGGTGACAACTGCTTTACAAAACGAAGGACCAGAGGGAGGGCTGAAGGGTAATTAGAAAATGAACCAACTGGGAGATTAACTGCAATTGCTTCATTTTCAGGTAAATGCAGAGGCAACGGCCAAGAACCAGAATTCAAGGACTCAAGACTGATTATTTCAATCTCAAAAGCCATGTTGATTTCGCTAGCAAAGTGCTTAAGATTATCCTGAGTGAAACCGAGTTCTAGCTCGTCATGAGTGGATGGAGAAGCAAAGGCAGTGATTTTCAAAGAAGGGCCACCACCATTTCTCAAAACTAGTTCCTGCATCAAAGAAGCCCATTGCCCACCATAACCAATATCAAAATCAATTATGTGAATTCTACTACACCCTTCAAAAACCTCAAGAAGTGCTTGGTTGCAAGTAAAATTGGCGAACTGAATGATTGGAGAAATCTCAGAGAATGACTTATAAGCACCAATCTTGAAAATCAAGTTGTACGTGGACAAAGCCGATGCGTTGGTAGCATTCAAGCGAAGGAGTAACTGTAAAGCCTCCTTGAAGTAGAAAGCAGCCCTGATAAAGGGCTTACCTACAGGAGAGAGCTGTTGATTGAGCCGCGCCAATATCCCTTGCGCGAGTACCGGATTCCCGGTTTCGATCAGCTCTGCGGCCTGGATTAGTTGGTCAATTATTGCCTGCTGAAGCTGCTGGTTCGCCAATTCATCATTAACTATTTTCTGTTTCGTTGATGCTGTCATTCCAATTGTCGTTGGGCTTTGCTGAAGCATTTGGAGCTGCTGTTGTTGGCGACGAAGATAAAGCTCCTGTCCTGAACCCGAAAATGGAACCTTTGGGACCTGATAGTTTGGTACACTTGAGCCAGAGTTAAGTCTCTTTGGTGGTGGTGGTGGTGGTGGTGATAAAAGATGATGTTCTTGCAATTGAGCATAAGAAAGTGGCAAGAACATAGCCGGGTTTTGAGTAAACTGCGCTTGATTTTGGTTTATTATCACCTGTGGATTATAAATCTGAGGCTTTTCATCCAAAGCTTCGAGGGGCTGAAGCTGCTGTTGTGCAAAGACACCAGGAGGGAGTGAAGTAGGCAAAAGATTTTGCGGTGAAGATGTAAATACGGGATTTGTTGGGGTTGAAACCGTACCAAGCCTTGTAAAATCAGAGCAACTTACAGTAAGAGGAGGGTCAATGTTGCTTACCAAATTGCCACCACCAGTAATGGACTCAAAGGTGAAACCTTGATCCACCACACCAAAACCTGCATTGAACTCCACATCTTGAGACCCACCATCTGACTGGAGAATCCTGTTTAATCCCATAGAAGGGTCTTCAATATCACCCATGATTAGCCTCAAAATGGATTGTTCTTGACTAGGAGACCCGGACAACACACTCTCCCAATCCTCCATACTCAAGCCACATTTTTCCGTTCCAATATCTACGGACTGGCTGTTGTTGTTGTTGTTGTTGTTGTTGCTGCTGCTGCTGTTGTTGCCGGAGACAGCCGCCTTAGCCGCCACGCCGGTGGTGTCCGTGGAGGCAGCACCGCCGCCGCTTCCGCCGAGAGAGGAAGACAGTGTTGAGGAAGATGTTGGAGGACTTGGACTTCTAGTATCAAGAACAGACGTGGGCTCAATGCCCACATAGCAGCAACCTTCCTTGTTGTTTTGCCACTTTTCTTGTAGTTGTTGGTGATGCTGGTTTTGGAGAAAAAGTGCTGAATCTGAGAAAGAAGAAGTAGAAGAAGAGAAATCTAACGCCCCCTTCCCTTGAAACTCCTCAAAGGGTAAGGGCATGGCCTTCATCTAAGAAAATCAAAAACAAAAATATCCTCAAATAACCCAAGTACCCAAAACTCTCCAGTTTCCAATAATCAACAAACCACCACCCACCTGTTTATACAACAAAAAGAAAGAAAGTTCGAAACCAAAAGAGAGATGGGTTAGTTTGAATACTACAAATAAGAAGTTCAAAAAGAGACAAATTTCAACAGGAAAACCAACTCAAATTTTGGAGGATACACTTTCCAAAAAAAAAAACATACTCCTACCATGCAAGGCTTAGCTTCTTCTTCTACTTGAGCTTTCTTGCTTTTAACCCATGGATGTTATTTGTACCTCAAAACCCATTTTTGGCACCATCTTTTCCTTTCTTCTTGTTCTATGCCTTTACTTTGGAGTTGGGTTTTTTTTTCTTTTTCTCTTCTCTTCTCTTTTCTTTTCTCTTCTTCTTGAGCCTTTGTAGAAGTACTCTGTCTTCCTTATGTTTTCTGCTATGGATGCGTGCAACATATAAAAGTGGTAAAGTGCCCTTCATCCTCTCTCTCTTCCCCCATTCTTTTCTTTCTCTCGATTTTTTTTTCTTGATTTTTTTAATTATTATTTACATGTTTTATTTTTTTATGTGGCTTTTGTCTGTAGACGTAGTTTTCTCTGTGGTAAAGTTTCTGTCGTTCATTTTTCCCCTACTCTCACCTCAACCGCCGTGAAAGCAACTATTCCTCTATTTTTCCATTTCACGAATTTTGTTAAAAAATCAAGCAAGCTTTCACTCCGTCACCTTCTTTCAGGCGCGTCAAGTCCTGTCTGACGTAGTTTATTTTTATTTTATTTCTTTTACAGGGAAAAGGTGAACGAACCGGCTCAGAAGTTTTTTTTGTTATTTATTCATATCCTTGTAATACCCTTCCCTTGTCCTGAAATGTTGGGGTCATTTCTGGAGGTATTTTGGGAATTTCAATGAACAGAACCTGCTGGCCTGGTTTTCGAAACTGAATCTGACGACACTAGATAATGAGAGTGGCTCTTTTTGAGGGTTTGAAAATATCGAGAAGGTTTTAACGGTTGAGATATTTTGGCTGAGCTAAAACTGTGTGGCTGTGATTAACTGCAACCTTTTGTTTTTAATTTTATTTTTGGTTATTAAAGAATAAAAATAGTTGAATTTCCAGTCAAGTCCTGAGTTCGACTGTTGTGGACCATTGGGTTGGGGCTCGTTTGCATGAGACGTCGTTTTCTGGGTCCAGTAAAGCAGTAAATAGTTATTTTTAGGAAGGTGAAGCGCATGGTTGTCAATGTATGATTCAATTATATCATTTTATCAGGTTTAAATAAATAAGCAGAAATTTGTGGGATTTAAAGAGTATTAAAAAACATAAGGTTTGGTACCCTAATGTTATTTTATAATTGGATTCAGTTATAAAATGTAATTACGAGGTGATCAAAAAGCTTTTCTATCATGCTAAATGAATCTTTAATTTTTAGGATAATCAAATGTTTTTCGGTGGATAATTGAAGTTGTGTGAACTAATAAAAGTTTTTGTTGGTTTTCTTAAGCATAATAAAATATTGATTGAAGGCTAACAAACCCAATTATCAATGATTTTTTAACGAAGATCATGTCTCAACAGTCACATGATGATACTAAAACAATAATACTTTGGATTAAATAATGAATGTAAGAGTATATATTATAATTTATGTATTTATATTACGTGAAATATTAAAATTTATTTATTTATATTATTTTTTATAAAAAATTATGTCCAAATAAAAATATATAATACATATTTTATTTTATTAAATTTATATATAATTATTTTAAAAATTTTAAATCGTATTATTTTTTATTTTGTTACATTATATTATTATATCATATTTTAAATTATTAAATATATGTAATGATAAATAAAAATTATTGTACGATGCTTTGAATCTAACAAATGTAACGTGGACAATTAACCCATCTTGGCTTAGGATTTAATGTATTTTGGTTACTTGTATTGTTTTGGCCAAGATAGGGAGCAACTACTCTTTGCTAGTTTAGTCATTATTGCAAGAATTTATTGAATTTTATGTTTGATAATTAATATTTGATTGATTTTTCCACTCGAAACATGTCTTTAAAATTTAAAAAAAAATCCAAATATTAAATTTTTTATATTTAAAACTGTCATTATTGAAATTAAAAATGTAACAAGTTTAAATAGTTGAGGTAATACGAAAGAAAGATTGGCAAAGCTGAAGGGGGTTGTTTGGAGGGTGGGATCAGTTAACTTGTGCTTCTGCATCATGCAACAATTAGACGTAGAGAGATACGTCCTCGGATTTTCCATCTTAATCAATAGCGACTAAGAAGCAAGGAATAATTATTGCCTCAACCTTGATATAATAAGCTAGATTTCATTGTTTGCCATCGTAAAAACACTTCAAAGAAAACAATATCTCATCCATTAACTTGGTTTTGATCATATTGTCCGCCAATACCTGATAAAACTCGAAAAAAAAAAAAAAAAAAAAAGAAAGAGACTCTAGCTCTTCCCTTAAAAAAAAAAAAAAAACTACTGGAAGCAGAATTAGTTGTCTGTGAAGGCAACATGTTACTGAAAGTCAAATAATATCATTAAAAACCAAACCCTAAAGGGTGGGACATAAATTTAGAACAATGGGTAAACCTTCAGGTTGTTTTCTTTTGTCTTTTCAACTTCCATGTTTCAACATTTTTTAGCCTTCTTTAATGCAAATTTATATCTATGTTTTAACCTTAAAAGAGTCAAAGTTGCTATCAATTTTGCCTTGCTTTTTTCTCGATGAATTTCTTGGGATGGGCATGAGTTTTGTCTACATTTGCTTTAAGGGTCACTCGCTCAGAATCAATAATGTCACTTTCCCTATATAAACCAATGATCATGAACCATGAAAATGAAAAACAAAAAACACTTGTGTAATTCATCATCAAATTGCACTTTCTTGTATCCATAAGTGGGCAGTGGTATAATTAATAAAATTCATGTGAAGATTTGCATAAGTGTATGAAATATTATTAGTATATGAAATGATAATAATGAAAAATCCAAGGGCAGGTACTTTGGCGGTCTATTTGGTCTAGACAAGATTGAAATTTGGGGTAATAATGTGGGGAGGGCCGGAGGGGAGAGGAGACATGCTTAGGTTTGCCATGAATTGTTTAGGAAATCCATGATTTGGACATGTCAGGGAAGAGGCTTAGTTTATCACCCTCTTCCCATGTGCTTGGTAACAACAACTCTTCCCTCTCTCTCTCTCTCATATGAAGTGGAAAACTGACCCAACTCAAAACCTCCCTTCACTATTGAAAGATAATAATAATAATAATAATTAAAAAAAAAAAAAACCCTTTGCTTCCCTCTTTCTTCTGTCCTCTTACATTTTATATTCCTATAAATTTCAAAATTTTTATTATCTCTCTCTTTCTATCTTTTTAATCTTTGTTGGCTAAAAGAGGTGGTGATGACAAGTTCCTTTCTCTCCTCTCAAGACACCCAAATCTCAAGCAACTGAAAGAAAAAAGGTTGCTAGTCTAAGCCACCATTTCAAAGCTAAAGCCTATAAAACAAGCGTTCTTTGAAGCCAAAATCACCTCCCATTTGGGTAACAGAAACTTCATAGTTTGTTTTGATTGAAGACCCCCTAATCATGATTGCTATATATCATACGTGCCATTTTATTTTCGTCTGTTGAATGTCAGGCAGACTATGATTATAATAAAATATACATGAAAAAAATAGATCAATTATTCATTGGTCCACATGGAAACATGGAAAGCAATGGTTAGTTCAGGTAACCATGGCCGACTCCATGGCACAAGCGCCGCCGATTTAGATCACGGATCAATCAATGTTAACTACTTAAAACTCAACCACGAATCAGAAAGTTTGAGTTTAATATATTAATTAAGAAACTGAAAACAAGTGCATGCATATATATACCGAGTATATATGTGCAAATTGATGATATATATATTTTTTTCTAACATTGTCTTTGACCTTTTTTTTATTTGGTTTGGTTGGTGATAGATAGTCTTTTATCATGTTATTCAATGTTTCTGCTATTAAATAGACAAGTTTTGGCATTTGCTGTTTGAGTAATCGAGTCGTTGCCTTCTAAAGTTCCGCACGAAACCGGTACTCCGCTAGCAATAAGTTGAAAACACGGCCCTATTAAAAAAACATACTCAGAATTGGCGATTGGTGGCCACCAAGAGCAGGTGAATCCATGAAGGTCTAACAGCTTTGTTTATTATTATTATTATTATTATTATTATTATCATTATAAATTCTAAGTTATTTACTTTAAAATTGTAATTTAATTTTTTACCAATTACTGTAAATTGAGTGAGAAAAATGGGTAATAATTTCTATATTACTTACCATACAAGAAAGATAAAGGTAACTTGTTATAGCAGTGTAGGGATAAAAACAAGATGTGAATGACTGTAATCTGCCTGCTCTTTTATTTCAAATGTTGTCCTGCCTCCTGCATTATGATCAAAGAAACCACAAAACCATCAGAAAATGAAACTAGGCAGAGGTGGGCACCAACTCCATTCAATTCACTGCTCATTTTAGTTGTTTTGTTTTACGAATTATAAAGAACAAGGCTGATTTTGGAAAGGCCTAAATATGAACATTTTTTGTCCTTTTTCACTATAAACAAACCCATGTGCATTTCTATTTTAATATCGTCTGAGCTAGGCCTAGGTGTAGCCGGCCTATGTACCCTTTCCCATTAATTTTTACAGATAAATTTTGAGCCCAAAATTTCAGCCCAAATAAACTTTCCCACTTGATCTTGGACCACGTCTTAGCCAGATTGACCTTGTTTACTAAAAACTCCAAGGTCAGGGATGAAGTATTTTGCTAAAAAAATCCCAGCACTCAATGGGTCAATGTGTACAATAAATTGAGGTGGTTACGGCTTACAAATACGATGTAAATATCAGGATAGGCATGGATTGAGGTTGAGGTCTTGGCTAGGTTCAGAAAATAATACTCTCAAAGGACTTAAACTTAACCAATGAAGATTTGGTTCAAGCAGTTAATTTTTTTGTCTATTTGCTACTCAAAAAAAATTTTTTTGACCAAGAAGAAAAGGACATGAGCTTAAGGAATTTTAAGGCAAAGCTAGACGGACGAATCTTACGCATGTCCAATTTAAGACAGAGGGAAGGAAGGCACATTTATTGTCGATGAACATAACTGGACCAAGTTAGACATGCAGAGTCCTGTAACTATGGGCTCAAACCCATGTCTCTGAACATGACCGGACCCAGTTAGATATGAGTAACTATGGGCTCAAACGCATGACACATTTAACATCTTGGTCTTAAACTTAATCATTTTTTTAACATTAAAAAAAAAAAAAGATATAAAGTTTTTGTAGGTGTTGGTGCCAGATTGTCTGTTTTATTTACATTTCTAGCCTGCCTTGTAGTTGTGGTGTTGATCTAGAATTGATTGATGGTGAAAGAATAAAATCGTCACGACATATTTAAGAAAATCCAATTACCAAATGAAATGGACGTGGCAGTGCTTGGTTAGCAACCGAACGAAACGGAGGAGAAGTGTACCGTACGAGAAGCCTAAACCTATATTAAATAAATAGCTATCTGTCATCTCACTCTTATTCCGTCTCTTTTTTTAAATCTTTGAAGACAACAGCTCAGCAAATCGGTCGGTCAGTTGATTGCTTCGTTCATCTCTTTAATTGAATCCGCAAGTTTTGTCCTTTTCTTTTTGTTTACTACCAATCTCTTGATTTATCGACTTTGGTTTTGATATCTGCTGAGGATAGGAAAACATAAGATAAAAGAAAAAAGAATTGAACCTTGAATTTTCGTGTTCGGGTTCATCAAAATCGAATAGGGTTCGTATTGTGAAGTTTGGGTTTTTTTTTTTTTTTTTGTTTTAAATTTGCGATTATCGGACTCTTGTTTTCCTTTTGTTTTTTTTATGTTATCTTGATTTTGAATTTGAGTTCTATTTCTTTAAATTTCGTGGTTTTTCTAAGATAATGTGTAAAAGTTGGGTATTAGTTGACTTTAGGGTATTGCTTGTTGTGCAGTGATATCAGCAGAATGGCTAAAAGCAGTTTCAAGGTTGAGCATGACTTTGGTATGTTACTGATGATCTTTATTAGTATTACTACTTTTTATCGATTTAGCTATTGTTTGATTTGGTTTTGTTAATTTATGGCTTCTTGATATTCAGAGAAAAGGCGTGCTGAGGCTGCAAGAATTAGGGAAAAATACCCGGATAGAATTCCTGTAAGAATTAGTCTTTAACCTTGTCTTTTTTCCATCTTTTTTATTTTTTGATGATGTTACAAAATGATTTTGATTGTTCCCTGGCTTGTTACCCTTGTTACAAGTAGTGTTATATGCATTTTAACTTTCTAAGTTAGGGCGGGGATTTTTGGTAGGTTTGAGTTTAGTTTCCATTTCATCATATAATTGATTTTGATACAAACTAAGCATGCCTTTGTTAATCAAATAATTCAATTGGCTAACTTACAGAGAAGCCTATTTGGTCGTAATATTATATTAGTATTGCTGAAACTTGATTCTTTTTTCATTTCTGAACTTAATCAGATTTGCATTCCCTTGACTTGTAGTACTGGTATAACTTTTAGTGTAAATATATGTAATGGATTGTGTGAGTAAAGACTTATGATGGTGTGTTTGCTGCATAATTATATCTATTATGTTAATGTAAGTTATATACTTTTTTTGATGTATGTTCACGTCATGTTAATTTAGGATTATAACCAATAGATAAACATTGGTATTGGTAGGACTGTGATCACTGTCTAGACATGATTGCATAAATAGAACAAATATCATGTAACTTTTGGTTTGGCAAATTTGGTGCCTGTTCTGAGCCGGAGAAAAAGAAAAAGTTTTGCTCATTTGGGCATGGCTAAAGTAGAACGGCTGAGAGTTAGGAAAGGAATGAATATTTGTGCTCTATACATTTCTTATTTTAAAGCTTTAATAAAGATTAAATCTCATCCTCAAATACCCTACCTCTCCCTGTTGAGAAGGGGAAAAACCCCTTTAAGGAAAGGAATAAGAAGGAAAGCGTGAAACTCAAGCACTGGAAATTGTAGAGTGGCTAATGTGTTTATCTTAGAATGAATTTTCAACAGAAAAGAACTTTAGATTGAAACCATGTAAGGTTAAATGGAGGCTGCTTGAATCAGTTTATGGATGTTTGGCCTTTCATCCATGCATAATGCAAAAGAGAAAGTATAACATTGTGATCCTCAATCTTGCTTATATTGATATTTGCTCATGTGCCTTTTAGGTGATTGTGGAGAAGGCAGAGAGAAGTGACATTCCTAACATTGACAAGAAGAAGTAATCAACAGTTTCAGTCCATGTTTACTCAATTTCATGTTATCTTTTATTAAAAAAAAAAAAAAAAAACTTATTTCATGATATCAATCATTGCTATATATTAGCAACTGGTAGCCACCAACCAAGTGTGACTCCAATTTAAGTCCATTAAAAGCAATTCTGCAATCCACTTTTTGGAGCTTGTAGTAGTATTGGCCTTGCTTATTTTCTTTAACACAATTGAAATATATATATATATATATATAGGATACTCCTATAATGACTTGATTGAATAATTTACAGGTACTTAGTCCCAGCTGACCTCACGGTGGGTCAGTTTGTCTATGTGATCCGGAAGAGAATTAAATTGAGTGCTGAAAAGGCTATCTTCATATTTGTGGACAGTGTCCTCCCACCAACAGGTATTCCAACTCGCAAATTTCTTATTTCTTTGAATGTGGTAAAAGCTAATGTCAGTTTTTCAATTTCAATCGTCTGACTAACTAGCTATTATCATATTGCAGGTGCAATTATGTCAACCATCTATGATGAAAAGAAGGATGAAGATGGGTTTCTGTATGTCACATACAGTGGAGAAAACACATTTGGCTAGCAGAACATGCACTGACCTTATAGCCATGTTAATGTTGTCCTTTGATTAAATAATTAATAATTGTAGCATTATGCCTTAAATATGACATTTCTGTGTTTTCGTGTATAGTTTCACTGTATATAGCTTCTCAATAGACTAAAATTTTAGACCAATGAGCAATTTAAAATTCATTGAAGTGTGCTATATTCCTGCATTTGCCATTGTCAGGTAACAAGATGATCTGTTGAAATATTAAAAGTTTGACAATTTGAAGGCGTTTCGTGCACAAGATCTAGTTTTCATCTAAGGTTAAAGGAATCTTAACCTACAATCTTGCATATCTCTGCATGCATGTGGTCTACATCTTTGCAACTGGTCCTTTTATGAAATTCAACCCAGTTTAGTATGGCTAATATTTGACAGATTGTCCTGGATCAGTGTCTAGTGATTAATCTTCTTATAGTTAACTTGGAGAATAGGATTTGCAGACTTTGTTTGGAAGAGAAGGTCACTATTTTAATCATAAAGCTTAGCACATTTAGGGGACCTCGTACCTTTCGTACTGAAATGGAACTGTTGAAGATCCTTGTGTTCTTTACTTTTTGGTTTCTTTAGTTATCTAAGGTAGGGCTCTGTAGTCAGTATCATTTTATATTTCTTTGGCTAAAATATTAAAAAAAATTGAATTATTTTATTTTCTAAAAAAATATTTATATTTTGATTTGTATCCAAGGAAATTTTATATTAAACAAAAGATTTATTTAGATACAAAATAAAATTAAGGGTTTATTTGAATATAAATTAAAGATTAAGAATTTATTCAAATGTAAATTAAAATTCAGAAATTTATTTGAACCTAATTAAAGTATAAGGAATTATTAAATTATAAAATAATTTTTTTTTGTTATTTTAGTCTATATCTTTTCATGCAAAAATTTATTAACGAATTAAATGACGTAAATAAAAACTGAATGTTTCAATATGTTACATAGAAGATTTAAACCAAGAACGTAGGGGTTAAACTTTTGACTTTAGTCGGATGCAAGTCAAAGTAAAACTGACATGAGAAGAGAGGTTCCCGGAGATTATGGCAGAAATATTACTTGTCGATCATTCTGAAGTAATTATAAGATTAAAAAAAAATCGTCCGACACAAAACAGCTACATGAGGTACCAGGTAAGGCAATGCCCCAAATCTGGAACAACCAGGTTTGAACTTGGAAATTGGAATCATGAAAGCAGTTCTCTATTCTCTAATATGAGCCATGGGGTGCGCACAAGAATGAATAATATTCAGCTAAAATTGCCGTGGAGACAACGGAGCCTTAGCCAACCCAGACTGCTCAACTTTTACGAGACATATCGATTCGAGCCGATTTGTCAACGCCCCTGCCCGAATCCCAATCCCTCTGGGAACCCGAGCCTGTCCCGCCGTCGCTCCCTCCTAAACCCAACAAAAACAAACATCCCCCACGAAACCACCAACTTTCAACAACAAATGCATGATACAAACAAAACATCAAAGCCAAAATGCCAAATGCATGCTTTCAGCTGAAGAATGTTTATCCGCAGGCCACGCCAAGAATTTATGTAAACGAGAGAAAGAGAGTTTAACTTATTAATGTTGGAACTTTATGAATAACTGAGATTAAAAAAATAAAAAATAAAAAATAAAAATATTAATGTTTGGTTTTGGGATGACCTGCATTTTTGCTAGAACAGAACAAAAGATAGAAAGAGAAGAGAGTCTCGCTGCATTGGGTCAGACAATGAAACTTAAAAAAGATACCTTTGGCGTCGCCCGGACTCGAACCGGAGACCTTCAGTGTGTTAGACTGACGTGATAACCAACTACACCACGACACCAGAGGTGACCGTGGGCTTGCTAAGCAATTAATTAACTGTGAGGACCAGGGGAGGGCCAAAGAAGTAATGGGCTTCAGCGGCTGTGGAGTGGGGCCGAATCGACGTGGCAATTAAATAAATCACATGAGTGCGTGACACGTGTCATGATGGCCGGTATTGACTGTTCAGGGGAAACTTTCTGTGTTTCGCGCAACACGAGCAAAGAGGTGGCGGTGGTCCATTTACCCTTGTCTCCTTTCTGCTATGGTCTCGGCCCTCCCACACATTTTTTGTGGGTCCCAGTGTTTCTTCTGTTCATTTTTTGGTCCCACATGCTAATTGCAAATGCTTCAAAAATTAACAGCCGATGGACCCAATCCAATCCTAATCTTCCTAGCTAGTGTCGGAGGGCTACATGCAATCACATCCTCTATTTGCTCATGTCATTTCATTTTGTTCAAAGTAGATCTGACTATTATTTCATGGATCGTTTCTTTGTTACATTCATTTCGTTAGTTGCTTTCTTCTTTGTCGTAAAAATAATATGTACACAGTAATTTTACTATCACATTAGTTGCATGTCGTTTGAATGCCATAATTTTGCAAATTCATTATTGATTATAAAAAGAATCTCTTCCACTAACAACTTATAACCCCCATTTTGCTGGTTTTGTATGTGTTACTAAAGACTTTCTATTGTTTCAGTTTGTTTTTCAAAGAAAAGAAAACCTTGCTGTAGAGCATGATCGAGGGAAGCTAACTTAAACATCTCAGGAAACATAGAGGCTTATAAAGCAGGAATGCTGGTCTGCTGCTTGCCATGGCAACTATTATATAAATAAACGCTACAGCTCCATTTCATGTTACAAAAGTTTTAAACTTAACCATGAGTTCAAATGCCAATGTTCTTCTTAAATATATAATTCGAAAAATGACCCAAATTAGACTTGTTAGTTTTATACATTTTATCATTTTTTTAAGGATAGGGGACATTTCAGTCATTAATTGCACCATTCTCGAAGATCTTAATTTGGTGTAACTTAGATCTCAAAAGGCTTCCCACTTTTTAGTTTTACCATTAGATTATTCGGTTTAAGTATTTCAAGACCAAATGGTGAGCCGAGGCAAATTAACTAGTAAGGCACAGCACAATCCATGCAAGCAGTCAAACTCTCACACGAGGACATGCCTTAATTGGAGCCCCTTGGAAGACGCAATTAGCTAGGCACGCATTAACTTTCTTGAATTTTTTGTTTTATTTCGCATTTTCTCTGTATAATTTTCCTTACATAAATCCTTTAGTTATGATATTTCAATAGAAAATCTCTCTTTTGGACACTCTTCATCACTTTTCTCATTCTTCTCAATTCCCATATATAATTTCCAAAGCAAGCTCTGGGTTGTTCCTCTTTTCCCTGGTGGGGGTTGTGTGTCTTGGGACCCAATTGATTGAAATGTGTAAGAGAGGGATATAACGGAGGCCACCCATATCTCATCTTCTTTTCTTACCTCTTCTCACGCATACATCTGCATGTTCTAAGAGAGCTCCACTTCAATCTACCGGGATACCTGTATTTAATGCTCCTACTACATATACCACCATAGGCTATGCTTCTGCTGCCACTACTAATTTCAAGCTATTCAGAGCAGTCTTCAAGTTATTTTCCCTTAACATGTCAATCACTTCCTGTTTTATTATTTTCCTTCTATGCCTATCCATGCATGCATGTAGTGCTCGTCGCCTAGGTGCAGCTGACAATAAGAATAAGCTTGAAAAGAAACTTCACTTCTCCATCAAGGTTGGTCCAAGACACTTTATCATTTTCATCATAATCATCATCACTTGCATTTATGGCATTCCTTTTTTAACCTGGTGCGTGCTGTTAGTTAACTTTCTTGTCTTCTTTTATTAATTTGCAGAATGATATGAAGAACGTTTTCAGAAAGAACACGTTAGTTGCAGTACAGGCGAAATCTACCTCGTCAGAGGAACTCGGATCCATGAAAGAAGAAAGCACCGAGAAATCTCATGCAGATGATGACACTCAAAAGCTGGAAGCTGCTGATCAGGTCAACTCTAAGACAGTAGAAAATGAGAAAGAAAAAACTTCAGGTGCAGTTCAAACAAATAAGTCTGCTGTTTCAGTTTCTTGGCGGGTGCCTCATAGGAAACATGGCAAAAAACATCCTGGTTTTAACCTGGATTACTCACCTCCAAAGACACATCCTCCTTCTCACAACTGAGATCAACAATCAATCTTTTTTTATTTTTTCAGTCCGGAGAGTCCCGGAAAACAAGCTAGCTACCAGCATTGTAAAATATAGAGCCTCAAAATCTTAGAGCTCAAATGTTGATCTTTCCAGCATAGGTATAACAGAATTATATATGTGACTATATAGCATCGGCTGATGGATTAAAATGAGTTACAAAGCGTCAAGGCCTTTTTCAGTTTTCCGATCTATATTTTAATGTACATTGGTCATGGATCATATATATGTTTCTCAGAGAAAAATATTTCATCTTTTCATACGATAACTACTGAGATTGAACCAATATAATAATACTACTAGATGTAAGTCAAATTAAAGCACTCTTTAAATTAGGTCTGATTAAGTTAGCTTTATTAATTGGCAGTTTATATGCGAATGAAACAGCGTTGATCATCAAACTTGAGCTAACCAGCAAGTGGGTTAACTGAAAACCTGAATGATCTTATGCCTTCAACAGTGAGAGTTGCAAAGGCAAAAAAACAGAATCATGAATTAAATGATGTGTTTTTCATTAGGTTCATGAATCAAGATCCAAAAAAAGCAACGTACGGAGGGTGATAGTAAGGGAAATGAATTAAAAGCAGGAATGGTTGTCAATGAGATTAGATATCTAGGACATTGATGGGGAAGCGTATATGTAAGGTCTAAGATGTGGTGGTTGAGTGTTATTCTTAAATGAGGTCGGCTGGTTATCACTTTTCACTTATTACATTAGTTTCTACAGTTCTTGTTTGAATCTTCTGTTGCACATGGTACCATCTGATGAAAATTTCTTCACACAGGAGGGGGCGAGGGTGAATTGTCTTTGGAAAGTCATATTTACCCTTAAATTTTATTTTACTCTATATAAATGAATACATCCTGATTTTTGCAGTTTGTTATTGCTTCGCATTTATATGAATCAACAAAGGGTTTCCAGTTGAGTAGTATTTGTTTTAGATTTACTTCAAATTTAATCAGAAAACATAAAATTTATTCTGAAAAGAGGCGGTCATGTGGCGAATATGTATGCACGTATGTATGCATTATGATCTAAGTTGTACAAGAGACATTAGATGCATCAGTTCCAAGAGTATCTCTACACCAAATATACTACAGTTTTTATTCAAAAAAAATCTTTAAAATCCGAATAAAGTCAAGAGAAAATCATATGGGCCCTTTAACAAAACATCCCACATTCGAGTAATTTGCCATTTTCCAATGTTATCAAAGGTACGATCGACTTAACTAAAACTGCATACCAACTGGTTCCCACCAGCCAGTCTATGTGACTTTTGTAATTAATAGTTCCCTCTTAGATGCAAAGGAATTATATTGAAGCTTGGGAACTTGTCTCCTAAAAGTAGATGAATCAAAAGGTGAAAACAGCTTAATTCAAGTCAATTATATACAACCATAGAACCGTTTAAATGTTAATCTTTTTTCATCTGTGTGTCTCTTTAAATACTAATTACAAGAATAAGAATGTTTTCTTTTTGGTATTTTATTTCTTCAGAATAAATTAAATTAATATATAAAAATAATTGATCCTATTAAAACCCTCGAGAGTAAGAACAAATTTTCCCCTACTTGGGTTCAGTGATGGACGAGTCTCGTGCTCTTAATTCGGTAATGGTAACCCTTCCCCGTAAAGAACCTGCCAAGCTGTTATCACTTGTGCATGAGATCATGCCCATGTTCCGGAGCAGACAGAATCAACGATTTTTCTTTAGTTTTTTTTTTTTAATTTATTTGGAGATAATATTTTTCTCTTATTTTTTACACAAACTAATGCTCTTATACCCAAAAAAAAAAAGTTACAATCTATAGTCAATAAAACAATTAGTATGATTTGGAGTTGAAACATTCAAAGCCAAATTAAAGAAGGAAAATTCAGTGTCTACACTCTACCGGCTGCATATTTTTATGAGCCAAGTGTAAGTCGATTTTGCAAAATTAAGAGTATCGAACAGAACCCTGAATCTTGAATTCCTGATCAATTCTTCAGGTCAGGGATTGTATTAGCTGAATTTACGGTAATTTTGTATAATAGTCAAACTCAAAGATCATTATCACTAAACAAGGTCCTACAGAGTTTCCTTTTTTTAGGTATTTTTATTCGTGATTGTAATTATCAGAGTCAATTTTAGTTTCATCATTATGTTTGAAGTTTTATCTTCAGAAATGACAGATGTTAAACAGGTTAGCTAGCTATGGAAGAAGCCAAGAATAACTTGAGATCATGCAGACAAAGATAGGAAAGTCTTAAATCAAATAGTTTAGTAGTATTATTTTTAGAAGGCAAAATAATGAAATCCAGCAGTGCTCCGAAGTGTGAAACGTGTGGCCTACTCTCCAAGTTGCACCGCCAGCCATTGCAGTATTTTAATCTAATCAAATCTGCTCACATGGGTCTCTTTGTTCCATTTTCTTTAATTCCAAAATGTATCAAAACTTACATCTATATAAACCCTAACCTAGTTCGCTATAATTCACCATAACTTAAGTACAAAATACCTTCCTCTAGCAGTGACAGAGTTTAAAATGGCTTCCAAAGCTGTTGCAACCACTTCTCTTTTCCTCTCTCTCAACCTTCTCTTTTTCACTATGGTCAGTTCAACTTCTGTCCCTTGCCCACCTGATCAGCCAAAGATACCTAAAAACCCACCACAGAACCCTCCAGCCACAAGGCCACCATCTACAAACCCGCCAGCTAATACACCATCTTGCCCAAGGGATACCCTAAAGCTAGGGGTATGTGCCAACTTATTGAATGACTTGGTTCACGTTGTCATTGGCACCCCACCAAAGACCCCTTGCTGCACTCTCATCCAGGGTCTTGCTGATCTTGAAGCTGCTGTTTGCCTTTGCACTGCCATTAAGGCCAACATTTTGGGAATTAACCTCAATGTTCCAATCTCCTTGAGCTTGCTCTTAAACTACTGTGGAAAAAATGTCCCTAGAGGCTTCCAGTGCGCCTAATTGTGCTTATTATCCCAACTGATCTTTTCCCATTTCATGATTAATTTTTGTTGTTAAAAACTTCCATTCTGCTTGTTTGTGTCTTTATTGTCTGTTTGATTTTGTGGTGATCAACTCGATCCCTTCGCGCTTGAAGAAATAAATTTTTTGGATTAATCAGTCTAGAGTCTTGATGAATTTGAATTTTTTTATACATATTGATTCTCGCAATGATCTTGATCTTCAACCATCATTAATTAGTTAAACATGCAAAAATAATTGCATATATTGTTGATTAATGAATAAGCGACCACGGTAATATCTAGGTGGAATATCAATCATTCTTATAATAAAGATATAGCTGGAATGTGCTTATAATCAAGTTCTAATTGAATTAATCGTCACCCAAAAATGCCGAAGACGACTATATTAGCACAATTTTTGTACAACAGAAAATGATTCTCTTCGAGACTTCAACCCTTAAAATCCACAAAATCATGCCATAATTTCGTAGTAGCACCAATGACAAGATAGGGCTGCAGGATCCGAGACTTGGATTTTTTTTATAAATAATTAAATGTAACAAAAATAAAATAAAAACAATATCCGAACATTAAAAAACGCCAAAGAAGGTTCACGTGGTAATCTTCCGTGGGACAAATTCACGAAGTAATACATTTTTTTTTTTTTTAATGAAAGGAAGTAAAACAAATTAAACCAAGGGGAACAATCATCATAAAAGACAAGAACGAAGTTAATGTTTTGGGCGGTGATCTATGACTCATCGTCCAAAATTGCTGGTTTACATAATAATGCACGCTTGTTGATTGATTAGTGGCCATGTTATTGAGAGACCAATTATAAAGGAGCCGATTCCCTACCGACTTTGCATAGAGCAAAAACATCATATGACATTAAAGAAAATCTACCATTGATTGCCATTTTGTCTTCTCTATTTTTCTTCTACAATTTCTTTCCTTTTCACCACAAATCTGTCCGTTTTACAACATGAAGTGAGTGAGAAATGCAGAAACAGGGCATCATCTGAACTTGAATGATGACATGAAAACTGGGGGGAAAAGCTTTATTTCGATTACTAAAAAGCCGATGCTTGAAACCTCTTATTATGCAAATAATTGTAATATATTACAGTTTTCTAATTAAGTTATTTGCGTGTACATTGGAACTCTAATTAAGCACAGAACTTGCAGTTGCAGGTTGAATTGAAATACCAAGTTTGATTCTGCCAGTTCTCAGAGCTCCTTTCAGCAAAACACCAATTGAAAGTATCACTTCGGTTTTGCAGTGTACACGTGCAGTAATGTGTAACATTAACATTGAGCATAGTTTGGATTAAAATCAAGGTAGAATAATTAATGTCTGTCTGTAACTCTAAACAAACCCAATTAGGCAATTACACAAATAAAACCAGAATCCAGTAAATAAGCAAGGACGGATATAATATTAGTACAATCATATTTATGATTCCATGATTCTATCAAAAACAAAGAGCAGAGGGAAGACGAAGAAATTCTATGCACATACAAAGCCTTTAGGGACCTTTTTCCCACATGCATTTATCAGCAAAGTGAGGGCAATAGGTATTTTGACCTTGATAACTCCAAGCATATTGGCCTTAATCGCAGTACACAGACAAAATGCAGCCTCGAGATCAGCTAAACCTGAAATCAGTGTACAACACTCCTTACTAGGTGGAGTCCCAATAACCTCGTGAACCAGTCCCAACCAGCTGCCGCAAACACCAAACTTAAGCGTATCTTTGGGACATTTGGCAGGCTTCTTTGGGACAGAGGGAGGAGATGGTGCAGTTTTAGGTGGGGGAGGGCACGGGACGACCGTATGAGATGAAACGCGAGTGAAAAATGAAATGCTAAGCAAAAAGAAAAGAGCAGCTGCCTTACAACCCCTGAATGCCATTCTTTTCACACGCAATGAATTGAAGTGAGGTTGGCACTTGGCAAGCTCAAGATATTTATAGAGAAAATTTTGTTCGATGAAAGTTTGCTATAGCCAGTCCAGGAAGTGATGGTGTCAAAAGCTGGGAGCTAGATTTTTATGGACGTGTGATTGACATTGTTCAAAGCAATAACGTAATATCTATCCTTGACTGCAACGTAGCTTGTGGCTCTAATTAGTAGCAGTAAATCTAGTGCTTGCATTATCTTACATTGCCACCTAAGTATTAGATCCAGCTTGTGACACATTCTGCCATGACTAGAAACAAACAAGAGAGACCAGGCCCATTCTGGACTTGGCTGATTTAGTTCTGTGGTTATATTTTTTAAAGATAATAAAAAAAATAGTAATAATATTGGTTTTATTGTCTGAAAAATTACTATATCATCCCGCATGAAGCCAATACTCAGACGTGTATGGATAATGAAAAAATTGATATAATGCCTCAAAAATAAGAAGGAAATTAAGAGTCATAGATCAAGGAGAAAAGTGCATAGTAATTAAATTTATTGATAGTAACATAATCAAAATTGATACGGTCTATGGAATTGAATTCTCAACGACAACTAGACGATGGATATATGATTGTTGAGTACTTCTGGAAGTGATGTAGCTGAAATCTTTGTGTGCCTGGTGAATACATGGTATATCTTAATGAGAAAAATTATAGCCGCAAAGAGGGTGAAGAAAGCCATAGAGCTCAACAACATTACAAGGATTAGAACCTCTGGAAGATATTGCTTTTCTTCAGTAGTCGGATTTTTTGCTATCTCTTTCGTGATGGAACTAAGACATACACAAGTCAAAATTGTGAAGAAACATGCCACGAGCGTATTTTACATGGAACAATCGCTTTTATCTTCTTCTAATTCCTTCATCTTTGTAATGCAGATTAAGCTAGGGATTTTTCCTCTCTTATTCATGTATGGCGAAGAAAACTGTAAGACATTAGTGGCAGCGACTGCTTGGTTATATATACGAGAAATCATGAAAGAAAACCTGAAATCCTATTCTTTGCAGGAGAAGGAAATACCCACACAGGATAGAAGGGCGAAGGCTCGTGGGCGTTCTTTTAGGGTTACTTGGATTCCTAGAAGAAAAGCTTGTGAGTTTCTGGGGCTCTAAATTTATGTACATGAAACTCTCACAAAAGTGGCCCAATGCAACTTGTTGTTAAGCGCGCAAAATCGATTATGTTAGCCCAAAAGTTTCCATATAATACGTGTCGGAACACTATTGGACCATTAAAACTTGGACCTATTTAGAGATAGGAGCCCAAAATCTCTTTGGATTCCTAGAACTAAAGCCTGCGAATGTTTCGGCTAACAGATGAGTCAAAAACTTGGCCCAACTGCTTTGAAGCTGTCATCACATGACCATTCTGGGATGCATGATAGCCTGGTATATAAAATTGGAAGATAGATGGTAAGATACTCAAGCAAAGATAAAACAATGGAACTGGCGTTGACCCTTGGGGACGGGGTTAGCCTGATGTTAACCTTTTACCATAAATGATTGGGAATAAGCCTTAGAACAGCAAAATACAAACGCATTTAACTTGCAAGCGCTCCGGCTAAATAAAATTTTCCTGAATTTGCTGAATCTTGTTGGTGCAGAGAAAGTGAATAAAGTTGTTCATCAATAAAAAATGAGTACCATGAAGGCTGGTGCCATGTTTCTGACGGGGACGATGTTCGGGGCCTTTTTAACTCGAGTATTCAAACGTTGCCATCATCTTAAAGAAATTCGCGGAGGCAACTGGCTATCCTGGCAAAGCAACTGAAAAGAAATCTGGTCCCACAAACCTAGTACCGGAAGTGGAGAAGCAAATTACAGCAAAGCTTGTTAGCTCTTGAAAGAAGAATGTGCTACCTAGTTGCGATTCTGTCTTCTGCTTTATATCGTATATATACGTTAGAAAAGAGTTATGTACGGTTTTGCTTGATGTGTGTTTTAATAGTTTCAGTCTTGGTGATGTCTTAGGGGTCCTTTTTACCTCTTCTCTGTACTGTAAATTCATCATGGAAAATTAGCGGGTTTCATTTTTTTTTTTTAAGAAAAATTAATGGGTTTCATACATTAAGTTTTTCCCTTCAAGTAACCCTTTTCCAATGCTTTTATTAATGATCTATCCAAATAATTTTTATGTTATTTTTCCCTTTCCATTTGCGAACCATCGTATTGTAACTGGTACATTCAAAATGTGGATTCTATATAAGTTGGACAGCATAGAAATAGGTATTTGGAAAATAAATGGGTTTTATATAATAAGTATTTGGATTCGATCTATATAAGTAGTCTGGTCAAAAAAAAAAATCTATATAAGTTGAACCAACTGGTGCATCTTTTGCAGATCCTTCTGTCCCCTTCCAAAGAAAAGCTGATGACCACAGCTGATTCAAATTGTGAATCACTCTCCCTGGTTAAATGAACAATGAGCACCAGAAATTGTGGACACTAAAAATTAGAGATTACATGAGCCGCAATCTGCCAGCATAAGAGAGTCTCTTATAAGCCCAGCTGTTGATTCTTGCTGTAATTTTCTTCCCTTCGCGTGTTTGACTTTTTACCATTGGATTTAGATTTTACTTGTATTTCAACTTGGATGAAATCTGATATTGACCAAACAAACACGCAATGAAAGCCGACACAGGCAATGAGGCATTGATGCTTAGCTCATTACTAGTATTTTCCAAATATTTGAAAGTAAAATATTGTTCTGGAATTTAGCTAAGACAAGCAAATTGTATATTTTTAAACATTACTAGTATTTTCTTTCTATTGTGGCCTAAGAGAATCAAAATCTCCCTGCAAAACATAAAACCCAGATTCTTACAATGGCACAATCTTACAAAGTAGCGGTCATCGGTGCCGGCATGGCAGGGCTAGTCACGGCCAGGGAGCTTCGAAGAGAAGGTCACCAAGTCACGGTATTTGAAAAGGGCCAAAGAGTTGGTGGCACATGGCTCTATAATCCACAGGTGGAGTCCGACCTATTGGGGCTTGACCCGAATCGGGAAATAGTTCATACTAGCCTTTACAGATCCCTTCGAGTTAACCTCCCTAGGCACGTTATGGGATTCCTGGACTACCCATTCGTGAAGAAAGAAGGTGGGGATTCGAGATCTTTTCCTGGTCATGCAGAGGTGCTCAGGTTTCTTGAGGATTTTGCGCGGGATTTTGGGTTGATGGAATTGATCCGATTCGGACATGAAGTGGTTGGGTTGGAGCGAGTTGATGAGGTTAGTCACGAGTGGGTTATCGAGTCTCGGACTCGAGGGATGGAATCAAGATGGGAATTTAAAGAGCACGCGTTTGAGGCTGTGATCGTTTGCAATGGTAAAAACACGGAGCCAAATATTGCAGAATTTCCAGGTATTTGATTGGTGCTACTTGGAATTTGGAAACTTGCATTAGATTCAATCTCAACTTTCTTAGATGAAGAAAGTGTTCAAGGAATCTGGAACAAACATGCAACTACTTTCATCGCTATTGCAGTTTAAAAGCTTCCAAATCCATGAATATTCTTTCTCAAAGTGATAATTTTATTGTTTATCCAGACCATCATATCTCAATTTTAACTGTTATCTTACTTTAATCCTTACATCTTATTGACAGTAAAATCTCTTCTTTTTTCCTCCTAAAGAATTAAACCCCTGTATTCTTCTTTAATTCCGTTTCTTTATGCTTGTATTAATCTATATATACTATCATATTTGTCATGTATTAGGCAGGGATGCTTGGCCAGGATTGCAAATGCATAGCCATAACTACCGGACTCCTGAACAGTTTAAAAATAAGGTATCGAACCATATACTATCAAAATTCAACATTGGTTATGATCACCCTGCAACCCTGTACATGAAGCTGCCTCCCTAGTAGCTTGTTTCCAAATTTCTTAATTTTTAGTACTTTCAGTCCATACATCTCACATAGAGAATACGAAGGCTGCTAAATGGATTCTGGTTTCTGGCTGACAGATAGTGGTGCTCATAGGGAACGGACCAAGTGCCTATGACATCTTGAAAGATATCTACCCTCTTGCAAGACAAGTTCATCAGGCTATTAGAGGACCTGATTTCCAGTTGAAAAAGCTGAAAAATCATGATAATGCTTGGCAGCATTCAATGGTTTCTTGTTCATTTCACCAATTGATTAGTTGCTTTAAAGTTAAACTTTAAGCGGGTCATTTTTTCCTGATAGACTGACATTTTCTGCAGATTGAATGCGCTCATAAAGATGGTAAGGTGGTATTCCAAGATGGATCAATTGTCGATGCAGATGTCATTATCCATTGCACTGGGTATTTCCAAAAACCCTTGAATCTTTTTTATATCTATCCTATATTTATTGGTCGGAGAAATACTTCATTCTGATTAAATACTTTGTCCGTTTAGATTTGAAACACTTTTCAAACCTCTGGAGGAAAAAAATCTCTTGCAGGTACAAATACCATTTCCCATTTCTTAAGTCAAATGGGATAATTACTGTGGACAACAAACGTGTTGGACCTCTGTATAAACATGTTTTTCCACCAAGCTTAGCTCCTTGGCTTTCCTTCGTGGGATTACCTTACTTGGTAAAATTTTCTCTTCCATTTGGTTAGAATATTACGAAGGCATCAAATGTTTTGGCAGTTTCAAGTCCTGATGCTATGGGTCATGATCTTATATTTCCTCAAATGTTGGTTAATTGTCACTCATTTTCTACTTGTGATCTTCTGGGTTTTGGGAATATTTTATGCTTTATGGTTAGCGCAGAGAGTGAGTAGTATTCTTTTTCAGTGCATTTTAAGTTTTAACACGGTAAATAGATCTTTACACGATCAGACACTGCCCGTTCTAGTGATAGAATTACAAGGGAAATGGGTGGCAAAAGTGTTGTCCGGTAAGGTAGAGCTGCCAACCGAAGAAGAGATGGCATATTCTGTTCAAGAACTTTACTCTCAGATGGAGAAGACTGGATGGCCCAAGCATCATACTCATAAGCTTCATCCGGACAAGGTTTCCACTTTCCACAACCAAATCTCTCTCTCTCTCTCTCTCTCTCTCTCTCTCTCTCTATATATATATATATATATATATATTATTATTATTTATTGCCTTTTTATTGTCTGGTGGCAGTTTGACTATGAAACTTGGCTTGTTGCTCAGTTGGACATAACGCCCCCGGAGAGGTGGAAGCAAATAATGCTTATGTCCGTCATCAAAATTGCATCAGATTACGGTGACAATTATCGAGATGAATGGAATGTTGACAAATGGATACAAGAAATAGATTCTTCCAATAATAAGTCCATAGACGTCGAATAATCAAATATATCAATACCACAAATAATGCATATGAAGTATAGATATATGCAACCATTAATTTGCACTGTATTCCTAAATTAACCTTTTATCATTTCAAAGCGAAGCATTATTTCCCATTTGTGGCTCTCACACACAGGCACAGACATCTAGCTGCAAATATCAGAGACGAGTTTGGAATACTTCAAGAAAATCATTAACTGTTTTTGGAACCCGTAACAGTTCATCACGAAATAAGGATTCCATTGTAACAGTCTTGAAAATGCTAGCATCAGCTTTGCTCAAGCTGCTCAAAATACAAAATTATAATCGAACGCATAATCAGTGTAAGCTGTGAGGAAATGGAAATTTCATTAACAATATCTTAATACTTAGTTTACTAATATTGGTTTTATTATCTGAATATATATATATATATATATCATCTTGTATGAAACCAATACTTAAACGTGTTTGAATAACGAAAAAATTAATCTAATGCTGCAAAAATAAGGTCATAGTCATAGAGCTCAACAACATTACAAGGATTACAACCTCTGAAAGAGATTGCTTAGGTTCAGTAGTTGGATATTTTAATCTTTTTCATGATGGAACGAATATATAAACAAGTTAGGATTGTGAAGAAACATGCCACAAGTGTTGCTCAAGGAACAATCGCTTTTATCTTCTTCTAATTTTGTCATCTTTGTTATGCAGATTAAGCTAGGAATTTTTCCTCGCTTCTTCATGTATGGCGAAGAAAACTGTAAGGTATTGCTAATTTCACCCACATTAGTGGTCGCGATTGTTTGATTATATATACGAGAAATCATGAAAGAAAACCTGAAATCATATTCCTTGCAGAAGGAAATATCAGCACAGGATGGAACGGCGAAGGCTAGTGGACGTTTTTTTTTAAATGGATGCAAAATACGGAAAGTTAACCCAAAAGTTACTTGGATTCCGTGAACAAAAGCATGGGAACTGATTGGGCTCCAGATTTAAAAACATGGAACTTAAAAAAAGTGGCCCAACTGCTCTTGTTAAGGGCGCAAAATCAAGATTGTTAACGCAAATTTTAGAGCTTAAACGGGTAGGAAGAATATTGGGCCTTTCTTACTTGGACAAATTTAGAAACTGTAGCTCAAACGTCTTCGGATTCTTAGAACTAATGCCTGCGAATGTTTGGTCTAATAAGTGGGTCAAAAAAACTGGCCCAACTGCCTTGATGCTGTCATAACATGTCCTTTCTGGTATACTTGGGCGCCAAGTACCAGCACCTCACATCAGATACAAAATTGATAGATACTAAGATAAAATAATGGAACTGGGTTGACCCTTGGGGAAGGGGTTAGCCTGATGTGAACCTTTCACTATAAATAATTGGGAATAAACCCAGGAATAATATAAACAAATTGAACTTGCAAGCCCTCAGGTTAAATTAAATTTTCCTGAATTTGCTTAATCTTGGTGGTGCAGAGAAAGTGAATAAAGCTGATCATCAATCAAACTTAGTATGGTGAATGCTGGTGCTACGTTTCTGATGGGGACTATGTTCGGGGCCTTTTTAGCTCGAGGATTCAGACGTTGCCATCATCTTAAAGAAATTCGAGGAGGCAACTGGCGCTGTCCTATCAAAGCAACTGAAAATAAATCTGGTCACACAAACCTAGGACAGGAAGTGGAGAAGCAAATTACAGCAAAGCTTGGTAGCTCTTGAAGAAGAATGTGTTTCCTAGTTACGATTCTGTATTCTGCTTTATATCGTATATATATGTTATAAAGAGTTATGTATGGTTGTGCTTGATGTGTGTTATAAGTTCTAATAGTTTCAGTATGCTTGATGCGTCTTAAAGAGTCCTTTTTTTCCTTTTCTCTGTACTATAAATTCCTTATGGAAAATTAACGAGTTTCATAAAATAATTGTTCGCCTTCAAATATCCCTTTTCCATTGCTTTTATTAATGATTTATCCGTATAATATTTATGTCATTTTTCTCTTTCAATTCGCGAACCATCACATTGTAGTTGGTATATTCAAATTTTAGATTCTATATAAGTTGGACAGCATAGAAATGGGTATTTGGAAAATTAACGGGTTTTATACAATAAGTAATTGGATTCTATATAAGTTGAATCAACTCACACTTGCACCCTTTGCAGATCCTTCTCCCCCTTCCCAAAGAAAAGCTGAGTACAGTTGATTGAATTTGTGAATCACTCTCCCCGGTAAAATGAACTATGAGCAACAAAATTTTGGACACTAAAAAATACAGATTGTATCAGCCGCATTCTGCCAGCTTAAGAAAGTCTCTTTGAAAACCAGCTGTTGATCCTTGCTAAGATTTTCTGAAGAAGAGTCTCACTTTGCTTATCGGTTAATCTGCCAGATATTTTAGGAACCCCTAAATATGACAGGCAAATGGCCAAGTTGAAACCCTGTTATGTGAAATCAAACGTTGTCGTCACAAGTTTTATACTTATATTCAACTATATTAAGAATATAATCCGTGAATCCATCGCTACTTTTTCTTCTTTCTTATATCTCTGGACAAAATTCTAGTCATAGGTCAAATTCTTAAAACTAGAAAGTTAATTAACCTATCGCTAGCTTTTGCACAAGCAAAGGTCACAAGTTCTCCTGAGGCATATTTCTGACTTTATATTAATTTATTGGTCCAACTCGGTTAAGTAAATTGTAGGCAGTAGCTGATATATTAGTAGCCAACGAATTTTATATAGAATTCTACTTTTCGTTCCTTTTTTTTTTTTTTTTTTCTTTGTGTAGGGACAAAGCATTTTCATTTGCACAAGAAATACTTACTTGGGAGAGGGGTCACTGTGTCATATCCCAAATACTAGTAACAGGAAAAATAGACTTGGGCCTCACAACACTCGAGCGAATGTAATCCGATATAAATTTGCTCATCCTTTCTGATCCAAACCACAGTATCCCTCTCTGATTTCTCATCTCTTTCTTCCTCCTTTGGATCCAATAAAAAGGCATTGAAATAGAGATGGGTATAATAAGGACTGCCTTCTCTCTCATGGCTGGGACGCTTTTCGGGGTTTATCTCGCTCAGAACTATAACGTTCCAAACATCGGAAAGCTCGCAAACACCGGCTTTGTTATAGCCAAGCACATTGAAGAAAACTACCGCAAACCTTCCGCTAGCACCAAGATGGACGACGACGGCGGCGTTTCCGAATAGTTTATCATCATGTTATCAGAATCAGACCAATAGAAAAAGAAATGGAAACTGTAATTCTTGGTAAAAGATTGTTTCATTTTTCTTTTTTTTCCTAAATGTAATTTTTAACCATCACAGGTTTATTGCAGTACGATAATAGATATCCCTTCGATGATGTTTGAAGTTTTACCATTTTATGTTGTATTTCAACTTTAAGTTTGATCTTGGCCGACAAACAACACGAAGAAAGCCGGCAAAAGCGCACTGATGCTTATCCAACCACTTAAGATTAAAATATTTGAGAGTAAAAGATGGTTCTGGAATTTGGCCAAGACATGCAGAATGTTTCTATTAAATATTACTAGTATTTTATTTGATGAAGAAAGATTTCAATTGTGGCCTGAGAGAATCGAAATCTACCTGCAAAACATAAAACCCAGATTCTAAAATTGCACGATCTTATAAAGTAGCGGTAATCGGTGCTGGGATAGCTGGGCTATTGGGTCTTTACCCCAATCGGGAAATAGTTCACACTAGCCTGTACTGATCCCTTCGAGTTGACCTCCTAGGCAAATTATGGGCTTCTTGGACTATCCATTTGTGAAGAAAGAAGGTGGGGATGGCCATGCAGAGCTGCTCAGGTTTCTTGAGGATTAGCTAAGGACTTTGGGTTGGTGGAGTTGATTCGATTGGGGCATGAAGTGGTTCGGGTGGAGCGAGTTGATGAGGTGAGTCATGAGTGGGTTATTGAGTCTAGGACTCGAGGGATGGAATCAAGATGGGAATTGAAAGAGCAGGTGTTTGAGGCTACGGTTATTTGCAATGGTAAACACACGGAGCCAAAAATTGCAGAATTTCCTGGTATTTGATTGATGCCACAAGGAATTTGGAAACTTGCATTAGATTCAACCTCAACTTTCTTAGATAAAGAAACTGTTCAAGGAATCGGTAACAAACATGAAACTACTTTCATCACTATTGCTGTTTAAAAGCTTCCAATCCATGAATATTGTTTCTCAAAATGAAAACTTTGTTGTTTATCCAGATTTGGTTACGAACACCCTGCAGCCCTCTACATGGAGCTGCGCCCCTAGTGGTATGTTTCCAAATTTCTTAAATTTTAGTGCTATCAGTCCATACAACTCAAAAAGAGAATGCATAGGCTGCTAAATTGATTCAGGGTTCTGGCTGACAGTGGTGGAACGGACGAAATGCCAACGAAATCTTGAAAGAGATCTCCCATCTTGCAAGACAAGTTCATCAGGCTATTAGAGGACCTGATTTCCACTTGAAAAAGCTGGAAAATCATGATAATGCCTGCCAACATTCAATGGTTTCGTTTTCATTTTACCAATTAATTATTGCTTTATGGTAAAACTTTAAGCGTGTCAATTTTTTCCTGATAGACTTAACTTTTCTGCAGATTGAATGCGCTCATAAAGAAGGTAAGGTGGTAACCGCAAGATGGATCAATTGTTGATGCCGATGTCATTATTCACTGCACTGGGTATTTCCAAAAACCCTTGAATCTTTTTTATTTCTATCCTATATTTATTGGTCGGAGAAATACTTCTTTCTGATTAAATATTTTGTCCTTTTAGATTTGAAACACTTTTCAAACCTCTGAAGGAAAAAAATCTCTTGCAGGTACAAATACTATTTCCCATTTCTTAAGTCAAATGGGATAATTACTGTGGACAACAACCGTGTTGGACCTCTATATGAACACTTTTTTCCACCAAGCTGGGCCCCTTGGCTTTCTTTCGTGGGACTACCTTTCAGGGTAAACTTTACTCTTCCATTTGGTTAGAATACTAGAAAGGCATCAAATGTTTTTGCAGCTTCAAGTCCTGATACTACGGATCATCTATCTAACATTTCCTCAAATGTTGGTTAATTGTCAATGGTCACTGATTTTCTTCTTGTGATCTTTTGGGTTTTGGAAATGTTTTATGCTTTATGCTTAGCCCAAGTATTCCTAAATTAACCCTTTATCATTTCAAAGCAAGGCATTATTTATCATTTTCGCTTTCACAAACAGACACAAATCTAACTGCAAATATCAGAAATAAGTTTGGAATACTTCCAGAAAATCATTGACGAACTGTTTCTGGAACCAGAACCAGGGAGGGCATGCTTCAAATAGGATTCCAATGTAGCATTGTTGAAAATTCTAGCATCAGCTTTGCTCAAGCTGCTTAAAATACAAAATTATAATCGGACGAACCCATACCAGCGTAGCTGTGAGGAAAAGGAAAATTCATTAAGAATATCTTAGTTTACTTAAAGCTTGAGACTATCTAATCACCACAGAATCAACTAACCTGTTCAACTTGGACAATCAATCATTTTACTATGATTAATACATTATCATCGGGGCTACAATTTTTACACACTAAAAGGCAAGGACCTAAAAGTCGGGAAAAAGTTTTAAAAACAGCAGCCAATTACTGCTTGCACCGAAATTTTTTAATAAGAAAAGGTTCCAACTTACGACTGCAGTTCCTCCTAGGCTCTGTTAACAAGATAGCCAATCAGGACACCAAGAAGACCAACTAGCACCACAAATGATAAAGAGAAGCCACCAGCACGACTTTTGCTAATATCTTTCCTCATCAGTTCCTGCACGATGAATGTTATAAGGCAAAGACATAATGAGCGTGATCACGAACAAATAACAGTTATAAAATTCTGTAATGCAGAATGAGCAAAAAGAATGAGAACTCGTAGACTATGGTGTGAAACACCAAAATATAGCAGCATTCTAATAACAAGGGATTAGATAGGAAAATTTGAGAAAGGTTGACATAAACAAGAATGACTAGAAAAGAAATATTTCGTAATGTCCTACTGACATTGTTATGAAGGTGAGTAAAAAGCACTAACAAGGAGCAATGTTTCATACTGTTCACCAACATGATTGTGGTATGGAAGCTAGAATATTAATTGCAAAGCAGTTATCACGCCAAAGGCAACAATGAAATTTTGCTTTAAACACTCCTTAATTTACATTTCACCCCTTTAACTTAGAGCTGAAGTGAGACCAAACAGCATGAATGGAATTATTGTAAGATATTTAAAAAAGATAGACATAAGACATCAGAGATATGAAAGGGAACAATAATTGATACTCTCTGACGCAGAAGACAATCAACACAAAGTTATCTGCTACCATACGCTCATACCAGTTCTTGACGTAGCCTCTGATTTTGTTGCAAAGCAGAAGATTTCTCGTCTGTCAACTTTGAAATTGCAGACCATGCCTGTTGATGAAAGTACATTTAAAAACCAATGCTATAAGAAAATGGCAAGTAGAAATGTAGAACAACTGTTAAAATCATATCTAACAAGATGGATATGAAACATGGGAATGTTAGCAAATAGGGCAATGTGCCAACTCGATCTAGTTTTTGTTATATGAGAAAAAGTTTCGATGGCATCTCAAACATAAACCTACTTTCACCTAAGTAAATCTCAACCATAAGAAGTAAATAAAAACATTAATGATGTATAATTTCACACATAGTTAGTATATCTCAACATTGCATCATTTATGAATTAGTTTTCTGAGAAAGATTAATTATCATCCTGCCTTTAGAAGATATAAGTTAAGAGCAGGCTGAGAAGAATACTCTGCAATTATAGATTCTTTTAATTTAATAACCTTCTTATGCTTTTGGCAAGGTTTTATTGTCATTCGTCACTACACACTTTGATATACCTAATACGTCCATCAGCAGCAGTTGGAAGATAACTCCAGAGGGATCTATAACTAGGTTATTAAAAGTGCAATTGACATAAACCAAATTGTAAAACAATAACATTCACTCCCACATATTTGAAATGCATATTTCATATTCTAAAAACAATAAGGAGATTGGATGAGCAGGAAATGTTAAGGAACCTAAGCAGTAAAGATAGCAACCAGTAAGATATGAACCAAGAAAATGTCACAACTATTAAGATGAAATGGTCGTTCATAGGAAAAAGTTTGATATATTAACAAAGCAACAGAGAGATGAAATACCTCTGAGGACTTCTCATTAGTCTCCTCTAAAGATCTTGACACCTAAATTTTGTATTAAGTTGAGATACAAAAGAAACATGAAGTAGATCACTAATAAGTCATGGCATTCTCCATTAATAGCTGATAAAAGAAGAAAATAACAGATAATCTTTTCTTTCCAGTCAGCAACAACAGAAGACACTTACATCTTCAAAATTTTGATTCCCATTTTCATGTAGAGAAGCTCTGGGAGGAGTCCCCTCTTCAGATCCTTCAGGAACAGGCGATGGAGGATTAGCGGGAATATAAAAGACCCGCAATTTGAATTCCCCCATGACCCGACCAGCCTCTTTGTTAAACTGCATTTCAAATCATGCCAATTTACATCCATGCAACATGCGGCAGAAACCAATGTGTTAACAAAATAAACAAGAGTGGAACAGCCATCATACCATTTCTGGGGTTATGTCTTTGTTGGTTGCACCATCTGGAGCAACAACACTCTGGATGAGGAATTTGTCCCTGCACTGCTCAGGAGGTGCTTCCTTTTGAGCTTGCATGGTAACTGCCAGAGTTAATTTCAGGTCAACGAACAACATCGACATAAGCTATGTTCGAAGAAATAAAAATTGAACAAACAACTAAATGCCAATGAGTTAGCAGCCACAGGGATCAGAAGCATAAACCATGATGGAGAAACAACTCTCGTTAAAAACCAATAAATTACACTAACGCTTACCGGTGACATTGCATGAACTTCCAGGCAAAACAACGCCAGAGTTGGGACGGACACAATATTTCTTGGGGTTGGTTGTTTTAACCTGTTGAGAGCGTTGAAGGGAAATTTCCTATATAACATAAGCGTCTCAATCTCAAACCCAATCACAGTAAAAAATGAGATGAACGTTAAATTACCTTAAAGGCAACATATTTTTCCGTCTTGTTGGTCAATTGCATAGAACATGAACTTTGTTTCCTCAATTCAACTTTGATATTCCATGCCACATATTCCGCAAAAGAATATCAAAACATTTAATTGTTTGTGCATATTGTAAAAAAAAATGAAAATAATAGAAACTGATCCCTGCCTTAAAAATAGGAAATCAAATAATAATAACAATAATAATAATCTTTTTTTTTCTTGCTAGGTATTAAAATTTTAAAACTCACTCACTTGATCATTTTCCTAAGTATTCAGTTTTTTTCTCAGATCACATAGAAAAATTATATTCCAAACCTTCCTTACTTTGTTTCCTTTATATTCACTTTAATACAAAAAAAGAAAAGAAAAGAAAAAAGATTGAGGTGAGAAGTGACTTACATGGGAATTTAAGCTCTGTTGGATGAATACTGATAAGATCTCCCAGACTCATGGCTCCTTATCAACAGATTTACAGTTTTTTTACTTTTCCTAAGAAAATAAAAATAAAAGTAAGGATCGTGGGAAAAATGAAATTCTGGAATCTGCGAGATCGGAAAGAACGAAAGGGGGCGAAGAAACAAAGCAGTTTCAGAGTGCTTTTTTTTTTTTTTTCCTTTGATTTGTTAAATGATACTACTTTCACAAGTGTGATACTACTTTCACAAGTGTGTGATATCTGTGACCCTTGTGAGCCGTTGATTGCAAAGCGTGGGTTTCAGATAGGGATCCCACGTATTTGTGGAAAAAAATTAATGTTTGGGTTGGTGAACGCTGGGACTGTTACGTGAATTTGATGATTTCTTTTTCCATTTTTCGAAGAAGACAAAATGAATTTTATTAACAAAATGGAGCCAACAAAACCTTCAATTGGTAAGGTTTTGCTCTTTTCTTTTTTAAATGAAATTGTGGCATTTTTTTATCATAAATAAATAATTACCGGGATATGAAGTTTTGACCAATCCAATAGCTATTAATTATTAGATATATATTTATAAGTGATTGATTTAATCGGTTTATTGAATTTAAATTTTGAGTACTGTCGTTAGTTATTTATTGAGATCATGTCGAATGTACGATTTATAATTATTTATCTTAAGTTATAAGATATAGTACATCTTTTTTTGACTTGAAAAATTAAATAATTTATTTATCTTTAAATTTTTTTATATAAAAAAAAAACTATTGGATATATTATTTAAAATATTAATTTTTTTAATGCAATAATGAACTATTAAATCTTATTATACTACCATATGAAATTTAGGTGAGAATACGGGTAGGGAGAAGGGAGGAGAGGAAAGATACAAAATAACAAAGAAATTTTTTTTTTAATGATGCGTATCACTCACGGGAATGCATCATCAATGTTACATGTGGAATTCAATATAATTCTTAGGTGGATTTGGATTCCATTAAAGCTCGGTGGGATTTTTCATTTTCATAATATTTTTTTTCAAAAATGTTCTTATCTTAGGTTTTTTTGTCTAACTTTTTTTTTTAACTTTATTTTAAAAAATTATTATTATTTTGATATAAATTTATTTTTTTAATTATTAACAAATTGTCTGAATATATTATTAATTTAAAAAATTACTTGATACATTAATATGTTTTTATTAATTTTTAATTATTTATTATTAAATTTTTATATAATAAATTTTAATATTAAATTTTATTTCACACTATTACTATACTTATATTCAAATACATATCTCATTATTTATTTTAATTTTATTATTATAATACTCAATTTTATTATTATAATAATTAATATTATTGTTGTCATTGCTTTCAATCTTATCACCCTTCTCAATATATTATTAATAATAATATGATACAATAATATGATTTTATTTGCCGAATATCAATGTGTAATTAGATGAAGTTTATTTCATCGTCCTAATTTAACAATATTAATTCAAGATATGGATGATCACATTGAAAGATAATACAAATATCATATAACACATTTCTAAAATAAAAATATCATATTAAAAAATTATATGTAAAATACAAGAACGACATTAGCCCTTTTTTATAAGTGTTTCTAAAAGTTTTGATTCATAAAGCAATAATTGACAAATGAATATGTAAAAGATCATAATTAAAGCTAAGTCACGCAAGATTCTTTTCTTTAATTAATAATTTGTTGCAAAATTTTCTGCCACAAATTTTCGTGCATCATGATGATTGAGAATGCATGTTTGATCGATCTTTATTTTTATTTGGATCAATGTCATAGATTGGATGTTGTATTATGCAAAATTTTGTTTGGTTGGCTTTGCTTTTAAAATGTGTTATCTGATATTTGTATAATTGTTTCGTTTATTAATACGATATTCAATGATAACATAGTTAATAAGAACAAATGACATGATTGTCATCCAATTAAAGAATGACATGTGGCAAATATAATCACTTCATTTTGTTAGATGTCGTAATTTTAAAAAATATAAAAATAAAAGTAAAGACAAATATATTTTTTTAAATTTTCATAAATAAAAATAATTTTTAATAATTTTTTTTAATTCTCGTTCATTTCCTTCATTCACCTTCCCAATTCGGTTCTTCATGATTGAATCTCCGGTGTTCTTCGATTTCAAGAGGTCATAAAAAGGTCAGAAACACCACGAAACCAGTCTACTCTAACGCGAAAGCCGTATCGTTTCATGTTGTTTTTGGCCTTCCCGACCCCTCAACACCTTACCTAGCCTAGTTGGTGGTATCCAGTTGACGATTGGTCTAATCGTCCATGACTAACCAAATCGACCATCAATACTAGAAGGGAGAATAAGAGAAGTACAGAAAAAAAAAAAAAAAAAAGGTGCTGCTTTTTTATTCTTTAAAAAATATCCTTATTTTTTAATTGAGTTAATTACATATATTTGTACTTGAATAATTGAATTTTGAGAAAAATATATAAATTGCTATCTTAAAAATAAAATATACATTTGTACCTTAAATTTATATAAAATACATAAATTGTACCATAAAATTTTAAATTATATATCATATATATCTAAACTCTAATATTGATAATCATATCAATTTATATATGTGATATTTGATAAACATTATTGAACGATGTATTCACCGTACAAACTATTATAATATTTTTTTAATAAAAATTTTAAAAAATATATATTTTTACTTGAACGACAAAAATTATTTATAATCGGTCAATTATTATTTATTATATGATATTCACAAGATATTTTTATAATATTTAATAATTATATTTAACAAACAACATGCAAATAATAAAATTATACAAGTTAAATACCCAATATGCTAGTTAAATTAATAGTATAAATATTTGGATTAAAATGATATTTAAAAAAAAAATTTAAGATGTAAATTTTACATTTTATTTTTTTAGATATTTATTTGTACATTTTTTAAAGACCGAATACCAAATTATTTTAAAATTTTGACTTTTAAAAAATTTTCAAATAAAAAAAATTACAATATCATGAAAAAACAAATAGAAAAAATTTATAAAGTTTTCACAAATTAATATTTTAAATATTTTTTATTTCTTCAAAAAATTAATTTATTCTGTAATTTAATTTGTTTTGAAAATTATTTTAAAAATATTCATTTAAGATAATGAAACTTTAATCTTTTATTTTTTGGCCAAATTATCTTACAAAATATATTTATTATTGTTTTAAAAATTAATTTTAATTTTTATAAAAAATTATTTTTTAAAATTTTCATATTTCTTAAAATTATCATACGTGACATTGCACATATGTGTCATGTAAGTAAATTAAAATAATTTTAAGGATGACGTGATCATTATTATGTCATGTATCATAATGTGATTAGATAACATAAGCTCATCATTTTACTTAATTTTGTTAATTTTAGATGCATATTAATAAAATAAATGATAGTGTAAATATAATTAACAGAGGTTGATATAAGTGATTAAAATTTAAAATTTAGATATAAAGTATTATAGTTTAAATTTTAATAAATTTTTTATTAACAAATAATTTATAAGTTCAAAATGTCTAAAAAATTTTATAAATCTTGTATGTAAATTAACAATTTTTTTTATATTAGAGGTAGGATAAATTTTTTTGCTGTTAAGCTTTAAAAAAAAAGTATAAATATCATATTATATATTTTAAAGATAAAACTACTAGTTCATTAAAAATTTCATGAAATATAATAATCAAATATGACATTAATTTTTTTAATGAGTTAGTTATTTCGAGATTTAAGTCATGCGGCCATATGTTATCTATTGTATTGCCAAACAAATTCAGTAAATTACTCAGAATTGAAAGCAACTTTTCGTTTCGGTTTTCCTTTTCTTTTTGTTTGCTTGAAAGTAGGTCGGTGACTTCATAAATATCCATATTAATTTTGTTTAAATGAGTTAGCTCGTCAACGTCAATAATCACGCATATTCATCAAATAATCCTCTCCGTACGCGACGAATCTTATCTCCCTGAACCGAACCGCCATCACCAGCTGTCCCACACTCTTTGAATTCCCAATTTTACCCTTCTCGCCCATTTTCACTAAACGAACCAGATTTCACCACTAAACTTTCCAGTCTCTTCTCATTCTCTTAAGCAGCGTCAATGTCTGTCGCCACAGCATTTGACCTTTTCGATCCTTCGCCGTCCCTTTTTTCTTTGTTATATGAAGAGCCTGAGCTATCATTCCCCTTTGATGTCTTTGAGCCAAGTCCCACCCTCTTTAGTTCATTTCATTCACCTTTTGATCAGGTTTTTGACGTTGTTACAGAAGTGACCCACCTCTTGGAAACGCCGTTTTCGTCGCAGTGTCGGAGAATCCGAACTACAGATGGGTTGGAAATATGTTCTGGGGCTTTGCTTGATGGAATTTCTGGTTTGGAGTTAGGTGCTGACCCGTTTAAGAAATGGGATAGGAAGTACACGTGGAAGGCAGAGATAAAGAGTTCAGACAAGAGTGAAGTAGACCGGAAGTACCAGTACACGGCTGAGATCAAAGGTTTGGGGGGGAGGAAACACGAGTGGACGGCTGAGATTGAGGGACTGGAGAGGAATGGGACTGATAGCAAGTACAAGTGGACAGCTGAGATTAAGGGAAGGACGGAGGGAAACGATTGAAAGAAACATCACACATGTAAGGTAGGGATTCAAGGTACGCATAAGAAGGAAGTGCCACTCAAGATCATGGAGTTGGGCATTGGTGGTAAGGAGAAGACAAAGGGAGACGCGTGTGGTGGAGATCGAAGAAACTGCGGATCACGTGGCTATGCTTCTCGGACAAGTAGGTCTTCACTGTTTATACTTTACACCTCTCAGTTTATCATACTTTCACTGTTTATACTTTACACCTCTGCGGATCATGTGTCTTGCATCCTTGATTAAAGCCACACATGCACCACACGTGAATACGGAGAAAAACCCACTTTGTGTGGGTTTACTTTACAAACTACATAAGTAGAGAGTAATGCTGTTGAAAATCGATGAAATTGAATTTTTTTGTCAAATGTGGAAGGCTTTTGGGAGGAGAGCTGGTGCTGTGGCCAGTCTAAGAGGGAAAAGGAAGGTATTATCACCAGATGAAGCGGCGCTGGTGATCGAGAGGACCTTCAGAGCGTATCTTATCCGTCGGTCAAAGGCTTGACGTTCGTTGCGAGAGCTAGCTGAGGCGAAGGCTAAGTTGAAGGAAATCAGGGGGTTGTTTAATAACTACTCTTACAGGCAGAGCATCGCTCGCGATTCCGAGGAGCGCCAGTGCTTCTCTGAGCGGATTATTTCCCATATCCTCACTGTTGATGCTATTCAGGTAGTATCATTCTGATTTTACTTCTCTATCTGAGTTTGAGTTTTGTTCTGGCTTTGTTGTTTCATTTGCTTATTTTTGTTCATTTGACATTTGATCAAGAAAATGTCAAAGATTCACGTCATATTGATCACATTTTGGATATTGGCATGGGATTATATATGATCCTTTGGTTCATTTGACTCCATGGATTGATATAATTGTAGGAAGGAACTTTATTATAAGTAAAGTAACAGCCAACAATCCTTTTGTAATCTTGTTATTGAAGTTTGCATTTTTTGTTCAATTTTCTTATTTTGATAGCAGTTTCCCGAATTCAGTTTTTCTTGATATCTAGGCTCTTGTTCAGATTATTTAAAGGATTTTCTGCAAGTCTCGTAGGTAGCGTGAGATTTGCACTTGGTTCTTATATTGATATTGATTGATTGCAGTGGTATTTTATATCGAGTTAAGAACTTTTAAGATAATTGAAGAGCCTATAGTTTCAACTTGTTATCCTTTGTTCTGGAAGATTTTGTTTTGGTTTCACTGTTCAATTGTTGATACTTGCTATGTATTAAGGGTGCTGATCTTATGGTTCGAGCTGCAAGAAGGTCAATGCTAGATGAGCTGGAAGCAATGCTAGATGCGATCGACCCCCTTCCTTCTGGGAAACTGGATTTGCTCAAGAGGCAAGCAGTTTGATCTGGCTGAAAGTGCAGGATTGGCAGAGAAGTATGAAAAAGATGCCTGTGAAGTGTTTTTATGATCTTTGAAGTTTGCTTTTCCATCTGGTGAATGCTTTCCTTATCTAAATAGTCCTGCTCTTGTTAGTGTCGATGATAAATAGCCCTTGAACCTCCCAATTATCTCCCAGTTTTAACATGGTTGCATCTGTAATTCTGTATATATATGGAGAAGTCTGAAACTTTCTTCTTTAATCTATGTGTATTCGTCCCTTTTTCATCCAAATGGTGCTTTCTGATCTATGTATATGGTGATGGTTGTCTTTGACTCTTTGCAAGCATAAACTGGTCATTTCTAGTTCGCAGCCTGTGAATACTAGTTTCTTCTTCCTGGTACTTGGCCATAAATTATATATAATATGTGCCGTTAACTCATTCTTAAGGTGGACAACAAACAACGGATGAGATTTTAGAGCAACACTAAGTTTGGAAGTGGATGGCGTACAAAGTTTTTCAGCATTGGGTGTTTATTGAACTTTCTTTGTCGTTTCTACCAGGATTTAGGTCCTTTTTTTTTCTTAAATCTTTTTTCAGTAGCCATGCAGGAGCTGAGGCTAAAATCCCTGCACTGCGGAAAGTTAGGAGATAAAGGTTCAGGTTCGATTTCAGTTATTTTGTGATGAGATATCGTATTTCGGATGGTACATGGGCTGGTTCTTAAAATGATTTTTTTAAAAAATTTCTATTATTTATAATATATAAAATTAATAAAAAAAAATTCGATTTGGATAAAGTATTTTTTATTATTATTTTATGATTTGCAAATCGAACCAAATTAAATTGAAACAGTTAATGGTAGAGAGAAAAAATTCATCAGAATTTATAATTTTAATCAATTTTTTTTCAATCCTACCGGCCAAGGGGTGAATATCCGTCAGGGTCAAGCCCAATCCAAGATTTTAGTTTTCAGGTGGAGAAAAAAATTCAAGAAATCTAAAAATTAATTTAAAATTATAGTGTTCAATTTAAATTAATTTTTTACTCGATTTAGATCAAATTTAGATTTAAATATATATTAAATTTAAATTTTAAATCAAAAAATAAAAAAAAAATCAAATTGAATCAAATCAAATTATTTATTTTTTTTAGTTTTTATTTTTTAAAATTTTTTTATAAAATAAAATTAATAATTATATATTAAAATTTATTTAAATATATTAAACATTTATATTAAAATAATATATAAAAATTAAAAATAATAAATCATATCAAATCAATAAAATTCAATTTGATTTGATTTAAAACAAATAAAAATTCTATTTGAATTCAAATTAAATTTTAAAATTTTATAATATTATATAATATTTTAAAAAATAAAATCAAATATAATCTTAATGGAATCATTTTCACCCCTAGTTTTAAGCGGAGAACAACTAATACATACTTACATATTCATTAGGTCAGCCAGGGACAGATATTTGACTGATGTCTAATATTTCCTGGCCATGATCCAAGCTAGCAAATTATTGTTTTTCTACTGGCCTTACCTATTCTCGAATATTTTCCTTCCGTTTTTGTATGGATTAAGCTGAATATATACTTAACGCACCTGATTAGTGATTGCTCGTTTGGTTTTCGGAGATTTGCAGGCTAGCTAGCCACTAGGGGCGAACCTGCATCGGAGGAATCATCGGGTTCTTTTCTTGTCAGTAAGCCGCATCTGTATCTAATTCGAGGTTTTTTTTTTATTTTGATTCAAGAAATTTTACATTTTATTTTATAATTTTTTTTTCATAAATTTAAATATATATATATATACACATCATATAAAAATTTTAAATTATTTTGATATGAATTTTTTTCCTTAAAACTTAAGATTATCATCAAACTCAACATAAAATATATAAATTTATTAAATCACATTAAATATTAAATAAATCTAATATATAAATACGTATAAATCATAAAATCAAATCAAATCAAATATTAAAATTTTTAAAATAATTTTTATAATATAATACTTAATTTTCGTCTGATTTATAATTATTTTAATATTATTTATAAAAATTTACACTCAATCCACGTAATATTATTCATTTTATCTAAAAATTTCATAAATTTATTTAATAAAAAAACATCTTACATATTTAAATTTAATTTTTTTTATATATATATCATAATAAAATCTCAAATTATTCCCACGGATTGGGTCCCAACATCAGAGTTAAAATGACTGCAGAAGGTTAATTTGACCAGAAAGTAAAAACATAAAGAGAGAAAAAGAGGGTGACATGGGAGCTGACCAGGCAAGAGCCTGCACTCATAGAATTGGGCTCTAGAATTACAGTGAGTTAAAAAATGTGAGAGAAATGGTGAATGCATTTATCCCACTTTGGTCCGTAGTCTAAAGCCTAAACACGGCAGCCGATGCGAATGCAACCTTACTGTAATTTCTGGACCCATTTTAGATCGTGTGAATGAAAAGAAAATCGACTTCTCTCTTCATTCCTTTTCCTGTCAGAGATTTTGACAATCAATCAACAGCACCAAGCAAAGGCATTACAAGCCAGAAGCACATAAATCTAGCTACAAGTGAGATTGATGGCGATTAACTGTATTACTTATTACTTGTGCAAGCTATAGCTAGAGCAAGAGAACCGTGGTCCCATTTTTCTTATGCTAAAAACCAGGATTCATGACACTGTAATTTTTTGCTTCTTTAAATACAAACGTCGGCATGCTGCAATGTTATTCTGGAGGCATTCATGTGCAGACATGACAAAAATTCAATACATGTCCTGATACGTGGCAGAAAACCACAGCAGGAAGGATCAATAAATGCCAAACACTTGTCCTTGCATCGGGTGAGCAAAATTTTCTATCGACCCTCCAGTTTCTAAAAGAATGTTTCTCACTTCCTCACAAAACCTTAAAACATTTTTTTCCCTTAAAACAAAATCTTTGGGTTCAATTGGAATATGGAGAAAGCACAGCAAGAGGAACATGCTGCACACCTAACTACCAAAAATTAGGTTTGCCAGATGAAGCATTGAATGACACTCACCACTCTGAATCCAAATAATCATTGTCCCCTCCTACCCACTTTTCTTCATAAAATGATTGGCAATTTGGCGATCTCACATCTTGTCTACAAAGCTCCTTTGCAACTTGCATGCCCCAACTTGCTCCTATGCGACGAGAATTGCTATTGTCTAGCCATGGATTTTAAATGGAAGAGCCAGCAATTAAACGCTTGCTTTCCAAATAAAAAGTTTGACGCAACCGAAATGACCACATAATCAGAAAACTGTCTAAGCTGGTTAATACTATTGCACTGTAAAAGCAAAATTTTCCTGCAAAAAACTATGAAAAGAAACAGCTTTTTGTACTGATGACAGATTTCAATATTTCAACAAAGATCTCAATAGGAAAATTGAACTACATTTCCTTCATATGTATCCCAATAATTCAGAAGAGAATAAGTTAAACAGTAGCATCTCTTCCCTGTTAAGCAGAACTGTCGAGGAGTGGTCTACACGTATCTCAAAGTAGGCATAATTCAATACATATACGTACAAAAATATCCCTAACTAAAGTATATATTAATCACTAAATTAATGTCACAAGTTCCAACCAAGATTGAAATGCAAAATCAGTATTAGACTAGTCAAGACTTGATAGCTTCTTTTCTCAAATGAAGAGACATTGGGGAAGGGGAAACAGTAAATAATTGAATTATGGCATTGCCTATTTGCCTTACAATTTTGTCCCTATTCTGTCATCAAAAAAGAAAAGCAGTGAAAAAGAAACAGAAAGAGACAGTTCTGGTCCTACTGGATTTGTAAAATAAAATTGTAAAGCATGTATAAATACAGATAATAATTGGAAATATAAATTATATATAACCCCATAAGAGAAAAAGGGGAATAATGCAATAATACAGCACTTTTTCGTCGGTTTTACTCACTGTAACTATGTAAAAGACCAAAAAAAGTGAGGACGAAAATTTTGCAAAGGGATAGGAGAGTGTAGCACATGAACAAAATTGGGAGATGTTTCTCAATCATTTCATCCGTAAATTGCCTTAAAATGAAAATATGAAAATACCAACAATGTTCCAATAATCTCCCCTACCTCTCTCTCTTCCCTAGACATCAAGTGTCAATACAGTGGAGCCCGCTGAGGAGTTTTCTTTCTCCGGTTCATCAAACTTCCTGAAACTTCGGACACTGGAGGGCATGTCGGACGACATATAGTTAAGCTACTCCTCTTCTTTCTCACAATCTCTGTCGTGGCAGTACAAGCAAGTGTCCTGCACCACATTTCACCGTATCCGCCAGACCCGGATGATGTCTTGGTCGAACCAGATGGATCAAGGACTGAGTCAGGTGTTACCAAGCTATCATCCAAACCCGCCTCCGGTAAAGGCAAAAAATTGCACTCAAACAAGAACTTGGAAAGCCCATCTTCTGTTCTTAACAGATAATTAATCTGATATAATGGGAAAAAAATAGAAATGAGCAGGTTAAATGATTGAAAAATCGTGAAAAGAAAACGTGCAGAAGTGGACAAGAAAAGAGTGGGAGATGGTGGTTATGGAGTTATGAGAATAAAATAAAAAAATAATAAAAAAAAAAGAACCTTGCAGGAGAGAGAGCAAAAGAGATAAGGGTCTTGAAGGCTTCTGTCGCAGGTACTGCAGAAGTTACCGGAGCCTCTGAACTGCCTTGTCTGTGGCCTTTGGTTTATAAATATCACTTTTGCACTATTTGTTATGTATGACTAGTGAAAGAGAAAGAGAAAGGAGAGGCGGTGAGTATCATTGAAGAATAGATAAATGTTAGTTTGCAGAGAATAGAGGACATCATTCATAATTCAGACATTTCTTTTCTGAAAATTTTAGCTTCATTTTATTGAAAAGTATTATTGTAACTGGTGGTTAAATGCACAGTAGATGATTGATAATCAAGCCAAAAAATGTTTAAAGAATTTGAATTTCAAGCAAGGACCTTGTTCGTCATTTGGAAGAAATGCACAGTTCATAAATATCTAACCATGCAGAGTGAGAAAGAGAAGGGGGCAATTAAATTAACCAAAAAAGTGTTTTCAAAGAAAAGCACAACTGCACAGGAATAATTGAAAACTGCTTTTCTTAATGTCTCTTCTTTTTCTCCAAAGTTGTTTGTTTCAACTTTCAAGTTGAATTCAGAAGCAAGAATGATGACTTACTTGGACAAACGCACAGTCCATTAATTTTGTTGCATCATCCAACCTTATAACATCGTGATAGACATACCTTCTTATCTGAAACATGACAAAGGGGTTAAAGCTTAAAATCCTACAACGAAATAAGTGGTGTATTTTGAGAGATTTATAAGGTGAATTTTGAAAGGGGAACCTGTAAAAGCCTGTGAGAGCTGTGAGGAGACAAGCAGTGAGGGCATATACTGATACAACAGTCCAAACAATAGATATTCTTTTCGTTTTTCTTGGCATCTTCATGAATTATACAAGCATTGAAGAATTTCTCAGTAAGAAGAACTTGAAGCCAACGAGGTAGATGTGAAGAAAACAACTGTAAACATGTACAAGAAAAACGTAATTCAATTACCTTTCACAAGTAACAAGAGAAAGAGAAAGCAAAAGAAAAAAGGGAAAAGGATTTAAAATGAAAAAAAAAAAGAGACACTTACCATGGTTTTCTTGTTTGAATTTTGAAGAGAGAGATTGGTCAGGGTTTATGAAGATAATGGTGGACTAACCATTACTGCAGAGAGAGAGAGAGAGAGAGAGAGAGAGAGAGAGGAGAGGAGAGGAGAGTGCAAGAAAAGAGAAACGGCGCCTGGCAACTGCTACTGGGCCTGGGGTGGTGTTACTGTTACCAATGAAATAACAGGAGAGAGAGAGAGAGAGATTGGCCTCATTTAAAGAGCTGTCTTTCTTGCGTATTTGTACGTCATTGTAGTCTACTCTAGTGTAAAGCAAGATTACAAAGAAATGGATATTTTAATTACAGGGCTTGGAAATGGGACGCGAGCGAGAGGTCTAAAAGGAAAGGCTGGAAATTGATACGAAGAAATAATAGAATAGTTGATGAAAACTCACCTCAAGATCAAAACTTTCCTTCTTCCATTGCTCTTCAATAAAAGCCCATGTCCCGAAAACCCTAAAACCCTAACCATTTGGTTCTTTGTGGATGGTTGGGTTTCTGCCACTCTCTCTCTCTCTCTCCTGTGCTAAGTGCAAAATGACAAGACCATAAACAGTGACTTTTCTCAGTTCTTGGTGGAAAACGGTAAAAGAAAAGTGGCAAGTGGCATTGGGGTTTAGAAAGTGACTACCTTTTTTTTATGGAATTACAGTTTTATACATGCTCATGCTCAGCTGCTCCACAGCTTAATTTTAAATAAGTGGATGAAAACAGTCGGGTAATTCCGTGTGGCTTCTAGATCAGCAATCCATTCAATTTCTTGGTCATTGCTCAATTATTGAAGGATGCTTCGCAAATAAAATACAATCGATTCGAACTAGCTTGAATTCACCATTATTAAATAGATACGAAAAGATATTAGGACTAGCCATTCACTATTTTATGAAATACTATAGGTCAAAATAACATGAGAAGTTAGGCACAATTGGATATTTTGATCCCAAAAATATTCATGCACCTTCAAAAGAAAACAAGAAAGAATTTAAGAAGTCAGCAAAATTCACTGTTTTGCATACTGTTCACATATCTGATATTAAAGGCATTACTGTTTAGCAACGTTAATAAATACATTCCGTTAACTTTAACCACTGGAATTAGCTCAAAATGATTATAAAGAAGAATTTATTGTCTGACTGCAAACTTCGAATCCTGCAATCAATAGTGGTTGTTTTCATGCAATAATCACCCTATTCATAGTCAAAATGGACCTACCACAATCTATAAATATAATAAAAGCCCAATGCTTGCAATAAGACAAGATTGCGGGGGAAGAGGGATCAATCAATTTACGAAACAATTAGACTGGGGGCCTTTTAGGTCATTTCATGGCACAAGAAAAAGTAAGCCAAAGTAATACGGTTGCAGACAAAGAGGGGTTAGGACTTGGGAGATGGCATCAAAACCGTACGCATTAGCAACAGCAGCAGCAGCGGCAGCAACAGCAGCGCCAAACCCACCCCTTATCATCAGCCATCGACAGTAGAATCATGTCCACAGGTTACTCGCTCAGAAACTTTTCTTTTTTGCGTGGATTTATTCAAGTATGCTCTATTTTGCCAGGCTTAGGTTACATTGGTACAGAAGTAGCCTTTGATCTAATGTTTTTTAACACTATTTTCATTTCTCAGGCCTGTTCAATGACATCCCCCTTATACCTAAACAAATAAGGGAATCACAAAATTATCACCAGACCCCTATTATTTTCTTCATTACTTATTCCTTAAAATCTAGTCGTACTACCGTTTTTTTTCCCACCATGTTTCACTTAAAATTATAAAACTTACAAAAGACATGGTATTAAAGCAGTACGTTTTGGAATATCTCCCCCATTAACGGCACAAGATGATCTTCCCTCCGATCGCCATCCTATTGTGTTTCAAGCTTTCTACCAGGTTTAACTTCTGTCATAGAAAAACCTGGAAGTCCTTTTTTCTTTTTCATATGGTGGAGTTGAAGAATTACTGTTAATTGAAATCATTGAATAACTTCAACTAAGAGAAGGTTAAGCCTTTGTATGAACAGAGCTCTATGGCTTTGCTAGTTACCTTCCTACCTTTGTTTATTTAAAAGCTTTCTTGGCTAACATGGCTAATAAGCTGTTCAGTTCAAAAGAAAGAAAAGTATTTATACTACTATTTGTTGACTGGAATGAAAAGAATTTGTCATTTTGACACGAAAGAAGAAACAATTAATGCAACTGTATGGTTTTCTTTGAACGTTCAAATTTCGGTCGATGGATATATGTGTGACTTGGTTATTATCCTCCTCGTCCTTAAATGAGAAAATTTTCACTGGCCAAGTCTGTTATGTATATCCGTGACTCGTCTAATTTGAAAGAAAAAAAAATGAACTTCTACTTCTAGTATAGAAGTCATTAATTTCAATGCTGAAAATTTGCTTAATATTAAGGCAGTGAAAGAAAACAGTACTTGTCAAGAACTTGGCAAAAGTTATGACGTTAGAACAAGCCTAGTAGCTGAATTATAGGCTAAAAGCTACAGCTGGTTTCACCGTTTTTCATACTCAAATCAAGCTAAGTGGATAAAATATTCGCGACAAAGACTCCCAAATTTCAAGAAACTAAAAACAAGTCTGAAGTCTGAAACCCAAAGGTGGGATTTACAGTAAAATTCACATTTAGAAAGTGAAAAAGGCAAACCAAAAAGGAAGAAAAATTGAATTGTATATTGAACGAGTTCCAGGAAACAGCACAAGGGACACCGGTGAAGGTGAATTAAGAGCGATCCAGCCAGGCAAAACAGGAAACCAACAAAGATGAAATAAGTAATTGCAAAGAATACAAGAAAGTATGCATTAAATGAGGAGGCATGGACATTAATAAAGACAAAACTTGTAAGCTAACATGATAGCGAAGTTGCACATCAGGGTATAATTATGTGAATGCTCCTCAGCTTCAGGATTTAACTTACTTTCTCTCATTGATCAGAATGTTTGCATTACGAGAGTCCGATTGGGTTTCACTTTCAATTACATGTTCAACAACGATGATGACGTTGCTTGTTATCTCAGCTTCCAGGAACTCAAATAGTTTAGTCATGTCTAAATATGTTTCCTTGCGATAAGTTCAAATAATACTAGGAGTACAAATTAAACATATCCTTTTTTTCATGGAAGAGGAGACCGGTTAAGGAACGATCATCAAGCTCGGGCAGGTTGTGTCCTGTGGGGTAGTTAAATTGCCGAACTGGGAATGGAGATTCATATATTTGTACGGAATAACAGACAGTGCTGGGCAAATGGGCCTACTAGGTTCCCAAATCCAAGTTGAACTCAGATATAAACTGGGCCAATTCGTAATTTCCAATTCCAATTATAAATCGGACTCTGCAAACCGAATAAATGATTGGAGCAGATACGAGGTTCTTAAGCCATGTTGAAAAGTTAAAGATGGGTTTCAATAAGCCCAGAGTATTCAATTACTAGTTGGGGCCGAAGATAGTCGAAAGTCAAAGTCCAATCCCAAGCTTTCTTTCTAAATTTGAAGCTCTTTTAGTTCGCATTAAAAATTAAAGAATTTATATATGATTTATTATTAATATATGAAATTTATATATTATCAATGAATTATGTGATAATATCTCATTAATAAATAAATATAAAATTTTTAAAATAAATAAACAAAAATTTAATTTTAAAAAAAAATAATCATGACGTAATATGATTCATTAAATATAAAATTTATATAAAGATAACATAACAAATATAAAATTTTGAATTAATTTATGGAATATAACTGTCCGGCAGGTCAATGCGCAAAAAATTAGAGGGACACCATGATTACTTCCACAAGATTAACGAATCTCTGTCACATGTGATAGATTATGATGAATCATAATAAACTATTCCCTGGTTGTCATCAGTTACAGGCTTGCAGCTGCATGCCACTTGAGTTCAAAACATTTGTATACAAAATCGAACAACTTCAAACTGCATAATTTCAAGATAAAGCATAGCATTTTATTTAGTTCAACAGAAAACACTTCAACTTTCCAAGTCGATTCAATGACGAAAGCCAGATATGATGGAAACTTTTATCTTCTATATGTTCACAGTTAACTGCTTCTACAAGACTGAAATGATATTTACCGATATCCTTTTATCTAACTGCGTAAGCTTATATGCATTGTAATGCTTTTAGCGATTTCATGATGTCGGCCGCAAATGCATACATCTGCCACCACCATTAAAGTAATTTGGTTGGTTAATGAAAGGGAAAGTTCTGCCGTGAACTAAAGGTGCATGTGTGCCAGTGCTTTGCCATTACCAACAATCCAATCATGAAAATTAGTTCCATGGTCCCCTTGTTTCATGGTGTTGACCAGATTTTGGCGTTTGTCTTTAACTGTACAGGTCCTGCAACAATTCCATGGCTATTGGCTACAGCTGAATCAGACAGCGCACTCAAGTCTGAATTCCATGTTTAATGAGAACAAAGCAGATCTTGATCATTTGTTGGGTTAAATTTTTAATAACTAAGCTGTTTAACTAGCATATATTATTTGTATAAGTGAAAGCTAGCTTAGAAGTTGCTCTTTTTCTTTCCTTTTCCATATTGTGTTAATGGTTGAGACTTGAGAGTACTTAAGTGGTTCTTTTGGACTCGAGTTTCAACCCATCAGCTGATTTAGTTCCATTTGCACATTTACTGGACTCACCCTTTGACTTCATGTAACAAACCCTAACCTACTTCCCAATCATGAAGCAAGTTTTCCACCAAAAAGATATTCCTTTCTTTCTAGTCAACAGTTATTTTGAGGAAATCCCAAACTACTTGTAAAAAGGCATTTTCTGGATGTTTCTTGCTAGAGTTATATTACTAAGTACCAACTATGGGAAATTCTCTTGCAATATGTTTGCACTAATAGAAAGAGTTGTTCAAACTTTCAATTTTTTCTCCTCCTTCAAATCAAATTCATGCTTTCTTACAATGTTGTTATAGCCAAGACATGAGTTTTATTTACCTTGAGCTTAAATTTGCATTGAATCTCTTTATATTAATTTCCAATGCTTTGTTCCCCTTAAACAATTGCATTGATTTGGGATAATTGATATCAATCAAGGTTTTGGTTGTGAAAAATAAAGACCCGCCGGGGACCTCAGCTTGTGATGAGGTGAGAGCCACTACAAAGTGTCGGTTAAAATCATCGCCAAGGATTTAAAAGGATGCACAAAAGCTGGCATGATAACGCTAATTCCACAAGGTTCAGGCAGCTTGAAAGACATGTAAAGCTACTTTAAAGCAATAAATATAGCATTCATCAACAAAGTTTTACCACCTTTGGACCCATGAAAATATAGATCCTATTCGACAAATTTGCAATGACAAATCGAATACATGACTTTTAGACGTAATGCATTTGGTTCTATAATTTGATGACAATTTGTTGTTCTTCTTTATTACCAGGTACAAATATAATTTATCGTAACTGTAGAAATTAATGAGGTTTGAGATTCGATATTAATGTGTTCATAAAATGGGTTGTTGAAAGTTGGTTAAGCATTGAAGTTTTGAAGCTGTGGATCAACACAGCATACTTGGTGGTTGTTTTGATGTCATGTTGATGTAATTATAACTGCCCTAAATTGGGGCCAATGATAGAGTCTTTTCTCCATTTTTATTAATTGTAACCATTGACTGCAAAACTAACTCAAAGTTTAATTAAAGATTTCCCAATACATGGATAGCCTATTGTAAACCAATCATCACAAAATTGATATTTACCTAACACTTTCTGATGCTAAAAATTAGCTTACTCTAATTGTATAATTTGATAAAATAATCAAAGCTCATTAATCTTATTATTTTCTAACTGTTGTTAGTATGATAGTAATAGAAAACTTGTACTCAATTAGCTTCTTGCTAGTTAATGGAATTTTTTTTTTTGAAGTAATTCGAACTCGATCGTACTTAAAAGATAAAAAATATATATATATTTTTGTTGGTGCATGCATGTAATTACATTGATAGAAGAGTTATCACTTACCCTTTTTGCGTTTGTTTGTGCATGTAATTTATTTATTATTATTATTTTTTAAATTGGCTTCATTTGTGAATTATAAGATACTTATTCCAATCCTGTATATCTAATTGAATAATTATTAAATTATAAAATGATTACTAAAAGTCTTAACTGTTATTTTTTTTTTTTTTTGGCCAGTAAAAAAAAGTTGTAAGTATTCAATGATCTAGGGGAAGCATTTTCTTGATTTCCCAAAAATCAACCCAATGATTCAACTCCATTGAAGTCAACCTTCAAACTCCCAAGCATAAAAGAGAAGAATCAGAAGGGAAAGACGAGGAAAAAGTCAGATAAAAGAAGAAACTCGATCGATCTGTCACAAGAAGAGTATACTCAGCTGTCATCTTAACCTTGCCCATTTTACCGTTACACAGAATTCCTAAAAAAACAAAAAAGTCAGCAGAACAAGGGGACTAAAAACATTAAAAAAAACCAAAAACTAAAAAAAAAAAGGAAAGAATGAGAGAGAAAATACGAAGGAAAGTTCCAGCAAGCCAAACCCATGCCTTCCTTCCAAGGCATCCAAGAACAACACCCAAAGCAAAGTATCACTCCTCTTTCCTCAACAAAAACAGAATTTTTTCCCTACCAGAGAGCAAAAAGACAGAGACCAAAAAAAACCCAAGTAAAAGCCATTCCTTTTTTCCATTTCTATTGCAGAAATGGATGGCTATCCAGCTTCAACGACACCGAAACCCCCACAAATCTCTGAAATGCTTCAAAAATTCGCCTTGGCTTTCAAGACCAAAACTTTCGAGTTCTTTGCCGACGAAGACAATAACAACAACCACCCTTCTGACTCCGAAGGATTTTCCCTCCTCGACTCCACCGAAGACTTCATTACCGACCAAAAAGTCGTCGTCATCAAGCCTGACCCACCTCCATATTCCTCTTCCCTGATTAATAACAGTTTCCAGAATAGAACCATCGATACCCAGATGGCTGACTCTTTGATTTCTTCTGTTTTTGCTGCTGTTTCTTCGTTCGAAGATTCCTATCTTCAGTTACAAACTTCGCACGTGCCGTTCGTGGAGGAAAGTCTGAAAGCAGCTGATAGAGCTTTGGTTACTCATCTGCAAAGATTGTCTGATTTGAAGCGTTTTTATAGGGAATTTCAAAAAAATCCCAATTTTGAAGCTGGGTTGTCTCTTGGGTCTTGCTTGGAAGCTCAAGTGCAAGAGAATCAAAGCAAGTTGAGAACTTTGGAAACGATTTCAAACCGTTTGCAAGAAGAGATTGATGAAAAAGACAATGGAGTTTCATCTTTGAGGAAGAAATTAGCTGAGATTCAATGGGCTAACACGAAATTATCCCAAAAATTGTCTGATAATTGGAATTCAGCTTGTCATGTTCTGTTAACTGTTAGGGTTTTTTATTCTATTTTGCATGATGCTTGTAGAGCAACCCATAAGTTTAGTAAGATTTTGATTGGCTTGATGAGAAAGGCTGGCTGGGATCTTGATTTGGTGGCAAATTCAGTTTATCCTAATATTGATTATGCTAAGAAAGGACACAATAGATTTGCTTTTTTGTCATATGTTTGTTTGGGGATGTTTCAGGGTTTCGATTTTGAAGGGTTTGGTTTGAGCGAGAATGAACGTTTGTGTAATGGGAATAATGCTACTAGTTCATTGAAGCAATTAGTTGAGCACGTATCTAGCAATCCTATGGAGTTGCTGAGTAGGAACCAAAACTGTGAATATTCAAGATTTTGTGAGAAGAAGTATCAGGAGCTTATTCATCCCACCATGGAGTCATCGATTTTTAGCAATTTGGAAAAAAATGAGGTTGTGCTGAATTCATGGCGGTCGTTGAGCATATTCTATGAGTCATTTGTTAGCATGGCTAGTTCCATATGGACACTTCATAAGCTGGCTTTTTCATTTGATCCTGTTGTTGAGATATTTCAAGTTGAAAGAGGAGTTGATTTTTCACTGGTATACATGGCAGATATCGTCAGGAGATGTAACTTTCCTGGCCAAACTAGGGTTAAAGTGGGGTTCACTGTGGTTCCAGGATTTAAAATTGGAAGGACTGTGATTCAGTCTCAGGTCTATTTAAGTGGGTTGAAATGTACAGGGTAGTTGCTTATGTATAGCACATGTGGAGATTAAGTTATAATAAATCTTCTCTTGTTAAAGGGATTTTGGAGCAAAGGTTATTTTGGTTGGAATCCTTGATGGGCTGGAATTGTGGGTAAACCATAATGACATTATGACACCTGAATCCTAAAGATCAAAGTTTCAGTTTTAGTAGCTGTCTTGATCCTCGAGAAGATACCTACTATCTAAAGTGAAAACCCTTAAAGAAATACAAATTCTGCTGCTGCACTTTGCACCGGGCTCTAGGGAGTGACTGCATTAAGGCAGCTTCTTGGCCATTTTCGTATCCGGAACAGCATCTCCAGGTTGTGAATTTCTTTTCTTACAATTCTCATGTGAGTCCAATGTAGAAATGAATGTAAAGCTTTTTTCCTCTTTTTTTTTTTTTTAATAAGCTTTGTGAGTTCCTTTGACACAAGAAAAATACTACCCAACTGTGTATCCACATAGTTGTTACTTGTACAGTTTGACTTTGTATTATTCCACTTTTAAGTTGTGTCTTTGATTAAAGCAAAATCCATCTTGAGAAAACTTGCACTGCTATTTTAATGTGTTTGAGTTCTTTAATTGTATTAGGTTGTTATGGATGATCCACTTAGATCATATCTTTTGGTTGGTTAAAAAGGCACTTTCATTGCTTTTCTTCAAATCAATTGAATCAGGAGCCTGGTGATCCATCCATATATTCTTATTGATGAATGCCATTTTTGCCCTAGCAATTTTTGTTTATTTTACTTTCTACCCCCATCTGCAGGATATGCTCTGTGAATGTTCTCTGGAAATTTTATACTCTAAACTCCCTTGCATTTTAAAAAGAACTGTGTTGATAAACCAGCTAAGGGAACTAGCTTTCGTTTCACTATGGCTCTGCAATCAATGTAGCATCTTATCTTTCTTTGATCTGATGAGATGCAAATTATAATCTTCTTATGTTCTTTTGATGCTATATTGTCCAATTGGACTCTATATTCAGTTCACTAATTATGCAAAAGAAATGTGCTTGAACTTCAATTCTGCAAAAACTGATGATGTTGTGTATCTGTAGTTTGCTAACTTATCTATGCTGCTAAGGTTTTGGATTTGTTGTCGTATCAAGCTATACCCTTTCCCAATATATATGTACATCTAGCTCCGCACTTACTGATATTTCGTTGCCCCTTTTTTTTTGTGATGATTGGTGCAAAACTGTTGGTTTTACTTTTTGCACATGATTTGTATTCTTAATTCAGCTGGAAGGTGCAACTATATTTGTTTGAGTTAATTGTTTTGACAGCAGTCTGGATCAGAAGGTCGTTCTATGGAACGTCTAGGAGCAATTGTGAAAGCAATGAACTGTAAAAGTGTTGTTACTTGTTGCTTACTTTTTAATTTATACTTTTGAAAATACTCTGCTCATTGGCATTTTCCTTTTTACAATAGTTTCTTGCACATCATGTTTGATCCTTTTGTCCTGATCTTATTGCTAGTTTCCATTGGTCTCCCAAGACCCCTTGTCCTGCTCATGATATCTTAGCCCGAAACTTTGATTTTGGTCAGTACTTCTGTCTGGGATTAGTATACCTGCTTGGTTGTGTGTTTCAATTGTGTCTTATTGCTCGCTTTTGACCCTGGTGTCATTGCAACTTTCTTTCCCTTACCAAAAATCACATCTACTTGAATCCTCCTTTTGCAAGGATGACGATGTTCATTTGTGATTGTCATGACTCTTTGTTCTATTTCATTAATTCATTGATGATTGATTCTAATGGTACGGCAGTTCTACATCAATGCTGTCACTACAGATGCCAGTCCAGTCCAAATTTTTAAGTGCCCAATCTTTTGACTAATCAAGGTGGATAATTGGATAACCTAGTTTTGGGATTCTTAATGTTGTTTGCCTTGCCTTCATGCTTTTGTCTGGTTCTGTCTGTCTGGGCTTGATCTTCTATACTATAGGTTTGAAGTTCTCTGTGTGCAACCTGGTTACCAATAAGCATTAAGCAAATAATCACCTTTTTTTTTCCCCATTGTTCAGGTTTTTATCATAATTGATTGATGAGTAGTGGTCAAATGACTAGTCTGGGTCTTTCTGGGCCCTGACTTATGAGAAGCATGTTTTCTTTTTTTGGGTCTACTGGAAGAAGTCCAAAGCTACGATGATGTTCAGCTGGCCCGAAAATCTCACAGGTATGGACGGGCATATGTTCAGAAAACTAAAAAATAGCCCAATATAGTTTCTTTCCAAAAGGACAACAAGACAAGGCCGACATAGTTACTCACTTATGTAGGACGATTCTGCCAGCACCATTGCATTAAACCCAGGCCAGTTGTCATGAGTCATTTTGTTTTCCGATGGGACAACACTACTACAGGCTACTGCCCCCCCCCCCCCAAAAAAAAAAAAAAAAAAGAGAAAATCAGGTCTCTTTGTCCAAAGTGAATAACCTCTTTATGGTGCTACAATACACTATCAAGTATTTAATTCAAGAGAGAGAACTTTTCCGCTCCAACTAAGATACCATCTCTCGATCCCATCGTATGAAAAGTGGCAGGAAATGACCAAGAGTAAATACTCGGCCCAGGCCCACAGCCCACTGCTTGTCTTGAAGAGTGCTAAAGGACAAAGTTTAGAAACACTGGAGTCTGGAACTATGAAATTTCTGACCAAACTCGCTTAATTTCTACCATATTGATCAGTCGATTTGAACCATGCACATCGGGAAAGCTGATATTAGAAGTGGAAATTAATAGCTTTTATTATTGCAATTTGATTTTTAGTTATAGGATATTCTCAGGACTGATTTCATATAATTCCCCATTGCATTAGTCTTACAGTACACTGGCACGTATAGGTAATTAAATCTGCAGACTAATTAAGTTCCCAAAAATGACAGTCTCTAAAACAGAAACACCATGGTTATAATCTATCTTCTAACAGACCAGAACATATATACGAGACCAAATAGTTCAAATATTTATATATATATACTTTAAATTAAATTATTAATATACTTTACCAAAAAAAAAAAAAAAGATTTGATTCTTTTGTCTCCAAACACCAATGCTCAACACCTAGCTACTAGTTAACTATGGAAGGGTAGGGTTCCTTGCATAAAATGATAAAGATGCAAGTATGGATGTCAAAATATCAATGTATATTTGTTTTCTCATTTTCACTAATTTTCATTTCGAAGATTAGTATTAAAAATCTGTATCTGCTAAATAACCAAATCCTTCAGTGTTTTTTAGCCAAAGATGAGGTGATCTGCCACAATATAACAATGCCTCACACATGATTTTTCTTTTTCCAAGATGTATATAATTAAGGGCACTCGTTTAGTGTTTTTTTAGAAAATTAATTTTCTTGCATTTAATGAATTACTTTGAATTTGGAATGATTTCCGGCATATGATGTAAGAATCATTTTAAGAAGCAGCCTGTTGTTATTCAAGTTTGAAGCAGCTTAAACTTATATGCATGCAATGCATAAAACTTGGTATAGTTTTCCTTAGCCTTTGATTTTTTATTTTAATTTTAATTAATTAATAAAATTCAGTGGAGAACCTTATAATAATTATGCATTTTAGTTTTGCGTGTAATAATTCAATATGCCAAAAAAAAAAAAACATGGAATTGAAAATCTACAACGTACCATCATTTATTGCCAGACTTTTCTTCAACTTTGAAACATAAGATGAAGACAGACATCAAGATATTATAGTACAATTTTTAAACACACAGAATGGTAAAAGGAGTTGGTGCCTTAAAATTTAAAGTCAAAACTATTTAAGTATTTATAATGGATTTTCTAAGGATTTTTTTCTTTGAAGAAATAAAGAAATCATGAAAATTGGGAAATATGGTCGGCTAAAACATCACAAATGCAACAAAAATATTATTATAAACTACTCCATATATGTGCATTTTGGTTAGTGTATGTGTGTGTTTTAGTAATGTCTATCGCAAACCATTATTTTAGTTAAGGAAATGAAATGAAAGGAAAAAAAGGACAGGAAAGAGACCGAAATTCAACTTTGAAATTGAAAGATTAAGCAAATTAAGGATTAACCATAAGCATTCAAATTTGAAGAACTATTATGATCATGACAGAAGGCTAACGTCTGAGAACTATATATATATATATAGATTCAACAGCATAAAAGCCTTCATCTTCATAAGAGTTCTTCGTAGATGGCTAGACCAGATTGTTTCACAAACATTACTTCTAGACATCAAAATCCGTTCGAATAATCACTAACATAAGCTCAGAATCCCAAAGTTTGGACTGTCTTCTAAGTGAACAGATCATAAAAATTAATAGGATGCCTGATAATTAACAGCTAATATAAAAGCACGTAGAAGAGAGAAGAAACAAAGAAAGCCTAACAGCAGTTTCACTTGTTTATTAGTACGGAGTGACACCTACATTGGTTGGAGCAAAGAACCCATCTTTCATAAGCACCTCCTCTCCTTCCTACATCCACAATCCCAAAAAAGAAAAGAAAAAGGATTAATGGTCAAAGCAATAAGAATTTAAAAAAAAAAAGAACTTAACTGGTCTTAAGGGTTAGGGTTTAAAATACCTGTTGGCGTATGCTAGTTTTCTTCAAGGGTTGATCTGGCATAAGTCCGAAATGTATGTGTGGGAAGTGGGCCCACTAGAAGACCATCGAAAAAGAAAACAAATTAGTACTCATAATTGATTAATAGTAGAAAAAGAACTACGTGAACATAACTAAACAATAGATTTTTTGGCCAATAAAAACCCTAGATTTTTTTGTTGGCCCTTGGCAAAATCAGAACCTTGGATTGTCAAGGGACTTGTTTTTTTAAGTAAAAAAGAAAAGAAATGTTAAAGAGAGTTAAAGAGAGTTAAAGAAAGGACAATCTGGAATCTTGGATCTCACATTCTTGGCAGCGGCACTGAAGGCCTCTCTGTGACTTATATCAGGATTCCCAGCTTTGATGCGTTGGATTTCGTCCCTGAAAAGATTTGATAGATGTCAAGATCATACATGTGCTTCATTCTTTCCATTCAAAACATTTAATTTTTAAACTTTATAGCAAAAGTTTAACGAGGATTACATTATGAAGTATTAATCACTTACTTGATGAAGCGGTTGTAGGCAGATGGGACTCTCTGTCTCTTCTCCGGAGCTGGACATAAGACAGACAGTGCACGGACAAACAAAGAGACAGATACATTAAAATCACGTCGCTGACTTTTTTGGCAACATTTCGGCTTTCATTCTCTCTCTCTCTCTCTCTCTCTTCATCATCACCTCATCATCATCTCTACACATACAGATCTACCTATCGATTTCTGCATGGATTCTTCTTAATTTACATCTATATTTCCGGGGGAAGAAAAAGAAACCTCAACTCTCTCTTTCTCAATTAATTTCAGATATATGTACATGGACAAAACTGGGAGCTAGTGACGTTTTGTACGCTAGGGTTTGATGGTTAAGGATATCAAAAAGAGAAGAGAGGAAATGAAAGGCGCACTCATTTGAGTACCCAAAAATAGGGTTCTTTATACCATAAAAGAAAACAAAACAAAAAAGAAAATTGCTTGAAGAAAGGAAGCATACTAATAAAACGTCTACAAGGTTTCAACTTCAAAATAATAATATATAATAATAGTGCTGCAACTTAACAATATATAGCTACAGATCTCCGGTGGGCTTTGCGGTACTGCCGCCATATAGCCATGGAAATAGCATGAGAGATGAAATTAAACATATTTAAATTAAGCAAAAAGAGGTGTTAAAGAGGAAGAAAGAAGAAAGCATAGGGAAAGCAGGGAAGTAGGCATGTGAAGCGTAGGATCATGGCTTTTTATAAAAATAAATGAAAAAGAGACTTCTGTGTATTGAAAAGGATAATTAAACTTAGTACTATTTTTATTAAAGTACAAATGTTGTGAAGAAACTGACTTCTCAGGAAATAGACCCAAATCGGTTTGTGTGGCTACCTTCTAATTTTCCAGCTAGTTAAAAAAAAGGGCGATGTGAAACATAATAAAGAATAAAATGTGAAGAATCTCACGTCTGTTGACCACTGGAGGTTTGGGTATCTCCTCAACTCCTCCTCGAATAGCAGGCATAACCGAGTCATTTGGGTTTGGCTGATTGGTCAGCATATTTGTTGGTGCACTACTTCGGATCTCCTCCTGCCATATGCATATATATGTAAATGAAACCCTAGCTTTTGCTCGAAATTTAAACAGGAAACTAAGAGTATGTGAAGAATTAAGTAGTGAAAGAAGAAGAGAAAGTTAATTTTGTTTGTAGATTTGAAACCCTAATATCTTCAGAAACGAAAATATAAAACATATATATATATATATATATACATACATACCAGGAGATTCTGAGGAGTAAAGAAAGAATGGCCAAGGTGAAGCTGATTAGCTGCAGGAAGAAGCAAACCACGCATGTTGACAGACAAAAGATTGGTGCAGTGGCCGCATCGAACCGTAACAGTCTTGAACAAGCTAGTGCTAGGAACACTCACCTGCGATGTGGTTCAAATACAAAAGAATGCATTTGTAAAAACTGAAACAATAAAAACCCAAAAGGGTTTTGGAGGAAAAAAAAAGGAAGAAGACTATAATATGGAACACAATGGGAGACAAAAGAAATCAAAAGAGAGAGAGAGGGAGAGGGAGAGAAAGTGATACAGCGAGAACAGTGTCGCAAAAGTTGCAATGGACGTAACAGAGCTGGTCGGAGGGAGAGAGGTGGTCCGGTGAAAAAGCAGCTGATGAGGACGACATCCTTTTTTGATGAGCTTTTGATTTGATTGATTGATTGATAGATTGACTAATCAGTGGATTTTGATAAGTGTCTCACACCTTGATCTGATCTTCTTGATTGTTGAGTTGTGCTAAAGATACAAAGAAGAGGATGAAGGATAGAGAAATGAGAGAGAAAAGAAAGATAAGAGATACTACTAATATACTAGGAGATAGAACAGAGCCAGAAAGTGTTTCCCTTCTCTCTCTCTGCTTGTTGTATTGTAAATATAGTTCATTTGTACATGGTTCTAGTTTCAATAGTTTGTACAAGTTGTTGATGTATCATAAACAGTCCCCGATGGTAAAAAATAAAATAAAGAGAGAAATTTAATAAACGGCTTAGGTTAGAAGGCAAAAGAAAATGAATGGTTGGCATTCCCAATGGATGTGTGCTTGTATGAGGGGGAGAGAGAGAGAGAGAGAGAGGGCAGAGGCGGCAGAGGTGGGGGAAAGGAAGTAAGAAAGGGACGTGTGCATGGGAGTGATTAGCTTTGGTTCATTCACCTGTTGTTTTCACAGTTAAGAGGGGGATGTGTCAAGCCTTTTCTCGGTTCTATACAATTCGATGGGTGCCTCCAGGGCCACAATATCATATCTTTGTAAACTCTAGTTAAATAAAGCCCTAAATGCCGGGCACCGATCCTCTATAGATTTCACCTTTAGCTTTTGTTTAACCTGGTCTGCCATTCAACCTCCAATCCAACGTAACCGTCTCACCATACATTGGGACTCATCTGTCTTTTCACTAGTATGCTCGTTCAACTCCAAAAATGGTGGTTTCTTGTATCTTAGAGCTTGTAAAAAATGTGTGTATTGGCACGGTGTGAATCTACCCGCCGTGGCCAAAAAGACAAAAGTGACTTTTGCTTAGCAGAAAAAGCCGATGAAGGGTCTGAATTTCACTAACAAAGAAAAAGCCAATGAGGATGGGGAACTAGTCAATTTTTTAATGATATTGGACATTCGCATTCATTAATCATTCCATGAAGTGATGGAATAGAAGATGTTTGGATACAGAGAGTTTACATTTATACCAGTGTTATCCTATAACTTCACTGGATAAGCAAAACATACAGATAATTACATTCATAAATACTTCTCTACCATCGATTATGATGGAAATGGTATCCTAGGTGGTTTTTATATCCAAATACAATGCACTAATTGTCGGGGTCAAAGCTGAAGCAAATGAGAAGCAAAAATTTCTCAACGTTTGTTATCTTTTAATGGTACTGATTCAAACTTAAATTTAATAAAGCGTACTTAAAGGACAATTGCCACGTTATTTCTGACATTGTTTCCTGATTCCAGTCCATAATTTCTTGAACTTGATTCTTAAATTTAATAAGGTGTAAGCATTCAATTGAACCCGAATGTGACAAAATAGTTATAGTTTGGTCGGTGGCAGCTTTCAGAATAGGGTAAGCCTTCTAAATAAGGGAGCCGGTAATAGCTAGAGGAGACTCGTTTTCAGATACTCTGCGCCTCCTAGGGAGGGAATTCACCGCCAAATTATTATAACATAATAATAACTAAATCAAACAAAATGTATTACGATAAAAAGCTTTTGAAATATCGATTTGACCACTCACGTATCTTCTCTCTCATACATGTACAAAGATAAGTAGTTGTCAGTGACAACAGAAGACAGAGATCCTTTAATCGAATTTACTTTATTTTGTCCTTGCGTTGCATTGCATTGCATTGCATTGCATCGAATAGATGGATTTTTTTTTTCATTTTCCTTTTGGGCTGTTGTTAGCTGATTGAGTTAGACCTCTACCTACACTACTGCATCTGCTCTCTGCGGAGGGTTTTACTTTTTGTTGCAAAGTAAACCTAACTTTGCTGAAAAAGATGGCTGTCATATGTCTAACATTTTTTAAAACTATCACCATCCATCCCCCATGTGTGCAAAAGGGTTTTCTTCTCCCCAGATATGCCCTTCAAGGTAAAATTTTAAGTCACTTAGTTACAAATGACCGTGGGTCCTGTATAGAGATGACTTGGGCAGCTTTAAATGTCTCTCTGTAGTTAGGGCATCGCTGCGCTGCAGGCTGGTTCTGTTGGATGTTTATGGTATGCCTTTGGAGCCACACCAAGAACAACGGCCAATGGTGGCCCCCGGATTTTCAAATTTAGCAAGCAATCAGCCTTTTCACCCTTGATTGTCCTTCATCCTATCTTATATGGTACAATACTATTTCACATACACACAAATCCATTGGGTGATTTTCATGCAGTAATGCTTTTAATTAATCTGTCTGGAAGAAGAAGATAATAATGTTGAAAATTACAGTATAGATGGTGTAAAGATGCAAACATAAGTACCTTTTTTGGTAGCCGTAAATCACTGTTTGCAAAATTCCGGTCTTGCAAGAATACACCTTTTAAAGTGACGAGTGAATCATTTGAGCCAAATCCCAGATTCAACATAAATACATATTTATGCTGATGAAAATTTGCTAAAATAAATCACAAATTAATATGTAAATCTACCTGCACACATACATATACTAGTATAGTATATTTCTTATAGTACAAGATAAGTGGGTTACGGAGACAAAAGATATTAACAGAAACACAGCTGTCGACATATCGGCATCTTCGTACATTCTAATTCAATGTTGGATACAAGGATGAAGATGGGACTCAGACATAAAATTGACAGTATCCTACCAAGGAGACCTTCCATGAAAAAAAGCACTCTAATGAAAAACCTTAACATTCAGGAAGCAATGGCCTACTTTATAAAGTACATCTCAGCTTATTTTAATCTTTTGAGGTTGGACATACTTGGGGGAATACCAAATATCCCCTTATCTTCTTTCACCTATCATTTCTCTTGACAGTGGTTTGAAATAAAAGATCCTCCTTGACATTTACAAATTATTGCCAAACATACATACACACGCACACACACACACACATATATATATATATATTAGTGGAAGTAAATTTTTTTAAGAGATTACAATCTGAAGATAGGAAAAAAGATTATAGATATTGAAATTTAAACTTTAAATTTATTGAATGTTAAAAATAACTCAATAAATCAATTAAGTTAAGGTTGAAAATACAATCTATTAATTGTATGGCAGCAGGTAAAGACATTCATCGCTTTCATTAGATGGAGAACTTGTCTCGTCATATTAGAAATATGCCATTCTAGATGAACATTCAAGTGACCGGCCAAACTTTGTACCCAGAAAAGGAAATATGTTGGATGCTGACTACTGCTTGACCTGTGATTGACGCGCTGGCAAAAAAAAATGCGGAGATTCATATATAATGAGACATTGGTTGGCTGATGGTGATGATTGTGTTTTACTTGGGCTCTTCATTGTTTTGGTATTTTTTTCAATGATCTGTGATGCGTATTCTGCAAAATTTTGACAGCTTGTATCATTTACTTGATATCAATAAATAATATTTGACTTAGAAAAAAAAAAAAAAAGAGAGAGAAGAATTTGTACAAGCAAAAAATCTTAAGCCCAGCTAGTAAAATTGTTTACGTACATCTAAAAGTTAACTTTCATGGTAAAGGCAATCCGGTACATAAAATTCTTGCTATACATGGTATCCAAAGAAGAGTAGGATCCGAGTCAGATCCACTGGATCTAACATAACGAGTCTTACCTTAGAATCTTATCATTGCGTCGAGGCTCCCCTCCCTTTTTATAAGAGTTCATTTTCATAAAAGTTAGTTTTCATATTGTCCTAATATCGCTTTGCAAAAAAGCATGTGATGTTGTGGAGAAATATAAACATGGAAGTGAGCTCAAAGCTTACGTGAAAATGACTTCAGGTTTCTGGCTAGCCAGTTTTCCTCGCTGAATGTTAGGGCTTCGACCAGCAGTACTAAGCCACAAGCCCTCTCTCTTTCCACTGGACCCTTACTGACCAATTTTCTAGCCCCTTTTGTTTAGTCAAATGGGCTTGAAGCTACTCTTACAATCATAATTAACTAATATCGAGATATTTCCGTATTATGATCAAAGTAATTAATAAGTAATTGCAGTGCCAATAATAAGCCTATATAACCTTTAAAATTATATATATCCATCTCCAAGCACAGAAGAAACTAAACACCAAGTTCTTTACATAACTGAAAATTGTTTGAAACTTGAAAGAAATTAGAATCATTGCATACTGCACATTCATGATCAGTACTCAATGCAAAATACAGTAGTTTTTTTTTTCTTTTTTCTTCTTTTTCAATTAGCATCTTCTGTTGAACAAATTAAACAAAAGAGTTAGACAAATGGAGACTGGGAAGGGGAAGAGAGCAACAATTAGTAGTCGTTATAAAACCTGTTAAAGACAGCGATCATATCTTTTTTTTTTTTTTGTTCTTTCCCCAAATGTGAAAAGTTAAAATGATTTTTTGATTTATGCATGACATGCTTGTGTATAATGCCAGCGAGCATTTGGGTCCATTAATTTTGTACGGTACTAATGTAGTAATTTTAATTCTGTTCACTAATGATAGAAACATTTAATTTGATTCATGTTATTGAAATGAAATAAAAGAATAGGTACACAAGCAATTAAACATATGTTGTACAATGAAAATGAGTCTTCTCCTATATCAAGAATCCGATTTTATACATTTTAAAATTCTAGCTCGAGATTTTTAGTATGAAATTTTAAGCTTTAATATTGTTGAGTATCACCTTGAGAATTGTGTATTTAAAAATAAATAGGCATGCATTTTGCTAGTTATACTCTGGTTGCCAAATAAACGCCTCGACGATCAAGATGACAATTAGCTCAACTAATCTAACACTTAATCAATATTAAATAAGTCAATTGATTACATCAACACAAGTCAATTATTTAATCACGTTAATATCATTTCACTCTATAAAAGGTAAGATTGTGGCACAATTACCTCATTTTAGTCCTCCAATCACTCTCACTTATTCTTACCTTCTCTTACCTTTTTTTCCCTTCTCTCTACCTTCTTCTATATGTTATCCTATATGTTATACTGTTCCTTCTTTTGCATGTCATCTCAACTTCTAAATCAACTACCAAACCAGCTTCCAGCAGGGCACCCAATATCACACCAAAAACACCATCAGCACTAATATTTGAGCAATTAATTAATTGTAGCTACGTGCCATTTGAATCTAGTATAAGAATTAATATCAGCTGAGTTATAAGAAAATTAAGCAGTTAAAATTACTAATATAAGAGTAGAGTAGAGAGATAGCCAATAAGGCGAGCGTCTGGAAAAGCCTGTGAGGGAACTCTTATCTGAGTGGTAGGAGTAGAGCTTAGAAGTCCAATAAAGATAAAGATGAAATTAATTTATAGCCTCTTTTGGCATCAGAAGCTGCCTGTTGCGTGTAGCATAGTAGCTAGCAGTGAACAGTTTCACTGTCAAGACAAGTATTTAGTACGTACTGCAACTGTAGCTACAAGCACCGATGGCCTCCTTCTTACTCTGGCTGTGGCCTCGAGGCACGTTAGCAACAATTATCAAAGTAAGATACAACTCCCTTTCTCTTTTTTCTTTTTCTTTTGTTTTTGCTTGCGCTGCCAACGTTATGACAATGTGATTCATTTCAACTAAAGTCCACCTCTGCAGGTGGAGCAGTAGGATTCAGATTCTACTGATCGATCTAGTTCTGATTAGTTCTTGCCTCTTTTAAGTTTCTTTCTGTCTTCGTTCATTCTTTTTCCCTAACTGAGAGTGGGAATACCAGGGATCGTTTCACTAATTCAGGTTCTAAGATATAAATTAATGAATCTCTTTTGCATATAATGAATTTAACTCCTTTTTCTTTGTTCTAGTTAAGAATGATAAAGATCAAAAAATGACTTAAAGTAAATCTAGACCTTGGCTTAAATTGTTAAAGTTACCTCTCTTAAAAAATGAATTCTAGTTAAAAAATTCAATTTCAGTATTTACAAATTTTTCTTTCTTTGGTTCTCCTAAATCTGGACCTTTTTTGTTAAAAAAGAAAAAGGGGGTTCAAGTAATATAATAACCATTATTCAATTATTAAGAAAAAAGCACCAACGCCATATCATGCTTTGATAATGTTGTTTAAATTGTGATACGCATGAAGGAGTGTCATCGCTGCCCCCCACTGTCTCGACTAGAACGGATCAAGCCCGCAAAGCTTAGCATATGCTAAAACTAAAGGCACCTACAGGGCCTTGGGCAGCAAGCCAGCTCAAATTAGACCACACCCTGCGTGGTCACAAGTGAAATTGACCCAACACAGGAACGGTGCAAGGTAACGACTCATTTACTACACCAAGCCTCTGTGTTTGGAGAGATGTCAGAGATTTGCATGTGAAACAAAGTCAGATTTTCTGTGTAATGGTACCAAAAAGAAGGTACCTTACAGAGAATGTGATCTGTTCAAAGTTCTAACAAATTATAAGCAAAATTCTCTTACCAAAACATAACCGCTTACAACATTTCGTATTAAATAAATCACATCTCTAGTTACTTTGAGAGCCAATAGATGATAAGGAACAACGTACAAGCTGCAATTACAGCTGATAGAATAAGAGTGTCTCTTGAACGCCTCCTTCTTATGGAACCTAGAAAATATATGAATTTTAATTAGTAAAAGTTAATACTATAAAGAATAAAAAACTCAGTAATAAAGATGCACCATAAAGTACCAAGCAAGCCACGGATAACAGGGAACTTGTCACTTAGAACTTTTACTTTCCCTTGAACATCTCCGAACAAAGCTCTTTGAGAGCTCAACACTGCTCTTGTTGTTTGAGCTTGATTAATCACATCATCTATCTATTGGAAGCAAACATATTGGTCAGGAAAATGGAAATTAAATAAGTCTTTGACATAGAGGGACAAGGAAAAACTACCAAAATAAATAAACTATAAGCGTATTTTGTTAGATGGCACTGAAAGCTAACAAACAAAGATATTAATGCACACCAATGAGATGCCTAAAGTTTCCTATATGTCACATCAGTCTTATCAAGTAAAAATGAAACTAAAGCCTAAATTACAGAGCTAAAAAAAAGACATGGGAGCAAAAAAGGGATGTTTGTTTACGTCTCTGTGCAAGCATGCACAAGTTTTTGTGAGCGCATCAGAGAGAGAAGTTACATAAAATTCTCATTAGCATATCTTTTTACAATCAGTTTTGGACATAAATTCAGTTCCCCTTTCCCCCTCCCAGCACAACTATGAAAGTTTCCTTTTGGGGTAAATAATTAGAACTTAGCACATGCTATTCTCGCTTGAGCTGAAAATATAGATGATGCAAAATCCATGGCTTCACTGCTAGCATGAACTATGAATCACTATCAATCCCCAACCATGAATAACCTATGATAGCAGATAACAGCAACAAGAAGAATCAACTTTCAGGGGACATGGGTATCCAGTGTAGTTTTTCAATTTTAAAATCCAGTTCATTTCATTGCAAGAAAGCAATCAGGAACAAAATTATTGGTGATGTTCAAAAAGGTGGAAGGGTATACATCATTAAGTAACAAAAACCAAACTGATGGAAGGCCATCATCTAAATTGGAGGAATACTAGTTATAGGCAAAAATTTAGGGAAAAGGCTTTGTTATTTGGACTTATACTTATTTATGAGGGCTTCATTCTAGGTTTATGTCTCTCATATAAAAAGAGTTATTGTCAGCTTTGAGTTAACTGTTGATAACTGAGATTTGGATTTGAAGACTAGACAACAGAGGCTTGAGAATAGCGATTTTAACTATTAAGATTTTTGGGTTCTACAAACCAAACCACCAGTTTTAGGTTTTACCTCTCTGACCAATATATTCATTCATTTCTTCTATTAAGTGTAAGTGTGTAACACATCTAAATCAGAACCCTCTCCAAGCCATTAAGTAATTGCAAAATAGAAAATCTTGCAGCAAAACACAGAAGGGGAAAATTCTTTCAAGAAACCAAATGCAAACTGATAAAAAAACATTTAAATCTTACATGAGCTATGCTCCCATGGATGGCAGCTCGCTCTCTGAGCAATTGCATTCTAGGTGACATACTACCAGATGCCTGCATGGAGGCAGATTCAGTGAACTTTGGCAAACAGAATAGTACTGGAAATGAGAGTAACAAAGTTAAGAGTTTAAATAATGACTACCTTATACTCACTGATATCATCCCTGACAGAACTCAGAAGCTCCGCGTGTTCCCTCATTGAATTTATGTTTCCCTTGATTCTTCTAAATTCCTAACAAAATTTATATCATTACTTCAAAAGAATAGAAATACTAATCAACTTCTCCAAATGCAAACATCCAAAAAGCAACAGTAACTAGGAGTAATTCCATGGAACACGGGTACAAAAATCTATAGTTCAATGAACCGGAGCACCAAATAAAGCACTTAAAGCAACCCTAGGTTTTTGTTATACGGCAGTGTAAATGCAAAAAGAAGGAATCTTTTATTCTTCAGAAATTTAGAGTGAATGAATGCATTTAGGGGCTTAGTTAAAGATATAACAGGTAACAGCGATACTGTAACTGGAAGTAATTCCTTGGAACATGGGTACATTAATTTATGACACGATATACCAGAGTAGCAAATAAAGCAATTAAAGAAATCCTAGTTTTTGGTTATTCTTCAGCAATTGAGAGTGAATGAATGCATTAGGAGCTTAGTACGATCTGTGACAGTTAACAATGATACAGATGGACTCTTCTTCCATTTCTTCCATGGTTCAAGAAAAGAGGAGATAAGGACACTTCTAACTGTAAAACAGAACGAGACTGAAAATCACATTTTATCCCTACAGCAAGTTTTCATGTACATGGAAGGGGTTTTGTGTATTCCCAATTGTCCATGAAAACAAATGTTTCTTTAAGTGAACAAGTAGAAAACAGAACAGATAACCAACAAAAGAGATCATATCAGAGTTTGAGCTCCGAAGTTGCTAGAAAACTACATAAAACTGTTGGTATGAAGCTATCAATTATCAAAAGAAAAAAAAAAAAAACCTACGGACCAAAAATCTTTTAAGAACTTAACTTCTGTAATGTATAACACAAACCAAAAACAACAATAAAAACAAGAGTATATTTATACTCATTCATTGCTATAAACCAAAAAACAATTTTTGTTTTAAGTATTTTGCACCAAATGCTAACTCGTTGCTTGTACTATATTTTTCCTGCCTCTGAAGTAATTGTGAGGTCAGTAACAATCATGGACCATGAACTCTTGGATAAGTAATTTAAAGTAAAATTACTTATGAAATAGAATAACTAATATATTTTATTCCAAATCAAGATACTGAAACCTTTGTAAGGGATTGCCAAAACCCACAATCAAACATGATTACAAGCATGACAAAGCCTGTTTCAGAAGCAGCTTCATGGTGACATGCTTTAAGTAAGATGATCGGTTTGAACCCATGGCCCATCTACTAGTTACAGAAACAGAGAAGTTGAAAGAAAGTTTGTGCAATTGCAGTGTTAAAATAATAAAAGACCCTAGCATTCATGTGTCTTCTATTAATAGCATGAATAAGAAAATTGCAAAGAAACACAACAGCAACAATTTGTAAATAGCAGGACTATTCCAGGCCCTAGAAAAAAGGTGACTGCTTCACTACACTCATAATTTATACATTAGTAGGAACGTAGGAAAAAAATCCATACTTCTTTGAGGCTCATGATACTTGGTAATTAAACGTGGAAATCTGACTTCCAAAAACAAATCTAGATAACAATTACAGCACGGTCAACAGAATAAACCTGAGTAAACTCATGTAGTATGTCTCTGTGCCTTGCAAGCTTCTGGGTCACGGAAGTAGTCGGTGCAGTAGAAGCAGCACATCTACTCATAGCATCGTTTGTGTCCAGCAGTTTCTCAAGCAATGATTGAATTTCAATTTCCATAGACTTCCATGACCTGCTTGACCCAAGCGTTGGCGACCCAGTATCTACAAAACCTAAATGTAAGTACATATCATCACAAAGGAAAAGAAAGCTCAACCAATTCCAAATAGGAAAAAAAAAAAAAAGGTTCTCTGTTTTGACAAATCCAATCTATTCAGCCGTTAGGGTTTGTTCAATTTCTCAACAGATTTGTTCATAATTTTTGTAATCTACCAAAAGAAAATAAAAATGCAATGCATAACACAGAAAGCAACAACCATTGGAACAAAATTCTAAAGAGAGACAGTGAAATGGAAAAGGGAGCAAACCTCCATGGGTGAACCTAGCACCAATCTTAGCATAAGAAGAGAGTTTGACATCGAGATCGCCTTCGATCTTTCGAGCTTCTCTCCTCAGTTCCTCCCAACCCGATTCTTGTAGATCCAGGTTCGTGTCCATCATTTAGAATGGATCTTAGTTAGTTTGTCATGAAAAAATCGATTTTTTACACAATTTCTCTGATTGAAATGAAAACAAATTTAAATTTTATCAGAAAAAAATGAATGAGTTGACGTAACTCAAATATTTTTAATTTCTAAGAAAATTTTGTGCTTAAGCATAATTATTCTTTCTTGTTCTTTTGGCAATCAAAATAATTCATGAAATTATTATTAGTGGTAAAATGTCAAAAATAACAAGATCTTGCCTTGCGTAGAGAAAAGAAGCAGATTGCGGAAGGCCTTCACGCGCCGTCCATATTCTCTTGAACCAAGAACAAAGCGGCCGGGCAATAAACTGCTTCGAACGCTGAGGCCCATTTCAATCTCCTAACTAAAGAGGCCCAAAATCCCTTGGAAGCTTCTTCGCGTCCATATAGCTCCATTGTATCATTTCGTCTGGGCTCTGGCCCTTATATGGGTACTTAAATTTTTTTAATCTCCTATAACTAAGCATTACCTATTATTTTTTTAACCCTTTTGGTCATCTTTTTTATTTTTTATTTTTACGAAAAATTCATCGGTTGAGATAAAAAAATAAATTACAAATATTAAAATTTGAATGAATCACAAACTTACTAAATATCATTTACATTAAATAAATTAAATTTTGAATTCATTTTTTATAATTTTGATAACATATCAGTAACGAAATACAATATTACTTTCCATAACTTTCATTTAAATCATAATAATAGTATTGGACCTATTAGTGAGTGACTTCTAAGAATATTCAATGATATTAAGGTTATTGAAATATTAAATATGGAATTATTGAATCTAAAAAGTCTTTATATATTTTTTTATAATTTTGTTACGCAAAATCAGTATCCTCGAAACATATGATTTTTTTTTCGTCATTTTCATATAACTTTAATAACTTATGGATGTATTTGTCATTAACTTTCTATGATTATTACTCAATAACGTAGGGTTGTTGAAATATTAAATAGGGGGTCATTGAAATAATTTTTTTTATAATTCTCATATTTATAATTTTTTGAAAATTTGCATATGAAAAATTAATAATCTCAAAATTTATTATGCGTATTTTTTTTTTTTTATCAAACGACTCCACCAGAAATTCACGAAGAATAACTTGATAAACTTGGTGAAATAATAGAAATAAAACATTCATTCTAAAAGCTTGCGATTAATCTGTACTAACTAAACATCATTACCAGTATCCATTGCATCAATATTAATGCCTGAAAATTGAGCATCAAGCAGTCATCTTCTAGAAAACTTGACATGCAGAAACTCCAGCCACATGATTAGCACAGGTAAATTTGCTGAAGCCGACTGCAATTATTTGAATGACCTAGTAAACTTATTATATATTAATACCAATCATATACATAGAGTTATGCATGGGTGATCCCATTTCCTTATGATCGAAAAAGTATTATCATTATCATTATGTGATAAAGTCTTTTAACATCTAAATTAGTATTATTCAATAGTAATCGAAAAAGTTATTAAAAACTAAAATCAACTATTTATGATATAAATTATTTTTAATATTATTTTTGTACTATACAAATATGCATTTATAATAAAAAGAATTTGCTATTAATGATGTCAGTTAAAGTTTTATTATCTTTTAGATGAATTTTAACTAAGAGTAATTTAAGATAAATAATAAAAAATTTTAATTCAAATTAGTTAAAAAAATAAAGGTTGACTATTAACAAAATTAAAACTAATTATACCGAAAATATTTAAATTAGTAGTAATTATTCATTTAATATTTTGTCAACCACTCTCATAACAAAAGCAAGCAATGGAAATGGAATCAATGAAAATTTTAATATTATATATATATATATAGTTTTTAAATTATTATACCATATCTTTTGAAAAATAGGTTTTCAGATAAAATCCTTTTGTGTATTTGAATTTTGTAATTGAATTTTCATTTATATATTTATTTAGGTTAATAATTATATGAAAATAAGTTATTATTATAAATCTAACATATAAGTTTATTTTTTTAAAAAGAATAAATAAATTATGTTAAATTGCAATAAATATAAATAATACAAAATTAATAAAGTAATCTTGAGTTAATCCAAAATTTTCTTTAAGACACACTTACTTTATTTTCTTTAAGAATATTCCTCATTGAATATTTTAAAATTTTTATTTTTTTAAATATCACTTGGATATATGTATATATAGAATTTTTATTTTTTATCAAACATATTATTTATATATATAATTATATATATATATATAATAATTCGTACATTGGACGGGCTACAAACTAATATGCTGAAAATGATGGGTTTCCAACCTGTTAACTCGTTTTTACTCGTAGATTTACTTTATTCATTTCCATTGTCACGGTAGATTGAGATCTACTAGCTAGCGGATTGCAAGAAGGAATTCTCTTGATGCTAAGCTCTCTCTCGTTGATTCAATCCCCCTCTGACGCCGTGACCTGTCTTGATCTTACAAATTTGCAGACCATGAAGCAAGATCCAACAATGATCCCCAATTTAACCATTCTTTTATCTATATGTTTTTCAGATATAGACCAATATATAAAATCATTAATTGAATTGGAGTCCAATATCTTTTGAAAGATTTATATTGAAGTTTAGCTAGGTCATTAGCTGCCACAGTTGACTAGCCTTAGCCGAAGCTCGGGTTAAATTGCTTGCGTCGGGTGTTGGAATATTATAGTGGCTCGAATGTCATGAAATTTGAAATACATGTACCATTCACATTTGAGCATCTAAGTATGCATGTATCATTAAATACATAAATAACTATATGTATATATATATATATATGTATGTATTTGGTGAAAACTAAAAGCATGAATCTAATCATGATTATCTAAATAATTATTGCTTCTTTGATGGTGGGATGCAAATTCAAGGAATCAGGAATCACTTTGGAAAAGGGCCTCTAGCCTAGCCTATAAACATGTAGCCTAAGATGAAGCCATACTGTCAAGCTAAATCAAGTAAAAATCAAGCGAACATACCAACCATCAAGCTAAACCAAGGCTTTAAGGGAGTACCAGGTATACTTATAAATTTGTGTTTTTACAGGAGACAACAGTCGATACTTCAACAACAATCACTGTAAGCTTGTATCGGGGCTTATATAAAATTTCCCATCTCTATTATTTAGAAGTTGTACGGACGTCCTGTACCTTTGGAAGGAGAATATGGAAATTAATCCTGCCTGCATCCTGATTAGCTTCCATCTTATGGGAAATGAGACTGAAACTAAGAATTCAAAGTATTAATTTCGAGTATTAAAAAGCATCCATAATACTTAGCTAAAGAACTGCAACAATTGTAATTTTTTGGGTCCAACTTTGGCTGGTCAGCAGCTCAACAGAATACAAATTTTTTAAGGGTAACAAACAAAAAATTCATACGGAAAGTCAATCTTTGCAACCATATCTCCTGTCCCTTGGAGCCAGCCAAAAGCATGATCTACAACATGCAGGTACAGGCACCCGTACATATAACAACAAGAATTTATGAAGAAAATTTATGGGCTTTTTTTTTTTTTTTCTCTTTTCGAGACAGGACAACAGCACTTTATAACTACAATAAACTTCCGGAGACCGTTGGATTGCTCCAAGAACAGTAAGATGTAATTGTCAAACCAACGCTCTTTAAGTTATAAATGAATATATATGTAAAATAATACAATAACACACATAGGAGCAAGTGAAAGAGAGCTTTCGGTCCAGGCCAAGGTTTGGCGTGGAAGATGCAAATATATATTTTTGGAAAAACCAAATTTAACAAGATAAGAATGCAACGCCGCATTTGACTAAGCAATTTGGTGTTGATAATTCAAAAAGGAACATTACCAATGTGTCCTACAGCTACAAGGACGAAAAGTAAACACTTGCATGCCATTGAAAATTTCCCTTTTCTCATCACTTGATTTCAAAGTATACATATATATATAATAATATATTATTCTATCCACATACCATTGGTCCACTATCCCATACCCTTTTCTATTTATCATACTAAAAAATAACAATAAGAAAGCATTTTTTTTTTTTTTACATCAAGAGAATAAAACCCTAATATAAGTAAAAAAAAAAAAAAAACTTAGTTCGAAATCAAGTTCATGATGTTCCTTCAAACGCCTTTAACCATTAAACTAAAGATTTGGAGACATAAGAAAGTATTTCACATACAATTTACTATTCAATGTCTACTAATACTAAAATATTTGATCAATAATCAGTTGATTTTTGTATGTAATTGTTATTTTCAAGATCGGTAGCTACATATGCAATTTCTCAATCAATTTTCCAATCACTTAATCTATTAAAAATTTATCGTCTCGTTTAACAATTGCCAACCCTTGATAGCTTATATAGTCTTTGAGCGTATGTTACAAGATGCATAAAAGCCGTGGTACCATTTTTACTCATTTTATTGATAAATTTTTTTAAGAACATATATATAAACGTGGGATAATCGACCATGTGAATCTTATCTGCCAAACATGATAAGAGCAATCCTTAGAACCAAAGCGATTGCATGATACTTTTAACTACTGCTAACAAGGAATCAGATTCCATGGTCCCAAGCCAACTTCATTCCGAATAAGATAGCATGAAGCTCAACCTTCAAAACATATCTCTTACGTATCTTTCTCACAAAACCAAATATCCATGCCCCACTACTATCTCGACACAAACCACCAATGCCAAGCTGCCTATGATCAGAAATCGACGCTCCATCAATATTAAGTTTAACAAAGTGGAAAGAATTGCCTAGAGATAAGCTTTACTTATCAAAGGTTGAAAGCTTTCTTGATTCTCCTAAACTGCAAATAATCTTGAAGACCAACGGATTAATATAATTTACATTATTAGGTCACATAAATCTGCATCAAATACACATCTATTTCGAAATATACCAATAGATAAATCCGAACAAATTGACCAAAGAATAGAGTCTTCAATAAGATTAAGAAGTACTTTAATTTCACTATGATTTTCCATTTTTATTCAAAATTATTTAGTCATATGTTTCATGAATTAAACAACATTCCAATAATCAATACATGCACGCAAGATATTTGTGTGAAGCAAAGACTAAACTAAGTAAGGATAGAAGTTTAGGGGAAAAAAGTAGAAATTGTCTTAAAAAATCACAGAAAATTTTTGAGATTTCTGGGGAGGAAGAAATCTCTAGAAGTTGTTTTTTTTTGGTGCGCAAAGGGCAGTTCATAAATAGTTGAACGGTCTAGAAGTTGGGTGTAAAACAAAGATTTTATAGTGCCAAAATTTGAAAGATAAGAGTGACACAGATTTTGTCGAAGACATTTTGTCTGTTTTTACTGTAGTATCTTTGAATAAAGAGGACTCCAACTTGGATGGCGACAGGCAAAGTAACAAACTCCACGGAAATGGAGATTTTTAAGCCTTCACCTTTCGGTTTTGGTGTTTTATACTTTTGCAGCCTATGATTCAAAACTTTAGAATGATTATCCGTTACTTCTCCAGTTTTGACCACGTGGCCGTAGGGACCCACTACCTTTGGAATTGTCAAGTGCAATTAGCACGGGACCCACTAGTGCTGATGAATACGGTAAAGTACGACCATTCTGTACGGAATTTCGACCTGCTACCCGATATATTTTCTGAGGAGAAACCGAGGAGGCCTGCTATGTTTGCATATAGACCGAAGGAAATATGTACCTTACCCCGAAATCCAACATTTGTCAACCATCTATTGGTTTAAAGAAAATCGTGCGTTAGAAAATACGGCAATGCTAGGCAGCTGTATTGACAGACAACCGTGAACATCATGTGAATTTTCAAATGTAAAATTGATTAAGCGTGAAATTAATATGACATTTTAATAAATTTTATTCAATATTTTTTTGAAAATATTAAATAATTTTTTTTAATAAAATTATAATATAATTTAAAAATAATATATTTCTCATCAATTGTCTAATATATTGAATGTATATGAAAGTCTATTGAGATATAAATTTGTTGGTTGGATCATTCAATTCCAACAAATGTAATTAATTACGACTAATCTGTGATAGTGATTACTTTAGAATTGTCCCTCAACTAACACATTCTTAGCATTTGAGTCATGGAGGTGCAATTGAATTTTTCCTTCTACAATCCGCGTAAATATTTCTCTTTACCTACTCCTTCTGAGTTATGAGCCCTTATTGATGCTTCCAACTTGCATTTTAATGCTTTTGATGCCATGATTTTCAAGGCACTCCACAATTAATTAGCAGTCTATAGTCGTTGTGAGTCATAATATAAATTTGACTAATGATATTTGAATATATATTAATTATTAAAGGAAATAAATTTTAAAAACAATTTCTTGGAAAGTTCTTATTTATAACTAAATAAAAAAAAAAAAACGTTTATTATCATCAACCAATCAAATCGTTCAAAGTCTATCATAAGTTTTTTAGTTATATTTAGCTCAAAATTTGATTTTTTTTTTCTATATCAAATGAGTAATTAAAAAATCAACACAATTAATTAATTTTTTAAAGTAATTATGTTAAATGATTTAATATCGGAAAAAATAGTTTATTTACAAGACAATATGTCACGTGGGTAGGAATTCAAAACGCTGTAAAATAAACTCGATATTCAAAAAAATAAAAATAAACTCGTTATAAACAAGGGAAGAAATTTTACTCGAATGAAACTTCTCTTAAAAGTTAAAACAAATAACTCCGTACGTTGATTTTCAATGTGAAATACCGAAATATGCTGATTTCATCCATCTTTCAGTACCTAGCAATTATTAAATTCAATCATGAGTTAGTCTGGTTGTTAAGGGAAATATTTTTTTGTTAATTTAATTTTAATTTTATAAATAATATTTCGAAAGTAAAATATTAGTATATCAAATCCACAAAATCACCCAATTAAAAAAATAGTTCATCTGAAACCAGGTGGACGAGGTAGGATGGATCACAGGATAACTATTGAGTGGTATACCGCACCAAGTTTCCCTAAGCTGTCTCATTTAATTTGATAATTTAAAATATAATATGATAATATATAAATATAATAAAAAATAAAAATATATATTTTAAAATTTTAATAACAGTTATTTATAAATTGACAAAAATTAAAATAATATATTTTATATTAATATAAATTATAAATAAATTTTATATAAAATATAATATAATATATAAAATTTATTTTTATAATATAAATACTTAAATTACGTAATTTTAAAAAAAATCGTACCCATAATTAAAAGTGCGCTAATCCAAAGATGCGTACGCGACCAAAACTGAGGCTTTCCTCGAAGAAGCGCGGTGGAGTACTACTACATCCTCATTGTTCATAAATTACAATTACCCATATAGTGCAACTACCAATTTAAGTGCCCAATCAGAAAACAAAAAGGTTCAAATCCCTGCTCAACTAGGGAATCAGAAATGTCAATCCAACGGTGATTAGTGATGACTGACGACCCTTCTTTTGTCTGACCTATGACTCTCTCTAAATCAGTCTCTCATCCCATTTAAATCACGATTTCGCCGCTTACAAGTTTTCAAGTTTCAACACTCCATCGTGCGTGCCACAGCCGACCATCCCAAACTCTATTTTCTCCTCCTGTTGACCCTCACAAATTTGCCCTTTTTTTTTCCCTACCTGTTGAGTTTTCTTTGGTTCACTTTATATTTATAAACAGGTCCTTCATCGCCCTGTTCAGGCAGGCCAAACAGAGAAAAATAAAAGAGAAAAGAATACTACTTCATCTGGGAATTTTTAGTCAGGTTTTCGAATGAAATACTCTGCTGGAGAGAGGAATAAGTATGTCAAATATACCAACTTCTCTCTCTGAAGTTTGCCTTACTCTCTTTCGCCTTACTATGTCCATCGCCGATCCGTGGCCCTTTTCCTAATTTCCTTTTCACTCTAGTAAAAGCCTTACAGCCTTATTCTCGTACGCTACAAAAAACACAAGGGCCAAAGCTCTCTTCTTTCTTGACGTTATTTCCGTTACCAGGCAGAATCCATGAGAAAGATAAGGGGCTTCAAGATCGGGAAACGGCTTGTCGGGATCTCCAGATGGTTCATCCGCAAAGCTCGGAAACCACGTGGATACCATCGCCTGACACAAGCAGGATCATTTTGCAAGTCAAAGACTTTCTCCAAGCTCCTTAGTTGGGGTCGCCGCTTGACAGACGGAGCCAAATCTATATGCTCACTAAAACCCGGGTTGGGTTACGTTCCCATTGGGAAAGACCCAATCAACGAAAAGCCGATGGAAATTCCCAAAGGACACTTGGCCGTCTACGTTGGTCAAAAAGACGGCGACTTTCATAGAGTTTTGGTGCCAGTTATTTACTTTAACCACCCTTTGTTCAGCGAGCTCTTGAGAGAAGCCGCAGAAGAGTATGGGTTTAGCCACCAAGGTGGAATCACGATTCCTTGCCGGATCTCCGAGTTTGAGAGGGTCCAGACCAGGATCGCCGCGGGGACCGGTGGAAGGAAAATGGCTTGGAAGCGCCACCATTGAGAGGTGGCTCGTGGTGGTGGTGGTAAAGATTGTTGATGATGACGATAATTAATTCTAGTCAATGACTGTGATAATGATGTCTTTGGAATTTTTGGTTTGGTAGAATTTATTTACCGTTGCTTTTATAAATACTTTTCGGTGGACTTTTTCAAAGGCATGGTGTAATGGAATATCAGGTGTACATTTAGAGAATATTTTTTCTTTAAATTTACCATTATAGTTGTAATTTATTTAGATTTAATTAGATTATAAATAATTATGCCGAAAATAATGCTGAAAATTGTGATTGATTGGGATTGTGATGATAATTACTTTTTTAGTCTTAAAATGTTTGAATTATGTTGATTTTAATGAAATTAAAAAAAAAAATTTTAATATATTTAATATTAAAATTAAAAAATTTTATAAATTTAAAATTTTATAATTTTTAATATTAAAAAATAAAAAATCATACAAATAATTTTAAAAATATAAAAAATTATAATTTTGGAACATTTTAAAAAATAAGGCAGAGGACTAAATGATTCTAATTTGTTAGTAGACTTTGTCTTATATTTTCGGCCAACTCTGAACCACGGTTGATTTGATAACGAATGAGTGATAAAAGGTTTCATATTGGAGAAAATGATTAAACAAGTTGCAGGAATTTGCCTTTATGATCATCTGTATATTAATCACGTTTATTATTATTTTTTTTTTATCATTCGAAGGAGTAGAGTTTTATATTAAAGGAGAGGAGAAAAGGTTGAAGTTCGAACTTCAATTTTGATGTTTTATTAAGATTGTTTTAACTATTAAATCAAATAGTTAAAGATTACATTGAATTATTGATAACTTAATACCGATGTTTTTAATCGATTAAATATTATTTTATTCATGGTTAATAAAATTTTTTAATTTTACAAATAAGATTAATAAAATAATATATATTTTATAAGATATATTAAAAATATATAAAATTAATTAGACCTTCCATCCTAAAATATTTGTTATATACTGATTTTCAAGGAATTTAAAAAAAAAATTGACTTTAATATATTTAATATTAAAATTTAAATTTTTATAAAATTAGAGTTTCATAATTTTTAATATAAAAATTTTTTAAAATAATTTTAAAATATAAAAAGCAAGAGTTTTAAATATTTTTAAAACATAGCATATATATTTGAAATATCTCCAAAAAAAAAGACGGAAAATAAAAAGATAGAGAAAATAAAAAATATGAAGTATGTACTAATTTTTTAATTGTATTTGTGAAATAAAAATTTTATTGTTAGTGTATTTAATATAAATTATCAATTAATTTTATATTTTTACCTTTTCAAGGATTTAAGATACATTAATTATATTTATATGACTCTCAATTTGTTCTTTTTTTTTTTTTAGATCTTGTTCATTAAGTACAAAAGAAATTGTTTGGTGCAACAGGACATGTAGACAGGGATGGGAATTCAACCCGATTCCGGCGGATTTTGACCCGATCCGATACTATGAAATCGGATTTTTTTTTTAATTTCGATTTTCGGGTCGGATCGGGTAATGTTAGAAAATAATCGGGATCGAGTTTTAGGCATACCCGATCTGATATTATTTAAAAAATTATTTTTTAATTAATTTTTTAATTATTTATATATATATTTATATAATGATATTTTTAAATATTTATATTTAAAAAATAATATTTTTATTAATTTCGAGTCAAATCGAATCAGATACGAATTATATAATATCGGGTTCGGGTCAGGATCGGATATGAAAAAATAAAAATTTTAGGTTGGGTCGGAGGTCGAATTTATTAGTGATAAAGTCGGGTCGGGTTCAGGACGAGCAAAACCCACCCTAAACCCGACCCGATGCCAACCTACATGTAGACAACTGCAGACGTGTTAGTTTTTTCAGTTCTTGTATGTCGTCGAGGTGTCTCCTGTATTTGTTATGAAATAAACGACCAAATCTTCCCGACATTACTATCTCCGATGGATTAATCTCAGTCGCTAAGACAAGAGCCAAGACATTTCAAAGATTCACCCCGTCGAGTCTAATTTAGTTAAAAAAATTAGGTGCATCACTTACGCAAAGATCGGAATTTCTTTCATCAGTTTAATTGAAAGATTAATTTCAGAAATTGGACTAAAAACTGACAATCAAATGAAACTTTATTTTTCCTTTCAGAAATTTCTAAAAAAAAAAAAACAAAATGAAAAAGGTCGGCACAGTGTTTGTAACCATAAGTGTCCCTATCACGCACCCTGAAGAGCAGTGGCGAATCTTATAGTGGAAATCACATGAAGAGTGGTGTTGGTTGTTTAGGCAATTCCACCACAACTTCCATAGTCTAATGGTCTGTGCTAGTTGCCACGTCAAGCTCCCTGGACCATATGGTCCCATCATTTAGCCCTACTCAATCCAGCCATGTGTAATGCACCTTTGATTCAATTTTCATTTGGGATTTCATGTGGCTGATAGCGATCGAAGCCACCTCTGTTTTGGTGGAACGGAGCATGTTTTCATTCTAGCAATAGCATAAAATCAAATTTCAAGCAAAAAATTTGGTTGCCCTCTTTAGTTTGCAACTTTAACTGATACTCCTAGTAAATTCCATCACCGAAAAAAAAAAAAAACTATTCGTAAATTCTTCACGTCTTCATCTGATCAATTTGACAATTTCCAATCTAAGTAATGTCAATTGCAATGTGGAGACCGGGGGCGTTTACTTTTTATGTTAAGAGTAATCTTTAAGCCAAAGCAACCGTTTGATATCTGTCTATCACTGACAACAGAACTTCATCAACTTGAAAATTTCAATCTCATGTGTGAATTTGAATGGATAGAGGACCTAGTCAAAAGGAGAAGATTAGATGAAACTCTGCTAGATTTGATGTTTGCATGACAAAGTCGGGTGGCATTCGCCCAGCTGAGGAAACTTTAGTTCGGAAATTAATCCCCTTCTTTTTTGTTGTTTTATTTTATTATTGGAGCCTTAAAAATATGCTAATATATAATTTATCTCACACTTTTTATTTATTTTTGGGTACATTATCTCATGGCATCCGGACAATTCTAGTGAAATGCACGTTTTATTCATCTCGAATAGATTGAAGGGGATTCAAGTTTTCTCTAATGGGTTTTGTCCATTTCGTGAAAGATTGATGTCTTCTGCAAGGAATAAAAGTTAAAAAAAGGGATGTACAGCGTAATTATCCTTTGCTCATAAATGAAGAAGCCTGTTGTTGCATTGAAGTCAAACTAAGCAAGTTGGGCAATGAGAAAATGAAGGGCGGAATTAATTAAAATTAAAAGTCAAACATTTTATCAATAAAAATTTTAAAATTTATTCTAAAAAATAATCAAGGTAATTAACGATGGAGCAATAGCACTATATTATTATCCAAAGATATATCGTGACTCAAGTGTATATTTATTCAAATAAGACGAACGAAAAGACAAAAAAAAAAACATTCTTGCAGATATGGTGGAGCAAAACATGTTGTTCAACTCCTAATCCTTGTTGAAGTGCAGAAAGAATTTTTCTAAAATCAGCGTCTTTCTTGCTGTGTTTGAGAAAGTATTTACTGTCCTGTTGAGTTCAAAGAAGAGAGGTCAGATTAGCTATTACAACAAGCTAATAAGCAATAAGTAATTAAAGTATTATTAAACAAGAATCCACTTTTTCTGCACCATGAAATTGTAAATTATAGCAAAAGGAGGGTAGAGGAGAAACCAGACGCTACTTTTTCTGGTGGAACAAAACGAAAACTAGATGCAACTTTATCAAGGGTTTATCGAGACGTGATGCTTTGGCTAAACCCTGGGTATTTTTTATTTTGAAGAATATTGCTTCTTTCTTCACTATTTTATATTGCTTTTCTCTTTTCAAAATGAAAATCTGGGTTTGGAGGAGAAGGGACTCAAGCTTAGAGTCTTTTGGTTTGGTGAAGGAACATTATCTTATTGGTTATTAATTTATCGTGGTTGAAACTGAGCATGCTGGAGCAGGGTCAACAAAGTTGGACCTAATCAATTGGAAATTATCCAGGGGAATCGGGCCTGAGTGAGCCCATGAGCTGAGGCAAGTCTGACTAAGAGAGATAGTGGGCAGCTGAGTCAGACACAAGTGAGAAGGAGGCCTGATAATTGAGTACGTGGTTGCCAGTTCGGGTGTAGTCTTGCATTGTGAAAACGATTCACAAGACTGGGCTGTTGATCAGGCCGAAGCATATAAGCTTAATCAGTGGTTGCTCGCGATTACCCAAATACCAGATAGTGACATAAACCTGAGATAGAGATAGGTTTCTCCACCATCAACCTTAATACCTATGAGAATGGTGATAACAGTCCTCAGAGGGGAAATATTCCATTTTTCATTAGTTTTATACCGTTGTACCACGATGGTTGTTCATATACTGACAAATTTTCGTGGAGAATTCTAAGGTTGAGTTCTCTGATTATCTGTTTTGGTTTTTTTTGGACATTCAGGATGTCTTCTGTCCTTTATTAAAAGTGAAAGGTACCATATGATCTAATCTGATTTTCTGCTACGAGAGTAATTTGCTCCCTGCCCACAGGCATCAAGTCACCAACTGGAGAGTTTTTACTCTTGATGAGTTGGATGGATGCAAATGCCGTGTCCAAAAGACATCCTGGCCAAATGATGAAATGAGGTATTGGCTAGAAAACAAAGTAACGGTATATGCTTGACTTTATGACCATTCACTCAAATTAAAGTAGAAATTTTATACCCAAAAAAAAACAAGGAAAGTAGAAATTTTGAGTAGATCCATGAAGACCAAATGGGCCCTTTCTTAATAGGAAAGGTGGAAACATGAGAATTCAAGAATGACCAAAAAGGAAAAGCAATCACTCATCACTTCTACACCACCAAAACAGAGAGCAAAACAAAAACAAAAGAAAGCAAAGCCAAATTGAAGAAAAAACAAGGGGAAAAAAAAATGCTGGGGAGCCTTCAATCACACTCCACTCACAAAACTATCCAAGCCCTGGGACTTCCTACACTCTTCTTTATCTTCCTTTCTCTCAGTTACTTTGGTTTTCTTGTCAAAGCTCATATCTTCATCTATGCTGTCTGCTCTCAGGAAAAGTACGCACCAAACTCCCCATTTGAAGGTAACCTCAACTCTTTTCTCGCATCAATTATTAGCTCGTCCTCTCAAGTGTCTTATAATACCTATGCTATTGGAAATGGAAGCTCAACGACACCAGAAGGCACCATATATGGCTTGTACCAGTGCAGGGGCGATTTGCAAACTGCTGACTGCTCAAGATGCATGGAAAGTGCTGTTAACCAAGTAGGCTTGGTTTGTCCGTATTCTTATGGGGTTTCTTTACAACTTGAAGGCTGTTATTTAAGATATGAGCGTGCTAATTTCTTGGGGACGCCCGATACAAGTATCCGGTTCAAGAAATGCAGTAAAAGTGTTAATAACGATGTTGAGTTCTTTAGGCGTAGAGATGATGTTCTAGCTGACTTGCAGGCGGCTATTGGTTTTAAAGTTAGTTCCTCAGGTTTGGTTGAAGGGTTTGCTCAGTGTTTGGGGGACCTGAGCCCAAGTGATTGCTCGTCTTGCCTTGGGGATGCTGTGGGAAAACTGAAGAGTTTATGTGGATCTGCTGCAGCAGCCAATGTGTTCTTAGGGCAGTGTTATGCTCGATACTGGGCATCTGGCTACTATGGTGAATTTTCTCCAGGTGCAATCCATATCCTTATAACTAACTATAGTCAATAATTTTACTACCAGAACAACTAGAACAAAGTTCATTAGTAACTTTTATGTAGCCATTTTTGTATGTAATAAGGTCATTGTAAGCTCAATTTGTTTCATATTGTTAGTCCAAAAGACACACGGTACGTTAAAGGATATTGACTCACTTTAGTTGATTTCAGAGAGGGAGAGGGAGGCCACTCAAAATTTTTAGAGACAAAGGCATCAAGGGTCAATAAGTAATCCTTTTATAAAGTAAAGCATTAATGGGCATCGGCACTTTAGTTGCTTTCTTTTTAGGTTGCTGCATTGTTTTTGTCATGCCTCCATTTCATATCTCATCTTTTCTCTTTTCTACATAATTTATTCAAGTAGTTTCTTATCACACAATGAGTTAAATTCCTACTAATTGATGGATTAAAAAGGGGTTATTCCATTTATCTGTGCATCACAAGGTCAATTCCACATCTCGAGAAGCCATCATCTCCCACTTTCATTCGAATAAGAACCGAATCATTGCCTTAAAGCTGCACTATTGGCTGACAAAAAAAGCAGTAGTGGGATATTGGCATAACCATTCTAAACCCCAAATAGTGGAAAGATTCTACTAAAATTTCCCTGTCTTCTTTCATAATTATACTGACTGAAATCTAAAAAAGAATAATATCTCTAGCTAAAGTACTTTTGACAAGTTGAAGATATAAAAATGAAAAGGATAACAAGAGGGAAAATTAAGAAAGAGATTTATTTGCTAGTGGCTGCAGCCTTGGTTAGCCCATTGTCATATCAGTTGGTGCAAAACCATAGTAGTACAGTATATATAAGTATAGGATTAATTCCGATAACTTTTGCTTTTTGTGTAGATTCCTCACACGAAGATGACATTGGAAAAACAGTAGCCATAATCGTGGGTGTATTAGCAGGCCTAGCGGTTCTAATTGTTCTTCTATCATTTTGCCGAAAAGCAATGGGTAAAGCTCTTTTTCTAGTTCATATACTTCTTTCTCTCCATTCCCTCTCCATCAAAAGTGATCCTTTTCTTTCTGCAGAATGAAATGACAGGTGTTAGGATGATATAAACCCTGCCCTGCTCGCATGTTTAGATTGGCGGAGACTTGGTTTTTTCAAGCAAAAGAAGAGTATTCGTGATTTCAGAACTGATTAATGTTGGTTTTTAATATTGGCAACTTTGTCAGCTACTTTTTTTCAATTTTAAAACATTATTTTATGTTTTGTTTTTTCTTTTCTCACAAAAGGAGGCAATGTTATCTTCAGCTGCTATAAATTAATAGAGCCGTAATCTCCATCAACTTCAAAAATGCTGCTGATTCCCTCTAACCTGTCATAAAATCCATCACCTTTTTTTACCAAAATTACTTTTAGAATAAAATTATAGCTTTATCCTTTATATATTATTGTAAGCCAAGTTGATCATGTGATGCTTGGAATCAAGGTTTTTCAACAGCAAAATTTTTATCATGTAGTTTAATAAGTAAATGGTTGATTATGGTAAAAACTATATGGGTAAAAACTATATGCAAGTTTGTACCATATGACAACTTCGAATTTAGTTTCAAAATCGTTTATAGAGACAACATATACCCCCTCTAACTTGCATGGAGAGATTTTGCTTTTAACCCTAAAAAAATTTAAGAGTAAAAAAGGTTATTCCATCTTTAAAGTCAAAGCAAACCATCAACTTAAAAAAGAATTTACGAATTTTTTAAAGATTTTTCGGACTTATATATTATTTACCAATAAAGGATCATGAGATTAGAATCTTGATGCTTTGCGTCAACCCCTATTGATTTTTTTAACCCTATAGCTCTTTATAAACAGACTCCTTGAATAAGTCCCCAAATTTGAAGTTTGATACCATATAGAACTGGATCTAGATACAAGGACGTTTCTTTTTTTTTTTTTGGGGGGGGGGGGGGGGGAGGGATAAATGGACTTCTTATTATTGTGGGGGAGTTGGTGAAGCAATTTAAACCTAAACCCTTCAGTTGAAAACGAATTATTGTCTTTCCAAACATAAAATAATTTCTGTAAATGAGAAATTTACTGACCAAGATAGATAAGAACAAAACCTTAACCACTCACATGTTTGCAACAAAGTACAAAAGTGTTAGATATGACTTTTATTAAGAAAATACAAACTCACCTTCTTTAATTAGAGAAGTGAATGACAAGAAAAATATATTTGGTTGGTGATTGACTAACTACCAATGGACTTCCGGCATGCATGCCTTTGCAATTTGCATGCACCTTTGAATAACTGAATATTGGCTGTCAATTTATCAAAAACCCCATGATCCGAACCAACCATGAGAAGAAAACCAAAAATGACAATAAAGGTCAATCATATCCGTACAGTAGGAACACAAAGGATGGAATTCGGCTTTATTGTTCATTAAGATTACACAAAGAATGACAACTCTGTATAAAGAAGCATTTTTGGTGCTATTGTTCATTTATTTATTTATTTGCCTGCCTTAATATACTTGAATATATAGTTGAATTAATTCAAAATCATACATATAAAATTGAAACAAATTAAAGGCCAGAGGTGAAAGGCACACCAGTGGCAGGCAACCAAGAATTTCCGGCGAGAAAATTGCCGACGGTGAATTCTGATGCCTCGCTTGCGCTAGTAAGAACATGGTAGCCGCGCCACTTGACTCTATTAGATGTGGATGAACCAGGGCCAGTGTTCATATACTCTGCATAATACAATGTATTAAGTGCAAAATTACCATCCCACTCCATCCAACCAGCTGGGTTAATCAAGCTATCAAGAAACGTTTTCATGAAAACCGTCCTCGAATATTGTTTCCATGGCCTCCCTAGATATGTTTTGACTGAGCTTTGTACCGGCCTCAAGTCGGAAGCAGCTGTAACTCTAGAGTTATGGATGATAATTCCAGTGTTTTGGTTAGGGTCAGTCCTACCTTGGGCAGTCACGGTGCTGGTCTTGTTAGGAGGATTCCGTGCATATATGTTGCAGTTTTGGAAGACAACAGCAGCATTGCCAAATATGAAATCAACAGTTCCGTAGATGTCACATTCTCTGTAAAATTGCCTCTCGGAATGGACATAGAGAGTGTCTTGGTATCCTTCAAAGCTGCATTTGTAGAACACTGAGAGATCAGAGCCTGAACGTAGAGCGACTGCCTGATGATTTTTTGCACCAGCTGTGTTTCTGAATGTAATGTCACGAGCAATGAACCCATCTCCAACAGCAGCTGAAATTCCACATTACAAAAAAAAAAAGAAAAAGAAAAACGTCAATTAATCTTTCATTTTCAATCTAGAACTTGACCCAAAGGAACTTGCTGATCAAACCACTGATTCATGCTGTTATAATTTTCAAAACTTTCCTTGACTATGTATGTTGCTTTTATGAATATCCCTTGGTCAAAATTTAAAGTTCAACTTTTAAAATAGAAATGATCTTTTGTGGCAACGGTAGAACCGGTTCCATTTAGTTAAGGCAAGGACTCGACGTTATTAATATTTAATAAGAACGACCATTTTTATCCACAAAAATAATTTTGTTTAGGACATTTTCTAGATTGTTGGGCCACATTTTGAATAAAGTGAGTTTGTTGACTTTATTTGCAGCCCAGCTGGAAGCTAGGAGGGAAAGGACCATCCAAACTTCTGTAGATGGCTTGCTATATTTATGCAGTTGGGCCATGTTTTGACTTTCTTGACTCTGTCTTTTTTAATGTAACATTAAAGAAAATGAAAGATTTAGATTAAATTTTTTAGATAAAATTCGAAAAAAAATTTATTAAAATAATAAATTAAATCTTACGAAATTTAATCTAAAAATTTCAAGTAGGTAAATAGATCCCGTTGCTTATCAAAAAAGTGAATAGTTTCTTTAAATTCGATTGAAGACTTTTGTTGATCCTATATAAAATGGTAAGTACTTAGTTATTATCGAGTACTAGGTTAGTTAATACCCATTCTAAACGAATTAATTAGGATGACCCTTTCCCAGCTAATTAATGTAGGTTGCTTTCTCGCAAAGTGGACTCCTATGGCACTGTAAGAAATTATCTGTAACCTAAAGAAAAATCATGCGAAAAGCCAAATTTACTCACCAACGGTGGCTGAATTGAAAGTGGTGGATCCTCCTCCGACGCTTTTGCTTCCGGTGATAATTGTCTTCCCTTTGCCATCGCCCACCAGCATAATATTTTTCAGCTTGGAACCTATCTCAACATTTTCCCTGTATGTACCTGCCTTCACATATATCACATACCTTCCACTTCCTGATCGCTTTGAAGCAGCCGATATCGCGTCTTTTATCGTCTTATAATCCCCTGAACCATCTTGTGCGACCACGATATTCGCGCTAGAAGCCGATGTTGGAGACTGCAAAAGCTTCCGGTCACCGGGCTTCACCCATGTCGGGAATCCATCTTTGTAGCTAGGTTCCTTGTAAGGTGCCTTGTTGAGAGCTAGTGTGTTACTAATTAATTTGGACACGTTATTTGACATCATGGGTAGAAGATAATCTGGGACCCCAAGTTCGATAAAGCCGGTCCGACAAGTTTCGAGGTTGGTTAAAGCTGTGCTGAGCCATGTTTGAGCATCATCTTTGTTGAGGTTGGTGCTGGAATCAACAGTTTTGTTGAGGCGGAGGATGGTTAGCTCATAGAGCTTAAGGCAATCAGACCATGCAGCCTTTTCACGCTCATTTCGGCATTTTGGGCCCAATGAATACGTGTTACTTTCAGCATGTTTGGCACGCTCTAGAGCGAGTTGCATGGAGATTTTGAGAAAATCAGGCTCATCTTTGATTGGTGTGTTTTTTGATTTATGGCTCAAGAAATATTCACATGGCAGTGGGTTGGGAGTTTTTCTGCACCATGATCTCACATCGTTAGTCCTATAGCCAAAAACAACCGGAACAAGAAACAACGACACTAGGAAAAGTGCTACGAGGATTTTAGGAGGTGCCATCGATGGCTTACCAATTCCTATTAGACAGCAAATGAATGAATGATTATTAACTGATGAAACCAAATCGTGGAAAGGTTAGGGTTTATATGGGGTAATATTAGTGCTCTCTTGGTCTGTTTATATAGACGGTTTAGTACTAAATAAACGACGAAAATTTTCTAACAGTAATTAGTACAATTTTGTTTAATGACTTTTTGCAAGTAATTTTTATGGTGTTTTGGTAATAACTTTTGATAATTGCCTTTTTTTTTTTTTTTTCTAAAGGTATGACTTGAAGAAAAAACAATTAACGCGCCATTGACTTTTTCATTTGCATATATGCAATATTCTTTAGATTAACGAGGTCGGAAGCTTATTAATAAAGGTCTCTAATCCGACGTACAACAGGAAGAGCGTTCCCTTTTAGCGAGCTGCCATTTATGATCGATGATTGAAAAGTCTAAATGATAGGATCATTCATTGCAATTCTTTATGTAATTGGCTGCAGGCTCAAAACAATGTGTCCTTAATTTCAATTGATTCTGCTTTATCTATATCATAGTCTTCCGTTATTATTCAGACAACCAAAACCAAAAGATGAAAAGAGAAAGGAAAGAAGCATGCAATTTGTTTTTTCTCCTTAGTTTGGTAAAGTTTAAGAAAATATATCAAACATATTCATGGAATCACAAGTGAACAATTTGAAGAGGATTTGTACTTGCCGATTTCCAAAAAAAGATGTGACTCCTTAAAACTGGAAACCTTTCAAAACATTTGCCGTCTTTTAAAGCCAATTGTCAGGGCAACGAGATGTTTTGCTGCCAAATGGAAGATAAAATGGAGGGCAAATTATAATTAATTATAATAAAATCAAACTTTTGGACCAAATCTACGTGGTACATTTCATATCATGCCTTAATTGGATTGTTACCACCTCCCTACCAATAGTATAATAAAAGAAAAATGTGGAACCAGTTTGAGGGTAATATATGAGCAATTCAAAATTTTATGAAGGATTCAAAATTTTCTTGACTCAAATTTCATGAAAGTGGAGAATTATTTACTTTTTTTTTTTTTATTGTATAAACAAAGTCGTAATTTAAAACTAAAAAAATAAATAATAGATATTAAAATTTAAAATTTAAAATTACGAAATATTACATCTTAAAAGTAATTGCATAATGAATCAACGGAATTAAGGCTATATGCTTTAATTTCATTTTGTTTGACTTTTATCCCTTAACTGCTTGCATTATCTTTATTTAAAACGATAATTGAAGGAAGTGAACTTGCTTGGAAAGGAGCCTGCAAAATTAACCAGAGAAAAGTCTCAAACTACTAAAATAATCAACTTGTTCAATGACAATTCAGAGTTTGATGGCACTTGTTTATTTACATATATAATATATTTATGATTTCTTAAATTTTAACGCTGTGCTCCACGCAATACAAAGTCATTAAGCTACATATACTTTGTATTTTCTGGGGGGTACATTACACAGAATCTGCAAAGTTTTAGATGGCCAACGTGCCAATTGATGAACTAATTATGCTCGTGCACTAAAACAGGTCATTGGATACATGGTTTTAGTCGTGTTCATGAGGCTAATTCCTACCTGAAACTCTTTGAATTTCTTAACCAACTGTTTTCCTCATTAATTAATTATGCTTTTATTAATCTCTTAATCAATTATCTGTCTGTAATTTCTCATGTCTGCATGTTTTCTTTTCCCCTTAGGCTTTAGGACAACTCTAGCATTCAAAAACCTGCAGCTTCCTAGTGAATAATAATCCTTGTCAACATGAGGAGGTTGACTGGGAATCCTGATCAAGAAAGCCAATTCCATGCCAAATGCGACTAACTGATAAATAGTGCTGTACCTGCAATGCTGTCAGCAACGAAATTGTGTAAGAAAAAGTCAATATATAGCAAAAAATTTCCAGATATTGATACTCGGACATGAATAAATTACAAATCTCACCATATAATTTCATTATACTTATTATATCCGTACGGGAGGACTGACTTCCAAGTTATATTGCTCCGGTCAATGTACATATGTACAAACCTTTTTTTTCTTTATTCTAGATAATGTTAATGTCATACTGGTTTATACTAATGGCTGACGTTTTTATTGAATTTCAATGATAGTAGTTTAATAATCACTGGCCATCCCAAATGGATTTTTTTCCCACCCATGATTTACTTTTTTTTTTTTAATGAATTACGTGTGTATAAAAAAATACAACTATAATCAAAACATTAATCTTTAATATACATTGGATTTTACTTATGTGTGTATATATCAACTATCAAGATAACTAAAAAGATCGGTTTAGCTTTGACCCATTATTTTGAACTTAATTTGTTTTGTCGACTTGATGAGTAAGATGCATGGATAATTACATATATGGTGATATTACATATTGAAAATTGTAAGAAACTATTTGACAATGGAGATAGAAGTATAAGAAGGGGGGCTGGGGGAAAGAAAAAACAGCCTCCGGAGTTCGAACTGTGCAGGGGAAACAGTTGATTTTTCAACATGTATTGAGTCGACGTGTTACAAACAATGTTCAAATTAAAAATAGTCCACGGATGATTCATTTTGACTTCCTTTTTCTTTTATGTTTTAAAACAGGCATCGTGATCCCATGTTTTATTGACAAAAGGCAAGTTAATCACGCTTAAACATTGATTATTAACATCGTCCTTATCGTCCTTAATTGAGAACTGAGAATTGATTTTGACTAGATTGTTGCATTTGCATATGAATACTTGCACTTGAATCTAGAGAAGAGGGTTTGGTTTTTCATCATTCAAAACACGGTAGCGGCTTTGGGATAAACCATGGGAGGTTGATCACCAACGTTTGAACATATGTCTTTGAACTAAAAGGACATTTGTCACGCGATGAAGTCTGTTCCTTCACGTTTGAGATGACGTACCTTGCTGCTTTGATTAGGACTTTGCTTCTCTAAAGATATTTTCTGGCTTGTGTAGCCTATGCGAAGCAAGCCCGGTCCATAGCCTTCTTTCTTTATTCTTTATCGCCTGGTCTTTCTTTCGTATGGGACGTGGGATCTTTCTTTCCGAAATCCATTTACCTTGCTAGCCTAAGGCTTAAGAGTTATCCCTTCTAACAAAAATGAAACCCGGAAAAGTAGTCAACCATTGTTGGAACTTGAAAATCGCCTTGAGCCTTAGGCTCTAACTTGATGTTAACTGAATTTTTAGTTTAGATATATATTAATTCTTAAGGGCACTTTCATTGAAAGCTACTGCAAAATCAAGCTTTTCCAAGAATTTCAATCCAGACAAATTATGCTAAACAAATGGATTTTGGTTTGTTTTGATGTCATCTCCATTTTTTGCTTTCAATTATTGAAAGAATAATTATAAACACCCTATTTGGTTCATGTTCAAAGTAATTGGAGCATGGTTCAATAAGATCCAAATAGTTAAGCCCAAGTATATATTATTTTATGTTTTTTAATTGTTATTTATTTTTTTATTTTTTTATTATTTATTTGTTTTATTGTTTATCTCTTATTTTTTCTGTTTAATTGATTTATCTTCAGCTTTTGTTAAGTGATAATATAATAGTGATAAAAAAATGATTGATAAATATTCTACCGTAAATAGAGGCTGGCAGAATCATACTTAGTTTTAATCTCTATATAATAAATTTGATGATTTTATGATAATATAAAATTTCTGTCAATGGTGGACTTAGAGTTAATCAGAAACTCTTCTAATTACACTCTATAAATATTCACATTGATCAAAGGCAGAACACTCAACAAGCAAAAATAAAAATGGTGTTCAGAAAAGCCAATAGCAATCTTAGAATTTTTAGGATTTTTTTTTTCAAAAAATTTTTTGGCAGTTTGTTTTTCTGAAAATTTTCAGAATTTTTTTTAAATTTCGATAAGTTTGTAGTTTTCAGTGAATTTTTTGACTCTAATTAAATTTTTCAACAAGTTTCCTAGTTTCTGGTGATTGATTTCCAGAAATCGACCAACCTCCGACGAACTTCTGGTGAATTTACTCAGATTTCAGTGAAAATTTTCAAAATCCGATGAAGATTCAACTGGTATTTTTGGGTTTGTAGAAAGAGAAGGAGAGAAAAAGGAAGTAGAGAGAGAGGGAACCGAGGATATCTGACGAAAAAAAAGATTGAATTTGGGCTTTTACATCTGTCTTAAAACAACGTCGTTTTTGCCTAAAATGGTCTTAGGATCTACTTGTTTTTCATTCAGGTGACCTTACCCGAGTGTAACCCGCTTCTATTGACCCGTATTTCAGCCAACTCCTTCAGTTGAGCCAAGTTGAGCCACGTCCTTGAGCCACATCTTCAAGTCGTTATTTGTGCCTCCAGCCAAGCTGCTTCAACCTTCAAGCCAAGCCCTTTTTTACATTTTATTATTTTGTCATAACATCTAGATCCGGAGATCTATCGCTAGACATTGACTTGAAAGAGTCGCCACCAATCTTTTTTATCTAGGTGCGATTGGCCACTTAAGAAATCTATCCTTTCAGGGAACACCTAAGTTTAAAAGTCTCTAAAAGAATAGGTTCGGATCTACTAATCAGAACATTATTCGAAAGTTCGGTTACGTGTGAGGAAGGTTATAGCACCCTCACAACGCCCATTGAAAGATGGTACCAGCTTAATTTTATATTATCCAATAAGCTTAAAAATTTATCAAATATTTAATTATTGAAAATTATTCTCAATTGACTCTAATACTTTTAGCAAAAAATTAAAAAAATTCTCTCACCTCAAGAGTATATAAAAAAACTATTGTTTCACTTGCAGAGACTCCGTCGTCGGATTATTTAACATTAAAAAAAATTCAAGAAAATAAAAAGGAAGAAAAAATGATTGCTTTTGTACAAAGAAAATTAATACTTTCAACTTTTTTCAAAAATTTTTTTTTAAATTTTAATTTCGAAAAAAATTAATACTTTCAACTTTTTCTCAAAAATTTATTTTTGAAAACTTATTTTTAAAGAAAATGGATACTTTCAACTTTTCTCCAAAAATATTTTTTTGAAAATTTATTTTTAAAGAAAATTGATACTTTCAACTTTTTCCTAAAAATATATATTTTTTAGAAAGTTTATTTTCAAGAAAAATTGATAATTTTAACTTTTCCTCAAAAATATTTTTTAAAAAATTTATTTTCAAGGAAAATTGATACTTTTAACTTTTCTTCAAAAATATTTTTTTGAAAACTTATTTTTAAGGAGAATTGATACTTTCAACTTTTCTTCAAAAATATTTTCTTGAATTTTATTTAAAGAAAAGAAAATAATAAAATAAAATAAAAATAAAGAAAAGTAAAATAAAAATAAAAATAAAATAAAGATAAAATAAAATAATATTAAATAATTCTAATCTAATAATAATAATAAAAAATAAATAAATAAGCAAAAAAAAAAACCTAAGAACAGTTCGGCTTAACGGCTCGGCTTGGCTTGAGGAAGAAAAGTGGCTCAGAGAAACGGCTCGAATGTGTCGGCTCGGCTCAGCTCAACTAACGGCTTGGAGACTCGGGTCGCACGCAGGTAGACGCTCGGGTCAGATCGGATCTTGGTAAAACGCGTGGATCCTCTGGGTTACTTAACGTAGAAATGACGTCATTTTGGGAGGGTATATAAGGTTGAAGGTTAATTTTTTTCTCAGAATCCCTTATTCTCTTCTCTTTCTTCTATTTTTTTCTCTCCCCTCTCTCTAAATCCCGAAGAACTCCGGTTGAATGCCTGTCGGATTCTAAAAATTTTCATCGAAATCTAGATTTTTTGTCGAAAGTTCATCGAAAAACTAATCGATTTCTGGAAATGGTTGTCGAAAACTAGGAAATTGGTCAAAAAATTCAAACTTGACCGGAATAGTCATCAAAAAATTCAATCTTCGTCAGAAAATTCAACCGAAATATGAAAATTTTCCAAAAATTTCCAAAAAAAATTCACAAAAAAAATTCTCCAAAAATTTCTACCGATTTCTAGAGCTATTCTAAACGTACCAAAACCTTTTTAGCTTTTAAATCTTCTCTGTGTCTGTTTTTTTTCTCAGTCAGTATCTCTTTTTTCTGTGTGTTCTTCCTTTGATCCATAGGTCTATTTATAGGGATTGATCAGAAAAGTTTCTGATCAATCTCAACTCCTAATTGGATTGGGATTCAAGCATTGAATCCAATATGGATTCTGATTGAATCTCCATTCACGGTAGGATTCCCTACAAACCAATCCAATCTCAGCCAAAAAAAAATCAAATAAAAAATATTAATAGATAATTAAAAGAAAATAATTAGATAAATCATAATATTAACAGATAAATTAAAAATAATAATAGATAAATTATAATATATAAATAGATAAATAATAATAAATATATAACTAGATAAATAAAAAATATATATAAATATTAACAGAAAAGAAAGGAAAAGAAAAAATAATAATAAGAAAGATATATATATATATATATAAATAGTAATAATAAATAAATAAATAATAAATACATAAGATAAAAAGGAATATATATATAATATAAAATAAAAATAAAAATAATAAAATATAAAATACAAAATAAAAAGCAAAAATAGGTCTACCCATTTGGATCAAGCCCAATTGATCCGAGTTTGGGCCAAATTGGGTGTCTACATATTTATTTATTATTATATTTAAAAGTATTTTTACATGATTTAATTAAAAAATAATTTTTTTTAGAATAAAAAATAATTATCTAATGATAAAATTTTTAAAAATTTTAAATGGTAAATTTTTATAAAATTCTTAGGTGCAAAATTTTGTCTAAATTTGTCCCAAATTATTGAATAATTTAGACAAAATTTTAATAACAATAATTAATATTTATTTTCAAACAAAAAAAAAATAAAAAAATAAAAATATTAACAAAAATTTTGAAACTAAATACAAATTACCCAACGATGAGATTTTTAAAAATTTCAAATGATAAATTTCTTAAAAAATTTCTAGATGAGAAATTTCTCTAAATTTGTCTCAAATTGTGGAATAATTTAGATGAAATTTTAATAAAAATAATTGTATTCTTTTCCAAATAAAAATTTTAGTTGAAAATATTTGACAATTATCTAATGATAGAATTTTTAAAAATTTCAAATGGTAAATTTTTTAAAAAATTTCTAGGTAAAAAATTTCTTTAAATTTGACCGAAATGGTAGAAGAATTTAAATAAAATTTTAAGAGAATAATTTTCATATTATTTTTTCTTCAAAGATAAAAAAAAGATTTTTTTCATTTAGCCCAAATAGTAGAATAATTATATATATTTTCAAAAAAAATTATAAATAAAGAATAAAAAATAATTAAACTTTTTTTCTATAACATAGTCTCTTTAAGAAAATAAATGAGATTTTTGAATACTGAAAAAATATTTTTATGAATTCTATAAAATTGATGGAGAATTTTAAAAGTTATTTTCAATATTTGAACATAAAAATTTAAAACCATTAGAATCAAAATCTTAGGATAAATTTAAAATAAAATGACACCATCATTTGGATGGGCATGTGTGTGTTTTTATAACTTTTTCTATATGTAATTAAACTTTCGAACTTTATTGTGTATTATAATTTTCTTTATATGTAATTGAACTTTCGAATTCTATTGTGATTAGTAGATTCAAACTTATTTTTTTAGGGATTTTTAGTTAAATATAAGAACTCCTTAAAAGAGTAATTTTTTTAGGTGAGTAATCACATCTAATAAAAAAATTGATGGTAACTCTATTTATTAAGTTTAACTATAAATTTTTAGATTTATATTATGACAATAATTACTTATAAAATTACACGAGAGGTTTGATTGAGAAGGATATGGTTCCATTCCTTCCATATTATTTTTCCTCCAATAGATACATCGTGAGGGAGACATGAATTTTTTATTGATTCGATCCCAACTCCTAAGATGCAATTTCAAACTCGGCCCAATATTATTTTTAATTCATTTACTACACTATACTTTTTTTTTTTTTTAACCAATGTCCTTATTGTGGCTATGGCTTAACTAGTACTTACTTCGTTCTGTCCCTTTTATCAGCTGTCGGTGGGCAAACAAAGGCACAAACATGGCCGTTACGTGCACAGATTCATATATATAGCAGGCAACGCGTAACCTTGTTTTTTAACATTCATTTAAAGATCCGTAGCATTCATAAAAGGCTGATTGAGAGTTTGATGTCACTGAGTCAAAGATTCCAATACAAAACTTAAATTAAATCGTAATAAATATGTAAAATTAAAATTATAAATGTCATTTAATATATGAATTTAAATATTTTTTTAATTTATTTATACATTCAATAGAAAAAACTATGCAATACTTTTTATAGTTACATATATAATTACATTTTTTCTTTCAAGTTACATTTATTTTTCTCAAATTTTTTCTTTTATTTTTCACCTCTCTTACTTTTTTTTCACCCATATAGTAGGTGTGCCAAACAAGAAGAGAGTAGTAAAGTATTATTATAGCAAAACTGATTTCCATGACCCTGTCCGACGGATGTAACATATCTAAGGAAAACCTAACTCCATTGATACTATTACAATACCAATATCAAAGTTTCAAATCTCTAAATATTAATCGTGCTCGGAACAGAAGTCCTTAATATCCTTGCCCACAATTCCACAAATGTTAGTCCTCAGCAAGAGCTATGTTTCTTAAACTGGGTATGAAATTAATACCAAGTAGCAACTACCTTGTCGTGTCTGCATGATGTTCTATAAGCGGGTTAAACCTCGAATGACACCTGGGCTAAAACGGTCCATGTGTTTGCTCCTCACCGATTATATATTAAAATAAAGTCCACCGACGGAGTCCATGCATGTCATCCACCGTTATTAATTAATACTACCAAATATCTCCACTAGCGTCACCACCTTTCTACTTCTCTTAGCCATGGCTACCACCACCTTTTGCTCTCAAGAACTTGCAGAGGTGGTTCAAATGGCTAGAACCGTGGTTGTGGAATTTAGGAACTGGGCTGAGGCTTCCTTGGCCCTACACGGATTGGACCACACAATAAATTATCACGGGATGTCTCTCAGTGACTGTGTTAAGCTGTATGATGACAGCGAGTCTAGGCTCTCGCTCTTAATGCTCTCTCGTCAAGGCTATAACCTTGATGATGCTCGAACATGGTTAAGTGGCGTGCTCGCGAATCGCAGAACTTGTTTGGAGGGGTTAGGGGAGAAGGGTTTTGCGATTCAAGATCATGCAGATGCTCAAAACCTGACAACTTTGCTTAGTGAAGCTTTGGCATTGTATGGGAAGGATGTTGTCGTAAATCAGGGTAAGCTACTCTCCTCGGTCTCTCTCCCACTAGCGCTTTAGTACCTCAGATTAATTCAATTGTTATAAAATAAAACTTAATTAGAGTTTCTCGAATGAAATTTATTAAGTTTAATTTTCTATTACACATATAAAAATCAGAACATGCAAGTCCAAATAACTTTCCTGGCCGATGAACCATATGGATAATTTTATACATTACCCTATTTGGCTATTTCCTCCCCTCAATTAATAAACTATTTTTGTATAGAAATTTAGGACCTTTTTTTTTTTTGGTACTTGACAGATCAACTGCCTAGCCCAAACTTCAACGAAGGTGGGGGACTTTTAACGTCGTGGAATCCGGCAACAACAAAGGCCGATTTTATCGTGGCGAATGATGGCTCTGGTACCCACAAAACAATCAATGAGGCAGTGGCTGCAGTTGCTAGGATGGGTAATAGGCGCCCCCAGAGAGTAATAATCTATGTGAAGGCAGGAGTGTACAATGAGAAAGTGGACATAGAAAGGAATGTGAAGAATATAATGATGGTTGGTGATGGCATGGATAGAACAATGTAACTGGAAATCGAAATGTCCCAGATGGTGCTACCACCTTCGGCTCTGCAACATTTGGTAAGAGTGAAGTTCTTGCTTCTTAGATGATTCCATGGAGAAACTTGGATTCAAATAATCCTGTAATCATTAGAATAACTTGAGAGGATAGATGAGCTTAACTTCGTCTTCTGCAGGCGTGTCAGGTGATGGGTTTTGGGCAAGGGACAAGACTTTTGAGAACACAGCCGGTCCAAATAAACATCAAGCAGTGGCATTAAGGGTAAGCTCAGACCACTCTGTGTTCTATCGTCGCAGCGTCAAGGGTTACCAAGACACTCTCCTTGTGCAATCCCTAAGGCAATTTTATCGCGATTGCCATATATATGGCATAATTGATTTCATCTTTGGTGATGCCCCAGTAGTCTTACAAAACTGTGACATATTTGTGAAGAGACCAATTAACCATCAAGCCAACATTATAACTGCTCAAGGTAGAGAAGATCCTAATGAAAATACAGGAATTTCAATTCAAGGATCGCGCGTAAGGCCAGCATCTGGTTTCGGTTCTGTCAAACATTTGTTCAAGACTTATTTGGGTAGACCATGGAAAAGGTATTCCAGGACAGTATTTATGAAGACAGATATTGATGGCTTAATCGATCCCAAAGGATGGACAAAATGGAGCGGCAGTTTTGCACTTTCAACACTATACTTTGCAGAGTACATGAGTACAGGTGCTGGGCTTCGACTAGACATAGAGTGAACTGGCCTGGTTTTCATGTGTTCAACAGTCCCCGGGAGGCTGGACCTTTCACTGTGAGCAAGCTCATACAAGGAGAGTCCTGGATTCCAGAGACTGGTGTGCCTTTCTGGCCTCGAATCTGATCATTGGGTTTGTCATGATCTTATGCTTTATGTATAATAATGGCTAGAAAGCAAAAACTAGCTAGTGCCTAAAAATTCTAGCCGAGCATTATGGATTGAACACAAATAGTTTGATTTCTCTCAAACGATTCCTGTTCTTTATGAAGCGCAAGTTTCTCCTTTGTAATGATACGACGTTTTAACTTTTCGTGTCTATGTAGCACAAATTTGAAGTTTGTTCTTTGTAGTAAAACAAACTCAATTCATTTTTCTCTTTCATATAAAAGCTTTACATTCCATTTTTTTATGAATATAAATGTATCATCAACATAAAATTGGAACTAAATGGCAAGTAATGATGTCATGGACAGAAGAAAACGTTGTAAAATAAAAACCCAAATAAAAATGACAAAGATTATAATAAAAGCCCAAAAATATTAAATCATTAATAAAAATACATTAAATTTAATTTTAATTCAAAAATATATTTAAAAATATAAAAATATTAATATTTGTTAATATATATTCTTAATTTTGAGTCACTTTAATCGGATGGCTTCTGGCCCAAAAAAAATCCAATGGATCAGGCCTGGTCTTAGGCAAATGCTTTGGAAGGTTGATCTAGCTGGTAAGAAAGGCCCATAAAAATCAATTAGGCCCAAGTCTAAGATATAAGAAGCCCAATTTAAAACCCAACCTTAAATCAAGCCCGGTTGAAATTAAAAGAGAAAAATATTCAAAGCCCTTAAATCTCCAATTTGTTCTTGCGTCTTTCTTCTTCTTCTTCTTCTTCCGTGAGCCGACAACTAAGCTTTTCAGCCAAGGTTGTAGCTTTCGACAGAAACTCAAACTGTCAACCTCTTTTAGTGTGTATCATAACCGAATTGATCTCGATGTTGGCTGATAGATAAGGGTTTAACTCTTAATTTTTCAATAAAATTTTCCTCCAAAATTTTCAATAACAGCCAATTTCTTTTCTTTCAAAAATTTTTTGAGCCAAACAGAGCCTTAAGCGCACTCGTATGTGCATCTTATTGTAACTATTTTACTGCTTCTATCCGTTTTTCTTTTTGAATTGAACTGGGCGGCTCAATCTTACACATAAAAAAGAGAGTAGTAAATTTGAGGTTCGATGGCCGGTGGCTCGGATGTGGTGGAGACACTCTCCTGTGCTCGTTGCGGCAAGCCTGCTAATCTTCAGTATGTGTTTACTTAATTATTGTTTATTCTCATATTACAATCACAGAAATTTCTGAGTCTGGGTATCATTGTGTTGGTGCCATTAACGTATGGAAATTATCAAATTTGTGACTTTAAGACATCTCGAATGATCAAAGTGCGTTTGGTTGATGCTTTTGCATTTTTGCATTTTTGAATAGAAAGTGAAAAGCAAAAAATAGACAATAACTGAAATAATGAGACAAATTACAAAATCAAAAGCAAAAAACAGAAGCGCCAACCAAACTAGGTCTAAAGGAAGACTATTAGCATTTGGCAGTGATCAAAATTGTGACTTTAGAAATTTTGAGTTTGACTCTGTTTGGTTAATAGAATAACTTGAGAATCGAGTTGCATCCTTTGTTTCTGATGTAACACTGTAACTTTTTATCTGTAGGTGTCCCAAGTGCGTGGACTTAAAGCTTCCTCGTGAAGGTGCTGCTTTCTGGTATGTAATAATTTTCTTCTATGATGTTGAAATTCTGTTCGGTATCTTTGATTATTATGGGAATGATTATAGATAATATGCGGCAGTGAATTAATTGTTTGATTTCATCTTCATATTACTCTTTCCGATGTTGTATGTCAAGGCTTTATAAAAAATGCCAAGGATGTACTAAATTCCATCCTTGACTAAAACTTGGCTGATGATTTTTATATTTTTAGCTTAATTCATTGATGAAAGCTGAGTTTTTCTCTTGTTCTTAATAAAAATTTGAAAGATGTTTGATAAAGCTTTTAATTTTCTATTATTTATGTTGTTTTCCTTGACAGCACTCAGGATTGTTTCAAGGATTCTTGGAGCTCACACAAATCAGTTCATTCGAAGGCTAGGCTTTCCTCACTTGGGACAGCTACTGCTGGTGAACGAAATTCTGATTTAGCTAGTAAGGGTTGGCTATATTGCTTGAGGAAAGGGCAGAGTCGAACTCCTAAACTTCCCCATTTTTATTGGACAGGGTACTTCTCTATGATTTTAGTTTATCTTATATGCTACATATCTTTCCTGCTTTTGGATCACTTTCTTACTTACCGTGGAATATTAAAGCTTTTGTTTATATTTTGTTTCCTAGATAAATATTTCCCCTTTTATTTCTGATTTTTATTATTATCTTCCTTGTACAGGACACTTAGACCATATCCCATATCTGCCAAGCGTATTGTACCTGCTCACATTGCAAAACCTGATTGGGCTGATGATGTGAGTATTTCTAAATTAGTTTTTTTTTTTCTTTTGCATGTGGAATACTTATTAGCAATTTGAGTGGAAAACTTATTGATGACAGAGAGATTAATGAACAAGTAAACTTATTTTCTCTCTTCTTTCCTCTTGGCTTATTGGTATTTGCATCACTAAGATATTTCTGTTACCCTTTCACATGCAGGGGATTCCAAAGGTTGAGCCGAATAGTGATTTGCAACATCATGTTGAGGTAAGTTTATACTAGTGAAATCTCTTCGTTAGTCTTAGTGAATTATTGTATGCTTTATTTGTTCCTTATAGTTATCTTTTTGTTATTTCTTTTCTTGTTAAATTTGATGCATCTGTTTGAAGATCAAGACTTCAGATCAAATTGAGAGAATGCGAGAAACTTGTCGAGTAAGTACCCATCTTCCTCTTTTCTCTCTTTTTTGCAATTACACAACCATGCTTTCTCTAGGGAGTTTATCATGCTATGTTGTTGTCTACATGTCTTCACATTTTCATGAAAAGGTTACATTACTCTGCTTCATGTGAAAATAAAGGTTTTTCCCCTCAGCAAAACATATCGTCCTAAAATGAGCTTTAACATAGTTTGGTTTACAGAACCTACTGTCAACTGGAAGGATTGACCATAGCTTGATAATAAGCTCACTGTTGCTGCCTGTCTGCATTAAGCTCTTTTAAACAGATAGCAGATTGGATTGGCCCAAATTTGCAGTTTAAACTAAAGGAATAACAAATTTATTTAGAATGCTTCTGGATTTTGCTTCCATTCAATATAGAAGTTCTTTTTAGTAAGTCAATTCCTATTATGGCCCACGTATGTCCCCCTAGTTTATGACTTTGGCTCAATAATTGCTATATAGGAAAAGGCAAATCCATTTGTTTTTCTGTGTGAGCAAACCTTAGGACCTCAAGAATAATTGCTAGAATGGAAAGGAGGAACTGATGAGAAATCCTTTGCACTGGCAAATACATGCAATTCTCTTTGGAAATCCTTTTCAATTGCAATTGCATCCAATTCTCTTCGGAATTAATTTTTAGTATTTTTTGAGTAATTACAAATTCTCTTGGCTTTTAAATTTCTATTGTTAGATTGCAAGGGAGGTTTTGGATGCAGCAGCACAGATGATCCGTCCTGGTGTAACAACAGATGAAATTGATCAAGTGGTTCATGAGGCAACTATTGCTGCAGGTGCATGTTTTGAATGACCTTTTATTTCGCACAATTAATGAATGATTATCTCTATGGTTTTGCTTTACATGTGTGTATCTCTCCTGCAGGAGGATATCCATCTCCTCTCAATTATAATTTCTTCCCAAAGTCTTGCTGCACGTAAGTACTTCTGTACATATTCTTTGAATTTGATGGGGATTTATTGTGTTGAATAAGTAAACATGTTTCATTTTCTTTTTCAGGTCAGTTAATGAAGTAATATGCCATGGCATTCCTGATGCAAGGTATTAGTTTCATTCTAATTCAAAAAACTTAAAAGTTTTTAACATTTATTGGTGGTATTTGTCAATTACTTAGATGCACCTGAACTGGAATTCGGTGATCAACTATGTTCTAATTGCCTCAGGAAATTGGAGAATGGTGATATTGTAAATGTTGATGTCACTGTTTACTACAAAGGTGTTCATGGTAGGAATCTGTCCATTTAATATTGATGCAAATGCTGCTGAAAATAATGAAACTCCATACTTGACAAAGGATAGACTCATCATGCAGGTGATTTAAACGAAACATATTTTGTGGGAAACGTAGATGAAGCATCTCGTAAGCTGGTTCAGTGTACATATGAGTGCTTAGATAAAGCAATATCTATTGGTATGTGATTCATATTCTATCTGCAATAATTCAATTTTTCAGCATCACATTTTCTCTAATGTTTTCTTGTTCTGCTAAGGTTTCAAAAAGTCTTTTTGTTGACGAGTTTTACATATTGCAATGTGTACAATCTGCTAGAGATCATAAAATAAAGAATTACTTTTGATGGCTGATGGATTTAGTTCAATTCCCACTTTCTTCAATCACTAAGCATGTCGTGCCATGTCGATGATGTCATTGCTCTTCGAACATAATTTGTTAAACCTGTGTTCATAATTTGTTACTTCTTTTAGATTTTTTTAAAAGATAAAATGATCAAGAAATAATGTGCTTGGTATTTCATTTTCTTGGATATGATTACTCAAACAGATGGATATTAAGTGTTCAATGTTGAAGGTCTTTGGTAGTCTATTGCATTCTATGTGGAAGGGCAGGTGCTAACTGTGTAATTTAGAGAGTTATTTAATTAGAAAAATTTTGATAATGGTCTCTTGATTTTAAGTGGATCACATTCTTTTGAACCTCATGCCCCATGAATGCATCAACATGCATAGGTACACAGACACAGAGACAGCTGCTTTCTTTATATCTACTTGAGTTTGATAGCGGTAATTCAAAACTACTATTTAGACTTGATTTCTGATTAATCTTTCTTTTTCTTTATGCACTGAAATTCAGTTAAACCCGGAGTGAGATTTCGTGATATTGGAGAAGTGATTAATCGCCATGCTTCCATGTCGGGGTTATCTGTGGTAATGTGTAATTTGGTCTATGCAATTATACATCCTGGTTCATATTTTACTCTAATTACAGTTTCTATTTATTTCTTTCTCTGTTATCTTTTGTTACTATAGGTGAAATCAATTTGTGGCCATGGCATTGGAGAGCTCTTCCACTGTGCCCCAAATATTCCCCATTATGGAGGTATCCTTGTTAGATCAGGCTTCTCAAACCAATTACGTTTTATGTTTGACTATCCTTAATGCTTCATGGAAAGCCCTCAATG